TGTTAGGGCTTATCAATCAAAAAGTCAACAGTTCTGTATAAATAGCTATTCTCATGATCTCTTTGTTTCCATACTCTCTTCTCACCAGGAACCTTCTTGTCGCATGGCCAAATTCACATACCAGTGTGGCTTACTGTGTAATAGCTGCTGTAGAAGCGAAATTGAAATTGGGATTGTGAGCAGGAGGCTGAGTATCTCAAATGGAAAATTTGCCGCTAGTCACCCAGATCTCACAGATGAGGAGCTAGTAAAACCAATGTGAAATAAGGCCGTCGAGGCGCACGGTAATGTATATCCGAAAGCCAATAGCAAGAGGGGTATGCCTATATACACATTGTGTAACTGCCTCTGGGGCGGCATCTCATCATTGCCATTTCCCCTGGATGGTCCTTGGGTATGAGGCGGCAATTCCAGAGATGGCAATTCCTAGCAGGCTTGAAGCATACAGAAACACGGGTTCCTTTGTTTTCCATGGACAGGAGTTTTATTAGATTAAAATGATATTGAATGTATGCACAGAACGAAAGCGCAAGTGGTGTTGGTGACAGCGCCAAGCAACTCGGCCCGCCAAATCTATTTATTTACCTGGTTCTGGGTCCAGTTCAAGCCAATCATAATCAATTTTGGTGCCACTTCTTTGGATCAATAGTGCAAATTGTCAGCCTAGCTGCATGCAGCACTTTTGCAATGGTTAGGTCTCTAGGCGGTACACCACAAACACAGTATCAGTGAGATATTATGATTGTCACAGACTGCATAATTGATTCTGTCTGATCAACACTCGCTCTCACTCTCAGTTCGGATCAAGTCTACACATGACTTTCTGCAGATTGATATGGTGCCAGATTTAACAGTGTTTAATGAATATCTAATTGGTTCAATATATTTTGAACTTTCATTATTAGCAAACGACCGCTTCTGGAAGGTTGGCAACAGTCACGCAAGGGCTGTATAGTGTTTCGATATGCTTCCAGTGTAGCTGTCATGGTTCTAAGGGCAGCTTCGACCTCCTTTTGCGCATTGACCATAGCGCAATGTTTTCCCTTCCAATCGGAGCATGGCGCATAGATGGTTCGAAATAGTTCCCTTAATGTTGTGTCCTCTTGGGAAATTCTTTCTCGTATGAGTCGACCAGGATGAAATCCGAGCACAACAAGGAGGATATAATGTTCGGATATTTTGATCCCGGACACTAGGCGGTCTTGCGCCATTCTGAGACTAGAGGAAATATACCGAGCGAAAGAATGGTCAATGGTACCGAACTTGTGTCCTGCGGAGCCAGTAGCGCATTGGCAAGAGATGAGGGTCCTGGGCTGAAATGTTTCGACAAATTTTATCGTGAGCGCAAATGCTTCTTCGATTGCATCCTTCTGTTCGTCGAGGCTCCTGGTGTCAAGCCATTGGGTGCTGATCATCGGAAGCGTATCCCATATGCAGATGTCATCCATTGTCAGGTTCATCTGTCCTAACATTTTTCTCACCCAGTTCAAAGTGGAGCCTGGGGAAAACATTTGATCATACTGTTGAGCGTGGGTGTCACAAGGGTTTTGCAAAAGTATCACAGGAAAGTCGAGATATCCACAGGCTAATTTAATATTGTTTTTTGACTCTTCAGAAATCAAACCCCATTTAGTAGCAAATTCATCGATGTGCCGAAAAAATGGATCATCTGCTTTAAGGCGCTTGGGATGGCCGGTAATTTCTTCAGGGACTACCTCTAATGGTCGAAGTGTCTTGTCATATTTGTTGCTCTTGTCAAGAATAATTGGAGTATTTCTGTCTAAGTATACGTTTGAAAATTTGTGCGAGAGTTTATCAACCTCATCCCAGCCTTCAGTGCTCATTTTGAAGTATTTGGATAGGAGAACAAAGCCATCGGCTCTAACATGCTTACTTATGTTTTTTTTTTTTGTCTACCAGCACCATGGGAGTAACTTCATGATGCATTGACGCAATCACGCCGTATTTGTAATACTTTCCATTCTATCTTGATTCATGTGGTACAAATGATTCTTATGATAGCCAAGTTGTGCGTGTTAACGCAAAGTTCCTCTCGACCATGTTCGCCATTCGTATTGGCAATTCTAATCTTTCCCTGTTTTACAGTGGTATGTGACCTGCTGGAGCTTTCGGAAACTGAGTTGCCGTCCGAGGATACCCTCGGCGACCGGATCCTGTGGTTGGCTGTGGAGAGACTGGAAAAGCTGGAGAAGTTTGACAGATTCAACTCCCTTTTACTTGAACACAGCAACTCACAATAAGTCTTTGCCGGCGTACGGCCTCGAGCAAATGGAATAGAGAGGAGAGAATGAGCTGCAGATTTAAGGCAGAAGGTATCTACTGAACCCAGTTACTCACTCGTTCCTTATGATTTTCCGTCCAAGTACAAGCAAGTTTTGGTTGGGTTGCGAAGCCCCTATATTGATGGAAAATCGTTTCTGATCATGACTATTTACTTGAGGTTGGAGTCTAGACCAACTCCAAGAAAGCGAGATAGACGGCTTTCTTGATGAATACAGCGGCAGCGAATATGAGATGATGCAGGAGAACTATAACTCTATAATTGAGAAGAACTTGGATGGGGATGTCATAAAGACCGTGTTCATGCCATCCTCGATCGCCGCATCGAAGCACTGCCCAGGAGCGACCTGCCGTAGATTCTGGTCGTAGTAGGTTGCCTTGTGTGCTCGCGCCTGCTTAGCTGCCATTCGCTCCACTGGAGACAGGCCCGACGGCTCGACCATCATTGTAGACTAAGTTTCCACTCGCCATGTTCATCACGTGCACGGAACCCAGCCCGCCAAACCTAGTTATGGTTTAGTTCAAGCCAATCATAATCAAAACCTCATACGACAAGAAGGTTCCTGGGAGGGAGAAGAGAGTATGGAAACAAAGGGATTATAAGAATAGCTATTTATACAGATATTGTTGACTTTTTAGTTGATACGCTCTATCTAGCAAGTAACTAACAGTCAACTTAACTTGTCTAGTCCCTTCACCACCACCAAGACTGATAGCACATCCATGACTGCTTCGAAATTGCCAAGAGAAATCTATCTTATTGCTTGAGTTCTTGGTCTGCGGGGTTTTTTTTCGTCAAGCCTCCATGGGATTCCTTATCAGTGTTCACCCAATGTCTCCCACTCCTGACTTGGTTCAAGACACAGTGCTTCAGAATGTAATATCAAGCTCGGCATGACCTGTGAGATGGCTTCCCAAGCAAATCCGAAATATTTTTCAATCTTCATTTATCTTTCTCCTGTTAAGAAGTGTGTTGTCCTCTTCCTCCATCAAGCTCTATGTATAGGCTATTAGCCCCGGGCCGCATCGCAGACATTTATATCGCTCGGCGCATGCTTTGGGCGATCGCCTGAAAAGCAAATTTGAAATCTCTCTCCAACTTTTGTTCATCTTTCTCCCGGTAAAAAGTGTGTTGTCCTCTTCCTTCGCCCAGCATCTCTGAGAATAGGTTCTCAGTTCCTGACTGCGTGACAGATATCTATACCGACCGTAGCAACCAGAGGTAGATCGCATGGGCAGCAATTTTGAAATCTCTTTCCAGCTTTTGTTCGCCCTTCTCCCGTTGAAAAGTATGTCATCCTCTTCCTTCATCCAGCGTGGTAGGTGCTTAGCCAGCCCGCCGTTGGCCGGCTTATCTGGCAGTGGTCTCTTCATGAACCTTGACGATATCTTCCGCGAAGATGTTGAAGTTAAAGTGCTGGGTAAATCGACTACATCTGGCGTTGCTGGTCGGGGGGATGGGTTTTCCCCTCTAGCGGTCGCCGTGGTCGTCGTTCCTCTTTCTTCATTGTCAGATCTCAAAAGCAGTGAGATATCCAGCTTGCCGGTGATAATAGGAGAAAACCGTTTGGGAAGTGACAGTGGTACAAAAAGCTAGGAACAAAGCTTGGGCGACTATCTATAGCTGGTTGTCAGGACCTATAGGCTGTTGCACATGAGCACCAGATCCGGCAAGGCATTCCAAATTTATAGCATCCTCTGCACAGTCAGTTTCTGTTACTGCGCAAGCTGCACTGGAGGATGCAGAAAGGAGTGACAGACTAGGCAGCCCGGGGTCAGGATAAGCGAAATTAATATCATCAGGTTGCATAGCCTACCGGTCAGTATCGAAGTGGTTTGCATCTTGGTTAACTTGGGGCATTGGGGGCTCTTTGAACCTGGCATTAGTAGTGGCCCCAATTCTAGGTGAAGCCGGTAGGACTCCACACTTCTCGCATATAGTTTATGGACCAGAAATTATGAAATTACAGATTCTCTATCAGGAGAGATCGAGTCGTTTCACGAACCCTATCAGTCTTCAATAACACCATAGCTCCCTTGGCAGCGGATCCCCAGAAACTCACCTCAAGGGACATGGTGAGCCACTTCCAACCCTCTAGTAAATCAATGTAAAATGCAGCTATCAGGTCACGTACACACGATGCCATCAAGGACTTATTAGTAGTAAAGCCGTACATTGTTAATCTGCTTATCTCTTGAAGAAAATTAAGATCTCGAGCAGCTTGAAGTTTCTTCTCATATCTCCCTAGGCACCACCAAAAACCAGAAGGCTTTGTATAGGAACTCTGCCGAACCCACGCTGGCATAACAGTTCCCGACCACGATGGATAGGAAACTCGGCAACAACCATAGCTTTGATATCGTTGGTACAAATATCAGCTTTATCTAGTAGCCGTAGAACTGCGGAAAGTGTGTTCCCCGTAGCAAGCACGTCGTCTATGACAACCACTGATGCCTGTCTAGGGATCACATTCAAGCCTATCTCAATCTCTTTCGGTTTGGAAGTCTCAGGTGCCGATTCAGAAGAAGAAATGTGCGACGTACACTTGACGACGGAAATGGTGGGAGGGGGAAGCTTTCCCGCTTCACGAATCAGCGCCAAAGGTACTCCAACTTGCAGGGCGAGTGCTGAAGCATAGACGAAGCCGCCAGCCTCGCAGCACACTATCATATTAACCTTCGCCCAGTCACCGTTGAAGTGAGATTGCAGTAAGGATGTGCACAGGGCCAGTCCATCTGGCTGCTGCGAGATGTTGAGTACATGGCGAAACTCGATGTTTGCGCGTGGAAACTTGGGTACTTTTCCCACCATGTTGGAGAGTCGTTGAAGGTCGTCGTGAAGGAATGGAAGTAAGCAGTTCTCAGCAAATCTGTTTGCTGCCTTGTCCCCAGTGGAGTTATTGTCGAATATCAAGTTTGGATGGTAATTCAGGGCTGCCATTTTTGACAAGGCTTTGCTACTAACGTTAGTATCATAACCAGTGCTCATTTGGCGAAATTGCCGGACCCTATCAGTAGCTCTGACATGGACTTCGAGTAGTCTGCTGGTAGGCACCAAATGCGACAAGCTTGCCACCGGAGCTTCTTCCCTCATCCCTGTGATTAGAAGCACATCAGCATCCGCTGTATCATATACTGCATCTAGGAAGTGCTTTTCTGGAAGTTGAGGTTGTCGCAGAACTTGGCTTTGGAAGAAGACTGTTAAAGCCGATCGATGCTGCTCTTTGTATGCACGATCCCAAAGTAAACGCTTCAAGTCAGCCCCAGTAGCGGCGGAATATTCTCGCTTAGTCACATCGCTAATACTAATTGCGCGCGCCTTAAGGCGTTTCTGCGTGTTTGTGGTAAACACAGAAGCCCAGGCACTGGCGCAGTAGTCTTTCCCAGCGCAGCTTTCACCAGTGACTAGGATAATTAGCTTCTGCGCTATCGACGCTTTTGGCAATGGGCAAGTGTAATTCAATACGTTGAAAGGGTCCATTTTATGCTTCAGGTGCGCCAGACGCTGCCGATTTGGCCCAAAAGCGTTGGCAGACAATGTCACATCTCTCGGATCTGGTCCCAGGTCTGCACCATAAACTCCACAACTTGAGGGTAACAAGCACTCAACGACACGGTATACCCACTGCACCACTTCTTGAACCATCTTGGTGCCATCCTGGTCGCGAGGCCACATACCAGTCACAATACAGGCATAATTCCAATCTCGACAGCCAAAAGCAGTGGCGTCGGCTGCCACATTACGCGCTGCCCCACCACCGTGTAGCAAATGGACGTAGCAAAATGGTGATGGCCGGGTCCTAATGGCTTCCACCAGTATTTCCGTGATATTTTGCGCCCCAATGCTTTCCAAGAATAGACATCGCTTGAACGAAGAATGCTTGTTGCGGCCGTGCCCACCATGCATCTCAGACATGTACATCTCAGCCTCAAACAAATCCACAGCATCCATACATTCTACACTATTCTCCGGTCCCAACAGTGTGCCCATAGTGACTGCAGACGTAAGGGACCCCCAGCTGCACCCAGGTGTTGAGGATTCGAACGCAGTCACGCCAAGATACATCTGACTGGTTTCCCAGTATAAATATGCATCTGCAGAACAATTTGGGGGTAGTTTCTGTGCAAAGGTCTTCTCAAAGTTGCTGATCTTGAACTGCGCATCTTGACCGTCAGTCAGCGGGACAGCCCATTTACGAACCAAGTAAGTCGGGGAAGCAAATGCCTCGAAGATGACACTAATTATTATGCCAATGTTAGTTCCAGCACCCTTTAACGCCCATAGGAGATCTCTTTCATTTTCTGGGCGGACAGCTCCGGTTGGCCAATGTTGACTTGGGACATGGCCAATACAAACCACCTGAGCAGACTTCACACTGACGACCACAGCACCGACGATAGCGTCGCATGTGAGCCCGTATAACCTAGTCAGATGCCCAATACCGCCTTGTAGCCAAAGACCTGCGCCTACACTTGGGCGGGCACCTAGTGGCAATGTCATGCCAGCTGCCATGGTTTTATGAATGATATCCCCTGTCTTGCAGCCCGCTTCTGCAACGATCAGGGAATCAGCATCAAGACTGGATTCTCCATTCCCATTCCCACTCCGAGAGATATGTACTTTGTTGAAAGCCCCCATGTCAATCGCAACGATATTAGGCCATAAGCAGTGACCACTGTGGCCGCCGCCGACAATAGTCAGTCCAGTCTTATGCTGGATAGCCCACTGGACGCAATGCTGGATTTGTCGGATCTCTGTCGGCCTAACAATCAGTGCGGGACGATGAAGGCGAGCGTCCCGATTTTTAACTGCTATATCCCCTTCCAAGAATGGCACATGAGCTGTCAGTTTTGATAGGCCGGTCGAATGTTTGGTGAAGACCACCATCAGGTTGGGTGAACTGAAGAAAAGATGGTTTGGCTTGTCTTCCGTACATCGACCGAGGGTACGGCATGTTTTGCGCCACTCTTGTAAAACTTCATCTACCTCTGGACCTTGCAATTCAAATCCTGCGACAAAAGCTGCAAAAGTATCCAGTGTATCATCTTCATTTGTAACACAAAGCTCTCCAGTAGGGAAAGAAGCTGCTTGATGACATACTAATTTGTCAAAGTCTAAGTATTCATCTCGATGAAAAACTACCACCATACCCTCAGGCTGCTCGACAAGCATTTCCAGAGCTCGCTCGATGACCCTGCTTTTGGGCTTCAGGCCATATATGCTGTGGCAGAACAGGATTAAATCGTATTTCTCGTCGTTTCCATGAACACCACGAGCTGTTTCCGTCTCGCTGTCGCTATTCAGGACAAATGGCACTGGATGGATGGTGGGAGGGTTCTCCAAACAAGGGAACTGCTGCTCCACTTGCAGGCCAGAGCACAGCCATTTTTCCACCATAGTGGCGAAAAGAACGTTAGGCTCAAAAGCGGTATATCTCTTGATTTTCTGTCTCAAATGGCCAGGAAGATATCCGAGTATAGTCTTCGGCCCCGGGCCAATCTCTAGCACTGAGATTTGGGTACGTGAGTTGAAAATGGTGTTTAATAACTCGGTCAGTTGGGGAATAATGAACTCTTGGTAAATCGACCAGCCCGAGCCTCGTACAAAGATATCGAAGCCATCGCTATACCGTGTGTCTGACAGCGACTGCTTTGATGATGACACTGCGGTCGCCGCTTTCTGTCTTAGAGCCCGCTTGAGAGAGTTGAGAGTGGCCATTCCAGCGTGTTATGACTAGCTCAGAATATTGATAGGATTCATTGATGGGAACCAACTACGACACATTCCTGAATTCATATCCTTTAAATCAGACCCTTAGCTGTCAGCTGAGCAACGTTGCTCAAAGTGGGTGGTAAAGGCTGTGACGTGTCACTTTCTGTCCGTTCGCCAGCTACCATACCATCTCCGCGTAACCATAATCAATAAAAGCAAGCATGATACTGGATTTGTTTTCCGACTGTGCTGCATGTTCCTTTTGCGCCCTTCAAGCTACAGAAAGATCTGTCCTTTATGTGACGACAGCTGCCCCCAACGTTCTTTGGCAAATGCAGGTTTTGGCACCCATTCGCATTCGGTTGAGTTATTCATTGCCTACCCTATGGCTCGAGAGGCGAAAGATACCAACTGGGGGGTGGATCTATGGTATGTTATAGATGTAATGATTCAGCAGAGTTTCTGATGTTTGATTAGGTGCCAAGCTTCTAGTGATTTGTGTTCTGAAACGATTCAAGCGGACTCTTGCCACCTATATCTCGAAGCAGCAAATCCTTTGGAGGCAGCACTAAATGGAGACAAAGACAGAATTCAGAGACTTGCCAAAGCTGTACGGATAATTCTTGAATGTGTTGGGGAAGATCCGGAGAGAGAAGGCCTACGTGCGACACCAGAGAGATATGCAAAAGCCATGCTATCCCTCACTACAGGATATGTGGATAATGTTCAAAGCTTAGTCAATGGGGCCGTTTTCGAAGAAAATTACGACGGACTCGTTATTGTGAGAGATATCGACCTTTTCTCTCTTTGTGAGCACCATATGGTTCCATTTACTGGCAAGGTAGAAAACCACGTCCATTCTGGCACAAAAGACTAACTTTAAAGCGTAGATACATATCGGTTATATCCCAGATGGTCGTGTCTTGGGCCTCTCTAAAGTGGTCCGTTTAGCAGAGATGTTCTCTCGCAGACTCCAGATTCAAGAACGCCTGACCAAGGACATTGCCACGACAATTTTTGACGTCCTTAGTCCTCGGGGAGTTGGAGTGGTTATGGAATCCTCCCATCTTTGCATGGTCATCCGTGGTGTACAGAAGGTTGGAAGTTGTACAACTACCAGCTATATGATTGGATGCATGCGGTCGAATCCCCAGATTAAAGACGAATTCCTGGCGCTTTTACGTCGAGGACAGCAATCATGACCATCAACCCCACTTTGTTAGCACCAGCCATATATTTCCAGTGTAATTTACCTGTAAATTGTTGATGCTTGCTATCCAAGCGCCATGATATATGGATAACATTAACTCAGTCCTAGATAACAAGATGCTACGACTTGCCCGTACGCTGGATGGCTTATCTTGCTGGAACATGTCTTGGGCAAAGATTAGAAGCTGCCCTAGCAATTACTTAGGCCTTTAGGCTTATCACCATGTGGCCACGTCATATGTTTGATACCTTCTCACTAGAAAACACTTTGTGCGGAGAAGGTGGGTACACAGCAGTAATAGGTGTCCCGCTAATCACACAGAATCCCGCCCTTACGCCCGGGTTTGAACATGCATGAAATCAAGTTCTTTGTGACAATAGAGATGTAAGCTGAGCCACGCCAGGAATGCTACCCCACCAGAATTGAGGAAGGCTCATTACCCCTGCTATGGACACAGTAACGGCACGTGCACTGATTTCTTGTATCGTGCGGTTGCTTCCATCATTTTTTGTGTAATATGAGCCACGCCCAGGATTTCTTGGAGTCGTGATACATAGCTGGGGAAGTAGTGATGCTGCAGGCAGGGAGAAGACTGTTTTACCCATTGCATCATAGACTGGTGATGGTCCTTTCTATTGTGATGAAGATATGGGAGAACTACCCAGCAGTACATGCTGTACAACAATCTACTAAAGAACACCCCCAAAGTGTGAGCAATGGGCTTTGCCGATCAAAAAGCCTTGGTAGGATGTTTAGGTCTGGAGATGATGTGATAGTGGCTAGTGATGTGTCAAAGAATGCACATGAAGTTGCAATACACCTTGAAAAAAGCACTGTTTGGCATTTATTTGGTTTTTGCTTTAATTGTATTTTCCCAGTCATATTATACAGAGATAGGGGTTTATTGTACTCAAGTCCAATTCATTTCTTTCAGTAGAATTTAACAAGCAATCCCTACATGCGATTCAAAAGCAAGCATTGTGCCGCTTCCTACTATCAAGAGTCAAGACATATACTTCAGAATGGACCAGGAAGCAAGTGCCGTCACTTCAACAGTTCGAAAATATATCAAATTCATTTGGAGAAATAGAAAAACCAGTACAGTTGCCATCGGGATTGGTTTGGCTTTGATTCCAGCACTTAGCTCGCTTTCATTTCTTGCCATCGGACTTTCTTCAGCTGGCTCGGTTGCTGGATCGTTAACGTCCGTTTTGCAGTTATCTCTAGGAAATGTGGCCACCGGGAGTATCTTTTCCATGTTTCAGAGTGCGGCCATGGGGGGAATATTGTCTGTGGTGTTGAGCGCCCTTAGTGCGGGAGAGGTCGCGTTGGTTGGATCTGCAGCCACCAGGCAAGGTCGAGGACGAGCCGAACAAGCACAAATCCACATGATGGGAGATGCTGTGTTAAGGGGAGGATGATGTTTGAACCTCCATCGGTAAGCGATTGAAGTCGCGAACTTAACTATTTCTTTACATTACCAATCTGACTTTACTGATTATTGTAAGCTCTGCATCCTGGGATGCTGGAGGCAGGTGTCGTCACACTGAGGCCTTGTTAGCTATTCTCTTCAAACTTGAGAAGGCCGGTTTTATCACCCTCCAATAATTTACAAAGTTTAAGCAACTCGGCAATGACCATAGCAACTTAAATGTTAAATTGAAGACAGGCGTGTTGGGCTGCATGGGAGTGCAGCCTGCTGCCCTCGTATCCACACATATGCCTATGTAGTAAAACCTAGCTATATCGTATCAAAAAAAGGACGAGCCGACTACAAGTTTCGAGATGACGAAATTCGTCCATACATCTGTGTTCAATAAAACATATCGAAGCTTATCGCACGCCGGATAGGCGAAGACAAATATTTCACTGCTACCTTTTACTCTTCGACCTTAGACCGAGCAATGTCTTCAGCAACCGATCAGCAACGAGTTTTTCTTGCCTATAGGGCTTATCTCAACTGTTGAGATTATTCACAGGCATAAGGCGGAAGCTAGGGGTGAATATTATATAGCAAGCGGCGTAGGCCAAACGAGCATGTCCAATTGAATAGCTAGCTAATCTACTTAAGATTATTCTTTATATTATCAAGATAAGTTTACTCTCTAAGAATATCTCATGGAGAGATACTTCTAATATAGTGTAAATCTCTGCAATGCCAAGGTCACTATCCTATTGGGGTTTAGTGCGATATCTATGATATCCTCAACATATGCCCTGCAGGGCGCAAAATTCCAGCCCGTTGAACAGGCTCACCCCATGTCCTCCCATTCCCGGAGGTGGGCGGGTGGGCGGCAGCGGCATTCGTTAGAACTTGACGGAAATGAATCAAGTTGTTAATCACGCGGAGGGTGTTTTGTATTGTATACTCATCTCTGTACGCGGGATCAGCGGGCCAGTCGAGCCACGGAATCTTAAGTTATCGATCAAGTCGGAACCGCCCTCGACAAGTTTATGGGTACCAGTGTTAACTCATTTTTAGTAGGCAACGGCACCACAACATGATTGATCACTTAACAGATACCCTGTTAAATTATTTTATGACTTCATAAAAATATACTTATAAGCTTAACTGCCAAAAATCCAATCACTCATCAAAGTACCATGAAGGTCTTAATTCCACCGGATAACAACCGCCAAGTTCATCATGATACCCCTTTTTTACAACACGGCTGACATGTTTCAAGATGTCCCTCCCAGCTTGACATTCAACTGGCCTGGGGTTATTCCAATGTGTGCACCGGCACCAATCCAAGGTTTTATCATCATCATCCGGATCATCGCATTGAGATGGAAATAGCAGAAACGGTTCTGGGTTGCAGGCAAGGAACTCTTGACATTTGTGTTGTTTGCAGTATCTCTCTTTAATCTGATCCCCATGTTCCCAGATGCCTGCAATCGCGTTCTCGATGGCTTCCACGGGATATTTTTCCATCATTGTATTGTTATAAGTGAAGAAGGATATGGCCAAGAAGCCGCTGGGCTCTGTATCGGGAATGATCGTATCCGCATCCGATCGCTCTAGCCGCATTCCATGTTCTTCAACCGTGGTATTGGCCAGGGATCCTGATCTGAGGAACACATTTGCACCTTCAATACCAGGGGGCATGGTTCTGGGGTTTGGTCGGTCGCAGCGCCGGTGGTAGCCACGACTAAAAAAGGGTTGAGAGTCTTCATGAAAGCCTTGGTGGAATCCTCAGTAGTGACGTTGGCCCGGCGATCGACTCTTGTGACTTCTCCTGTAGGTGTTGTGGGAGGATACCTTGTGCGTGCAAGTCGACGGGGCCACTTAGGCTGTGCTTTGCGCTTCGTGATGGGGTTGACCCTAGGCAGACCGGGAAAACGACGAACCCATTTTGAATAGTCTCGAGCACCTGGGCGGGGTCTAACGCCATTTTTGGGTGGTCCGCAATTCGGTTGGTGCAATGTTGCAGTACGGTAGTGCTGGGCAAGAAGCTGAGGAGAGCTATGTGGAATGTGGAAGGTTGCTGACAGTTAGAGGGAAATGGATAATGCGAGAGAGAAAGGAATTGAAAGAAAGATGGATCTCAAGGGGGAGGGAGTTCACATTTATATCCAAGCCAGGAGGTCACACGATCATACCTCTCTTTGACAAGCTGGCCAGAGCACGCCATGGAAAACGGAGGTGCCTAAGCGGTTGGTTGATGCTGTCAAAGAGCTCGCGCGGCTTGTGACAGCCTGCAGCCCATCGGTTGTCTCGAAGCTGAGGTTAGGTCTCCAGGCGGTGCACCGTAAACGCGTGCAACTGTAGAGCCATCTGGTCTGGAAGCAGTATGCAGCAAAAATTGCATTGGCGATCTTTCAGATGTGCCGATCGGAAGTGCCTCAGAACATCGGCATACCTGGAATACTTCTTCCGGCACTGGAAGCATGCTTCGGGCTTCAGCGCTGACCGGATGTGCTCCTCGAGCTCCTGGTATTTCTGCTCCCAGGGAGGAGCAGCACTGGCAGTTCCTTGCTCGGCTTTTGTCCCTACATCTGGGCTGCAAGCATTATCACTGGGTGCCTTTTGCGACAGCCGTCCTCGGAGAGGGCCGCCCTCGCGAAAGTCACAGTACTGTCTCACAGCCTCCACCGCTTTGTTGCGCCGTTGCCATTCATCATCCAGGGACTCTGATTTGGGGAGGCTCATAAGGCACTCGAGGAGATGCATCTGTGCCGGCGGAGCACAAGGCTCCTTCCTGGACGGCCGTTGGGCGGGCTCGGTGTAGACTGCAGTTCCCGGTAGCTGGCGCTCGATATCGACCACTGCCTGTTTCCGGCTGAAATCCCGGCGCACTTCGTTTCTCAACCTGTAGAGCAGCCTCTGACGGATGTTGGTGATCTCCTGGTCAAGGTGGCTCGCAGTGAGTTGCAACGCCGGGTCACCGGTCCCGGCAAACAGATCTCTCATCTCCCGGTGGACACTGATGGCCGCGCGCAGCTCGGGATCCTGCTCCACAGAACGCCGCTCCGCATCGGTGAGATACCGTGGTCGCCGCACGTCGCGTAATCGATCCTGCCCGGTCAACGCCCGCTCCCACTCCCGGTCCGGGTCAAGTCCGCACATGACTTCCTGCAGGTTGGCGTGGCGCCGGATCCGATAGTGTTTGATGAATGTATTCATCGATGCATGGTTCATGATCACATTCATCTGCGCGCCACTGACGAATCCTGCACCTGGCACGTCAGCATCTCCCGTTGTAACTGGCACGGGGAACCTTTGGCTTACCGCTCTCGTCAAGCAACTTGCCTCCGCCGTACCGGAATTGGTGGGTGTAGAATGGGTTGAGCCATCCATGGATCTCGCTCATGGTCTTGAGATTCGAGCCCAGCGTCATGGGTGTGTCGCGCAGGACGCGAGCCTCTCCCTTCTCAATCACCACTTTGGGGAAGAGATGCCAGTTGTCCATCTCACGCTTCAGCGGCAGCTCGAGCTCCTGGCAGCCGGCTTGGGGAAGCAGCCGCCGCACGTCGTCCATCGTCCGGAGAGTCGGGTTCTCGAAGGCCTCGGCGTGGAAGAGGAAACCAAACAGGAAGACATGAGGGCTGAAGACAAGGGAGATCCCGTAGATGATCTCAGGCAGCATGAACGTGTTGCTGTTGTCCAGGTTATCACCCAGGCCAAATTGATCGCCAGCCGGCAGGCTACAGCACACGCTTGATGAGGATGGGGGTCGCACAACTTACAGCTTTTTCATTCCGAACTTCTCCTTGATGCAGGTTGGGGTGAAGTCGACCGTCGGTACCGGCGGGCCCCCATGAGGGTTTCGCTGAACAGACAGTTTGAGGTCCCTATACTGGATCGAGAGGACGGCATTTTTCCGGTTGACCGTGAAGAGGCCCAGCATGTTGTAGAAACCGAGCAGCAGGCGCTCCAAGCCCAGATGAAACCGTTTCTCCTGCGTCTTGAGGATGGTTTCGTTGAAGGGGACCATGTTCTCAATGTAGACAGGAACATTCTCACGCGGCTGTGTTCTGAGGCCGTACTTTTTAGTCAGGTATCGCATGCCCTGCCAATCAACACTCTGTCAGCCTTGGACCAGGGTGGCTGGGAGCATGCAAACCCACATTACGTATCTTCTTGCTCATCGCCTCGCTCATCGGCCGTTCGGCCACCTTCTTGTAGTAGCCCAGCAAGAACTTCCAGTCGGTGTTGAGGGTATCCCTCACCTTGACTCCCGGGAGTCGACGCCCATCCTTGCCACGTTTTAGCTTTCCCAAGATCCAATTGAAAAAGCGATATATATCTTGTGCTGAGGCCTGCCGGAGGGCTTCCTCTGCGCAGTTCCATTTAGGGTTGGCTGTTGGCTTTGCCTTGATCGCGCAGAACCTTCTCACGATTAGCGACAGGATACCACGCAGAAAACGCCAAGGGAGGCCGTCGGGGAGATATAGATATATGTATATATCCATCATCATTCTAAAGCTTACCGTCTCCAGCGGTTCTCGATACGATGCCGAAGGGCCTTCGTCCCGACAGAACCTCCAAAATCAGATGGAACGTCCGACAGGTTTTCATCGGTGTCATCTGAAGGATCGTCATAATTCGGCTGGCAGATAATACCGGAGCTGCTGGTCGTTTCGGTGCCAGAATCAAGGGGCGTTGACGACGCGAGGTTCACAGGACACCGGCGCCTCTGAGATGTCTTGCTGGGGGGAACGGGCTGATCGGATGGTTCAGTCAAGTCGGTCTCACACCCATCGTTGTCAGATCCACTCAGGCAAAACGATGCATCTGATATCCCATCATTGGAATCCTCTTTAACGTGGGCAACAGGACGGTGCCTCGGTCGCACCATAGCTGACGTCGGTTGCTGCGGCTGGGAGGCGTCACGGTATTGTTCCGCATTCAATGAGATGAGTGAGGTGAGAGCTGTGAATCAAGAGAGCGTTGCTGTACCGCGTTGGTGGCAGCAGCTGGTTCAACTTGAGGTTTTCAATCGTCAGCGGTTGATGGATGAGAATCAAGTCGTCCCCGTGGGGAGGACGGCCTTCTTGTAGCGGCAGGGCCATGACGCCGGAGGAGCATGGGATCAAGTAACTGGTGCTTCAAGCTGGTTGCGAGCCCGTTCTGACCATCGTTGACGGCCGAAATCGTGGCCCGCTGTTGTCATTCGCGCATGGCATACGAGTGACAGGCTGGTCAAGGGCCTCAGGCTGGTTGGTGCGTGGCCGTTGTGGTGGGGCGTGTGTGAGCGGAGGGGCTGCACCGAGGAGCCCGGAAACACGCTCTGCAACTGCCGCATTTGGGCGCGTCGGCGCAATTTGAAACTCTATAGGAGAATATTATTATCTTCTTTTACATAAATGACATAGTATTTTTATATCACAGAAAGAATGTTGGAACATTTGAGCAGTTATTGAAGAATCTATGAATGTGTTATGAGCTTCAAGAGATTGGAGAGCTAGAGTGGTTTCTAGATATTCATGTCTTATGTGATAGAGATGCTCAGAAGCTTTGGCTGTGCCAGAATAGTTATATTGAGAAGATTGCTAATAAGTTCAATCTTACAGAGTTGAAGCCATCATGTACATCAATGGTAACTGCAGATATAGCTCCTTATATGGGGATGCAAGATAAGTAATGAATACATGCCTACCAACAGAAGATTGATTTGGCTCTCTACACTGCTATTGTAACATGGTCTGATATTTTGTTTGCTACTGCAAAATTAAGTGAGGCTTTGATTAACCCAGAACCAGAACATCATACAGCAATTGAGAGAGTTATCTCATATGCTTTTTCAATGAAGTATTATGCTCTTGAATTCCATGCTGAGAGGGAGTTGAATACCCAGAGTGATAATAACAACACCATAAACATTCATTTAATAATCATCAGTGATTCTTCTTTTGCAGACAATTTGAGCTCTAGATGCTTCTCTCAGAGCTTCATATTCAAGCTCTTTGAAGACTTGATTGATTGAAAATTCTTCAGGCAAAAGACCATTACAATGTCTTCAATGGAAGCTGAGCTTTTAGCACTATTCTATATGGCAAAAGAGACCATGTGGTGGAAATGCTTATTTAAGGATATTATGTTGAAATTAGGAAGAGATTTTGATATTTTATGTGATAATTTGCAAACAATATGGTTACTGATTTCAGCAGCTCCACAACTAATTATCAAGCTCCATCACATTGATATTCATCACCACTGGTTATGGCAGGTAGTTACTAATAAGGAATTGAATATTATCTGGATTGAAAGTGATAATATGCCTGCAGATGGCTTAACAAAGGCCTTACCTAGGCAGAAATTTGAAAAATTCATGAAGCAATTGAGGCTTGTGGATATTGATTATTTGGTAGGGGGTTCACTGCCTACACCACTGCCAAAGCTACAGGGGTGTGTTGAGCAGGAGTCAGGTGACTTGTCAGGTGACCAGATCTCTGAAGGAGGAACTGGAGAACTGTAGGTTTGCCACCTCCTCTTCTCAACCATGGTACTGATTTCATTATCTTTGACTATTGGACTGGCAGAGGTTTGCTAGGGGTTTTTCATATGTTTTTCCTGTAGCCTTGGTTATAGCATGTTTGTCTATAAGTATCCTTGTCTTGTTTGTTAGGAGCAGACCTAGACGCAATATTATAGACGCTCAGTCACATGATCATCACGTGCTCCTGTGTCGTCCGATACTTAGAGAATTGTGAGGCAAGCACTTATGAGCAAAGAGCTGAGCTGTGAATGAAGTGAGTGAACTTTGCTCGTAACTATCACCACTAGTTATTCAAATCAACCAACACAATGTATCTAATAACTAATTTGCTACCAGGAGTGTGTGATGATGCGTTCTCATCCTCAATCTGTTTGACTAACTAATTAACTGCAGCCACGAACATGCTCTGCCCAACCTCAAGCGGTCCACCCCGGCAAATCAACCAGGCTTACCCTACCTGTCAAGGCTACGAAGGAAGCAGACCCTGACTAAAATAACGATGATGATGCGGCTCTCTGAATCCAAAGCTTGAGTACAGGGTCATACTATGATACAACTCAAGTCCTGGAGCAACACTACACCATTTGAATTTCAACGCTGCCGACGAGCTATGGTTGCAGAGCAGTTATCCACTATAATTGTGACCGGTAGTAATACAAACGATATGCCTCGGTTCCGCCTGGTGTGGCATTGTGATCCACTCAACGTTCAGGGGGAAGTAAGTGTTGATCAGACATCGAATTGAGCAGCCTCGCCCAACGCGAACGATTTAACCTAACAAACCTACTTCTTGCCCTACGCAACAGATTGCCCAAGTGCAGACACCTAGCACTCTACCACTGGGTATCGGAAGATAAGAAAACTCGGATACGGGCATCTTGTCAGGTTTGGAAGGCCTTCAACACTGATGCCGGAGCGGGAGTTTCTAGCAATAAACTACTTATCCAAAAATCTTGACGGACCGAAGAGTTGGTGTGTACTACAGCGAGATGTTCAAGCACTTTGTCCTTGTCACGTCAGGATAATAATAATAACTAGGTACGGAGCAGTTAACTAGTTATGTACTCTGTATGTAACTGCGTAGTCTGTATGGTAACTGCCCTCACTCAAAACAAAGCGATCCTTCATACTGAATAGCTACAGAGTTCTCTGTCTCTGACCCAAATAACCTTCCCTTTCCTCTGGAGCTATCATGTTTTCCACTAGTAGCTTTCACTGCCCAACACAAGTCTTTCACACACCTCCAGACTTAAAAAATCTCCCACTCAATCATGGGCAGCAGCAGTGCAGTGACGATCCACCGCCTTCTTCACCTCACAATACACCGCAACCACCCACTCTTCCGCAAATATCTAATGATTCAAACCAAGAAAATACCGAAGAGACTACTTTCTTAGGTCATGTCCTAGCAGGCAGTTCAGTTATCAATGCGAGAGGGAATGGAAACTACTTATTGAACAAACTGAAAGAAGATTTGAACGGCGTAAGGAAACATTGCCTAATGACCGCACAGTCGATCCTATAAATGCTCGAGAAAATAATTAAGAATCGTTGGACAGAGCAAGGTATTTGGAATGATAAATGAACTGTCAGGACGCTCGGGGCTCAATGGAAATATGAAGAGCCTCGACAACCAGAACCAAGTACAGAGTCAAAGTCAGAACCAGATTCGCCTTTTTATCTTGGCAAATCACTACGTGAACCGAAAAAAAGGAAACAAAAGCCACCGAAATCTGTCAGTGAGAAACAACGAGCGGCTCATGAACGTGACACTGCTGCCTCTCAACCTTACTATCTTCTTGCCCAAGTATCTCTCGAACGTGAATGGATTGTTGATGACTTAAGTGGAGTGGTTGATATTGATACCCAGACCCATATAAACGTCAAGAATAGATGGGTCGAGCAAGGAATATGGAACTCTAGCTGGACGGATGTTCCTGGCTTGAAATGGATGCACGAGGACGAACGTGAAGATTCGAATTCCCTTGTCGCTAACAGCTGATGGCCCATCTAACACCTCTGAAAATGTTTTACAATCTTCTTCATTCGCTATTAGACACAGCAATGAGAGAACGCCAATAATTAACCAAAATCGAAGGGAGAGGAGTGCATCCTCCCCGGTACGTATATCAGAAAACTCTTGCAGAATTCGGACCCGACCTACAACGACTAATACAACCGCACGATTCTTGAATAAGCCTTCTCGGGAGGTTCGAGATGTCATCAATGATCAGACTCTGCGAGTAAGAGGTTCGTCAAAAATCAAAAAATGCTACTTCTCAAAACAGTAATGTTCCTCAGACGCGTCCTTCGAATAAAACGGGGTTGGCTAGTGCAGTTCACGGGTCTCTTGAAATGGAACACCTGGTCCTCTCCACACCATAACAGAAGCAAACAATAAGATTAGCTACCCCTCCGCCATCCTTACGCCGAAGTGTGAGGATCAAGGCATTAGAGGAAGCCCAGAAAAAATTCAGCACCTACTGCTACTAAGGGGGGATCTCGTGTAGCAAACCTCAACAAAATGAACTGACCTGACAGATGAAAAATACAATGGCTGTAAATTCTCACAAGCTGCAAGAGGCCAGAAAAATTCAATCAAATTACAAATCGACGAAGCCCTCGAGCTCCCAGCGGAGACCTGAATCTAGCCGGAAAAGTATGGCCAGAGCAGGGAGAAAATGATTATGAAATACTTATTTATTTATATTTGGCGCCTGTTACAAGTTGAAAAATTTCTAATATCAATTTCTTCATGACAATTTCTCCCTATTCTATAGATAGTATAAAGCTTATCTTGGGCAAAGTTATTTGAAACTACCATAGACAAACACATATAATATAAGATTTTTCTTTTCCTAGAACAACTGGAGAATATAGGTAAACTAAATTATTTACTTTAAAATCTGATGCTAGGCATTTAGAGCAAGTTTGTTAGAATGCGCAGACGCTAGTGAAATATATTATTGTGTGTATGTAGTGGTGTAGTATGCCCGTCCACATATCTACACGATGCGTTCTACTTCGGATAACCACCGCAGTTTGTGACCCTGAGCACCCTGAGCTCTGTTCTCGACTAAGTCAGCTGTGTTTTGGAGCTCGATCAGGAGTTTTCAATGTGAAGGGTAGAGGCACCAAGTACCGAATGACTGGACTAAACACATAGTTAACTAAGTAGCATTTACTGAGGTCAAATAAGAGTAGGCAGCCATTTCTGATTCTCCGGTACACGTAACTAAGCTAGGAGGCACCCTATTCACTACGTAATAGCATGAGAATTAGGTAATAACACGGTGGATTATCATAAAAAGCACTGTTGAAGTGCTAGAGAAAGTAGGCTAAGTTAACCAAAAAAAGGGTTATGCAACATATCCAATATCAAAGTGTTATCTTATTCTCATCATGAACACTGGAAATTAATGAAATAAGCAACGAAAGGTAAAACATACTAACCCAGATGACAACAGGTCGTCAAGAAAGCATAGAGCAAAGGTAAAAAGGGGGGGAGGGTAGAAAAGGAAATGAGAAAAAGAAAAAGAAAACGCCCTAACTAGGGAGAGGAGGTGTTCTGCTGTGTAGACTGTCAGCTCTGTGACCGAATTCAATTTCCCGCCTTACAAGGCCTACAACTAGTTAAGTTTTAGTCCAACTCATGGCATTCGCAGAACGCTTTCTGATTTTGCTAGACTTTTTGGCTCGCTTTCGAAAGCTAGACTCTTGAGTGCCTGGTTTTCTGACCCTAGATAAATCTCTTCGTCGTCTCTTTCGCTCCGCTGCAACTACCCCTGTATTCACTTCCAAACGGGTAGAATTGAGTAATGGCCTCGGCTGACTATGCGTGTCAATTACACTCGGAACCTCGCTAGAGTTGACAAGCGCATTAAGAGTGGACCCAGGAGGAGGGCCGTCACCAATCTGGCTGCGCGGCGTGGTAAGGCCTACCCCACTGTAAAGTTTGAGTAACATCTGGGCCGCAGAAGCACGTTTAGTGGGATCAACGATTGCCATATCTTTGATTCTTTCCAAAGGCCAAGTATCTGCTGCTTTCACAGCTGCTAAGATTATTTTATCATCAGAGGGTAGCTGCGAGTTTCGATACCCATTAACATTCAGTGTGAATGCTATGGTAACAAAAAGGGACCAAACATCAACCTTTGGGGTCTGTTTGATACTCCGGTTTTGTAGAACCTCTGGAGCCATATAGAAGGGTGAGCCAGCAAATGACGTAGCGTCAGAAACAAAGTTGCATAATCCGAAGTCGGTTAGCTGGAACAAGTACTTGTTTTCGCGAAACGTGTAAAGAATATTTGCGGGTTTGACATCTCGATGAATAAGGGAGTTGTAGGCCAGATAATCAAGGGCTTGAAGTATTTGAGGAAGAAGGGTATCAGTGACAATTTTGACAGAGGCATTGGATTGGAAGATGTTTTGGCTTATTAATCCGTCCAAGTTTCCATCTTTAAGTGCTGTGCATATTTCCATATGACCATCGACAATTTGATGGTGGATGTATTCCACAATATGAGGCTGTTGATATTAGCTAATATTTATGGAGAGGAAAGGAGAAAGAGCTGACTGACATGGAAAGCCTTTGCAAGCGCTTCTATTTCCCTTTTAATATAGATCCATTGGTTGTCTGTAGGGCAAGTTGTAGGGGTTTTAATGGCTTTGACCGCTATGAATCCCCCGGAACGGAGGTCTATTGCCTTCCAAACCTTTCCAAACTTTCCTTCTCCCAGGACGACGTTTTTAGAATACTTAAGTGCCGGCTCATCTTTTTTGGGCGTGTGAATTCGGGTGAGACGGTACGATAGAGCATCGGTGGGTTCATCCGCCGTTCGAGCTAGACGTAAATTTTGTAGTCGTCCTCCGACGTTTTCTTCTGTACTCATGCTAGATTTATGCCACATCAACTTAAACCTGTACAAATCACATCTGACGCCACCAAAACCAAGTATGGCCTTCATACTTGCTGTCAACACGACTCGACGAGAACGCTCGGGCGCAAACTGTAATGTATTCTCACCGGAAATCTGCGTGGTCATTGAATGTGACCGATCGTAAAGCAGAATAACGCCAGATTCATTATGGACCTCAAAGGAGCATTGAATTCGCGATATGCTAGAGCCATCAACCGTGATGTCGGCACCGCTGCGTCCAAGCGTTGCTAGAGTACAGTATGAGGATGATTCAATATGGAAGCCAATATCAATTCCATGTAACTGTTCGCCGCTGTCCAAAGTGAAGGTTGAGACAAGATGACTATTATCCGGGTGTTGTAGAACGGCATGAGCCCTGTCCCCCAGAGGCACAAGTGAGAACAGGGCCTGAGGGTGACAAGGTCGCGGCATTAGTGGTATGACGGGATATGCCAATGAATGCTGTTTTAAAAGAAGAATAGAGAAGAATGGAGAAGGTTTGACGGGTAAGATGAAAAGTCTCAGGATGAAAACGGTGATTTATACTCAAATTAGCCAAAAATTTGTAGTTCTATTCTGGAATAGAAGTTCCCTAGCGCCGCTTCATTGTTCATTCATCGTTTTGGAGATGGCTGAACGGGCGGAAGCCGTTGGCTAACGAGAGCAGGCGGAATGGTTGGGCCTCAATGGTACCAATTCCATAGTTTCAAGCTGAGCGCTTATTGATGTTTTCCCCTTGACACATCTTTGTGGCGGTCGAATAACCACTCGAGTTCTAGGCCAACGCATCAGAGGAGGCTATACAGCGGGGTCTCTGATCGCTGGCAGCCGACCTATGCATATGCACGCATCCATGGGCATTGCCGGGGGTTGCTTCAGATTCCGGGCGTCGAGGCTGCTAAAAGTCTGTTAGCCGCCAGGCATCCAGATTGAGGTAACTGTTTTTCTCCACTATTACCCATAAAACACATAACTATACAGCGTAATGAACCTGAGAAATGAGCACATTTGGGGCGAGTTTCATCCATAGCCTGAGGCGCATCGTGGCCTTGATTGATTCGTGGACACCGGACGGAATTTGTTGTGGTGGTTGTAGTTAGTGTTGTCTCTCATCGCGATGGCAGGGGTCATCATTGGCCCATTTGTGCCTAACATGTTAACAACTGCATAAATACTCCATACCTTACTCTGTTCAGCCGACTCACTCACAACGCAACTAGTGGTGTACGGCATGTTTCTCTGTTCTGACAATCTTAGAGCATAGACTGTGACATTTCAGTAACTCTTCTTGTAACTCTTTTTTTCATGCCTCATGGCTTTCGTTCCTGATGATCAACCGTCAAACTTGACCCAGATCATTTCTGCCCTCCAAGAAGTACAAAACAATGCTGGACATCTTGACCATGAGCATCATCGATACAGCGACTCCCCTCCGCCATATTCGCCAGGGGAGACCATACAGATATACATTCCCCAGCTTCCTGTCTCACGCGAAGTAATCGAATGGCAGCGTCAGGCAGACCTTGACAGCTCACGCCCACGTGAGCAGTTCCTCTCAGAGTGTGTAAGAGAGTGTAAGCTACTAGTGGACCAGATTGAAAGGGACGATGAAAGGCGCAAACTGACACTGCCGTTTGATCGCCAATTGGATGTTGATGAAAATGCCAGGAACAACGTTATGAATCGTTGGGTGAAGCAAGGCATCTGGAAGGAAGGGTGGAATTGTTACAATTTTGGTTCAAGGTGGCAACATGAAGAATCTCCTGAACCAGAGCCGGAAACCGAATCTGAGTCGGAGCCGGAACCTCAGGCTACACCGGCAGCCTTTAGTTTTTTTGGCACACGGGCGCCGCCGGAAGCCCCTACTCTTTTTGAAGTACCTAGACCGAACAAACAAAAACGGTTCAAACCTATCACTGAGCAGCAGCGAGCTGACCATGACCGTGCAACTGCTGCATCTCGCCCATACCACAGGTTTCTTGCCCAAATAGCTTTTGAACAGGAATGGCTAAAGGATGAGATGACCAATTTCGGCCACCACCTTGAAAGAGTGGCTTATAAGAGAGCCAAGGATATTTGGATTAAACAAAAGATTTGGAACCCAAATTGGGATGATATGCCCGGGCCAAAATGGATGCATGAAGAGCCAGAAGAGGAAGATTCAGATGATGTATCTTCAGATGAACCATCTTCCACCACCCCCGGTCATTACCACGCTAATATTATCGATTTTGGGGCAGAGCAAAACCGCACAGATGGAGGAACGCCTCCCCCGCCTTCTGTAGTGGCCAGAACTAGCGCACAGTCCTCCGACTCCACGCCCCAGGGATGTGTTTCTATTCTCCAAGCCCAAAACAATCATGACCAGGAAGCCGCTAACCCCTCCTTACCCGGACTGAATACAGTAACGGACGAACGCAGACCTCATGTAAGGTTTGAAAGCAGGATACCTACGCGATCAAATAATTCAACATCATTACGTTCACGGACAGGCGTTGATTCGAACCACCGAGTTCTTCGATCAAACCGTGTATCCAAAGTTAGCAAGAGTACCAGACAGGGCCGTCAAAGCATCCGCGCCCAAGCACGTGGGTCCACTACGAATGGACTGGCTGACACCCTTGGGCATGCGGAGAGCAGCTCCAAAAACGCTGATCAGCCTCATAATACTCCATATCACCCTCCCTCGTCACAGTATCAAGACAACTCAAAATCAAATACAAGCCCATCTGTACGCCGAAGTGCAAGAATAAAAGAGCGGGTAGGAACAAGTAAATGTACAAGATATGATGCTGCTCCTACTACCCTTCGAAGAAGCCCTCGCAACACTAAGCCACAGCCAAATACTCGGAGTAGACGGGAGACCAATCAAATAGCTACACAAACGCGAGCACCACGAGTCACAAAGAACCGTTCCAGAAAGAAGACGGGAAAACCTGGTTTAATTCTGGCTGAGCCCAAATCCCGTCAGAAACCCAAGACGAGATAATTACACTTTTTTTTTTACTTTTAATGATTTAGGCATAATTTAGAATTTCAAATCTTCCAACCCTGATTTGAGAGCCGCTTTGTTATGCCTTTTCTTGAATTTTAAAAGCAGTAGGTTGGGATGCAGAATGGTTAAAAAATCCGTAGGTATTGGGTGGCGGAAGTAACCATCTGTTAACTAACACCGGTATGGGCGCCTAGTTTTCTTTCTGTATGGAGTACGGAGAATGGGGTATAGGCATTATCAAATCTTAGATTCCGAGGTTTAGGGCTGATCTCACTTGGAAGCATATGACATCCGGAGCCACTGATATATTCGAGACTATTTATTAGATCCATTGAATAAACATTTCAATCCCAGTAATAATTTGCTCAATACTCGAAGCGGTGAAAGTATTTGAAGACATGGGCAGTCAAGGCCCAGCGGCTCATACGGGTAAGCTTTCTAGATGAATGGTAACTGCGGGAAGCTAAAATCTTGAAATGTGAATCCCGTACTCGTTTCAAATGACTATGGACACAGTCTCCAACCGTCCAACTGGCTGACCTTGGCTGTGATAAGTCTCCAAAGTTCACTACTCCAAACTCCCAGATGATCATTCTTAACTAGGGCCTTAGGCGTAAGGCAATGGTTATTTGTATCGTGCTCACTGGCTGACAGTATGATCCTCACGTTCTGACTTCGCTTCTTCCCAACCAGGGCCCATTGGGGCGATTAGCATAAAGATACTCTGTACTCCGTATAGGTTTCTTTTAACCTATTTGGACTGCGACACTTAAGAAAAAGAAAGTTTTTCTTTTCGTCCTCCTAAGCGCGTGTTAAGTGACATAGGACAAACTCGAGGCGATGCCTGCCCTGGAATTTCTGACAGCCTGGGTGGTTGGTCGTGGCAGGGGGCGGTTTCACGCCTCAGGCGTGGTTATTTTGAGGCTGGCCTCCAAAAAAAGCCTGTTAGGCGCCGGGCGTCCAGATCGAGAGGGGCATTCTCCACTATTGAAGATGGGACAATTGTATTCAATCAGGGAGATGAAGCAACACGGCGCAAGTACTCCAGACGGAGTAGTTGGGGGCCAGTCTCATTCACAATCGAGGCGCAATCACGAGCTTGGGTGGTTGGTCCACTGGTTGGGTTGGGCTGCGGGCATCACATGGCTTGTGCATTGAGTGGCATGGATCGCTACGGAGTACTAGTTACTCCCTGTCCAGATTATTGGTGATACCATCAACCACACACCGTTCCGGGTCATGTTCACGCTAGACGCGGACGGAATTCTCGGAGGGCAATTCGTGTCAAGATACTCCGTATGCCAGCATATCTGTCGCGCTGCCATAGCTTGCTGGAGCACAGCATGGCTGGGAGCGACTCTTCTCTTTCGAGCCGCATCGCCTTTTTTCTCAATAGTGCTCGGCACGGCCCTCGCCCCCAGGTCGCATGATTCCCCGGTAACAACCCAGAAGGTGAGCTACAGGTGCACAGCACCTCTCCACCGCCCTACTCTTTAGTTAAAGGAAATGACACAACCGCCAACACCTCTGCATGTTGTCCCTAATAAATTTACCCAACGGCAGAGAAGAGAAGCCGGCAATCGCTCATATCTACAAGCAATTTCGCTTCCAATATCTGAGAGAACATCAACTGCCCAAGCGGCAGATTACAAGAGGGTTCCAACGACGGAAAGAAACACTGCCATTCACTGATGAGCTTGATCTAACAAAGAATGCCGAAACGAATGTTAGAAATTGTTGGATAAAGCTAGGGATACGGAAAAACCCATGAGATTCTTACAACCCCGGGCTAAGATGGTAGCATGAAAAATCTCCTGAACCCGAACCAGAAATTGAGTCAGGGCTTGAACCTGGGACTTTTGGAATGTCTAGACCAAAGATGGAGAAAAGCTTTAAACCGGTCCCTGAAGAGCAACGTGTTATCCACGAACGTGACACTGCTGCCTTGCCCCTGCTATCAACTTTTTGCCCAGTTATCGCCCAGTCATCCTTTAAGAAGGGTTGGATGCAAGTTGAAATGATAAATTGGGGGGTCACCCTGAAATCGAGGCATACCGTAAAATCAGAGATGTTTGGGTCGCGCAAAATATCTGGAACTCTAAGCTGTCCGCATTCCCTGGAATGAGATGGATGCATGAGGAGCCAGATAAGGGCGAATCGGGAAATTCCAATACATTTCCATCATCTTCTAATCCCGAGGGATTACCCCCAAGAGCTGCTGGAGTAAATCTGAAGTTGAGAGTAGGGACTAGGTCACTGCTGCGCAGAGGCCCTAGAATCAATGGACGAAGAGCGACAAATAGATGTCCAAAATATACCGCTGCCTCTTCTATGTTCGAAGAAGTCCACGCAATTGGACGTCACAACTCAATCGAACTATAGAGTGGCTTGTAAACCACGAGGATTAGCAAAGAAACGTTTTAGTAGAAAGTCTGTTTTAAAACTAAATGAACCTCAATCTGATCAGAAACGTAGGATGAGGCCTAGGAAAATGCGGACGCGAAAACCTCATGGGCTCATCATGTTACCCGATTTGAATCTAACACTTGCCTCAAGCAACTTTGGCTCTCTATGGTCTTATTCCTACATAGCTGCATCGTAGACATTCTTGTTAAGGCAATTCATATGTAATCGACAAATGTAAATCACAATGCAAAGTTTTCTCTATCAAGGTCGAGAATAGCCAAAATTCTAGATTGACTAGATGGCGAGTTCGGGGTTTGAAACTTAGGACAGAGGGCATCCACTCTGTGAATATCCAGCCAAAAACTCCATTTATACATGCAAAGTGCAAATCAATAAAAACGTCCCGGACGTGGAGCGGGAACAGATATCCCCCAAAAAATGCCGGAAAGAAAAAGGAACCCCCATAACCTAGTCGCCCAGTTCCCTACAAATTCCGAAATAGACGAAAAAGGGTAATATACTCCACAAGTAATTCATATGTCGAATTAATTCGGAGATTCATATGCTGCATCACACTGTGATTGGTGATGGCAATCAAAGGTCGTTAAGCTTCGTATTCCATTTCACATTGCAGCCATGTATTCAGCCAGACGGGTCGCGTAAAATGGTTGTAAGAGGAGAGGTGAGGAAAGAGCATCCGGTCTCACGTGGCCCTTGTTTTTGGACTGACATCCTGAGGTTCAGGGTGTTCACTACCTTTACGGGCGGTGCCGTTTTCGTCGCTCTCCTCGGCTAAATCTTCCAATCCAAATGCGCCGGCTTCAACATCGTAGGACCGCATCAAACCTTCCCGGTCACCCGACCCGTGGAAGTAGGTGATGCTTGAGGAGCTTCGCCTGTGATCCATACTTCTTCGGCTCTGTAAGGATCGCCGGGTTTGAATGCTAGCAATCCCATCGGTGGGCACGCCTCCCTCGTCATCAGGTTTTGCGTTGAGCATTGTGTGCCCATCAGGATCGGTGCGTGACAAGTTCAGTAAATAAACTCCGGCAAAAATTATAAGAAAACCGCATAGGAGTGAAATGGTGTTGACGCTATCAGTAGTGTTGAATCCATGGAATAGGATGAACGACGCACAAAGGGTAGCTGTTGTAAAGGTAACGTAATATAAGGGGTTGACACTATATATGTCGTCAGTAGGCAATATATACCAGGAAAGGTTATGTAGACATACATTGAGGTAGAGAATTGGCTTAAGGCTTTGTTGAAATAATTCATCTGGGTGAGGATGCAACAAACAACCACGATGACAAATACGTATGTTGATGGGTGCGAAAATTGATTGTTTCCAGCCAGAGTAAGTTTCAAGGCAATACCAAATGCCTTAACGGACATAACAGATACCGATCCAACGGTCGAGCAGATGGATATGTATATCATAGGGTTCTTTTTACCATATACCGGGGCCACCCGGTAAATCATCACAGTCGAAAAAATCGCAACCGCAAGACAATATAATAAGAAACCTGGGCATTCGAAAATTAGCATGCACAAAGGCTGAAATATAGCTAACACTAACCAGGTTGAAGTGCATAGCCCAGGATTTGCTCAATAGTCTCTATCTCTTCATCGGGTGGCGCATGTAGAACAATAATAACAGATCCAAGAAGCGACAAAGCACAGCCAAGTTTACCCAGAACCCCTAGCCGCTCGTGTAAGAAGTACGACCCTAGAACAGCACTGTACAAAATTAACACGCAGTAACTTGCGTTATTTTAACAACTCACGACTCACCCAATTAAGACGCTCAGAGCCCCCAAGGGCGTAACAAGAATGGCGGGTGCAAATGCATAGGCCGCAAAATTAGCAACCTCACCAACAATTACTGTTCATCTCAAGTAAGTACTTGCTTGTGGATAGGGCGGTTCAGGTTCGTACGCGTAATTATGCCGCCCCACCATATTGGGCTTCTTAAATAGGAAAACCCTTCGCCTTCGAATCCGTGCCTTTCAGAAGCTTCCATCAAGCCCTAGGGTATATTAGAATGCGCGACGCAGGGACACGGCCAGGCGAAGAATAACCAACCTTTTTCGTAATGACAAAACTGGTGCCTATGGAGCAGTCAGAAATCAGCGCGAAGTTCTTTCGTTTATTTTAGTGAACGTACCAATCGCCATGGTTGAAAGGACGGCCAGAGCTAGGCCTATATACCTAGATACCAGGTTAGGGCTCGTTCACCGAAATGTCAGTCCAGGTGTAATCATACTTGTCGGATACCATTGCGACAAAATTCTAGCCTTCCACCCCACGATGTTGGAAGTATTAAGTATGCGTCGCAACCCGTAAGAGATGCCTGGGGTACGGGTATAACTATCGCAAGGGCATCGATAGCAAAATTCCTGGGCAGAAATCGATCCAGCAATCCGTGTCGCAGGAGGGGTGCGAGGTAGGGCGGAGGAGGTAGTTCGTGTGAGTAATAGATAATAATACAGACAGTCCGAAACGAGCGACAAGTTGTGAGGCAGAGAAAATACTAAAAGGCGGCGACTTGGTAGAGGTTCAGATGGGTTGAGTTGAAGTGCAAAGGATGGGTGAGTGAAGAGGCGGAGCCGACAGAATAGTTAGGTGGTCCAGGCTGGACTGCAGCAGGTACAGCCATAGAACGAGGTGCTGTATGGGTGGGGAGATATGGCGATCAAAGTATGATGTTCAGGCCCCTGCACAATCAAGTCAGACGCTTGTTGCAGCGCTCAAGGCTTCGTGCACCACAGATCCTAGGAGTGGTCGAGGGCTCTGTCACTTCAGGCCAGATGGGCGGATGTTTCAGGGCGGCACTAGCGCCGGCTGGGGTTCGTCTGCAGCCGCGCGTCAGTGCAACGCCAGTCGTGCCGCCACGCTGCTGACATAATCTCGGCTAATTAGCCGCCAGGAGGTTAATAAACGCGTGGCAAAAATGCAGATTTCTTATTAAGGATATTCCATGAGACGTGGTGCACACGTCTCGCCTCGCTATCAGATATATATATACATCGCGTGTTTCCCCCATATTTAAAAATGATGACTTCAATCTAGGTGGCTCCTCCAAAATTCCTTTGGAAGAGGCTGGCGTTTATGAATAGCGATAAAAATAGAGCCCTGGAAACCATGCCCACCCCGCAACCTAAGACTAAAGCTCCTTCTTTATTGCTGGTGGGAGAAGCATATAGGCCACTAGCCTCTCGCAATAGTCGACGCCATCAAGCTACGATAGAGCCATGCATCTGTTAGTTTTATGCAACACTACCTGAGTGTTGGGACTTACATTCATTTCGCAACAACGAGGAACAGAACCGCTTTTGCAGTATCCTCGACTCGGAGCCTCTTGACCTGTAATATTTAGTTATTTCTCATTTACATTTTGATCTTTGTTGAAAACATACATTTTGTCCCGACCACAAGATCTGGGTTCACATCGTCATAATACTTCTCACAGCAATGGGGCGAGCGCTTCCCTGGGCACACCCAAATAGCATCAGAAAGCCGAAAGAGTATGGCTGCTGCAAGGATTGCAAAAAGAAGTTCCGCTTGGAAAAGTAGAAATGGATGCATTTTTACTAAATTAATGAATAAATAGACTCTTTGCCTTAAGAAGCACAGGGTTTGTTGACTCGAGGCGTTGCAGCTACCAACGACTGAATTGGGGCGGCCGACGACATGGCGACGATTGCGACAGAACCGGGCCTCAAGAAGTGGCTGGTGCGTTGTTGGAGGAAAGTGGCACTGATCAGAGGAAGCTGCGTGTCATTGCTGTTTGATGGAGCAACTCGATGTGCCTGATATCCTATGGATATTATTAGAAGGGGAACCGCATTTGTCTCCCCCACGCCAGGCCTATACGCATAGCTTGTTGTAACATCAACAACCGTCCCAACCGGCAATATTGTGCCATCATCATCTGTCTCCAACGACACCCATGAATGTCTCTATACATGGCTTGGTATCATGATTGGTCCAATACTGGCCCGGGATTGCCGAAGTGGCTACTTTTGCATCTGCAACTTCCTTTTGCTAGCCAGCCGTGTTTGTGATTTCCCGTCTGGCATGCTGCCTGCCGTGTGATGTCCTCCGTGGCCGCTGTCTTGCCTTGTGTGACCGACATGGGCTGCCGCTTCCCTCCCCAACGTAAACAACCACATATTCGCCGCTTCACTCCCTTTTATCTTTTCTTCTGTTCATTTCGGCCTTGATAACCAGAATGGCTCCTTTTCTTCGGCTCTTACTCGGCGTGTCTTGCTGTCTTGTCACCATCGTCTCGGCAATCTCGGACGTTAGTTCTGACACTCAGACTAGCTGTGCGGGCTACCGAGTTGTCAATGCTCATGACTCCGGCTCAATTCTCAGCTTAGACTTGCAGCTTGCTGGTCCACCGTGCGGGAAGCATGGCGAGGATTCTGAAAATCTTAGTCTCCGCGTGGAGTATCAAACCGGTATGCAATTCTGCAGAGCTAACACCAATGCTGTGCTAACATCTCCTTCCAAGAAAATCGTCTCCATGTCATGATACATGATTCCGAAAAGGACAGGTACCAAGTTCCAGACTCAGTCCTTCCACGTCCAGGTTCGAGACCTGGCTACAACAATACCAACTCCGCGCTGCGGTTCTCATACAACAGCGACCCGTTTTCGTTTGCCATTAAAAGAAAGGCCAGTCGTGAAGTTCTCTTTAATACCGATGGATATGATCTTATCTTTCAGCGCAAGTACATCCGTCTCCAAACGTCACTTCCCAATAATCCGTATTTGTACGGACTTGGCGAGCATAGTGATTCATTCCGTTTGAATACAACAAAATACTCAAGGACATTGTGGAATCGAGATGCGTTCGGCTTACCTAGCGGTACCAATCTATATGGCTCCCACCCTGTGTATTTTGAGCATAGGGCCAATAGTGGAACCCATGGCGTTTTCTTGCTTAATTCGAACGGAATGGATATAAACATTGATAAGACGGAAGACGGAAAGCAGTACCTGCAGTATAACGTCATTGGTGGTATAATTGATCTCTACTTTCTGGCCGGTTCCTCTCCAGAGAAGGTAGCGTCGCAGTATGGCGAGGTCGTTGGTATGCCTGCAATGATGCCATACTGGGCGTTAGGTGTAAGTTTTACATATTGTCTCTCGATGCAAAATGGGTTACCAAGAGACTGCTGACAATTGTAGTTCCATCAATGTCGTTATGGGTATAGAGATGCCTTCGAGGTCGCTGAAGTTGTTTATAACTACAGCCAGGCAAGGATTCCACTAGAGACAATGTGGACCGATATTGACTATATGGACCGGCGGAGAGTGTTCACACTTGACCCTGAAAGATTCTCGCTGAAAAAAATGCGTGTGTTAGTAAATCATCTCCACGAAAGCAACCAACGATACATCGTTATGGTGGACCCAGCAATCAGCTATTCCGATAATGGTGCCTTTAAGAGGGGCTCAGACAAAGATATATTTCTAAAATCAAGTAATGGGACTATCTACAAAGGTAACTTACCAAAGAAGACTTCATCATATGCAAAATCTAATGAGAGTAGGGGTCGTATGGCCTGGCGTAGCCGCCTATCCAGACTGGTTCCATCCTCGCTCCCAAAAGTACTGGAATGGCGAAATTGATCTATTTTTTGACGCTGATATTGGAGTCAATGTTGATGGCCTATGGATTGATATGAACGAAGCTGCCAATTTCTGCGATTGGCCCTGCGATGACCCAGAAGGCTGGGCTAGAAGGAATAACATCCCTCCCGAGCCACCTGAAGTTCGGCCCAATCCCAGGCCGCTTCCTAGTTTCCCACCAGTATTTCAACCGCCGCCTTCAGTGCCTGTTGCGTCTAAGAATCAAAAAAGGCCGAGCCCTTCCGTTCTTCGCTCCTTCGGTTCAGAATATGAAATTTACAATGCAGCTGGAGCCTTAAGCAACAAAACTATATCTACCGATGTGATCCATGCAAACGGAGTGACGGAGTACGATGCGCATAATCTTTATGGAACTAGTAAGTCATTTTTGCGCCAATTAGTTGTCTAAAAATTCAGACTAACAATTAATCTATAGTGATGAGCACCGCCACTCGTAGGGCGCTCCTTCATCGACAGCCAACAAAACGACCATTCATTGTCACCAGAAGCACGTTTGCTGGAGCTGGAGCGCACGTTGCCCATTGGTAAGCCTGCCTTGTGTTCTTATGTTCTTTGTCTAACATTTTTGGTGTTAGGTTTGGCGACAATCTAAGTACCTGGGATCATTATCGTTTATCGATTGCTCAGATGCTTGCATTTGCATCAATATTTCAAATGCCTATGGTCGGTTCCGATATTTGCGGGTTTGCAGGAACCGCAAGTGAGCAACTGTGTGCTAGGTGGGCAATGCTTGGCGCCTTTAATCCTTTTTTTCGAAATCACAACGATATCTCGAGCCCTGGCCAGGAGTTTTATCTTTGGGACTCTGTCGCTGAAGCAGCACGAAAGGCTATCGATATCAGATATAAGCTCCTCGATTATTTATATACTGCCCTTCATCGCCAGAGTGAGACAGGAAAGCCAGTCCTCAACCCTCTTTTCTATCTGTATCCCAAGGATGAAAAAACATTCTCTATCGATTTACAATTTTTCTATGGCGACGCCATTCTTGTCAGCCCAGTAACGAAGGAAAACTCCACGAGCGTCGACATATACCTCCCCGATGACATATTCTATGATTATTATACTGGAGCCCTCGTTCGCGGCGAAGGCGAATACTTAAAGCTCTCCAACATTTCTACTTCTTCCATACCTCTACATATTCGTGGTGGAACTATCATTCCTATGCGCTCGAAGAGTGCGAATACGACAACTGATCTGAGAAAACAGCCGTTTGAACTCTTCATCGCACCAGGTAAGGATGGAAATGCCTTTGGAAACCTATATATCGACGACGGCGACTCCCTATTCCAAAAAGGCATTCTTGATATCGATTTTGAGTACAGAGATGGCCTACTGAAGATGAATGGCAAGTTCAACTTTGAACTTGATGCAGCTGTGAAAATTGATACCATTACGGTGCTGGGGCTGAGCCCGCCATCAAACGTGCTAACGCCTGATGGAGATCAAGACTCAAAAAAGCTGGTTTTGAAAGTGGATATACCACTAACACAATCCAGAAGCGTTTCGATAGGATCTGGGAGTGTTACGTATATTTCAACATAAAAATTCACCGGGGTCTCGGGAACAGAACCTCTGCCAATTGGCACTTCGTTATGCATGAGAGTATTCACAAGGGAAACCTTTACTAATGTATCGCTGCCTGGGGTAGTATCATTTAATTTCAGCACTCCACAATCCGGCACTCTTTCTTTTGAATGCTGTTTTTGCTCCGATATGATTAGACCTTATATTTTCAGGGCGCGCTCTAGGCAGCCACATAAAATAAAGTATTAAACCAGAGTCTATCTTCGGCTATTGCAACTTAGTCATTAACACCTTGCTTGTTAATCACAAGCTAGCCTTTCCTCTAGATTCAAAAGGCTGAAGAACCACTAAACAACCAGCAGCAATGAATAAAGTACCACTAACGTACACTGGCACGGCAGTCTCCAAATTGGCGAACATAGCAATTATGGGTGCCATGATGCCGAAGATGCGATTCGCAGCTGCTGTTAGGGCATTTCCCGTCCCACGATCCTTTGTCGGGAAAATCTCAGGGGTGTAGGCATAGAGCACCGCGTACATAATATTGCTCATGAAGTTATACGCGCAGTTCCAACCCAGTAAAGAATTCGACGACGTTGCAGTAGTGGAGGCGAATAGAAATACACCAGTTAGCATAGTTGATACGGAAAGAGCTCCTTTGCGCCCAAATCGAGGTACTTCCACCAACACTCCACCAACAAGACAGCCTGGGACTCCAAGCACTGCGATGATGAGAGAGTTACGGTAAGTAATATATGTAGAGCTGTCTCCGAAGTCGACACCCCTAGTCGCTTGGATGTATGGCAAGAAGGCATTGTAGAGTGGAAACCCGAGACCGATGAATGCCCAAACGATAATGATTAGGGTCGTGGAGAACGCAAGCCGCCTTGTTGCAAAGAGACCCTTGACATGATCTAAGTTGATCTTCTCCAGCTTTCGATTGATTGCATTGGACGTTCCCGTTCCGCGCAGTGGGCCGAGACTCTTCAGATGATCTACTGTGAGCCAAGATGTAGTTCCATTGCGCCTGGCAACTTCATGAACAACGCGGACAGCTTCGTTGTCTTGACCACGACCCATCAGGTATTTTGGAGATTCAAACATGGTGAAACAGGCAAAACGCAAGAAAAACATTACCATCGACATGCCACCCATTGCGATTAGAAAGTAGCGCCATCCCATGTTAGCCGCGCGGGTGCAGTTGTCGTTTTCTTGGCAGGTGAGTTTGCCTAAAAGTGGCCATGCAACCAGATTTGCGATAACCTGAGCGAATGCCCAGTCGATAGATAGGATAGTTAAAAGGTATTGGTGGGAGCCAGGTAAAAATTCGAGAAAAATCGCCGAGTCCACCGGAAGGTTTCCACCAACCCCAATAGACCACAAGGCAGCAAAAGTCGCTATAGCGGCAAAATTGGGAGCACCGGCAGCGACAAGACCAAAAATTGAAGTTATCCCAATTGTTAAATTGAAAGCCCATCTTCTTCCATATATATCGCATCCAAACCCCCAAAATACGGCGCCAACCAACAATCCAATATTTTGTGAAAGTGTGAGGTATGGTGTGCGCGAAGGCTGGAACTCGTTCTTCACCGGTGTGAAAATGAGCGATGTCACAATTGGCCAAAGATTATCGCTAGCCCAACCGAAGCCAATCACAACAAATAGTTGCCATTGGTACCAGCCCATGCCGATGTCCTGCATCGCTTTATTAATCAGTCTGGCTTTGGCTTCATAGATTGGATCGGAAGCGCCTTCAAGAAGCTCCATGGTCAGGCCATCTTCAGAAAGAGATTCTTCAGAAACGGCATCCAGGCCATGCTGGTGTTTGGTGTTTTCTATGGTCGCAGCGGCGGCCATTGCGTCTCCGAACAGGAATGTCGCTATGCAGATATAGTAAAATTGCTGTGTATAAAGAGAATTTTTATGAAATGACAAAAATCAAAATTATCAACCAGAAAGACACGAAATGAGGAGTATCAATGTGAATGTGTATATTCGGCCTGGGTCGGACGAGTGTGCTTTATACGCTCAGGGTGAAAGAGGGATGCCACTGAGTTTTCCAGCCCTTCTTGCATCGGCCGGACCTGAATTGCAGCTGAGGCGGGTTTGTGTCACGCCTTCTTCCGTTAGGAGGGGTGATGATTCGTAGAACTGCACTGGCACCCTAGGTGAGAGGCATTGGTAGATCGGCAAGTGACTATGTATGGAGAAGTGAATCACAAGAGCCCGTAATTAATCCTAGACACCAGGCACTCCTGCATCGACACTGAACCACCAAGAGAACGTAAGGATGCAAAGAGGTTGGGTTTCTTTTGCGCGGTTGTTGTTTGATACAACCTTAAATAGCAACTGGGAAGCCAGGCAGCGGCCGACGTCATCCGGCCCCAATCCGGTCTAGCGTTCTGCGGCAGCGCTGGTAGGTTTGCCCCGCGTCTACGAAGTTCGTGGAGTTTGCTTTGTTTGCTTAGTCGCACTATCTAGCGGGTCTACATTATTCCGCCCCGCGACCCCTGCGACGGACTTTGAGAGTCAGGCAGAACCGCTTGTTTCTCAATGGATCATCAGGAGCTTGCGTACTAGACCCCAGATTCTGAAGCGTCTAAAGAAGAGGTTGGGTGAAAATAGCCATGGATTGTCATGTCTCGCTCTGATCGTCATAATAGTACATACATACATGCAGTCCCCATGGTTTCATACTGAGCAGGTGGGGGGCTTTCTGACTTTGGAAATACAATTTAGGAAAAAAAAAAGCTCATCGCATCCCACTTTCATATATTTAGATACCTCCTCCAGGGGTGTGATGCAACCCTTCACGACTCTTGGTGTCCTTCGAGAACTGGCCGGTCCGCATTTCTTGTTCGCCCTGTCTTTTGATCGCCTCGTTCTTTCGAAGACCGTCAGCATCGCTGGTCGCCTTGTCGATTACTGCACCTGTCGCGCCACGGATTTTCTCGCCCATACCCTAAAAAGAGGAATGTTAGCTACTGTAGCTGTTTCACGGTATGCCTACTTATCAAAAATGCCAGGAGCGCCTACATGAATGCCTGCTGCAACACTCTTCAATGCACCGGTTGCCCCGCCCGACTTTTGGGAAGAGTCGGTGGTCCCTGCGACACCTCCCGTGACTCCGTGCGGAGCGGTGTGCGTTCCTGTGGTAGTTCCCGTCGTCTGGTGGGTCCCGGTAGTTCCGCCGACAGTAGGATCAAGTCTATTATTACCGACGGAAGAATCGTGAGGCCTATTTCCATGAGAGGTACCGCCAATAGGGTGTGTAGTTCTTCCGGTGTCGCTGTCAACACGAGGGTCGACCTTGTTTGCTACTTTTGAATCGTGTGGCCCAGCGGTATGACCGGTAGTGGTACCGCTTGTCCCATAGGCACCTGTGGTAGGATGTGTTGTTCTGCCTCCAAGGTGCGATCGTCCGCTGTTGTCACTATCAACCCTTGGGTCAAGTTTGTTGGCAACGTTTGAGTCGTGGGGCCCAGATGTATGGCCTGCACTTGTGCCGACTCCTCCATATGCAGCCGTGGTGCCATGTTGTTGCGCTGTGCTGCCGCCAAGGTTTGATCGGCCCGTATCACTATCAACCCGAGGGTCAAGCTTGTTGGCAATGCTAGAGTCGTGGGGGCCAAGGTTTGTTCCGGAGCTTGCAGTAGTAGTACTATGCCCTGTGGTGCTGTCAACCCGTGGGTCCAACTTGTTGGCCAAGTTAGAAGAGTGAGGGCCAGCAGTACCAGCGGTACCTGTGGTCGTATGTGCCGCCATGCGAGGTTGTTCGGTCGAGTGCTGGGGGCCAAGGTTCGCCCCGGAGCTTGCAGTGGAAGTACTATGCCCTGTGGTGCTGTCAACCCGTGGGTCCAACTTGTTGGCCAAGTTAGAAGAGTGAGGGCCAGCAGTACCAGTGGTACCTGTGGTTGTATGCGCTGCCGTTCGAGGTTGTTCGCTCTCGTTGAATCTTGGGTCCAGTGTGTTTCCAATGCTGGAGGAGTGGGGTCCGTTGTTTGAGGAGATGTTGCTATTATATTGACCACCCTGTGTAGGGTCATTGCTCAAAGGATTCATTCCCCCGGTAGATGTATTGTTGTAGCTCATACTGAAGGTTGAAGTAGTAAATAAAGTAATAACGAAAGTTGATGATTGATTGCGCAAGCTAACTTAAAGATATAGTGAATTGTATTCAGTGTAGGTGGTGTGTAGTGAATAATTTCAAAAAGGATCTCACACTTTGACCTTTCTTATATATCTCAATAATGGCTGGTAAACAAGTTTCCCCCTTCGTCGTCAAAAATCGCTTTGTGAAGAGCCATGATGGCAGTGACGTCACCGAAAACCTTCGAACCCCGGAAGCTTTCAAAAATCGTCATTGCTTGGCAGTTGAATCAGGATTGCATGCTGGTGCGTTTCGCTCGTCTGGAAGGTGGCTCGAACAGAGACGGTATTTGCCCTGAATGAGCTCATATGGACCCAAAAAGGACTTGCCTGGCCACCCTTGGGACCGAGTATTTGGTTCGAAAACCGGTTTCCATTGCACAAGCTGAAACGGACATATTGTCTAGTGTCCACAAAGAACAGTATGCAGCTGACATTACTAAGACGTCATCGTCTATGTCGCGCATTTGGTCAACGTTCTGAAAGATTTTTTAGGATTCGAAAACCAAAGCAGCTGCGAAAGACATGACGTAAGGCCCTCATTCATGGGCCAAACAATATCAAGAAGAAACGCTAGTTATCTCCTCACAACTCTGATACACACGCACTAGCATATGATTGCCGATGGGGCTTCGGCTAATAGCTATTTTCGACGCAGACTTTCATAACTAACCACAATTCTCTGTACATTACTTGCTGTATATCATCTACATATGTCCCTCCTTGCAGTTTTATGCATGCCAGCGAATAGTACCCCGCTGTTGGTTTGGTAGAACATGAATTAGGCTCGGCTCAGGCCTGAAGTTTAGTATTATGCATAGTTCCGCTGGAACCGCAAGCCATGAAAATAACCGTCTTATTGTCTGCTAGCAAGGTTTTCTTCGAGCATAGCCGGATTAAGTGTTATTTCGTCAGATCAAGACCTTCGACAGATATATTCAATGAATACTATCAAAGCCCAAACTGACAATTGGCCTTTTTGTAACGTCCCAGACCACAGGCTGGTAAGTGTAGGTCGACTTTGTATTCAGAGTCTAGGTTCGGAGTTCTCTTCAAATAAGGCATATAATAAAGATGTCACTTCCTTCCAAGCACTCATCTGAAACTAATGAAGAAAGGTTCATTCAGTGAAAATGAACTGGGTTCTACGGATTCTTTCTTGTGGAGTGTGGTATATATTGGCCGTAAGGGTAAATGTGAGAAACATCATAGACTCCATTTTTTTTTTTTTTTTGCGGTGCATACCGGCGTAAAATAGTTTCCATGCAAGGCAAACGATCCAGCACTATGCTCTGCCAAAATGTCACCACCAAGGATGAGGTCACACAATCTTGACTCCTAAGATTAAGTGTGCAGAACAAAATCACTTTTAGTAGCTGACAAGATAAAAGCGCGTTCTCAAATCCTTGTTTTTGGAGTATAATGTACTGCAAACACTCATGGCGGTAAGCACAAGCTGTGACGCTATTGACTAGGACAACTCATGTGAATTTTCATCTGTCAAAGGGCCAAAATTTCTCCTTATCATATATAATACCCAGAGAAATATGAAGTATATTTCAGTTGTTCATAACCTAATAGTCTCTCAGACATATGCGCAATATCATTGTTTCAGGTTTGCATGGAGAATATAAAATACACTGAAATTATCTAGTGCATTTATAACATCTGTCTTGTTAGCAAATACACGTTTCAATTTTAGTATCTGTGGGGTTGTGAAGGTAATTTTATGGGTCGCTCGAGGCTTCACCAGAGGCTGTCTGATGGTTCCCTTTCGATGTGGCCTAAATTCAGCAGGTCTAGAAAGACACGGCGCAACATCTTCAGAGTGATCGGCTACAGAAGTCAATCCTGTTCGCATTTATACAAGGTATCTGAATATTATTCCCAGTATACTTCGAAAAACATTGTCACCATTTCCAGATCCGAGGAAGGCAATTGGCGTCAACGAAAACGTTTAAGAGAGTGTGAACAGGATTGCCTAGAGTCTTAGAGTCCTTGCAAAATAAAAAAAAGGGAATTTATTGTTTACCTCTAGGGAATGTAGCCTTGATGATTTTGTAGCCAAAAACTATTCAAGTCAGCTTTTAATAGTTGCAGAGATTGGAATGCAGGGATGCATTGGAGCCTAATTGTGCTAATGATTGATTATCGTTTAAAAGGTGAATAACAAACTGGAATGAGTATTGAAATGTCCTGCTCAACTCCGTAAGAGTGGCATGCCAGGAAGACAATGAAGGCTAAAGAAAAGGGGGAAAATATATTGCATCTTATAAAAAAGTTACTAGCGCATGCAGAACTTCATGTTATTATGCTTTTCAGTTTAGCTGCGCTTGAGCAAAGGAAAGCTGTTTATAATTTTCAGGCAAAATAGATAGCTTGATCTGGGCTGGGGGCAACATGTCAACATCACGTGAAACACCAGTGAAATGACTTTTTCCTGAATATCCCGACCGCGATTCCTCGGCCGTGCAAGAAGACCGCCACTTGACACCTCAATTGATAGCTGTGTGCCGCTTTAGGCGTTCAGTTTTCCCTCTTTATATTTTTTTTTGCTCTGTGCGATTGATTATCATCACAATGCCGGTTGCTCTATCCCGCGTCGCCCTGCGACACTCGCGATTATTGATCCGAAGAACTGCCTTCAGACAGAACTCCACAGCCTCAGAAGCTGCTGCCAAGACAAAAGATGCTGCCTCATCCGCCGCATCCAAAGCATCGGAGGGCCTTTCAAAAGTGACGGCCACTGCGGGACCTGCAATTGCGGGGGCTGTTTCTGGAATCGGTGGTGCGTTGAAGAGAGTGGGAGGGCGAACTGGCAGAATGATTTCTTTTGTGGAATGTAAGATATAACCTTAGGAGACGCAGTTACTAGCACCTCTTTCTATTATCGAGAGCTCTGGATCATTATACCCATCTCAAACTCGAACGATCTACAATCTATCATGACAACTAACTCTCTAATATATAGCCTTAATACCCCCCACGATTTATTATTCGCGGGTAGCTTTTGAGGTCTCCAAGATTGTCTTCCATGCTCAAAAAATGGCACCACCGTAAGTCTTTAAATCATACTTAGTGAGCTCAAGGGTAACTACTCACCCAGTACGCCTTTTCAGAAACCTAGCTACATTCCAAGCTTATTTCCAACCATTCCTCGCATCTCTCCGCACGCCTTCGACCGCAATCTCTAACCTGAATATCTCCTCCTATATTACCAAAATCAAAAGCATGGACCGCAAGCAACTCGCCATTGTCGGCGTGACTGCAGCAGAAATTATCGGATTTTTTTCTGCTGGTGAAATGTTGGGTAGAATGAAGATCGTCGGATATAGAGGCGAACCCAGTCATGAGCACTAAAAGATTCCACCGCGATTGTTAATACCGCTTTTCTTTCTTTCGCGCTGTGCTTTTCCTATGTCTTGTACGATAGACGACGCAATCAAAGGGTGGTGTGTCATACATCGCCAGAACCTTAGAATTGACGCCTCGTTTTGTTGTAGCTATCTCGCAGCCAATATCTCTTCTATTGGTACTTCGTAAAGGAAGTAGGTAATCTTCATTCTCAATTGCGGCAGCACTTTAAAGATCACGTGCCTGGCATCATGAGGTACAGATAGAGTTTTCGACATAAAAATTGTTTGGATGTGCCGAGTCAGAATCCAAAGAGTGCTATGCGTTTCTGGCCGCCCAGATGGATGCTTTCAAGCTATTAACCAGATCTACAAGGCTCAAAAGAACTTCTACATGCGGCTCTTCAGATCAGCTGCCCTCAGCCGGGGCAGCCAACACTCCACAATTGTTTCCTGATCGGGGGCATTCTCGGCCGGAGACAAGCGATTTTCGAGGGCTTAAACGAAAGAGAAATGTGGGAGAGGATCGTGATAACCCTGGAATTCCAGATTTTTTCGGTTCAAAACCCACAGCCAACAGTCCGGCTTCCTCGTCCGCAAACCAACGAAGAACGATAGAGGCGGAAGATGATCTTAGCTCCAACACGGATAACGTGTGTATGCCAGAAGAGGAGCGCAAATCTATTCTGAAATCACATAAAATCAAAATTACGGATTTGGGCGCGCCTATCCAAGCAGATTTCGCTGGGACATCGAAGTCAAAAAAAAGAAAGAGTCAAGTCGAAACAGCTCGGGCGCCTTTGACACGGAAACAGCGCAAGGCTGCCCAAAGGATTTTCCCAGAACCATTGATTTCTTTTGGCCAACTCAGGAGCAAATACCGGGTATCAAAGCGCCTCTGTGAAAATATCTACAACCAGGGCTACACGGTACCAACGGAGGTTCAATTGGGGTCTTTACCTTTATTACTGGGGAATACACCGGAATTAAGACAGGGTCCCAAAACTCACCACCTCCCAACGGCTTCCTCAGAACCGGAGCCTGATCTTCTTGTTGTTGCTCCCACTGGAAGTGGAAAAACTTTGGCATTTATGATCCCTCTAATCACAAAAGTCTTGAAAAATCGCCATGAAAATTCTGGATATAATGGGATTTCTTCCCTTGTGATCGCGCCAACAAAGGAACTCGTTACACAAATTGTAAACGAGGGCCGGAAACTCACTGCAGGAACTGCTGTCAAGGTTACTGCGATGCGCAAAGGAATGCGCATCACAGAGAAAAATCACGACAATGACATTTTAACAGATAATGAAAGCAATGATGAAAATCGTTCCAGCTCTGACGGTGACGAAGAAGCAGATGAAGGAACAAGTACAAATATTGTACCCCTTACAAAATGTGATATTTTAGTATCCACTCCACTTCTCCTTGTCCATGCGTTATCAAATGGCGACGCCAAGGATATTACCTCTTTACCATCAGTCCAAACTTTAGTTTTTGATGAAGCAGACGTCTTGCTTGACCCTCTATTTCGGGAGCAGACTCTCGGTGTGTGGAAAGCATGCTCTTGTCCTCAGCTCAGAGTCGGGCTTTGGTCCGCAACTATGGGCTCTAATATCGAGGAATTAGCAAAATCAACTGTCCAAAGTCGCCAGAGTTCCTCAACCAACACTGAACTCTGCCTTTTCCGGCTTGTTGTAGGCTTGAAAGACTCTGCTATTCCTAATATTTCACATAAGCTAGTATATGCCGCAACAGAGCAAGGAAAGCTCCTTGGTCTGCGACAGTTGCTTCACCCAAGTGCTGCTAGTAGCACTGCAGCACGCCTTCGGCCTCCTTTTTTGATATTTACGCAGACGATCGCCCGTGCAGTGGCGCTTCATTCGGAACTTATGTACGATATTCCTTCCGAGGCAGGTGGATCAGCACGCATTGCTGTTCTTCATTCCGAACTGTCAGATTCCAAACGATCAGACGTTATGGCTGGATTTCGGAAGGGTGAAATTTGGGTCTTGATTACCACGGATTTGTTAGCTCGTGGTGTCGATTTCAGAGGAATAAACGGTGTCGTGAACTACGATATACCCAATTCTAGTGCCGGATACGTTCATCGTGTTGGCAGGACCGGTCGAGCAGGTCGGGAGGGAGGCGTGGCCGTGACATTTTACACTAAGGAGGATATTCCTTACGTCAAGAATATCGCAAATGTAATCTCTGCAAGTGAAAAACTTCGTGGGACAAGTGATCGTGACAGTATTCCAAAATGGCTAATGAAGTCGCTACCAACTATCTCGAAAAACGACAAGAAGGATTTGAAGAAGTACGGCGTGCAGGCTCGGAGGCCGTCAGCTCAAAATGATCCGAAAACCGGGAAGAAAACTAGAATTAGTACCAAAAGCGGGTTTGATAGACGGGTGGAAAATAATCGCAGAGGTGCCATAAAGGGAAACCAAAGTCGAAAAATAAGGACGCAATCAGGTGAAGGAGACGATGATTACGGCACTTGGAGTGGTATTGAAGACTGATCTGCGGCCCATGTATATATATGTATGTACTAAACATACATATATACTTCGATAATAAGAATAATCTAGTCTATGAAAACATTCCCATGCTAGTCTATTTTGCCAAAGGTCGATTGTAGTTCTCGTATTTGGTAGTCAGTGTGTATTCAGCCTCCACATAGTTTTTCGTCATCCCACATCCACACCGACCACCAGCAATTAACTTCAAGGGGCGAGCCGTCTTTCATCTCCCAGTCGTCGTGACCAATCTCCTCTCCAGCTTCCAAGACTTTCAAGCCAATGTTACCCATCCGTTTTTTAAGCTCGTTGACTTGCGAAATGTAAGCATTTCTTAGAGGCATTTCAAGTACAACTCTCGCGCCTTTATCGGTGCTAAGCCATCGCTGAATAGTTTGCGTCAACCATCGAGGATGCTCAGATGAATACAGTGGGTCAGCAGCCAGTATGACTTGATACTTTTCCTGGTTTCCTATGTCCATTCCCTTTTTTAATGACCAATCCAATACACCTGTTGTGACAGAGGCACCTGTCGATAACATAATGTCCTTATTCATGGACACATTATGGGATAGATTTGGCACAATTTCAGGTAAATCAGTAAGATGAACAGTGGAATTGGCGCCCCACAGGGAAGCAAAGGAAAGGCCAACAAGACCCGTTCCAGCACCTAACTCGAGGACTCGAAGAAGCTGCTTGTCATGTCCAAGAGGAAGCAAACTGGGTTGAGGCAGCCTAAATGTATGAAGACGCCGTGCCAGAAGATAGGAAGAGACCCACGTTTTCATTCCTAAGTTGTCAGAGGTCAAAGACGGCTCATGTAGCGTTATAGGGATATATATATTATCTGCAACCGGGATTCGGAAGACCCTAGATAAGGACGGCATGGCTATAAGAGGGTATTAGATCCGTGTTATGCTGGTACTTTGCTATGACACAAACGTACCAGTTCTGCCAGAGCGTTCACACAGTCTAGCACTGGCAGCATCCCAAATAGCTTCCCGCAATTCGTCGGTATCAATCCATGACAATGCACTGGAAATGATGCCTGTGAGGTATTGTGCAACACATCCACCATAAACCGGAGATAGCTTTGGAGCTTGGTTTTCGTCACTGTCAAACGTACGAGGCAGGACGGCCAAATCCCTCAGAGCCGCAAGTAACTTCTCCGCAGAGGGCTTTGTATACAACTGAGGAAGGTCGAAAACTGAAAACAAACGTAATATCAGTGTCTCTGCACCAGCTCAAGCATGCCAAGATCGAAAAGAGTACCGTGTAAAGGCTGTATGTCATCGTTCATCATGACTGGCGAAACAAATAAACGAAGTTTCCGCGTCCATGAAGGTGTAAACCACGATGGGTGTCTCACAGTATCGCCTCGCCGACGTTGCGGTTGCTGGCGAATAAATTTGGCGGAGGAAAAGTTTTTGATAAGAAGTGGTCCGTGCAAACGCCGCAAACCTTAACTCGTTATCAGCCCCGCCGGCAGTCAGACAATCAGGCAGCGACAGCATCCCAACGGTGATATTCTCCAGCTCGCGAACGCACCGATGGTCGTCTCAGGCTCAATTTAACGTCTTTTTAAATCCCTGGTAGGCTTGTTCAATGTCGAATGCAAGCTCCCGAACTTGATCTTCAGCTAATTCCTGGGTCGCCCTCATCTGGTTGAGTGTGATAAGCCACTGGATGATTTTCCCTCTATTCTCGAAATCCTCGTCGGTCACCCTGTTGACGGACTGGATAACCTCAGATAGAAGAGGGTGTAACGCGTCTTTAGAGACCATATTAAGCTTCAACGCGTCCAAAAACGTAATGAAATTCTCCGTAGCGGCAAGTATAAGACTTCCTGAAGCGGAGCCTGTCGCGGCGGCTTGCACAGGATTATGTGAGGGCTGCTCGACAGTAGCTGGAAGCCCGATGCGAAGGCGTTCGGTAGCTTTGGCACATTCCAACTTTGGAACAAGATGTCAGCCAGCAAACTCGAAACGACGGCAAGAAAATACTCACACCCCATCTTCGCTTAAAGGTATCCAGATCCACAAACTCTTTAGCAACACTCTCATCGCTTAGGCTCGACCGATACTGTTTTAGAAGTCTAGCGCATGTTTCTGTGTACTCAGATTCCGCAACAGCATCCTTGATATACGCCTTCTCGAGTCCGTCCAATGTTACTATAATGCTGTATATTTCGGCAAGTGACTCATAAAGGTCTCTCTCCGCTGGTGTAGAGGCAAGCTTGACTTCCTAGAAGCAAGGAGTTAGCACCAGGGCTACTATGGTCGGGACGCTCGGGCATACTTCGTCCAAATTAATAGTCGCGGACAAGGCCAGGTTGGGCGTATAGCTGTACGGAGAGGGAGCATACGCCAAGGGTCTCTGTGAGTACATTATGCAGGTGATTCTTGTGCTGAACGGCACCGGTCAGCGAAGTGTGGGCGGAGATGTATTGCTCACACGATATTCCTGCGGATAAATATACTTTTGAAGGTTTGCGGGTTGGCGTGGCCCGTGCACAGCGCCAACAAAAATTTCTCAGGTGCACGCTTTCTCAGCGACAACCATCACCGTGCGAACGACGCAACAATGGCGGGCTCAGCGAAGAAGGCGACTAAGAAGTTCGGTAAAAACCGTCTCAAGGATACAATTGACCGCCGGAGAGAATTTGCGAAAGTGAAACAGAGACACCAGGTCAAGGAAAAGAGAAAAGCGAAGAATGCCGCAACACAAGCTGCTGAAGACGACAGGGCAAGGGAAAAAACAGCAAAGGCTACAGGCCAAGATGCGTTTGCGACAATGGGCGTTGATGATTTTTTCTCTGGAGGTTTCAGCCTCCCAAAATCGAGCACGGCGAAGCGACAGCATAAAAGAGACATTCCCTCACAGACCGGAAAACGTAAACGGGGTGAGCAGGATGGCGACGACTTGAATACTTTGGAGAGTGATGGCTCAGGTGATGGTGAATCAGAGAGCGAAACAGAGGACTTGAATGCGCACCAGGATGAACTCGAGGCACTCAAGGAGAAAGACCCTGAATTTTACAAGTATCTGAAGGAAAACGACGCTGAACTTCTTGACTTTGGCGACCATGGCGACCTTGCTGAAGTAGATGGTCTAAGCGACAATGAGGAGGAAGATTCAGCACCACGCAAGAAGAAGAAAACAGAGAAATCTCGGGATACTTCGGACAACTACCTACAGCTTTCTACGGTTCAACAATGGCAGAAATCTATGTCCGAAACACACTCACTGAGGGCAACCCGACAGGTTGTTCTTGCGTTTAGACGGGCTGCTTATGTTGACGAGGACGATAACGAAGATCATAAATATAACATCTCTGATCCTAACGTCTATCATGAGGTACTTGTTACGGCCCTTGAGCAGGTCCCCAAAGTTTTAAATCACCACATCCCTATAAAAGAAACACCGAATGGCAAAGTAAGGTTGTCTATCGATTCAAAAAAGTTCAAAACCTTGACGCCCCTTATCAAATCCCACACCTCCTCAATTCACCAACTCTTGTCAAGTTTATCCGATGCCGCTGCATTAAGGTTGACATTATCCTCAATTACTCCGATGTTGCCCTATCTTTTGCAATTTCGAAAACTGTTGAAAGTGGTCATCAAAACTGTAGTTGGGCATTGGTCGGAATCTTCTAATTCTGAAGCCACGAGAATTTCTGCCTACCTAGTTCTTCGTCGACTCATGCGTATCGGAGACGCCGGCATTCGCGAAGCTGTTCTGAAAACAACATATGAAGGCATTGTAAAGGGTAGTAGAAACACTACAGCCCATACACTTGCTGGAATCAACTTGATGAAAAACTCTGCAGCGGAGCTGTGGGGTATGGATCAAGATATAGCTTATACTACTGGATTCACTTCTATTCGCCAGTTAGCCATACATCTGCGAGGCAGCATTGTTAACCCCACCAAAGATTCCTATAAAATAGTGTACAATTGGCAATACGTGCATTCATTAGACTTCTGGTCTCGCGTCCTATCTATGCATTGTGACTGCATAGTAGAAGCCAAGGCAGGGGGACAGTCAGCACTGCGGCCCCTTATCTATCCTGTTGTCCAGATTACCTTGGGAGCCATGCGCTTGATACCCACTGCGCAGTACTTTCCACTTCGCTTCCAGTTAATACGTTCCCTCCTTCGAGTATCTCTGGCAACGAACACCTATATTCCTTTGGCTTCCGCTTTGCTGGAGGTATTAAATTCTGCAGAAATGAAAAAACCACCCAAACCAAGTACACTGAAACCACTTGATTTCTTGACTTGCATCCGTGCCCCGAAAACATATCTACGAACACGTGTCTATCAAGACGGAGTTGCGCAAGAAGTTTTGGAATTATTCTCAGAATTCTTCGTTCTCTGGACCAAAAGCATTGCATTCCCAGAGCTTTCGCTACCCGTGGTAGTTATGCTCAAACGATGGCTAAAAGAGGTTTCTTCCCGCTCGTTTGGAAATAAGAACGTCAAGATCAATCAAATGTTTGTTCTCTTTGTCCAAAAGATTGAATCTAATAGTCGCTGGGTCGAAGAACGAAGATCAACAGTTACTTTCTCGCCAAAAGATAGAGCAGAGGTTGAGGGGTTTTTGAAAGACGTGGAATGGGAGTCAACGCCATTAGGTGCCTTTGTTAAAACTCAAAGAGCTCAAAAATCAGAACGGGCAAGGATTCTTGAGAAGAGCCGTGATGACGAACGGCGAAGAGTTGCGGAGGACAGGAATGACGAAGTTGAGCAAGCTGCGGTGGACGACGACAGTGAGGATGACTCGAGTGAGGCTACCTCATAGGTATGCAGCGCTTCTGCTTTTATTAGAATAGTAGGTGCAAAGTCCAACAATGGAACGATTCCAGAATACATTTGATTCATCACACAAAACTCTTCAGCGTTCCCTAACTGCTCAGCAGCACGGGCATTGTTTCATTACTCCAAAGTGCAAAATATCTTGGGGATAGTGGGATTCAAACCCACAACCTTCTTTCCCAGGTGATTGCCACCCAGCAACAGACCATGCCAGAAGGATTCCTGCAGACGTTTACCATCTACGCCATACATCCTCCCCTCAACACACAGCAATAGCTTATTATTCTATTAGAGATTCGGTTATGTTCTCTTATCTCTTCTTGGTGTTGGTTCCTGAGCGTAGCTTTGTTTTCAATCGCGGACCTGTGGCTGCTGATGCTGCCACAGTGTTTCGATTTATAAATTCAATATTTTTCCCCGTCACACGACGAGAATGACCTCTCTTTTTCAATTTCTATATGCAGCAAAATCACGCTGCCGCTGCGAGATGTCCTCCGGAAAGGGACGCGGCGAAAACCCACGGAGCCAACGCAAGACCTCTGCCCCGGCAGTAAGGCCTAAAGAGGGTACTTCCAATTCACAGCCCTCCGCACCGAACAACGATCCGCAGCAGAGTAACGTTGATGATGACGACTTTACCACGGTCGAACCCAATCGTTGCCACCGAAATTTCCCAGGACGTGGAAGCTTTAATGAGAGCCTCAGTAGGCACCGCGGCGGAAACGGTAGCAATATACTACATCGAGGAGGACCAGGAAATACCCCTGCGTTAAGAGGAAACAGCACCGGTCGGGAAGAGGGAGAGGTACTTATGCACAAAGGCGAACGAGCAACTCACTATATAGTGCCTCAAGCAATAGGACATCAAGAGAGCAAGGAGGGTCTGCTTCTCATTTTACTGTAGACTCTCGGTAGCAAAGGGAATCACATGGTGGAGGCTACCAGCAATCAAAAGGGGCATCCAGCCAGTTATATAGGTGCATATATATAACCTCTTTGCATGCCGGTATATTCCACACTACTCATACATTTGAAATAGTGATATGAATCCTAGTGCACACCATAATATTTTCCAGGCAATAGCTTCTCTAGAAAACAGAATCGTTGATGAAAGCCTAAGCAAAGACATCACGCAGAAGCTTGGAGCTTCTAGTAACAAAAGAACATTGCCTACCAAGCCAGTATATGGAACAAATAGCCGGGAAGTTGACCTCTGTGCCAATTATTTTGAAATTGACGGCGTTTATGTGCTCATTTTCTACAAATATAACGTACACCTTGAGGAGAACATGTCTCTTCGAATTAAGCGTCATCTATTTACATTACTTCTTCGGCAGAAACATCTAAACGATGAAGCTGTTGCTACAAGTTGTCATCAACGTTGGGTCAAATTACAAACCCTGCTATGTTCCAGCTGAATTCTGCCTATTCTAGAAACAACCGGACCAAACAAGCAAAATGATAAGAATTGCCTATCGAGCCCCCGGTACAAATGTGCTAAATATTTCTACAAGAGGCTTAACTAACCCTCATGGGGGTTGGACAACAAGGAGAGGCAGTAACTGTTGATTCGACAACAAGCAGCCTCGATAGCTACTCCTGCATAGTATGCAGACATTGTATGCGAATGTGGGAGGTATTATTTATATTCTGTCTATAATCATGCCCTTCCTAGGCAGTATGATGAAGCACTTCAGGAATGGCTAGAAGTAGTGCACCTGAATCTAAAAGACTCAATGTTTTATATTTAATTTTTAGCGGAAATAAGTATCAATGTGATTTTCATGAGAGGTACGCGGCTTGGGTGTAAAATAATAGACCCTATTAATACAATACAATAGGCTTTTATCTTTCATTTTTATTTTAATATTCTACAAACTCATGCTGGGGGCTTCGAATCGTCACTGGTAACCTTCCTTCCCTCCTCCCAGTCGCCGCTTTTCCCGCCTTTCTTCCGAATAACCCTTGCTTCTCCAATCACCATTCCTTTATCCACCGCCTTGCACATATCAAACACTGTCAATGCTGCGCCTACTACGGATGTGAGTGCTTCCATTTCTACACCAGTTCGTCCACGGCAATGTACCGTCGACGTAATCAAAGCACTCCCATTCGGGTATTTCTCGGTGTCGGATGCGAACGGAGGACAAACTTGAACGTCAATGTCTATACCTGTAATTCCTAGACCAGGGTGAGCCAGTGGTACAATATCCGCGGTCCGCTTTGCAGCCATAATGCCAGCGATCCGTGCCACAGACAACACGTCGCCCTTTTTAGTATACCCTTCGCCAGTGGTAAGAAGAGAATATGGCATTTTGTTAGAAAAGACTACCCGACAAACGGCTGTAGCTAGACGGGTAGTTTCCTCCTTGTGGGAAATGGATGTCATGTGCACGGTTTCTTGCGTTGTTAAATGAGGCAACACGGGGTGAGAAGCAGTAGGAGGATCGGGAACAGAGGCATTCGGGGTCGGACGTTTCATCGAGTACAGACGGCATGTTAGTGAGGGTGAGCTTGAAAGAAGATAAGACGGTATACTGCGCCACGGAGCTCGTGGATAAGATAGGCTGTTTCTGGTGTCTTCCGAAGGCATGGGTGATCGAGGCTCATCTATTGACCACTATCAGCACGCAGGCAATGGAGAAAACGACGATTGATTCAATTGATAAACCACTATCATCATTCATATCAAGCATTGGCTTCATTATCGAATTCGCCTGAAAACCGCCAAACGCCATTTCCACATGCACAGACCAGTATGGTACGAATAATGCTGGTGACGGATAGAAGAAGAAAAAGGAATGTATTTAAACCTCACCCACCAATCAATATCATGGGTCTGTTCTTCATATTCTTGAGCTCCCCCATTCCCGCATGCTTAGCCTTTTTGCGTTTCACCGCTGCACCGATAATATCTAGTAGTTCCCGCTCCTGCTCACGGACAACATGTCCCTCTTTTTCGGCATGGACAGACTGTCGAGCTGCTTCTAAAAGTTGAAGGGACTCCATAGCGTCATCGTCGATCGGCAAGTCATTGTTTTCTTTCCGTATCATATCTCTAAGAGAGACTTCGGCATTCCCAAAAAGGCAAACTTTCAGGTTTCCATCACTCGTGATACGAAGACGGTTGCAGGTGCCACAGAAGTTGTGGGTCATGCTGGTTATGAAGCCCACGCGCCCCACGAAGCCTGGAACCTGGTATGTTTTGCTTGTGTCATTTTTGTGGTCTCTGACCTTCTCAAGCCCCGGGTATTTGGCACGGATAATATCTAGCATTTCCTGATAGGGAAGCATTTTGCCTTGGCTCCACTTGTTCCCGTCAAATGGCATATATTCAATGAATCTCACTTCAATGGGCTTTTCCCGTCCAAGCTCCACAAATGGTAAGATCTCTCGGTCATTCAGGCCTCGCATAACAACGCAATTCACTTTCAACTTGAGGCCAGCACCCACCCTGTTTAGTTCCAGAACCCGATCAATGCTTTTCATGACGGCCTCGAACCCTTTCCGGCGTGTCATCAACTGGAACTGGAATGGGTCCAGGGTATCCAGGCTCAGATTAATGCCCGTGAGACCGGCCTCCACCATACTATCTAGCTTTCGATGCAATGATATCCCATTCGTCGTGAGACACAGCTCCCTCAACCCGTCTCGCCGCAAATTGCCAATTTGCTGCATCATTGGTATGATATCCTTGCGTACCGTGGGCTCTCCGCCGGTCAAGCGAATTTTCGTCACGCCCTGCGACACGAACAAGGTGGAAATGTACACTATCTCCGGGGTAGTGAGGAGGTGCGCGGGGGGCGACAGCGGGACGCCCTCTTCGGGCATGCAGTAGAGGCATCGTAGGTTGCAGCGCTCGGTAATGCTGATGCGGAGGTAGTCATGCTGGCGACTGAACGTGTCTGTCAGAAAGGCAGAGAACGGTTTTGCTCGCGTGAGGGACTCTTTGCGGGTGGCGGATCGTGGGGGAGGGGATGTAGGCGGCTCGGGCGCAGGAGGCGGCGTATAGGCGGACGGCGCAGCCGGCTCAAGGCTGCTCTTATTCCATGCAGCGGCCAGGCTGGAACTGTGCTGCACCCGCAGACATCGTGAGAATGGCCGAAGCGCGCCACCAGGCCGCGCCAGCCGACGCAGTGCTGGACGGAGCGTCATGGGGTTCGGAGCCAGCGGAGGCAGAGAATTGCTGAGTGTCAGTCAAGGGAGACCATGGCGAGGCGAAAGATTCGGTCGATGGCTGCCAGCCAGCACGCGGTTATATCGGCAAGCAGCTCGCTAGTAAAGCCAGCGGACTAGGCCTTAGTCATGGCTGTTGCCGGTAGAAGTGCGGGGAGGCGTGAATACGAATAGTTAAGTGAAGAGGTTGAGAGAAGATCGGAGAGAGTGAGGAATCCATGACCGGCGCGCAATTCCGGTGATCGACGGTCTGATGACGGGTGGCGACCAGCCTGTAATTGGGTCGAGTTAGACTAGCAACTCCTACAGAAAGGCTTAATGGTGGTTCAAGTATGATTGAAGGACTATTACAACTATCTAGAGGGTATATAGTAATGTGTGAATGTGTTAAGTACATTACAGGCGATGGACAGTCGATCAGCAGAAGGACTTGTACACCTTCTTCCATCTCGGCCAACTATCCCATTCGGCCTTTTCTTCAGCTATCAGCTGCTGCAGATTCAGATCGCGGCGCCCCGTGTTCAAATCCATGTCCTTCGCACGGACAATCGACGTGCGTTTCCAAATCTTGTACGAGACATAAAACGCCAGGACAATCGGGGCAGCCAGGTAGGTCGAGAACCAATACTTAACTCGCCCAGCAGTAGAGAGCTTGTGGTAGCCGATGGGTGCGAAGCCCGTCCAGAACTGCGCGACGAGGACAATACAGTTGATGACGAATCCAATCCAAGACGTGATCACACCTCCTTGAGCGCGGAAGGGAAGTTCGTCGAGGCTGTGCCCCTGGACTTTCCAGCCGCGGCGGAACCTGATATGGGCCAAACAGATAGAGGCCCAAGTGAAAACTGAAGAAAGGCCTGAAATAGCCAGCATCCAGACGAAAGCATCCTGTTGCTTTGGTGAAGCTGCAAGGAATCCCAATAGCCCAAAAAGTGAAGCAACAATGATAGACATAAGTGGACGGCCCTTTTTGTCAATGTAAGCGAGGAAGGCTGGCGCCTGGTGCTGCTCAGCCAAGGCAGTGAGCGTGCGCGACGAGCCGTATATGGCAGCATTGCCAACAGACAGCACAGAAATCATGATAACCGCATTCATCACGGAGTCAAGCCCAGTGATGCCAGCATCTTTGATGGCAATAACGAATGGCGAGGCCTTGACATCAGCAGATCCAGAACCATTCAACAATCTCTCGTCATCGTAGGGAACCAGTAGACCGACAATCACCATGGATACGATGTAGAAGAGGACAATACGCCAAAAAACCTGCTTCACAGCAGTGGGGATGGATTTTCGAGGGTTGGCCGTCTCTGCGGCTGCTAATCCCACGAGCTCGCCGCCACCAAAGGTAAAAGCTGCCGTAACAAAGACGCTACAGAGGCCTTTGAATCCATTATTGAATGCGCCGGGGTTGTGCCAATATCTGCCTCCAATATAATCACCGTTTGCGCCGCCGCCACAATTCAATACAATTCCAAGAATGCTTTGGGGAACATCAGCTACAAGCGGTAACAAATAGTAGGAGATGAAAAGGGGTTCTCACATAAAACCAATCACGGCGACGACTTTGATGATCGAAAATACAAATTCAGCCTCACCGTATCCCAGAACACCAAAGAGATTGATGACCACAATCAAGACGTAAAATATGGACACCCAGGCCGCCGGGGATACCCTGGCCTCCCAGTAGCCCACCGTTATAGCAGCGGCAACAATTTCCAGTGGGAGTAGGGTCAGCCACAGAATGGCATAATTCCAACCCATGGCAAAGCCCCAGGCGGGATCCAAGAACCGCGTAGAATAGTGGGAGAAGGCGCCGGCAACGGGGTACATGACGGCCAGTTCGCCGAGGGCGTGGATGGTGGCATACAGCATAATACCAACCAGAACAAAGGCAATGACAACGGATGCCGGGCCTCCAGCCGCCAGCGATCTTCCAGAGCCGACAAATAGGCCGGTTCCTGGCAAAAGAGGGTCAGCGCCAGGTAGGGTATGACTGTAGGCCGCAAAACGATGAACGACATACCGATTGAGCCTCCGATCGCAATCATCTGGAGATGCCGGGACTTGAGCTTGCGCTTGAGCGGCGAGGCGGCCGTGGCGGCGGCCGCGCCTTCGGCATCGAAGCCGGCTTTCTCGAAGTCGAGGGGCTGCGAGATGAAGGCCTTGGAGTCCCGCCTGAAGCTGTCGATGATGCGGGTGGCCAGGCCCTTGTGCTCGGGCTTGTGCAGGCCGTCGTCCCACGAGGCCACGCGCATGGCTTCGGCGGCGGCAATCATCTGGCTCTCGCGCCTGTGGTCAGCGTCCGGGTGGCCCATGGCTGCAGCGGGCGCGCTGGTGCTCTGGCCGGGAGCGGGAGGAGGGTGTGGTGCTCGCTCTGGGGAAGGCAGACGACGAAGAAGGACGAGAAGAAGAAGCGGGGGCGGGAGCCTAGTTGGTTGGTTAGATCCCTAGCGCATGGTCACGGCAGACAGACGCCGCGAGGGGCATCGCACGACGGGCAGGCGAGCGGCGGCCGTTGATGATGTTTCGGGGCCGGGCGGACGAGCTTTTACTATGTAACTTTGGCGGGTTGGGCATCCCGGTTGGATGGCCGGCCGAGACAACGGCGGGCGCATCACACGCCTTGTTGCCACGCGCGCCCGGCCGTTGATCCTTGGGTCCAAAACATCAATGCCGCTGTTTCACGCGCATGTGCATGAGGGGAAATGTCCTTATGCAGCAGCTTCTGCGAGACGGCTGCTGATGCACATCTATCAACTCACTAATGGTTAGTGTGTTGACAGGCCATACCAGGTCTCCATATACTCCGTACCCCGTATGGTACTCCGTAGCATGTGTTGTAATGCCGGTCACGGAGCCCCACGCCTGATGTCAATTGTCGCGAGACCCCTTAAGCGAGGGGTGGGCTCCATCAGGACAACTTGTACTCCGTACATGAGATGAGAAGAATTGTTCATGCCAGGACCCCGTAATAAGAATCTCGGGACAAGTAATAATAATTACATGAGCAGAGCTCACCCACTTCGTTCGCTGAAACAAAAGGGGCGCAGAGCCGCGCCTGTGCTGTTGGAGTCCAGGATGAGTAATCAAGTCTATGCTGATTAAGCAGGAGCCGCCTGGTGGAGCCCAAGGCGGGTAAATACCATTGGCCAGCCCCTGCCTAAACGCAAAAAGCTCAGCCCCAGGAACGGATTTGTGGGAAGAAGGTACAACCTTTTACACTCAAAATTGTATTCAAACAAAGGCTTTTTGAACACTCTTCAACCCCATGGGAGGGAAATAATGTGATGCTGAAAGCAGATCTGATTAAAGCAAGCCAGCGATGGGCATACCTCTTAAAGGAATCTACTTCTACAAAGTCATTGCCTTCATGTCCTTTGGTCTATGAGCGAAATGAAATTGATAAATGCCTTGAGATCCAGGCAGAGCAGGAACTCTGTGACAGGGATATGGAGAGATCAAGAATGGGTATTGGGGTTGATGAAGAGGGCTGGGTGGTGTCTGAAACGTATGAGACGGCAAAAGAAAAGAGCAGGATTCTCAAGGAAGAGGTATTGATGGCTGCAGAGCCCAAAGGTCGCGCCATGATCGAGAAGCATTGGCCTTTTGCTGATAGGAATGAGGATGAATGAGGGTTTTTCTTTATAGTGGGTGACTGTGGACAACTTCATCCGCTGTAGACGCCACGATTCCTTCGAAATAACCTTGGACACGCTCTACCATAGGCTTGACACTTGATGCTAAATGACATCCGTAACCATGGTCCTTTGACACCTAACTAGTGTGGAGCTGCGAAAATTTATTATTGCGAAGAAAGTTTTCACCAGAATAGCAGCAGAATCTGTCATCGGCATCGCGGAACACACGGCCGCTGCGCGACGCCCTAAGATCAATCACCTGGCCGATATTCGCTAACTAGTTAGCATCCATCAACGAGCGGCGATCTGGCAAAGTGTCCAGCCGTTATCGCTCGCTTCGCATTGGCCACCGGAACCAGAGCCATCTCTCCGTCGTGCACCTCGGATGCGTGGAGGCGCCAATCGCCGGCGTGCGTGGAGTAGCGGTGGAGAGTCACAGGACGGAAGGACTTCTGTGCGTCTCCCAAAGCGTTGCGACGCCGTTCCTTTGAGGCCCTGCATGGGGACGTCGCCAAAGTACGCAGTAGCTAGAGATAGTCATCCGAGTATGGATACGGAGCGTAGTACGGAGTTCGGAGTAGTTATATATCTGTGCCACCAGGAGCGGTTTTTCGCATACTCAGACCCACGAACAGAGACCATCGCGCGACTGAAGGAGCAGGAAAATCCGCCTCTGGCGTCGACGGGGTGGATGTTGTGCCGTGCTTACTAACTAACTAGTCAACCATGTAGTTAGTTACGGAGACGGAGTACGGAGTAGGTCAACACAAACGCGACGCGAAAGCCACTTTTGCACCGCCCTGGCCATCCAATGCTGGGGACATTCATCTATGTAACGGAACTAGGAATGCCAACCCACGGTGCTAACATAGCTAGGACATGATGTCCGCTTCCAAGGCTATCAAACACCACAGTGAGTGCATACTCAACTCACGACCATCATACTAGCAATGTTGACCATTTTAGGAAGATACTATGCCTGTTGCGATCAGCGACAATGGAAAATACGTTGCTGTGGCCTATGACCGCCACCTGGAGCTACATAAAACGTCACAGGGACACAATGTGCTCCGTTCCATTCCCTTACATGATGCCATATGTGGCCACTTGAGATTTCTCCAATGGTCGGATGATACTACCCACATTGGAAGCCACCGGCTGCTGTGCGGGAGTACCACGCATATCTCCGTTTTCGATACTGAAAATGAGAACTGGGTTGTCGAAATCGAGACAGGAGACTGTTTTGCCCATGCTGAATTTACTACGAAGGCCGATGGTATCCTTTGCCTTTTAGAACTCGGGATACAGCTCATGATCTTCGACCTCAAGACCGGCGAACAGCGTATTGTCAGGGCCCCGAAATTCTCCGGCCCAAATGGCTACGACTTTCGCCCACGGTCTGGACATTTGGCACTAATTGCGAAGGTCGATGGGCAGGATGCCCTCGCCATCCACAATCCAGAGACCTTTGAGTGTGAAACTGCAATAGTTCTACAGATAACCGACGTTCAGGGGCTAAAGTGGAGTCCCAATGGTGCCTGGATAGCTTGCTGGGCCACAGCCCTTGCAGGAACGGCGGTAGCGATCTATACCGCGGACGGGAAATATTTCAGAACATATACTGGGCCTGAAAACGAATTTGGGCTTGGGGTGAAGACTATTGAATGGAGCCCCGACTCTAGCCTTCTAGGTGTTGGAAAGCAAGGAGGAATCGTTGATCTAATCAATACAAAAACAGTTAGTACCACCCGATTTCCAGACATCGCAGAAAGCAGATGTTTAATTCGTTTTTTAGTTTACTTTGGCGATGGTTCTTGGGGACCCATTGTCGGTTCCAATTGACCGAAAAGTATATACAGAAGAAAACTCTGCTATATCAAAACGAGAATATACTGTCGCCCCCGAATCTTCTGTTTTTCCATTTACATATAACATCCCCACCGATACAAGGACTATATCGGCCATATCATTCAGTCCATCAGGTAACTTGATCGCCACGGTAGATCACGCTCTCCCGAACATTTTGTGGATATGGTCAATTCGAGAATCCCCGCCGCGCCTCGCAGGGTCTCTTGTGCAAAAGTCAAATATTAAACATCTTTTCTGGGGTGCCGAGCACCCCGAAATGTTGTTCGCTACAAACGATGATGATGTCGCAACTGTACATGGGTGGTCCTGCGGAAGGCTGCCAGCGATAGTTCAGATACCACGCGCAAGCGGAGGGAGGTATAGCGCTGCTAGGATCAAATCTGCCACGCAGGATGGGGGTGAATTGATCTGGTTCGGTTGGCACAATGGATACGTTATGGGATACCTCTCCATGGCTGGGCCATCAGTGGAATTTAGACAGGTCGAAGGCATAGATCAAGCATAAGCTACACCCATACATTCTATATTTCCGCATAAGCAGTTGGATCGGGTAGACAATGGGAGACTCCAATTTTCTCGATATTTTTTTCTCTAATGTCGGCAAGCCAATCATGAAGGCCGCAAAATATCGCGCTAGTCCGTATTTAGCCGAAACGAGGGCTTAGGGCATTTCTCGCTTAGTCATACCCCACTCCCAAATTTCGCGACATCGACGACGCTTGAAGAGCGATCTTGAGCGTGAACACTTTTGTCGACAACTGCACCAAAAGTTCATCCATCATGGTTAGTCGCCCTTACTTTTACATCGAATAGCAATTTGGTAAAGGAATAGAAGTGCTGACACGAGACTTCTACGGCCTAGGCACCCGCAGCATCATCCGGCGGCAAGAAGCAGAAGAAGAAGTGGTCGAAGGGCAAAGGTACAACTCCCTGAAAACGAATGAGTCCTAGCCTCATTGCTGCGCACTCCTCGAGTCAAGGCCGTAAGGCCCATCATCGCTCCATTCGAGCCTTTTGGACTGACACATCTCATCTCGATAGTCAAGGACAAGGCCAACCACGCCGTCGTCCTCGATAAGACCACCTCAGAAAAGCTCTATAAGGATGTGCAATCGTACCGTCTCATCACTGTCGCTACCCTTGTCGATCGTCTAAAGATCAACGGCAGCTTAGCTCGCAAAGCTCTTGCTGATTTGGAGGAGAAGGGTCAGATCAAGAAGGTCGTTGGACACTCAAAGATGAACATTTACAGTATGTTGACGCCTCGCGATATTGAAATTGGGTATTCCCGGTATTTGGGCTCCGCTAACTGGCTTTGTAGCTCGTGCTGTCACCGCCAGCGACTAAAGATAACGTCCATCATCATTTCCTTTGGCCTGGGTTTCCATTTGTGCTGCGAACGGTGTTTACTCTACCTGCACTTGTCAAAACAAGCATGTCTTTTACGGGTTAATGAATGGATTTCCCCTTACTTCTTTCCTTCCCGTGGCAAACCAGTCGGGCGTGGCAAAAGGTGTTGGATTTTGACTGAAGCAACTGTATGGAACAAATACTGCATGGAAAATATGCGGTTATTACGGAGAGCTTTATGGCCCTCCATGTAGCTACTACTGGAGCAGAAGCGAGGCGGCATATAACAAATACGAGACCACCGAACAGTAGCGGTGATACGTTTGCATAAAGACATTCATACGTCCCGTTTCAACTGATCCTGCAAACCCATGCGGTCTATTCCAATCAGCCATGCTAACTATAGAAATGTAATCCGTACAAACGGCTTGATGCGACCATCATTAGTCTTGGTCCACTCCCTTTGATTGCTGTTCCTTTTCGGCCCTTAACTTCGACCTTCTCGGCCTATCTTGCTTCGCCTTTTCACATAGCTGGCGCTTCTCCTGTTTGATGTCTGGATTTTCCCCATTCTGCTCCGGCACCAGCCTCCCGACGTAGAAGTACTTATCACTTTTGCCGTAGAAATCCACCCAGTGCTTCACCTGCTTGTACACCAGCTGTCTCGCCTCCCTCAGCTCTCGCTCCCTTCGAATCTTCTTCGCCGCCTTTGACAAAGCCTTCTCCACCTCGGAGTCGTCGTCATCTTCTATGGGAATGAACATTTCTTCTACGCCAGACATATCGGGCGTTAGGTCTTCTTCGAAGCAGCCGGTGACGAAAGCACGAGTGGCATCGCGCCCGGCAAAGAAGGAATAGCTGCCGCCAGGGCCGTACGCATGCGGGGAGGCGGAGACATCATAAACGGTACGATTGATGGACACGTATATCGGGAGATCTGGAGAGGTCCCGTTGTAGAGGGATAGTTCGGAAGGGGTGAGGAGGACGGGGCCACGCTGTACGAATTCTGTTAGCAAAAGCCAGTGAAGCCAGCCACAAAGGAAAGGGTTCGCGTACAAGCCGGCTAAGTATGGCCGACCATCGAGCAAACTGCGGTTTGACGCCCCATGTTACTGAATCGCCAGTGATGAAGTATGACAGCCCAGAAGACGCTAAGAGTAGGAGAAATAACAGTCGAAACACATCTATAACGGTGATCTTGTTGGATTCCTCATCATAACGTTCTATCGTTGCTTTCAGAGCTGCTGCCTGCTCCTGTTCATCATCTGCAAGCTTTGCTGATGCGAACTTGCCTTTCGTTCGTTGTCGCATGGCTGGCATCTCTTCCTAGCGATTCTATTCCCAATCACGACGGTCTTACAAACAGCGAGCTAATAATAGGCTGAGACGGGGGAGCGTTGGGCTGGGCACATCCAAGCCGCCAATCACCCCCTGTCGAATTACATAGTTGATCTGGGGCACTTCTTTGATTTCTCTACTCCATACTCCGTACATGTAGATTTATCGCTCAGCTTCACCTGTTATTTATTTTTCAGATAGGCATCTCTCTTGTTGACGACCAGAAACCAGCGCCGGAGCTCGTCAGTCTTCCGTGACTATGGAGTAGTAATAAAGGATTCCAACCACAATTATATATTATCAAAAGATAAGCCTAAGTGTCTCGCTCCCAAGCCCTGGCAAAGACCTCGTTTAAGGCATCCTGGAAAGTCCTGCAATTCATGTCAATCAAACCCTTGCGATCCTTCGCGTCTGGCTTCTTGATGACGGAGACAAGGCATAGGTATCTGATACACGTTAGCAACTTTGACGGCCCAATAGTTTTGGATATGCTTACTTGTTCATTTCCATGAGATGGATCATAGTCTTATCATGCAATATGACATGGCTTTCTGCCTCAGAAATCTGGGGGCCCAGCGGTTTTCGGTCAGGATGTTCCCATGAGTACAACTCGCTAATGTCAACGATCACATCAATATAATCAGAGCACATTTCGTAACATGCCATATCCACAGGCCGCGAGTCTGACGCAATATAAATCTTGCTGAGAACATCAAAAAGGTAGGCTTTCTCCATGCCAGAATTGTTGGCAAGGATGTTGATAAGATTTTCAAGGGTCGATAGTTGAGGTATGAGTTTCTGAATAACCTTGCTAAAGGCCTCGAAGACGGAATAATCGTAAATGGAAGTGAGATAGAAGTGAACAGGGGCATTTTCATATCCGGCATCGCTAAGCTCGTCAGTGATGTGCTGAACAATATCTTGAAAGATGTCAGATCGGAATTCCTCAGATAAGCCGTCGACTTTGTGAATGAACACTTCAACGTTAATGTGTGGATAATATTGTTGGATCATCAGTATGGTCCGATTCAAACGTGCAACGGCATCATAATAGTCATCCTGAGCGTCAATAACCCAGACAAGGGCCCCCAGATTGCTAAAAATTTCCTCGAGGTCGAAGGAGGGTTCTAGATACTCCAATTGCCCGGGAAAATCCCAGATCTGGAAATCCATAAAAGAGCTGGTTATTACGTAGCCTGGTTAGAACTGTCCCAGGAATTGGAGATGACACATCACCTACTGAATCGAGTCCTTCTGGATCCGTGTAGTTGACTCGAGGAAGAGGGTTTCCGTGGGTGGCATCTTATGAAAAACAACACTTGATATTGAGGACTTGCCGCTTCTACACAAGTATGTTAGAAATCTACCGGTATAGAATAGAGCCTAAAGGTGACCTTCAGCTTACCTGCGTAATCCCATCAGCAACAAGCGAGGTTTGGCATCACGAACTTTCTTGCGAGCAGTTCGGGTATTATTCGTACGGCTGCTTGCCGCCTGGCTCGTGGTCGGTGCGGTGGAAGGCTGCCCATGTTGAAGTGCCTGTAGATTCTGTTCGAGACTTAGCTGCGCTCTTGTCTTCATGATAGGAGCTTGGCCATGGAGGATGCCGGTGTCGGAATAAACCAAGCGCTCCTGGCCGGGCTTCAAGCTGGAACGGAGGCGCCTAGGGACCACACGCGGCGAGGGGGATATAGGAGGCATAGTGACAGAAACGGTGTGATTGCTGCAATTGATGGGGAGAGGGCTGCGAAGAGGGAGAAAGGACCAGAAGGACACAAATGGCGGAGTGAAGGTGCAGAAGCAGGGCGAACCCGCGTGTTCAGGCGGTGCAGTAGGGAAACAACACCGGGAGAGGCTTGGGTACAGTCACATCTCCCCGGAAGCACTGAGGCAGCTCAGAACAAAGGAAACACAGAGCAAACAGGTCTGGCTAGGCTGGCCACCCGCCTCCAGGGGTTTGGGTTGGATTCTGATATCCCCCGTCCACGCCCTTCAGCAGCCGTCAAAGCGGACGGGTTGGCCCGACAGAACACTCAGTCCGTGATATCAGGCAGCACAACCATCCATCTTCCACGCAGCGAAGGGAATGCGGCCCAAGACGACAGACGCCAAAAGCCGGGTCAACGCCGGAGGCGGCGCCACCGTCACCCTCACCGAGCGCCCTCAGGATTGGCTTCACGGGTAGACAACAGCAAGGCACGAGGCGGGAGAGCACAAAGCACAGCAGGCGCTGCTACAGCGCGGGGATAAGGAGGTAGTGGGGGACAGGAGGTATCATTCCAGGCCGCGGGCTCCTCTACGACAACGGCGGAGCGGCACGCGACCTCAGCGTCTCCCTCAGCAATAAGACGGGCATAGAAACAGGAAACAACGGGGAAGGCCCTTTGCGCCCAGGATTCAACGGAGCCAAAGGGCGGTAAAAAAAAAAGCGGCTTTCTTACCTCCATCGCGGGCCACTTCGCGGCGGCTATCCTTGACCGCAAGTTTTCTTTTTCTTCCTTCTCTCGACGCTTTCTTGCTCCGAGGCTGAGCTCGCAACGGGGCGATTGGCGGAAAGCCTAATGCCGGGAGGATAGTTTGCGCGCCCGTCCTGGATCATGGCCAGTGTTAGTAGCCCGCTCGTGGGAGTGGATGCCCAGGAGGAATTCAGGCGCTGTCTCGGCCAGGGCTCCCGCCCCCTTTGCGTGCAAGAGCAGCCTACTACTTACTATTTCCGTCTCATTCGCCGGTCCGGGCAGTTCTGGATGCATCAAACTGGGGGGCGTCAGCCGCGTCCGGGGCTGGGCAGTCAGCGAACATCATCTCTGACTTACCGGATCCCGAGATAAGAAAATCGGCAGGGCGAAGGAGGCAGTGCGGTGGGTGGGCTGTTCTCCGTAATAATTTATTATTGGGCAGCTCGCTGGGTCGCCGTGGATGTCAGGATGGCCGAATCCCAAGCAAACTACATAAACTCACTAGTTAGTATCTCGGGGCGGTCGTTCGATTTAGCCTTGCGTCCACAAGCGCGGATTAACTACCCGAACTCCTGGCATCGAGCCCTGGTCAGCAAGGCCAGCAAGGCCCGTCAGAGAGCAGAAGCGGGTGGCGGTTGAGTTCACCACTTGGCACAGCCGGTAAGACCAAGCCTGCCGACTACAGCTGATATCGGTACTCCGTGCTTTCGGAGTGCTCTGTACCTGACAGTCTGACTAGCAAGGAGAACTAACAGCAACTAGTTAGTTAGCTAGTGAGCTGGTGCACAGACACCAAGCAATAACAGGCCGGCAGTGAGGTGGTTTGTGCTTGTGTCGGCAGTGCAGACTTGTCCCCGGCAATGCAGAGACTGAATCGGCATCACAACCTGTGCTTCTTAACTAACTATATCTTTGAGCCTGCTTTATCGCCCCATGGCAGCTGTTTACTGCGAGTGGTTGAGTCTGAAACAGGTATTGGTGACGGCAATGCCCAGTATACGGAGTAGTTAGTTAACTATATGTAGGGATGATATGTAGTTAATTAACTCCCTAGTTGGTCGTGCTCCCGAGTGACGTGCAAGGACAATGCTGTGCGGTCTCTAGAAAGAGTGTTCTCAACGCCATACATCCAGCTCTACTGCATACTTCTATTTAAAAAGTGGCCCAAGAGAGTTTCACCACACCTGATGCCCGCATTTCATCCTCATTTTATTGTTTTGTACTTCATATAACTAATGGGTTGTTAGTTGGCTGGTTTAGGTGCTTCATCTGACGCGCGCTAGTTAGCGGCCTCGTTAGTTAACTAGCCGGCTCACCCACACGGCGTCATCCGCTTTTCGCCCGCTTCCCCCTAACCTGTACTCCGTATACCTTAGCAATCCCAGCAGCCTCGCAGTTTCTGGCCTGGCTTTGGTTTCACGGCGTGTCTTCTTTCTCGGTTTAGCTTCTTAGCCTAGCCCAGCCACTGCAAATGACGACTCTTGTGCCCCGCGAGCCATACTCGAAAGAGGAGCTGCAAAAGCTCTATCCTAAGGATCTAGAGCTACAGTTCGTTCAAGTCGTAAGGCGCTCTTTTCTTGCTACTGCTCCGTGAGCTCTTGGATTCTAACATCATGTCTTAGTTTTTACGGCATGGTACCGTCCCCTCCCCCAGCCTCTCCCATGGCCGCGTATTCACATCCACCTAGGGGAACGAACGCCAGTCTCTGCAAGATTCCAAAATGTATCTACATCGTTTCCTGCAACCAGCCCCATAGAAAAAAAATTGCCAGCTAACAATGAACCTAGGCCGGACTTCATCCATGTATTTGACTCCACCTCCCCGAAATAACCTCGAACTCGATATCTGAGCCAACATGTTCCAGACTGGCCTTATTGCAGTATTGCAAGGAAATTTGCGTCTATGACTGCGTCGGCTGATGATTTGTCAACATGGAACGAGTTCCAATGGCGCCGAAAGATGGAGAAATTTGGTAACAATGACCAGGCGCTGCTAGCTGTCGGGCCGAGCGGAGAGAGCGATAATATCTGGCAAGTGAATGCTCCAAGGGAGGCGTTGAAGTTACTGAAGTAACCGTGTTCTAACAATGGTTCTAAAGCCATCTTGGCGAATTGACGGATAAAGGACGGCAAACGACCTTCGCTCTGGGCCGCCGCTTAAGACATCTCTATGTAGACCAGCTAGGATACATGCCTCAGGTTATCTCGAATGCCGAGCGCCTGTATCTACGCTCCACACCCATCCCACGCGCTCTCGAGTCGCTGCAGCAGACATTTTGGGGGATGTACCCTGGGAGTGCTCGAACTTCCGACTTCGTCCCTCCCACAATTATCCAAAGAACCCCAGCAGAGGAGACGTTATACCCCAATGAAGGAAATTGTCATCGCTTCAGACAGCTAGCCCGAATGTTTGCTCAGCGTGCAGCCGATAGATGTATATGCATCCTGTTTTAAGGCGGGCGGTATTACTTACGTGAAGCTAACGTACCCCCCTTAGGGAACACTACCGAACAAATGGACTACCTCAACTCTCTCTGGTCCAGATGGATGCCTGAGAATTCCCGCCGGGTAGCAGTTGACTCTCGCCCACGTCTATCAGGTATTTTCGACACAATAAACTCGACTCTAGCACACGGGCCTCAAACACGGCTTCCTGCCGAGTTCTATGATGCCAGGGGCCAAGAAGTAGCGGATCAAATGGCCATGGAAGAATGGTTTGCCGGCTATAAAGAAAGTAAAGAGTATCGCAAGCTTGGTATTGGCGCGCTGATGGGTGATATTGTGGACAGAATGGTTGCGGCAGGCATTGGAGGTGGCTGGTGGCCAACAACGGAGTCGAAGCGGGACAGCCAACCACCAGTAAAATTCACAATGAGCGGATGTCACGATACCACGATAGCTGCTATATTAACGAGTCTAGGTGCTTTCGACGACGCGAAATGGCCACCATACACAGCAAACATTGCGATTGAGTTGTTTAAGGACGTTGACAGTTCAGGACAGCGACACACGGCCCGCCCAGGAGATATCCTAGAGGAACTATCTAACCCTCTGCCTGAAAACAATAATAACAACAGCCAGTCTTCGCTCCTCTCCTTTTTCCGTCGCTCTACGACGCGGCCTAGCGCAACGCAGGGAACTCCAACCGATGTTGCGAGGGCTCCTATATCCGAACTTCCATCTCTTCGTAAGCACTACGTTCGCATTCGCTACAATGACCGGCCAGTAACAATACCTGGCTGTGCTGCAAGACCTGCCAATCACCTGCCGGGAGAGCCCACGTTTTGCACGCTGGAAGCCTTCAAGCAAATTGTAGATAAATATACTCCAAAGAACTGGAGAGAAGAATGCGGATGGAACACTGACAAGGGAATGTTTGAAGAAGGTGAAGATAGCGCAGGTTATTAGTTTGATTGAACATGTTTGGGTATACCTATATATTTGGGCAAACAAAATGATTGCTTATTCCTTGTTCTAAGGTAAGCAGGTTTTTCAGATGAAATCCATTGAGTGAGAAATAAACGCTAGAACACATGCTTTTTGTCTATCCGGTAATGCAATGGCAATAAACAACCTGGCCATGTTCTTATACATTAAGAGTCCGCAGCAACGTTAGATAGCAGCTACCACCCAAGAAGAGAGAACAAGCCAGGGCGACAGAGCCTAGAACTCGACTTCCGAAGCCGACAGGTGCTCTTTCAGTGCGGGCATATACGCCTCAGCATGCAGCGCGTCTCCAAGGCGGAGGCGCATATAGTCAAATGCAAGGACAACCGGGACGTCTTCTAGTACCTTAGGCTCGTTTACAACGTCCATAGCCGTCGCATTAGCCGGAACAAGGGTGTCGGCGTCGTCATGGATATCTTGTGTTGCAGGGATATCACGGACCGCGGTGGGCAGTGTAAAACCTTTCTTGAGGCTAAAGCTGGGTACAAACCCCGTCGTCTTATCCTTTTCTATCTTTGGCATCTCGCGGTAACGTTGACTGAAGTGCGTTAGAACGATTATTTTAGCCCGCATCTCTTTCCCCACCATGAGTGCTTCGCTGAGGGTGGAGTGCCTCTTTGCCAAAGCATCCGTCACCATGTCGTCCTCGAACGTTGCCTCGTGTAAAAGAACCGTGGAATCGCGCCCGATCCGAGTAAAAGGTTCAGATGGACGGCAGTCACCGGAATAAGAGATCTTTAGGCCGGAAGGAAATGTGAAAGAAACAGCTTTGGCGCCCTGGCAGTGTGAAACCGGCACAGTGAAAATCGAAGTCAAGCCAGTGGCAGATTGAAAGAGCGATTTAAAATCGCTTCTGGGAGAGTCAAAGTTGAACCATTCGCCGCGCTGTTCGCCAGTGGCTTGAATAACGAGACCGTTCTTGTCTCGACGATGAAGGGTGAGGACACTGGAGATGCGGCGGTTGGAATTTTCATATGAAGTCGGCGCTAGAGGAAGGATCTTGTCATAGCCATAATTTTCAACCTGCGAATATTCCGCAAGCCAATCGAGCATCGGTATATCCGAAACAATGCACAGTCTTTTCTCTCTTAGAAATTTTCCAAGATCTGTTTCAAAGTTTGCCTGTTTCTGGGGCAAAGCCCCAAAGACTTCTTCATACCACGCTTTAATAACTGATGCAGTTCCCAAGTGGTGATCGGCGTGCAGGTGACTGATCCATATTACCTTCAGCTCTTGCAAAACACTCTTTAGTTCTTCGGGGCTTAGAGCTCGTTTTAATTGCCCTAGTGTCCCCTCCCCACAATCAAATAGATAGGAGCCATGGCCGGGGATGCGCAACAATGTTGCTGAAACGTTTCGATACATAGAGGGAAGGGAAGAACCTGTCCCTAATGTGATAATCTCCGCATCACTATCGGGAATTTTCTGTCTCACATTTTTCATTTTCTGTAGGAATGTAGGGTTGGAAAATGTTTCTCGAACCATATTCGCATGCCCAGATGCTATAGAACTAACACTTTCCTTTATGCGTTCTACATCAACTTCACGTTCTGTCTGAGAGCTGTTGATGTTGAAAGTAGGTTCCAGATCAATGACCATTCCAGGTTCAGCAGCCCTGGTATTGGGCAGCAGAGTTTTCAACGCATGGCAAGGAGTGAACTTTGGAGGACTGTATCGATCACCGTCAATTTCAGAAAACTCGATTGTGGATCGTGCGACAGCTCTAAATGCAAGGTGATCCGGACAATAATCCGGCGAAGAAAAAATATGCTTCGCTTGTGCCATATTAGAAATAAACTCCTGGATTTGTGGATGGGAGCCGACATCTTTTCCAAGGATCCAAATAAATACAGTGATGCCTTTCATCACCTCAGTCGACTTCCATTCTGGTCTTTCAATGAAATTTTTGACATATTCAATTCCTGGAAGCTCGACTATCGCAACACCCTTCCCTACTCGAGTCTCTCCCAAAACCATATCTGGCGTGATAGTCCGCCCGTCGATTGACTGCACGCTTTGGTTTTCAGTTAGTCTTCTGTAATCAGGGCCCCGCCGAACACCTAGTTCTGCTGCTTTCTTTGCATCAAATTTGCCTCTAATGTCATGATTGCGGATGATATACGACATGGAGCACTCAGAAGGCGAAGTTGGAGGCAAAGACTCAACCAGCGCCCCCGGCCAGGGTTTACGGACGAGAACCCGTATATCAGGTAACGGTTCATTATCGCCTGGCTTAGGTCCAACATATGGCTTGATTTCTTGTGTTTCGGAATGTCGCACAAAAAGTGTTGCTGGGAGGGAAACTTCAGCTAGGGGCATTTCTACGAGAGTATCCATGCGCCAGTCGGAATTGAACATCTGTGAAACAACTGCCTGACGAGCAATTTGATCTTCCAGATTGCGTGACTGAGAAGGCAGCATAGAAGAACTGCGCTCCTCAAATTCGTCTAGGCTTCTCTTCCTTGGCGGACTCTGAGATCTGGTTGACGGCAGAATAGGGAGCGCCCATATTTTAAGATGATCATCGGATACAGCAGGAGTGTCAGACCATCGGGCAGTGGCACTATCAGATCTCTGCTTAACGGCGGCATCTTCATCAAATTCTTGAATACAGATAGGCACACCTTGTCGGCAGATATACCTTCTCCCAGTTGCAATAGTGTGGGCCAAGTTCGGTCCGCCATATAGTGATATGTGAGTCCGGTTTTGGGTTTCATACTTCAGTCTTTCATCCCGGCGCTTCTGAAGGCCAATCTCTGCTCTTCTTCGAGATACTGGGTCAGTGGCTGCCTTTCTCTGTGTTTCTAATTCAGCAATTTTTGCATCTATCGCTTCAAGAGGCGTTGACAAGGAGTTCGACAGAGTATCAGACACCGTTAGCAGCATGCCCATGAGGCCACCGTGCGTCGACCATGTTGTTTTTCCGGTAAAAAAAATATCGGTGACGCGCGACAGTTTGATACCACGCTCAACACAAGCCCTTTGAGTACCTTCCGCTAGATTCCCGAAAATATACCTTTTATCATCGAAATGAAAAAGTATGGCGGTCCCAGGGGTATCGGCTGCAGGGGTAGTGATGAATTGTATAAAGGTCTTCATTGGAGAGGAATCGTGAGGAGGCTCGCGCGTAGTAGGATGTAGCGAAAGGCTTCGGGGGTCAATAATCCAGTACTTAGGCGAAAGCCTGGAAATATATGACTGGGGATTGGAGGTGGTAGTCTTTGAGTCATCCGAGTGACTTGTTCGTATAGCAATGTTTAAAAATCTGTGTGACGAGGGATGAGGAAGGATCTGCCGGGTTAGTAGCCGCGAGAAAATACTCCAGTTAACAATGTGCGGGAAGAAAACACCTGCGCACAGGCTGGCAACGATCGATGCCGGAGCTCGCACCGGCGACCCTAAACCAGCCAACTTGTCGGTTTGAATCACGTCAGGCAGTCACCAATGAGGATGGATGTGCAGCAGCAAAATATGAGAGCGCGCCACAGATGCCAGGATACGATAAAAAAAGTTTTCTATGTGGCAACATACGCATAGATGAGTATTCTTTGGGTGTGTTAGCTAGTGCAATACAGAGCAGAAGAGCATATCGCATTCAGTAAGAATTACCTCTGCACGTAGGTTTGATAGCCCGGAGCTATGAAGGGCCGATGAGATGAGTCAGCACTACGGACCGATAATTATCCATCCTTGGCTTTACGGAGTACTCCGTACTTCATGCAGATGCAATAAATAATGAACCTTTAGAGCTTCTTCTGGCGGGGTGATGATCTGACGGTCAGACGCCCAAAATTTGCACGAGCTGCAGGCAATCGACATGACTACAGCTCGCATGGCTGGCATTTGCACGTGGCATCGCCGATGATCGTTAAGTTTCCACAATGCTTCTGGACAATGCCGAGTACAGAGTACTCTGCACAATAATGATAATAATGTATCCCCTTGAAACCCTCCCCACCATGACTCCGGTAGTGTTTTCACCCAGGGATATGATACCCAACTTCTTAGAGGCGCAGCAGATGGCTAGTTGGTTCAAGAATGCCTACTATTTTGGAGCAGCGGGTGCTGGGTTAAGTGTTGAACTAGAAAAGAACAACGGCTTGAAGTGAAGAAGGTGGAGTAAGATGACCCTGAGTTCCAAGATTCTAGCATCGTGAGAAAGAACGATATGCCACGAGGTTCCCAATAATTAATAATGCTTGGTAAAACTGAGATGGCTAGGGAATCAACCTAGAATCCGAATGTTCTTCTCCGTACTACCATACCACATGTGATTCTCAAGAGTTTACTCCATAAATAACCCATTATTATTGTCCTTGCACGAATATTGATTTAGCTGAGCTATATTCCGTAAATTTTCTATTCCGCAACCTAGGTAAAGTGGCATGCGAAGATAAGAGTAAACACCGAAATTACAACGCCGGCGGGAGAACGGCGAAATAAGGTGCTGTGCAGCGAACCAGTGAATAATGGGTCCAAGGGTCTTGACATATAACTATCGGTTATACGGGGGTGTATGGGCAGTTAATGCTTTCTACCAAGGAGCAGTAAAGACTGTTGTGGCGTCCCGGTAGTACTCCGTGCTCTGTAGTGATTTTCCTACTATCGAAAAGGAGACGAAACGCAAACTGCGGAGTAGTCGGCTGCCGAGCATAATCATGGCTGGCATTGGAAGAATGGCAGAAGATTCCTCAGTCTTGGTCTATTGATATGGAGCAGCGCCAACAAGCTTCAAAGGGGGCCAGTTCAGACTTTCTGATACGGACCCTGAAATAAACGTTGCCATGAGAGGACCTCCAGAGTCCAGGTCTGATCAGCGGGCGGGATGATAATAATAATGGGACGGAAGGATCTCTTGATAGGCTTAAGTATTAAAGCCACTGCTAGAATCTGCTTGTTTCGGCCACTTGGCGCGTGAGGTTGAAGCTTCTGCGATTACGGAGCACAAACCGACTCCGAAAATAAACCGGACTTTAGGCGGCTCACACGTGTCCCTTTCCAACGCCGCCTACGAGCCGTGTGATGGGGGTAACTAGTACTTGGTAAAATTAGCATCATTGATATTATTTATTATTTCGTCGTAGTACGGAGTAGTGAAGTGACAAGAAACAGAGGGTATGGTGCGACTCACGGTGCCTATGCGCACCATGGCCAACGGAAATGAGCCTGCGGGGCGAGATGGTCCATCTCTTGCGGGGCAGAGCAATAATCAAATAAAACTGGAATTCCGCAGCGTCGACCCAAGGGCCACGGTGACAAGCAGACCCCGCGGCCAACATCCTGCTGGTGCAGCTGATGGAGCGTTGCACCTGCGTGCCCCCTGGGTTCTCAGCCGAGAAAAGGCCCGAGTCGAGGCAAGCTTTGACGTGGGCGGGGCAGCCAATCACCGCCGCGATGCACAGCCCCAGTTTTCAGCCCTATCCCGGCCTAGCGCGGCCCGCCGATACCGCTAGTGTACAGTGCATACACAGCGCCCGCCAATCGCGGCGCGGGTGGGCTCTGAAACATGCTCAATGTAACTTAGCTCCACCAATCATGCACGGGCTACCGCTTTTTAATGTGACGGGAATCCTGCTGCCTGCGCTGCACCGCCATGCCCGCCCGAAATACGCTGTAAAATACAGGGGGCCACGTAACGCTCTGGCTGTGTTAGTCAGGCCAGTCTTGGCTTCTCCTTGAGGATCCGATGGTTTCATTCCCATTCAACAACAACAGCATCAACCACCCCATTCCCCCCCCCAAAGTGACTCGCAACTGCGCTGCATATCAGTGCTTCTGGGCATTCGTTTTTTAACTTCTCTCTGTTCTTTGACCGTTGGACCTTCCTCCACTTTGCTCAACTCAGTGTCGCCCAGCTCTCCTTGCGTGTCACTGACATTATTACTTCGCCATCATGGCCGCAACTGGAGAACTTCCCCTCGCGATACACGTCCCTTCACCTGCCCCTAATTTCAACTCTTGTTATGATACCAGTGACATGGACGCCTACATCAACTTCGAGCCTGTATACCCTTCTCCCTCGCTGTCGCCCCCTACTGAAACCAAGCCCGTCAACCCGCAGCCTCTCTCGCATCCATACCAGCATTCGAGCAATTTATCTCAGTCTCCCGCTTCAACTAACGCCTCGTTTGCCTCGAACACCCAATTCCCTCAACAGGCATCGTTCAACGCGCCGAGTCATCAATACGCTTCCTACCAACAGCAGACGGGCTTACCAATGGGCGCTCTGGCCAACACTGTCGCTCTCAATCCGGCACTGAACATGAATATGGGATTTCCTGACCCTTCGCTTCGCCCTGCGGATGGCTTTGGCCTAGTTAGCCGACCAGGAGACTATCTCTCTGGAAACCAAAACCCAGTGATGTCCTTCCCTTCTGATCCCGTGGATATGGATATGGAGTCGGATCCCACTGGCTTGTCTCATACAGACATGCTCTCCTCTCAGCCCTCGAAGGCCCAGTTTGTCGACCCCATTACTCTTGGTAGCCAAGAGCCGGCACCAGTAGCCTCTACTAGCCAAGTAGGACGAGTTTATCCCGGCATTCATCAACAGGCTGCAAGAGCCAGAGCTGCTCAGCAACAACGACAACAGGAGCTGATAAGACGCCAACAGCAGCAACATCAAATTGCGCAAAACCAAGCACCCAATCATTCTCGCCTACCTAGTCGCTCGCATCAACCCAAAGTGAATCGTCCGGTTGATCCAGTTGTTGAAGAGCGCATCTCTCGGCTCCTGCAACAAATGAGACAGAGCAGTGTTGCTGCCCGTGAGGATCAGCCAACAGTTTCAAACTCTCTACCGCAGCCACCAAGGCAGAAAAAGGACGAGCAAGACATGGATGAGGATGAGCGACTTCTTGCCAGTGAGGAAGGCAAAAAACTAAGTAGCAAGGAACGACGTCAACTACGCAACAAGGTCTCTGCCCGCGCATTCAGATCTAGAAGAAAAGGTTGGCCTTCTTGCAGTACCTGAGCTTTTCCAGATATTAACTGTTTTGCAGAGTATATTGGCCAACTAGAAGGCGAGCTTACTGCTAAAACAAATGAAGCAACTGACCTTCGATTACAAAACCGAGCTCTCATGGAGGAAAATGCTCGTCTAACAGATCTTACTCGCATGCTTCTCTCGTCCCCTCAATTCGCCTCGTTTTTGAATGATGTTAGCAGAAACGGACTCCCATCGCTACTGCAAAAACAACCATCTTCGCAGCCAAACCAATCGTCAACTGATCCTTTGAATGATGCGAAATCCGTGCATCATTCCCAAGACGGCCAGACTCAGAACCCCCAAACCACGTTACCCACCGTCACTGAGGATCAATTTGATTTCACTTCATTGGAGTCTGGATGGAATTCTGGAATTGATGTCAACTATGCCAACCCCACTGTCCTTGCTGTCCTCGAAGTCCCCGAGTGCCCCAGTGTCGATGCTACTGTTCTGTCAGGAAAAGGTTCGATAGTAGCCACAAGTTTCTCAAAGGAAGAAATGAAAGATTTGGCCCCTCATTTCTCACACCTTGAGATTGACAACCACAACTCTGGAAGTCAGGAGGAACATGCTTCTTGCGCTGTCCATGTGGACGATAACAATCCTTCGTTTGCACTCTACCGTGACCAACCCAACAGCGAGTCGGGTTCCGAAACATTGGAAGGTCTGTCGAGGGAGCCTGAACAAGAGAAACGGTCCGCTCACTTTGACCTTGTTGTCGACTCTGATATTTCGGAATTAGGACTTTCGGATCTACAAAATAAGCGCCGGTTCGAGCGATTTCGATCGAACTTGGAGGGCGCGTTCCAACGCCTATATCGTGCCACTTTGCACCTGGAATAAGAATATGGTATAACGAATCTCCCTTACTCTGCTGCTCATTCATTTCTTGATTTCTTTTTTTTTCTCCGATTTTCTCCATGTCAGCTTTTTGTTTTGCGTTCGGGCGTCCAAATGATTCTCGACCTGCTTTGCCATATGACATACTCGGCCTACTTTTTCAATAGACTCTCCTAGCCTTGGGTTTTCGATTATGAGCGGCTGCATTGATTCTGCCTCTTTTAGGATATCACTCTGTATTTTGAACCTTGTTTATTTTGGTGAATGTTTGCACATATGAATGTCAAAGCTGCGACCGGGAGTTGTGTATCAATCCACATTTTTTCTTTTTAACACCCTGTATTTAGGGCTGGTGTCTATTCCAATAAAATAAAATAATAATGAGACAATCACCATACATATTATAATTCAGAACACTAATATAAACGATTTTGCCCTATACCTCACTGACAAAGCTATTGCCGGATTAGCGATATTCCGTCATTTGATGACGCCGGCCATTGCTAATTGGAGGAAAAAAAAGCTCTCCCTCTTTGCATCTCGCGCTGAACAAGCTGTGTACGGAGTCATTATTTGAGTAGCCCTCGCGCCGTTTTTCTTTTCTACAATATCCGGCAAAGATAGCAACCACGTATCTGGCTTTCTCTCGCTCCATTAAGCCCCTGCTGCGGGGCCAACTCGGCAGGATGTCTACAGCAGCACAAATCAGCAATGCCTCGCGCAAAATGACTGGTAGAGAGTTCTACCAGAGCTTAGGAAGCCCAAAAATGATACTGGCTCCAATGGTAGATCGCTCAGAGTTTGTGTGTGACTGCGTCTGCTCCGGCCTAGATAGAGGGGTTTTCAGCTGACAATCGGTTTACAATGATAGGCGTGGCGCATGCTCACCCGTTCTTTCGTCGGCGAGAAATCGTCCGGCCACTTACTGGCTTACTCGCCAATGCTGCATGCGCGTCTATTTAAAGAGCGTCCTGCATACAGAAGCCAGCATTTCGAGGCAGTCCGCGCACACCCCAGTGAGGAAAACAATGGTGCAGATTCTCGATGGTTTCTGGATGGAAACCCGCGCATTGACCGTCCGTTAATTGTCCAATTTTGTGCGAATGAGCCCGATGAACTTCTTGAAGCTGCTAAACTTGTCCAACCCTACTGTGATGCTGTAGATCTAAACCTTGGGTGTCCACAAGGAATTGCGAAAAAGGGCCGCTACGGTGCATTCTTACAGGAAGAACCGGATTTAATATATAAACTTATAAATACACTACACACGGAACTGTCGATTCCCGTAACGGCAAAATTTCGCATATTGGAGACAAAGGAGAAAACGTTAGAATACGCAAAGATGATCCTTTCCGCAGGCGCAAGCTTTATTTCCGTGCATGGGCGGCGAAGGGAACAAAAGGGACACAATACTGGCGTTGCTGATTGGTCGTATATCCGTTACTTGAGGGACAATTTGCCCCCTGATACTGTGATATTTGCGAATGGAAACATTTTAAACCACGATGATATCCAAAAATGTTTGGAAACCACTGGTGCCGACGGTGTCATGAGCGCAGAGGGGAATCTATCAGATCCAACAATTTTTTCACACCCACCTCCAATAGGAGAAAAAATCCCTGGGTATTGGAGAGGAAGAAATAATAAAGGGGGATACAGATTGGATTTCATTCTAAGAAGGTATATGGATATAATTTATAAGTATGTCCTTGAAACGGCGCCGCCGAAGAGAAAACCGCTCTTTGAGACTTCCTCTGCAGCTTCCGACCACTCCACCAGTGAACTAGAAGAGAAAATTCTGCCGCCTGAGCAAGAAGACGGGCCTCCCAGGAAAAAACAAAAGAAGAGCAAGGATCAAAAAACGGTATCGCCTAATCTCTGCCCAATGCAAGGCCATCTGTTTCAGCTGCTCCGTCCACTTGTTTCAAAGAAGACTCATGTTCGTGACGCACTCGCAAGGTGCAGAGCGGGAGACATACCAGCTTTCGAGAACGTTTTGTTACTTGTAGAAGAAGCCGTCAAGGAAGGCATACAGGAATACAATGCAACCCCAGAATTGCACGATGAATCTGAGGAACCTCAAGATGCAACGCTGAATGGTTCCAAAGCAACAATTGCGAAGTACAAGCGGCCATGGTGGGTTTGCCAGCCGTATATTCGGCCGCTGCCTGAAGAAGCGATGGAGAAAGGTGCCCTGCAACTGAAAAAGAAGGGACGAGCAGAGATCAATAAGGAAGCAAAAGACAACAATCTTGAATTGGAGGCAGAGATTGTCACACCAAAGGACCAACTGGTCAGCGGTTGAACCTTGCAATCATTCTTTGCACCTTACATCGTCAGGTTTCACGAACCAGCATAGCGCTCGAGGCGGCTAAACCTATACCCCTTTCACGCAGATATGGATGTACATACGGAGTGCATACACACGTTCCATGGCCTGTTGAACCTGCGTCCTGATGAGCGTGGGAGATATATTATTTTATTGATCTAATAAAACGCCAATGCGTACGGGGTACTCGGTACTCTGTACTCCTGGCACGGAGGCATCCGTTTTTCCTACGTTCCATACTTGTTTTGGCTAGATTCCACTCTTTATAAGATAGGGACCCCCGCATTTTTATACAGTGCTCTCGACACAGAGCCTGCGTGTTGGGCTCTGGTAACCGAATTCTGGTCCCACAGTCGTGTGAATGATTGTGTGTATGTATATAACACCTGCTTGCATCCCGCATTATAGAAAGCGCTTTCGAATTCCACAGCCCTCAGGCCTTTTCCCTCCGGCCGTGTCTCAGCAGCGAAAGCCACGAGGCTGCAAGAGACTCTCGCACAGGCCGCGCTAGCCGAATCTGGATTAGCCCACGCCAGCCCGCAGCCCCGAAGCGCCCTTATCGTCACGTGGAGATAAACAGCATCTGAGATCTTCGATCCAGGGGAGGGGGAAGTGTTTCGCAGCAGTCGCCTGCTCGACGACAAAGGACGCCGCGAGCAGAGGGGCGGCCAACGAGCCCGACGAACTACCCCGCGATCCTCGCCCGTCCCGCATCAGACGCAGAAACCAGACGTTTCTTCGCGCCGCTTGCCACGAGTCGCCCAGGCCCTTGGCGCACCCGAGATGTGGGGGACCCAACCAATAACGCGGAACCGAAGAAGGGCCATTCCAGTGTCCGACTCGGTTGGCGCCTCTCCACCGATGCGCGGGGGAGACTGTTCTGCAAAAGCGCTCGAGCCCTGGTCAGCTTCATGTGAGAGAGAACGTCGATTATAAGCTGGCTGTTGTCGCTTCCGGCCGCCCCTTGTCAAGGCATCTTGACCCCCTTGGTACCAGCCCTAATGTCCCGCGAAAGCCCCGGCCTGCCGCCTGTCAAGCGCCGCCGCTCGAAAGACGGTTGTCGTCCATGTCGAATCCGAAAGAAGAAATGCGATGGGAGGAAGCCCACTTGTGTCTCGTGTGAGCGAAACGTGCTGCTCTGCAGCTGGTTTCCCAATGCGTCGTCGGACGCTGCCGCAGAGCCGCCCATCAAATCCGAAAATCTCCTGGACTGGGCCGCACAGAATAAGAAGAGAAAACTGTCAATCTGTTCATCAGACGCTACCCCGCCAGACAGTGACTGCCTGCCCCCATTGTCATGGTGTTCATCGCAGGAGGGTGCCTCGCCACCAGTCTTCCGATCTGATATGGATGTTCTCGACATCTCTGGCCTACAACAACAGCCTTCTCTGGCGCCAATCTTCCGCTCCCCGATTTCTCTCCTCCTCTATCAGCACTGGGTAGAAAGGACAGGCGACGTGATGTCCGCCCACCGTGGAAAATTCAATGCCTTCAAGACCGAGCTTCCACGATTGGCTCTTGCATATCCCGACACTGTTCTGCAGAGTCTGCTTGCCTGTAGTGGCATTCATTACTGTAACGCTGGGAGGACGGCGGATATTGAAGCGAGTACCTGGACACATCTGGGCCTTGCGCTACGGTCGCTGAAATACGGCTTGACCCGATTTGTGGCTCAGCCAGGAGGCGATCCCATTCCTCTTTTGGCAACAGCCTTGGTTCTTTGCTTTGTGGAAGTATGAGCCGACCGTGACTGGTCTTTTAGTTATGCCCCGCGTGCTAACGTATCCTTCGCTTAGACAACAAAAGGCAACGACGGCGGCGTTCTGTCGCAACATTTACGAGCAGCCCACATATTGTTTAGTATGATACAATCGTCTCCATCATTGCTTCATATCGAGGATTCAATGCTTGAATTCCTGAAAGAATTCTATACGTATATTCTTCGAATCACTGAACTAAGCAACGACTCCCAAACCGTCATTCTTCACGGCTCAGTATCCCACGTTCCTCCCACAAATGAATTTTCCTGGCTCAGTGGTAAAAGCTACGGTATGCTGGTTGGCTGCTCATATGAGCTATTTGATATGATTCCTCAGGTATCGGCTCTGGCACGGCGAAAACGACAGAAAATCAAAGAAGCTCAGAAGCAAAGGTCGCGTGGCTATGGGTCGACAGTCCCGGAGGGCAGTGATGCGGATGAGATGGCTTGTCGTATCTTGAGGTCGCGAATTTTAGCCTGGCGACCGCCTCCAGATGCTCGTCCAGATTTCGTCACTTGCGGCCTTATCTACCAACAGGCTATTCTCTGTTACCTCGATACAGCATTTTCGAACCCACCCTTGACGGCCCAATCACCGCTACCGGATTTTGTTCTCCAGCGGCTTGACCGCTTTGTAGTTCTTCTTGATCAGCTCCCCGCCGATGCCCCTATATCGCACACCATGTGCTGGCCCTTGGCAATGTTCGGGAGCCTGTCGCGTCGGACGGACCACCGGAAACTCATACTCGACCGGCTACAGGCAATGTGGGAACTGCTTCGGCTCGGCAACATCCGAACCACCATGAACTTCCTCAAGAAACTGTGGGAGGATAACCAAGGCGACGGGAGCGCCCACACGCCCTCCGCCGAGTGTATCCGGATTGTCAGCCCTGGCGCCAAGGCCTCGAAACGTAGGCGTGGGTTGAGAATCATTCATGACAACAGTGACATGGAGGCTTTGATGAAGAAATACGAAATAATGTTCTCGTTTGCTTGATTTTGGCGGCGTCTCATCTTGCATTATTACTGTGTGGCTCTCAGTTGCTACGGCGCCGGTTTTGGCCAGTTGTATTCCTTTCCCCTGTATCTTATAACTACGCAAGCATTGGCCCGGAGCGCACTGGATCGTCTGTCTCACCGATCGGTTTGTTTTTTAATTTTATTTTATTTTTTTGGCTCTCCACGACCAAGGATCGGCGCGGGGGCGCCTCGCCCTATGCGCAGGGTGGAATTACTTGCTTGGAATATTCGGAATGCGGATTTTGGTTTTTGTTTTTTTTGTAGTGGCCCATCCGCAAAAAACTACTTATATAGCTATAGTCGCTATTAGGCGGACATACAAATAACAGGCTCTGTTCCCCTCGCTGGGCCCTGCATTCTACTCGCGTGTGGGTGTGCCTGCTGGGGAACCAGCACGAGGCCTTGCAAGCATGACCTGGCCTTGCTCTCGACCCCAACAAGCTTTGCTCCCGGTCAGCCCGCAGCTGCAACTGACGCACTGCGCTCACAAGGCTGAGGCTTTTGCGTGGCGGACGGTCTTGCTTGATGTCATTGGGTAGTTGGCAGGGTTCGGCTGCTTCACTCAATCCGCCCGCGCTCTGCTGCTTTTCTCACAGTCCGGAGTCTCGCGCAAAACGCAGCGAGCAGGAAGCGGTTCTTCGCCATCGCCATGGAAGACACGCTCTCGAATGACTCGCTGGCTAGCCAGCCTGCGAAAGATATCCCCGTTCTTCAATCGCCCGCCTCCTACCACCAGCAACAGCGAAAAGATGCCGCCAGGGCAAAAGAGAATAGGCCAGGCCCGAAGCTGCGAAACGTCTCGGCCCCGAAAAAGAGCGATGCGATCCTCATTGAGCTTCAACGCGGCGCCCCGACGGATGATTCTCGACTGAAAATGGCGTCAGCAAAGACACATGGCCAGAAGGAGCTGTCGCGGCAGCGGAATAAATACTACCATGAGGCTTTTGGGTTGAGGGAGCCGTACCACAGCTCGCGCAATCGAGTGAATCAAGATTCTATTATTGTGGTAGAGATAAAGACAAACCTTGAGGTAATAATACTGCTTGGTCCGAGGGGCTTCTTTCTGTCATACTAGCTTGCTGACTGCCCTGCTGGTTTAGCTAGAAGATGCTCCCAAGGTCATCTCGGATATGACGTTTAATTTTGCTCAGATTCTTCAACGCCCCGAAAGCTCTATGATGATAGTTCTGGACGATAGTACCTTGCTTAGATTCGGGGCGACCGCAGAGCCCGCGTATCTGATGAAGGTCTCCGCGCTGTCGCAAATGATCGCACCAATGATGAATATGCGCCATACGGCACTGATGCAGGCTGCTATGGCTGAAATCTTGGATATCCCCAAAGATCGAGGCGTTATCAAATTTGAGTCAATGTCAGAAGAAAACTTTGCTACCAACGGCTCGACCATCAAGGATGAAATACAGCAGCTCGATCGAGCCTCGCATGAAGATACAGGCCTTATAAAGACCCTATCTCAGTCAATGACCAGGAAAAATAAATCGAGCGTGAAGAAGCCACCTACACCTGTGGAGCAAATACATTCTTCCCCGCTCGCCCAGACCCAAAAAGTACAGATAGACAGTGGTTCTCGTGCTAATGGCGCCTCTCGAACGTCTCCCACTGCACCTGACGCCGAGAAACGGATAAAGAAGTACAAGAGCCTTGCGAAATTGTTTTCTCATTGATCTTATTCATGAATTTATCTTGGCGTTCAGGTAATTTTGATTCATTGATCAAAGTTATTGAGTATGGGAGTAGCGGTACAGGAGGAGTTCAAACAAAGCGTCTTTTTTAGTATGCAACCACACCATTATATCCATGTCAGATTAACCAAACATGACTTCTTCGTCGTGGAAAACTTCGTTAATGGCTTGTAAATGCGGAGTGGAAACGTCCCGGGAGCGCCGGGGCATCATGATTATGTTATATCAATACTTTACCCAAATATGTTACAGGTTTGTGAAAGGCTCAGCTGGTACCAACGCAAACCTCTGATACTATAGACAGTTTGTTGTCCAACAGATCTAGGTTCCTGATGGCATTCCATCTTTTTGGACTTCACTGAGTTCGTAGAGCACACACAGTTAACAGCTATATGGCGCTCCAGTGTCCGTCTGGAAACCACTACAGTGCATTGCCAGTCTCATTAGGCTCATCCATTATCAGGTACAGGGTGGTTGCCGAAATCGTTAGCGGTCCATTCACAAAAACTTACCCTCAGGAAGGCCAGCTGCGAGCACAACTTCTACCTGCTGCATTGAAAAACCGACTGACTTCGGCATTGGGAGGTATCCGCCTTCGGCTTTCCGCCACGATCGACATTGTCACGAGGAGAACAATGGACATAGTGAACGGGCTGTCGCATAGATATCCTTAAGAAAGGGGTATTGGTGGTACTGCCGCAGTATCACGATTAGAAGCGCAACTGCCGACAGTTTGTACAACGGGTCTGAATTTATAGGGTTTTCTATAACTGTACTGAGTATCGCCCTTGGTTAGCCAGCAGCAGTTTTCGGCGGGTATATAGTCAATTTATAGCGCTCAGCGTACGTGTTCGAAAGTACCCCGTAGGCATTCCAAGAACGGCTGTATAGGCGTTGTCTCGTTCTTAAGGATATCCATGCTTACTATGGCAACCTTCGCTCGCCGCCTGCCTAAAACTCCGGAACGCTTCGGGCCGAGTCCAGGCCTTTCAATCCGGCCGGCCATTAACGGTTGAGGTCATCTTGACGTCTGCTTGGCTGCTGATTGTCGACCACCCAGAAGATTTGCCCAAGCTCTCGACATGGGCCATCTCACCACTGTCGCGTAAGCCGTTCGCTATCTTGGAAACAAACCCGGCTAATGCCTACCCCAGGACCTGCAGCTTGAACCAATGGGCCCTCGACTGGGAGGGCAACTTAGCCCGCATAGTCGAGTCTATCAAGCGCGCAAAAGCCGCTGGTGCCAGGCTGCGCGTAGGCCCTGAACTTGAGATCACCGGCTACGACTGCCTGGATCATTTTCTGGAAAATGATATCTACCTCCACTCCTGGGAGATGATGGCACGGCTCCTAGCCAACGAAGAATGCCACGGCATCCTCTTGGTGTGCAGCGCTCTTTATTCGTTGCGGCTTGCTCTGACCTGACTCCAGGACATTGGAATGCCGATTATGCATAGAAACCTTCGCTTTAACTGTCGAGTACTAGCAATAGACGGCAAGATTCTACTAATTCGCCCCAAAATTTGGCTTGCCAACGATGGCAATTATCGAGAAATGCGGTATTTTACCCCATGGGAACGCCCTCGCCACGTCGAGGAGTACTACCTACCACGCATTATCCAGGAACTTCAAGGGAGTATGAAAGTCCCTTTTGGGGATGCTGTCATTTCAACTCCAGATACGTAAGTGCTCAAGCCAACTCCATTACGTATTGAGCTGAGGGATTTTTTTAAGCTGTGTCGGCGCGGAAACGTGTGAAGAGCTGTTTACGCCTGCTGGCCCACACACTGAAATGGGTCTGAATGGCGTCGAGATCTTCACCAACAGCTCTGGATCTCATCATAATTTGAGAAAACTTGACCAGCGTGTCTCTCTCATCCTTGAGGCGACTCGGAAGAGTGGAGGGATATACCTTTATTCCAACTTGAAAGGTTCGCCTTTGCTGTGATGTTTCCCAGCACTTTGCATCTTATTGATTTAATAAATAGGAGGTGGTGGGGAAAGATTGTACTATGATGGCTGCAGCATGATCGTCGTCAACGGCGAGATCGTTGCCCAAGGTTCTCAGTTTTCTCTCGATGACGTTGAAGTTGTTACCGCAACTGTTGATCTTGAGGAAGTTAGGGCATTTCGTTTTGCCCCCAGTCGAGGCTTGCAAGCAGTTCGGACTCCCGAATATAAGCGCATCGAGACACATTTTTCTCTCTCCGCGGAAAGTAAGCGGCTAGCTCTTGATCTTGTTTTAACACCTCCTCGCCCTCTATGGTCCCATCGCCCCGAGGAAGAAATTGCCTTGGGCCCAGCGTGCTGGCTATGGGATTATCTTCGTCGCTCTCGACTTTCTGGCTTCCTTGTTCCCTTAAGTGGTGGCATTGATTCCTGTGCTACTGCATTGATTGTTTTTTCAATGTGCCGCCTTGTTGTTGAGGCCATTGAAAATGGAAACCAGCAAGTCATCGACGATACGAGACGTATTGCCGGGCCTTATGAGAACCAAGGGTGGCTACCAAAATCCCCTCAAGAGTTATGTCACAACATTTTCCATACTATATACATGGGAATGGCCACGCAGTCATCGAAGGAAACGAGAACCAGGGCCAGAGATCTATCTAAGGCAATTGGTGCCTACCATATCGATCTCGATATTGACGAAATTTTCAATGCTCAGAAAAATACTTTTACTAAGGCTACCGGATTCGAACCAAATTTCAAGGTATACGGTGGAACCCAGGCAGAGAATCTGGCACTCCAGAATATTCAAGCCCGGACGAGAATGGTCACTGCATACGAATTCAGCCAACTCCTTCCAACGGTCCGAAAGAGGCCAGGCGGAGGTGGTTTACTCGTATTAGGTAGTGCCAATTGTGACGAGTAAGTTATTTTCAATTTCTCCTAGTCAATTTTATATATTTATCAAATATCTTATTAACGCAACTGAACCAGGGCTCTTCGAGGATATTATACCAGATATGATTGCTCATCCGCCGATATAAACCCCATAGGCTCCATTTCAAAATCAGATTTAAGGAGATTTATTGCATGGGCAGAGAAGGAATTTCAATTACCGATATTGAAAGAGTTTCTGAACGCAACTCCTACAGCGGAGTTGGAACCCATAACAAAAGACTATGTACAAGCCGACGAAGTAGATATGGGTATGACATACGATGAGCTCTCAACGTTTGGAATATGTCGAAAAGTATTAAAATTAGGCCCATACGGTATGTTCGAAAAATTACTACATGAGTGGAAAAATCTAGCTCCACGAGATGTGGCAACGAAGGTCAAGGTGAATAGCAGATTCCGAATCTACATGATTTCCAAGCGGCTCTAACGCTCTTTGCAGCGATTCTATCACTATTACGCTATTAATCGCTTTAAAATGACTACATTGACCCCATCGTATCATGCAGAGGCGTATTCGCCCGATGATAATCGATTGTAAGCATACTGTTTATTGGTGGTTTGATGTTGTCTGATTTTTCTCTCTTAGTGACCTGCGCCCGTTTCTTCTCCCGCCACAATACTCGAGTCATCCCTTTCAGAAGATTGATCAGTTGGTAGAAAGAATAGAGAGTCGCGAGGCGAAGAAAAGCACTGAATAAGAGTAAGGCGTCTGGATTATGCTACGGACTACTCCTCCGTCACTTGATTAGTCTGGAATACCATAAGCCTGACAAGGATCAGTCTTACTTTCAACACAACCGTAGATGTTATCAGTGTGAATATCGAGTCTCGGGGCATCGATCGAAGTTTTGTCAAATAACTACTTCAAGCTTCTGAGGTTAGTTCTTACTTAAATTAGTTTAGGATGTAGCCAACCACCATCCCTTTTCTGCTCCCCATGACTGCTCCAGACAAAGTTGTTTTGGCCTGGCACGCTACTCTAGTGTTTCCTCTTTTTACACAAACATACAAGATCTGTATCTCATTGAAACAGCCACGGCCCACAAAGACCCATAGAAGATGGCCGTTGAGCTTCAAGGGGACCTATTTGACGCCCCTGACAATGCAGTATTGATACGTTAGTCTCTTATCCGCAATTTCCCGAAAAGATATCCTTGAAATCTGCTGATGGGGGTTTGGTAGATGCGTGCAATTGCCAAGGATCATGGGGGAAAGGGATTGCGGCAATCTTTCGGAATAAGGTACGGAGCACGGAGTACTCCGATTAAATTGGACGTTGAAGCATACCAAATCCTAACTCGATAGTAGTACCCAGCGGCATATCGTATCTACCGCGCTCATTGCCAAAAACACCTTCTAGAAATGAAGAAAATCTCCAAAGAGACATCCGGCGCTGTCTCGCATGGGTCGGCGGATGTATCTAGAACGCAACAACGCCATTCGAAGCAGTCATTAAGAACGCTTGAGGGCACAACTTTGCTGATTCGACCGCAAGCTTCAGACTACATAAGTGGCCAACGGAAACGAAGCTCGACTAAACACAAAAGAGGTACCCTTAGTACACCCGAGGAGGTCACTGGTAGGAAGCACTGGATAGCATGTCTGTTTACATCCTGGCATTACGGTTCAAAAAAAGGTATGCCGGATGAAGTTCTGGAAAATACAGCTCTAGCACTAGAAGATCTAAAAAGACAACTTGAAGAACTGCCATTACGGGAAAAAAATGAGACTGGGGGTTATCCGGCGGACGAGGAGGGGGATAATGGGAAGCTAGAGGAAAAGCCAACGGAACTATGGTCCTGCAGACTCAACGCGGGGCTTTTTGGCGTACCATGGGCGAGTACCAAAGAAATCATAGATGAATTGGGACTATTTATCACAGTTATCATACCGCCAGGAGAACCTTTGTGACGGGTGGGTGGAGTGTGCGGAGAGCAGGATCTGCGGATCCAGCATGTAGAATACACAGTAGTTCCCTTATACTGTTCCTAAACCTGCAAAGGACGAATCTGATAAAATGGTATATATCGTCGCTTGGTGCGAGGTTGACTCGTTTTGAAGCCAACTACCACGTAGTTACGGAGTACAGAGGGGGCCAAGTGATGGGTCACCTGACGTCGCGTTTCTTCCCAAAAGAGACGCGTCTGGCTGTCAGACCTTCATCCACCCAGCACTGCCGGGCGATATTTGAACGCGATGCCTCCGCCATCGAAACGCCCTCGACTTCCATTCAAGCCTCCACGGCCGGCTTCTAATACAGCGAAGAGTGCATCGCCGGCAGCATCAACGAGCGGCGCAAACTCAGGCAGGACACACAAGCCCAAGCCGAGTCGTCAACGTTCAAAACCGCAGGCTACACTTGTATCTGGTACACCACCTCCAAAGCCCATGGCTGCGTCACTCTCGGAAACAGCTGAAGCCTCTCCTTCGCCTGAAAATCGTCGTGCATCGTGCGAGCACTCAGTGGAATCCTTATCTTCCGACCCGGACTATATTCTCGCGGAAATTATACCGCCCAAAGAAGATAAAAGAACGCCGCTGGAAACTGCTGAGCCAGATTTTCCGCCCAAATTACTTGCAGCTATAATCCATCGACATATGAAACAGAAGGGAGAGAAGATGCGAATAACAAAAGATGCGAACAGATTGTACGCGAAATACATTGATATATTCATAAAAGAAGCTGTGGCCAGGGCGATACATGAGCGGCAAGAGACGCTTAAGACAGATGGTGTGGAAAGGGATAGAATTCGGAGCATGATTGACAGTTACCTTGAGGTATGTGTACCTACCGTTGATCAGAAGTGGCCTATTCGACCCGATCGTTTACTCCTTTTCCACAAATAGGTTGAGGATTTAGAGAAGCTAGCTCCGCAGCTGCTCCTAGATTTTTAGATGAAACTACGACGCCCCCCCCCTCCCCCCCAAATAATCCTATTAGCATCGGAAACCCCGTAGCTGGTGTGCCATTACTTAGGGTGCACACTGTGGACGGAGTACACCATATTTTCCACAGAATTGGCGATCCGTGGGACCGTGCCTACTTTAGATGATTGAAGCATGCAGGGAAAGCATGGCCTTGAAAAAATGTCCTTCTACGCTGTACTCCGTTCTCCTTACTTCATAGAGGTATGTGAAAAGGCAATGAGGATGCTGCCAACGAAGTCTATTATTCTTTGCTTCGCTAGCGACCCCTGCGCCTACAATTTTTATTAGCATTATTGTTCCGCCTGGACACAATTACTGTATGATATGTTAAAAGAGAGGGGGCCTGGGCGCATCTATTTCCAATGCAGGGACACTATGCGCTAACTACTACGATCCTTCATGGCCGCATGCCCTTGGCCGAGGATGGGCTTGTTAAATAAAAGAGACGGCTTGAGTCTGATGTGGAAATGATGGGCTTTATGGACGACCACCGGGCTGCCTGGATTGCGGGAATCCTGAATTTAACCTCAGCGACCAAACTCTCAGCCACCACATCTGTTAGTTAGTTAGCTGTCAGCGACAGCCCTTAAGAGCTTCTCCATGACTAGCCGGCCTAGCGTCGCTGAATTCGCAGGCAGATTTGCTTGTCCGCGCGTGAAGCCGGCTTGGCTCAAACAGGGATGCGACAGCGCTCAAACCTCAACGCCCTCACCATCGCCGCCTCCGGCACATCTGGAACCGCCACGCGAGCCGCACGAACCATTGGCCGTGGAATTTCCCGAAAGCATATGCGCCAGACTTAAAAGGCCTTTGCATTGGAAGCTTCAGTTTTCGGCAGCCTTTCACGCTATCTGAGTCCTGTTATGACGGGTTGTCCATAGGTGCACAATACCGAGTACATAGTTAACCTCTTCTACTCAGAATATACTGCTACTACCAGCAACGAAAGGATGGCGCTTGCGGCGTCTGCGTGGTCCGTGAACCAAGAAATGGTAATTTGTCCCTGACAGATCTAGCCTCGCGCGATGTTCCGCGTTTGGCGCTGGCACAATGCTCCGACAGGAACCGTCAGACACCTGCGCTAAGGCTTACCCTTTTCTGCCGTTACCTTTGGCTCTATTCCCAGTTGGATGCCTGTATCTCCCCTTTGGGACTCTTGGGCGCATCGAAACGGCAACTGGCGTGGCGTCGCTCCTGAGATGACGAGCCCCCTGTTTGGACTTGCTCGAAATCAAGGGATGAAGGAAACATGATATATGAAAAGATTTCCTGTCGCAGTCCCCTTTTTCCTCTTCTTCCTTCAAACCCGGGCTTTTTCGTGATACCCCCTTCTTCCTCTTCTCCCACCCTTTTCCGTTCCTTTTGCTTCTTCGCTCCTGGGGAGCAGCCTTTTCACTCGTTATTAGTGCTGGCACGTACAACTTGTTTGTATCGTATCCCTTCAAAATAAACCCTTAATTCACTTCCTCCTTGGACGAATCTCTTTATACCTTTCACAATGACTATTCGCGAGCTTTTCTTGTCAACACTGCTGCTTGCAGCAGGAATTCATGCGGCGGTGGACGACCGACTCTACCCGGTTGAGGCCCGAGATACACCAGCTCAAGCAAAGCGTCAAACGCCAGGGAATAATATGGTCAACGTACACGTCGTGCAGGTTGGAGATATGCAAGGCAGCCTTAAATTCTACCCCGACACCCTTAGACCGGCATTGGGCGACATGATTCAATTCCAGTTTTACCCAAAGGCGAGTATCCCTTGCTCGAACGCCATGGTCCACTTGCTAATTGTCTACATAGAACCACTCTGTCGTACAAGCGGCCTTCGACAAACCCTGCGAGCCCATTGGCAGATCCAACCCCCAAATTGCCGGCATCAAGTCGGGGTTCATGCCGATCCAAGCATCAGCCAACCAGCGACCGGTTTTCACCGTTATGGTTAACGATACCAAGCCAATGTGGTTCTACTGTGGACAGGGAAGACATTGTCAGAATGGCATGGTTATGGCTCTGAATCCGTATGTTTTGTCGAGCATTTGTTCGAGGATGAAGAGTTAGCTAATCCGCTATTAGGGTTGCGGGAAGCAATCGAACCGTCGAATCGTTCCGCGCCCTCGCCGCACAAGTTGGCAGTGGTAACGGTGGGTCGGCCAGTCCGTCTGGAGGGCTCAGCCCAAGCAACACGATCCCCAACAATGGCAACCCATCGAGGACAGGCGCTGCAGTACAGACAGGCAACTCCGCTTCGAGTCTGTCAGCACACACCGCCGGCATGGGAGGCATGCTTCTGTTTGTTGCGGCGATGGTTGGATTCTAAAATACCGCCATCGTGGAGTTGTCTTTTTTTATTACTGTATATTTCTGGTTCGACATTTTTAACGGCTAACTACCTTCAAAGATTCAAGTTCTCAAGTATTGTTTTTAACTAGCCCTAAATAATAGGAATTGCATGAAAGCTTTCTTTTCTCACTTGTGCTCCGATCCTGTAGATGTCGCGTCGAGAGTTCTAGAACGCGTACGGAGTACTCCGTACCTTAATGTAGTACATAAACTAAGAAGTAATAGGTAGTGAGTTGCCGACCAACGGACTTCATCCCTAGGCTCTGTACGCGACGCGTTGTCTATCCGACTTCCCACCGCCATGAACGATGCATCCACTGCTCTGCTGACGGAGCATTTTAGCTACACGCCTTTGGTGAGTTGAGCGTCCTAGGTCTCCCTTCAAGGCCCCACCGCGACCGCTGACCGCCTCTCCCAGTCCCTCATCGACGATGTCATCAACTCGGTCAACAATCTCGTCTACCAGGCCATATCCAGTCTCGAAAATGGCATGCTGAACACGCCGCCCGAAAGATTGGGCTTCAGACACGCGGAAAACACGATCCCGGACACCGACGACGATGGAAATGTTCAGTACCCCGAAGCGCGTCTGGAGATCGAGAACGGGCTACACCAGTTGGAGACGCTGTTCGAGGCCACGGTAGACAAGGCATTTGACAAATTCGAGATCTATGTGCTTCGAAACATTCTGACGGTCCCGGGTGACCTGGTGCCGTGGATTCGCTTGAGCCACCACGAGGTATGCCTCTAAACACCCTCGTTGGCCACGGCGCACTGACAGCGCTTCTTTTACTGCAGAATATATTATTCGAACCGCTACCAGAGGGCGCTCCGACAACAGATTCCGTCATGATACAGCGAAGGAAACTACGTGAAACACGAAAGTTGAACCACCTTCTCCAGCAAGACGTAATGCGCAACGATGCGATGATTGCCCAGATCCGTTCGATGCTATCCGTAACAGAATCTTTGGGTGACCCAGCTTTGAAGAACGCTCCTTCGACTATTTCCAACTCCCAGCTTCCCAGCCTCTCATTTCTCCTGGCCGACCCTATCGCAAAACGTCTCAATGTTGGCGATAACACGGGGCCGTCGCATACACCCATCACCACAAATACAACCTTCCTACTTTCACAACTGCCCGCTCTCCGTTCAATTTCGGAGAACTTACGGGCAAGGCTACCGGAGCTGTCGGAACCTGTCAAGTTAAGCAGAGAGCTGGATACAAAGCGCGATCAGAGAAGGCAGTATATTGACGACCGAATACGGCTACATTTAGAACGCACTGGCGAGGTAGGGGCTAGAAATAGCCCAGCTGGGGGCAGGAAAGTGGAAGAGAAAGAAGTGCAAGCGCTAGAGAGTGTTATTGAGATGTTGAAATAAGATCTCTTGCTAGGGCCCTTCTGCCCGTGCGACGGAGTAACTGATGGTTAATATTTGGCGTTTTGATATCCTAGAGGGCTCTGGGGCATCCTTTGGTGTTTTTTTGTATCTTTTATTCCCGGTTAGTGCCTTTTCATTGCAGCTTTGATGGAATGAGCGGGGCTTTGTCAGTGGCATTGAGGATCCGGCCGAGGCGACCTCTCCGCAATAAGTAATAATGACTTTTAGTTAACTAGCCAACTAACAACTAACCAGTTCTGTAGGCTACGAGCACAGACAGCCAAAAGGACGCTTTCTGGCTTCCAATCGGCGTTGTTGGACTGCGAATTGGGTGCATCGCTACCAAGCCACCGATCGCCAGGGCACAGACGCTTGGCCAATAACAGCGGCGTTCCTGGCGCCAGGAAGCTCGTTGTTCTATTTTTATATCTTTACGATATTTTTGGACGCGGGCGCGAACTTCGATGCGCTGGGTAAGATGGATCGCTGCATATATGTATTGCGCTCGCCATGCCTGGATAATGCCGGCATTCCTCGTTCCTACCTTGCTGTTCTGGAGACGCAGCTGCATTCATTCCTGCACTTCATTCACTCGCAAACAGGTCGCTGGATCGACTGCATCTACTTCTCTTTATTGACTTAATACTGAAATCCTTATACCCATACCACACCTAGCCGCTGGTTACTTTCGGCGCTGCATTCTATCCATTCGACTTCGCATCACTCAACTCGCTACTCCAGAGTTTCAGCAACATGTCAGGCCGGTCCTCCTTCCAAGGCGCACACGCTCCATCAACCGCATCTGACGAGGATGAATCGACTTACATACAAAAAACGAACACCCTGCAGTGGGTTCGTATTGGTTTATGCGGACTGATTGTGATCTTGGCCCTCACCGTGATTGGAACTGAAGGCCATGCTTTACAGTATTATAACAGAACAGTTCAATATGAGAAGGTTTATCTGTCGTTATGGCCCCAGTATTTAGATCTACGGCCTACAATTGCCCTCATTGTATGTGGAATCATCCTTGCGCTGCAGGGAATGGCGTTCCTGACTGCTGCTTTGTCACCATCGGTATGTCCCTAGTCACGTATCTGTCTTCCTAAGGCAGCTTGGTACCAAGCTAACCTGTCAGCCGCGATCTCGAATATTCTTCCTCAATTCGTTAACGACCGCAGTCTCAGCTGTGGGCTTCTTCGCTTCCCTCATTGCTGTCACACTCAGCCTCGTGTACACCAACCCTCACAGCGATAACGGCACATATGAAGGCGAAACAATTCATTCGTGGACATGCACCTGGGGCATCAAGGGCGGCCGGGACGCACGCGGCGAGAAAATAGATCCTGTCAAGAATTTCCCCCGACTGTGCTCGGAAACTCGTGCGTCATTCGCCCTCATGTGCACCTTGCTTCTCCTTCAATTTGCCCTTTGTATCTCGGCCGGAGTAGGCTGGAAGCTGGAGATCGGTATGAAAAGAAAGAGAAACGAGAGTGCTCTCCAATCGGATAAGCAGAGTGTGTAGTCTGTCTACATTGCTGCTACTGAAGGCGTTTTTGCGGGCATCAACAAAATCAGTGCAGCCGAATGCATCTTGTACTGTATTAATCCTTTTCTACTAGTGACCAGCTCCCATGGAGTTTGATGGAAGTTAATAAGATGTTTTCAATGCATTACCTGGAACTTAGCCACTAAGTGATAGCGGGATTATATACAGTGTTGAAACCGATTTGATTTCTGTGAAAAAATTGCTTCGGGAAACACAATACAAGTTTCCTATAAGTTACATATTGAGATCACCGAAGGTTACCAGGCCTCCTTGTAACTATTGTAGTTGGGCGTGTCGTGACTGCAGGCTACGAGGCGCCAGCCTTCCATGGCATGCAATATTACTCCGTAGTTCAGCATATAAAAGGACTCTAAGTTCAGCCACGGATGCGTGTATGGTATTTTTATCTCGGTAGGTAACGAAAACAGGGCTCATAGCTCTTTATTGTATTGAACTTTGCCTCTTTCTCCACGCCGTTTTTCATAATCTTGATGAAATTCATGCTGCCTCCATGTTATTGAACTCGGGAAGAAAAAGGTTTTTGATTCTGTTAATGGTATGTATCGGCCATTATGATGGGCTAATTCGAAAGAGGTGCAAATCATGAAGCTGTACTGAATGTATGAGGCAGCGGACGGTAGTCTGTGGAGGAAAAAGGGATCCAAGAAGCTGACGATAATTGACTTAACTAGTTAGTTAGTTGACTAGTTAGTCCATTAACTACATAGGCTCAACTCCTCATCACATACTCCGTAGTTAAACCAACTCCAGCTCTGGATTCAACAGACCTGACGGCCGCGCGCAATTAATTAATTATGTATGTAACTAACTAGGTAGTTGCATAATTCAAAATTATTGGTGCCCAACAGCGTTTTCTAGCCATGTCTTCACCGCGACAGAGCCCTCCCTCCGCCGAAAACAAATCAGATCCGCCAACGCTCCTATCCCCCGGCAACGATGAACCGTACAACTCGGAGGAGGACTCTGACTTTGACATCAACGCGCCCGCAGAGTCTGAAGATGATGCTGGGGCCGCGTCCGAGGCGGGTTCATCTAATGAGGCGGACTACCGGCCACGGAAACGGAGGAGACTAACGCCAACGCCAGGAAAGGAGGCTAATACTGATGAATATATCGTTGATGATACGCTGGACTCTGGTGATGAGGCTACAATTCGCAATGCGAAGCAGAAAAGAAAGCAAAAACAGAGGGCAGGAAAAAGGGGAGGCAAGGATGGGAGCGAGGATGAAGCGGATAACTATGAGCTGGACGAAGATGATGGAGAGAGTGGTGGAGGTTTCGTGAGGACAAGGGCCATGAAGATGAAGATGTAAGTCTATGCGTAGTATGGGTGAGAATGCTAGACTGATTTTCACCACAGGCAAGACGAACGGAAACCGCTTGCGAAGACTGACGGTGCTACGGTCGATGTCGATGTGTTATGGGCCCAAATGAACGCCCCCAAAAGTGCAGCGAAACCCCCAGCTTCAGAGTACGCTAAAAAAGATACCTCCCTGTCTGGAGGCGCAGTTAGGCCGGGCAATGGCCGTCACTCCAACTCTAAACCATCAACGAGTTCGGTGGTTACGGGAGAAGAAACAATCACCATCAAGCGAACGTATAAGTTTGCCGGAGAGGTCATCACCGAGGAGAAAACGGTGCCGAAGAATTCTGCAGAAGCAAAGCTCTTCCTAGCTTCTTATGATGACGGAGTGGTCGCAGAAGACAAGCCCCAAGCCGACGAAGTAACTGAGGACAGCCGCCATCCTCTTCGAAGGCCGTTGCAGCGCTGGTCCCGCTTCGACCCAAACTCCCCTGGGGCCTACAAGAGAAGCTGGACAATGCCTCCACAACTTCTTGATCATAAGAAAGACACGGCGAACACCAATGCCGCCGCCCCGCCTGTCTCGGGGCCGAAACTGAATACTGTAATGAAGTCCAAGCTTGACTGGGCTGCATATGTGGACGAAGCAGGAATACAGAATGAGCTAGATGCTCACAGCCGAGCGAAAGAAGGATATATGGGTCGCATGGACTTCTTAAATCGCGTCGAGGCAAAGAGGGAGGAAGAGAGGAAGAATGCGAGGCTTCAAACTAAATAGTATATCCTACTATATCGGCTTTGATGTACCTTGGATAATACTTCATGTTGTTATGATAATACCAAATTATCTGCTAGCCTTATGCTTAGGATATGCAATATTGGAAACATGCTTAGTGCTGTCACCTTCGCTCAAAGCCGCACCCGCCGTCATATATGCCAAGCATCAAGAACTCCTCCATCTTTTCAACTAGTAGAGGCACTTCAACCAACGTCTTACTAACCCAAGATACAAAAAGTATGTAAAGCAGAGAAAAGTAGCCAAGTCACCTCCTTCAGTCCGCGAAGTGAAAAAGACCAACAAGACCCAAATAATACAGTATAGACACCCATTCATTACCCCTTCCCAGATGTTGTCGCTTCGTCCCAAAGACTAAGAACATGAAAGCATTGAACTCCAGAGAAACGTATACTCATGTCACAGAACAAATTAGAAAGTAAAAATGTAGAAAATTCAAAAAGAGGGTTTCTGCGAATATTAACAATTGAGAAGGTTGTAGTTGTACACAAAACGCTCCGATTTACTCAGTCAGCGTCTGCTGATACCGTTGCCCATCATATGCTGCTGCTGCTGCTGCTGCTGTTGCTGCTGTTGTAATGCTTGAACTTGAGCATGAGCCTGGGCCTGGGCCTGGGCCTGTGCTTGGGCTTGGGCTTGGGCTTGATTCTGGGCAGCCTGGCTCGCAGCAAAAGCACGCTTTTGACTGTTCTCGCGGTCCTTCTTCATCACCTCACTTACGTAATGGCGCGCAGCTTTCTCAAGACCTTCCGTAAAATGAGACCGAAGAGTGGGAGGGTATTGACTTGGGGAATTGTATTGAGCGGAGTATTTGTTCATAAACTCAGTTCGAAGTCGGTGCAAATGGTTCTGATAGAGATTTCCATAATGCTGGGCCAGTGGATGCTTCCTGGGGTTGTTGGGGTTATTTACAGGCTGCCCCGACTGTTGTGCTGCTGCTAGCATTTGTTGTTGTTGAGCAGATAGTTGCGGTACATTGGTAAGATGTTGCTGTGGCTGCTGTTGCTGCGGGTGGCCAGACTGTGTTTGCATCTGTGCTAGCTGTGAGCGAAATAGTTGAGCTTGGTATGTCTGGGGTTGAAGGACTTGTTGCTGAGCTCCTTGGGCTTGAGTTGCTTGCTGTTGTTGCTGTTGCTGCTGCTGCTGTTGCTGTTGCTGTTGCTGTTGCTGTTGCTGCTGCTGTTGTTGTAAAAGTTGCTGCTGTTGTGCCTGCTGGATGCTTTGTTGCGCAAGGGCATTAGCGTGCATTTGGGCCATTTGCTGTGGACTATATTGGTGGTTGGTAGCAATGTTTTGTTGTTGCTGAGCGAGCATTGCCTGCCTTTGCTGCATCATCGCATGCTGCTGCTGTGTAGTCATCATCATTGTGTTCATCTGTGGCGCCATCATAGCATGGCCCATAACAGGGGTTTGAGCCATAGTGGTTGTATGAGGGCTATTATGGCTCATGCGCTGGGTAGGTGTAATATTTCGCATAATTGGAGTTGCATGAGACACTGCTGGTGTTCCCTGGGTCATCTGAGGTGTTCCATGTGCACTATGAGCTTGCTGGCTTCGACTTGGTACCATTTGGTGGCTAACAGCATTTGCATGGGTAGACTGCATGGAAGCAGATACAGCAAGGGGACTTCCAGCAGCTTCTGCAGAGCTTGTCATACTAATAGAAATGCCCTGATTCATGTTAGGAACCATACCATGCCCCACCAATGGCGATGACGTGTGAGGAGTGATATTCCGCACAATGGGGGAAGATTGAGGCCCCTGTGATACCGAAGCGATGTGTGTTGGCTGTGCGACTGCGACGGCAGTAGGGTTTCCCTGGGAAGGGGGTCGTCTATTCTGTTGAGCAGCTATGAAGTGCGCTTGAGTCTGTGGTTGACCTTGCTGTGCAGCCAATTGTTTTCGTCGCTCGTCTCTGGCCGAATCTTCTGCCAAGCGGAATTCAGAGCGGCGCCTCTCTCTCTCAGCCTCTTGCTGTTCCCGCTTTGCTCGATCTTGCTGTAGCTTGCGCTCATGCTCGCGTTTATTTTTCTCTTCCAGCTGAGAGCGAATATTTTCCAAAGTTTTAAATCTTGAAAGTCTAGGCTCGAAGGGCGCAGCACCGCATTCCTCATCAACCGCTGCTTTACTTCCACCGGCTGCAGCTGAGGCTATGGGTTCAAGACGTTCATCCATGATAAGCATGAATCGTTCTTCCTCCGCAGCAAGCGCTTCATCTGCTGCCAACTCGGCGACTGTTCGCCTCCTGGTCTTCGGTGATGGTGGTTTGCTGCAATGGAGAGGTGATTCTAAGAACTTGAGTAATTTTTGGCTGTCACCAAAACTATCCACCGGTGATAAATAAAGCGGAGGGGCGGTTGCTCGAATCATTTTAGCCTCAAAGTCCAACATTTCATGAGGCTCTACCATCATCTTCTGTCGCTTTGCCGGAGGTCCACGATCAGCCTGTAATAGTTGATTTGATGTTAGAGGAGTGGATGGGGATGGAAGAGGTGCAGAATTTGGAGGTCTTGGGACACTATAGGCTTGCGATTGACGGCGAGGCAATGCTCTTGGATCAGGAGTGATAGATAGAACAGTCAATTCGGCGTGTAACGATTGAGGGGTAGGATGAAGGACAGTAGTAAAAACTTTCGGCTTTACCGCATTTCCATTCGTCTCCAGAGAGGGCTTGGAGTTTGCATCTTTTTCCTTATTTAATGCTACTACTGACTGACATGAAGAAGGTTGCACTCCATTGGTCTTCGTTTGTCCTTTTTGACTTTGGAAAGGTACGTAAGGAGAGGGAGTGATATGTTCGTTATAATTGTGAATTGAGAACAAAGAGCTCTTTTCTTTGGAGGATTGTTTTGATGAATTCGGATGATTGGAGAGTGATTTGTGATCAACAACGCGGACAATGAGACAGCCTAAGGCAGTTAAAAATCAGAAATAAGTTCATAATAGAGGCTTACAAACGGCACGTACCTTCATAAAATCGGACACCACCTTTTAAAAGCTCCTCCATCATATCATGGGGAACGGTTCCATTTTTTATGTGCTCTATGATAGCTTTCATCTCAGAGTTATACGGAAAGCTTCCGTCCTGTTGCTCGAAACGAAAATGGGTCGGATGAAGATGAATTGTGAAGGAAGGGGGATAGTTCGCAAATTTCTTAAGAATATAAGAGGATGTTTTAACTGGAGTAAACGAAAGATAGTTAGTATTAAGCAGATAAGTATCCCGTGGTTATGGAGGGAGACAGACCAAACGGTTCAGGAATCCTCGTAGCGGATCGCCTATCGCCATTGATTGCGTCTATAGTGCCGGCCCTTGTTGTTATGCGCAACCTTGACGAGGGATCAGAGGGTCTCTGGAAATCTTTCCTTGCCCGAGCCATTAGCCGACCAGACAAGCCGTTTGCGACTGTCGGGACCATTGTAGGGGAGGGAATAGCCTGATTCGCAACACCAGCTCTCGTCATAGAATTTAGAGGCGACGGAGAAGGATGTGGATGTTTGACGCCGTTGGCACCGGTTTGGACCAAGCTAGGCGCGGGTCTCTTCAGTTTACCAGCGGGCGCAGCGGATTTTGCGGAAATAGCAGTAGCCATAGTCAGTCGAAATGCGCACACAGCCACAAGCTTTCAGGCGCTGCTGAAATCAGGGAAGCAAGAGTTGAGATTCGGTTAATCCAGCACGCATCCGGAGATTGATAGGGTGATGGATGTACTCGACATGTGGGGAAGAAGTCGGGGAGCTAAAGCGACAGCGAGGGCTCGGATGGCGCTTTATTGTGAGGAAAGAGGGCCCTCACATTGTGCGAGGAAAAGGAGCACACTGCCGGTAGATGGGAGACGAGTTGGTGGTCCGGTGAATCGCCCTGTACACCTTGGCCGCGGTGAGCATCGACGGCGGTGGATTTGATGCCAAGGACGAGACAGAACACGGCACGTGAGCATTTCCGCTGAGTAAGCAGCATAATCCACCTCTTAGTTCTTCTGCCTACGAATCGTACAAAGCTTCTATTCAAGATATTCTGTATAATATATGCAAACCACCTGACTGCCCAAATCGCATACCCAGGGTATATATCTCTGCGTGGGTGTCCCAACCAGCCATACAATCCATAACCATCAAAATGAACAACCAGACAAACACCGAAGCCCGTCTGGAAAAGAAATAACCCATGCGCAAAAGTCCTCCCCACGAACTGAAACCGATCCATTATTTATTCGTGCCCACACACCCTTCGTTTCCAATCGTCACCCACTCGCACTCCATCTACAACGTCAATCTGTTTCCCCAGCCCAAGGACCCCTTCTTTCTGCCACCACCGTTCTCTCTGTTCAGCCGAAGCAGACTCGTCCTCGGAATCTACCAGCACCCCACGGTGCTCGTCGCCCACTACTACAACAACCTGCCGCACCCATCCTGTTAAATTATGAACGATCTCACCACCAGTGCCAGTAAGGCTCTCTTGTATATAAACAAAATCAGGTGAGAGATGTCGAAGGATATGTAAATGGCCGGCGGGAGTGGCGAATGGGATGATCATTGTTTCCTTATCAACAAGAGCCTGCGCTTGACTGTAAAGAGCTTTGAAGAACCTAGGCGCAGAAGGGAAGTCATCTGACGCAGGCTTTGGTTTCACGTCTTTGAGGAAAGCAGATTCCGCAGAGCCAGTGTTAGTGGCTTCCCCGGGGCTGATGTTAGAGTAAGACGAGGCGACTGACAGCGAAGGGCGGGTTGAGGTGCCCTCAGATGCCCGGGGCTGGACTCCCGGTGCATATATCAAAACAAATATACGGGCAGTATCCGGTTCGATGTATGCAGGTAAATGTGCTAGAATAGACTATAGCATGAATTTAGTTAGCGAAAGGCTGTTGAACCGAGTGTGCATCTACTTACGGTATGAGCAGAGATATCCTCGTCTGCTTCATTTTTGGAAATGGACGATATGACAATGGCTATGGTCCTAATCCTCCTAGTGGTGGGTTTAGAGAAGGGTGGTCCGGAAGTTCCATAAGGTATAGTGCTAGTTCCAGGACCTGTTGTTGTTGCGGGATGGCCCTGTTGATTGGCGTTTCGGGGACTATCATCAAGGTCACTATGTTCCTCTTCGCGAATAGCACTCAGCGCGCCTCCTACAGCAGCGCCAGCTGCGGCGACACCAGCAACAACTTTCTTACTGGCACCATCCAGCCATTGTTGTGGGCTGGGCGCCTGGCGCCAGGCATCTTGCATCCGAGATATCATACTATTATCTCCATCCGGCAATCGAGGGTGTTCGTGAGAATCGCTTAAGTCGGCATGTCTAGAAGATTCCGATTCTGGATATAGCTTGATCGGAGTCTGGGAGTGCTGTCCTTCGCCGTATTCGTCCCCGTCACCCTCATTCCGCTCACTCCAAACCCAGGCAGCTAGTCCAACTGCGGCAACGGAAACTGTAATCGCAAGAGGAACCCAGTATCCGAGGGCTGTCCTCCGACTACTCGAGCCGAAGCCGGTCACCTGTCGACGGCGGCCGTCTCCAAAATACCGATCAGACATGTGGGAGCGAAGGAAGGTGAATGCGAACTATTTAAAAATTGCCCTGTGCTGGATATCGATGACACAAACCGCGCATTGCGCTTCAGCAAGAAGACGCGGTGGAATTCACGGTCAGCGTTTGGCCTGACGTGCCGTACAGCGAACACCCATTGTTTGTTGATGCGCTGGCTGCCAGTCGGGCATTCCCAGCCTCGGGAGTTGGCTCGTGTGGCTGGAATCACGGGCTGATAAAGGATGCTTAGTCAGGAATGTCTAGTCTATCACCACGTGATACTGCGGGAAAGAGTCATCGCTAGCGATGAAGTGTGATACCAGCTGATGCAGCATTGCTGAGACCTCGTCCCCTGAATATCTGAATAACGAATTGCTGAAGTTATGGCAGCTTTGATGTGTTACTCCTAGAGCCTGCGATCTATAGCTTCCACTCTACGCCAAACATCTCATCGGCCCCGCACCATCACAGTTCGCTAAAAACAATTTCAATTAAAGAGGAAATATCAAATGTAAAATAAAATAAAGATTACCAACTAAAAACATTCCGCAGGCTATTACTTTCCGCCTCTTTCGACTATGCCTCATTCAGGCCCGCCTCTGGGCTTTCAAGCCCTCATCCTGTGTGGGCCTGGGGTTTCGCTGAACACGTTCACATCCATTCCCGAAGAGTTCCCTAAAGCTTTGGTTCCTATAGCAAATCGGCCTATGGTATGGTATCCTTTGGATTGGTGTTACCGCATGGGAATAACCAGTGGGTGACCCTGTACGCAACTTGCTTAATTCTACAAGTCCCAAACCTCAAATGATACGCCTGCCTCTAAGACTATGTTGAGTTTCGAGGCACGGTTTAAATCCTAAATCGGGGGAATTTGCTAACGTTCCTGCTAGATATTACCCTGATCACTCCAAAGGCCAGCCGGTCGGCGCTTGAAGCTTCTTTGTCCCAGAATCCCCACCTCACCTCCCTCCCATCTCCGTCCCCTACAGTCATTGCCCCGGAAGGGTTAACGCTCACAACCGGCACTGCTGAGCTGTTGCGCCTGGCCGAGATCCAATCATGTATAAAGTCGGATTTTATAGTTCTTCCCTGTGATCTTGTGTGTGATATCCCGGGTGTCACATTTCTAGAAGCTTGGATGACCTCACATGGTTCCTTAGATGCTTCGTGGGGTGGCGAACGACTGGATTCTGGGGCCTCGAGCTTAATAGGTATGGGCGGTGAACGGTGCGGTCGCAGAGGTGGAATCAGTGTGTGGTATCCTACTGCTCCCGATGGTGCAAAAACAAAAACCGAAGTTGCAGATTTCCTAGCAGTCACCCCACTAGAGAAGGACGATGCTCCCACAACGCATGCGGGCAGTAGCCACCCATCATCCCTGACTAAGTTGGTTTATACCATGCCTATGGATAGCTTGAAAGATGCCATAGAGGAGCATGGAGCTTTGTTAATACGGCACTCCTTATTAAAACGTCATGGAAAAATCAAGATGTTAACCACATATCGCGATTCTCACATCTATATACTTCCATACTGGGTCAAAGAAATGGCCATGATGAATGAAAAGTTTGAGAGCATCAGTGAAGACCTAATAGGTTGGTGGGCTAAGGCAGAATGGCAAAACGGCCTAGGAGAAAAGCTGGGCCTGCGTGAAATTTTCGACTCGGATCGGGAGCATGGAAACAAATACAGTAGCAAGCGTGACCAGATCGAAGAGGATATCGATTTGATGGCGATGAGCACTACGAAATCAGCACGGTGGCTGGAAATAAACTCCAACGGGACCATGTCTAAATCGAGACCGGGAGCACTGACTCGCAGCGATACAATTCAAGAAATCGAAATACCACCTCAGCCGGAGAAGCTCGTCGTGCCACCTATTCTTGCATACATACATTCGTCAAGGCCGTCCGAGCCACTGGTGAGGCGCGTTGATAACTCTGCGCTCCTGCTGGCAACGTCTCTTCGTCTTGCTAAACTTGAAGCCATCAGTGAAGCTGGAGATTCCGCATCACCATTTGCTCACCAAAATAAGCTAGCTTATCCGGCTGGTATTGCACAGCGGTGCACAGTCTCCAAAGCGGACTGTCTTCTCGCCGAAAACGTTACTGTTGAAGAAAAGGCTGTCATTAAGGAGTCTGTTGTCGGCGCAAACTGTCATATTGCTAGTGGCGTCCGACTTACTCGTTGCCTGCTCATGGATGGCGTTGTAATCGGTGAGCGCAGCCAGCTTACAGACTGCATCATCGGCCGAAGGGCCAAGGTGGGCCGTGAATGCGTGCTCAAAGAGTGCGAAGTGCAAAACGGAAATGTAGTACCTGATGACACGGATGCAAAGAATGGACAGTTCATGATTTTTGAGGGACTGGATGATGATATGGTGGGTGTTTGTGATGACTTGGAGAGTGAGGATATGGATATGAATGGTGATTAGAATAGAAATTCTGCACCGAGTATGTAGTTATCCAACTATGTACTCCATAATTATGTATAGTACATACATAACTAACTACGCCATAACAGAGCTTCTCGGAAAGGCATAGGCGAGCTGTGAAACCAGCGCCACTTCAGAGCGTGCCAATTTCATTATTATTCTGTTTTCTTGACGCTCTCCTTGCTAAGATGCCCGTTGGAAGCAACAGGTCACTACAGAGTGAGAGGTAGCATCTCCAGTATTAGTTAGTTACACGTGATCAGCCTCCTGGCTCAACTTTACTGCGGCCGTTGGGCGACAACCCATGTATGTACTCCTTCGCAACACAACCTGGGAGGAGACGTCGCTAGTAACTCGCCCGATACTGCCTCTGTATGACTCGAGAGTTGCATCCTCCGCTCGAGAACTAGAATGAGTGCTTTCAAAGGGTTTGTCAAGGACGGATGGCACCCTACAGGGAGGGACGGCGGCCGCGAGAGCTGGCGTGGTGACTTCAAGGGCATTAATCAAGTGGTAAGTGTTCTTTTAGCAAGGCTAACAGACTATTGAAGGGTCTGGTGCAGTTAATCAGCCTGTCTATTCTTACACTAACTGCTGTGACGATTTCAGGCCGGATGGGTAGGAAAAGGGAAAGATTCGGGCGGCGCAGGCCCGAGGAATGAGCACATTGCGAGGCCGGTATCAACCCTGCGAGACCCCTCGTCCTTCGCACCACCTCCCAGGCGTGTCAATACTACACCTAACGGGGTAGCCTTTGCAGCCTCCCATGCACAGGTTCAGGAGACGGTACCCTCGCGCTCCCCGCCACCTCCAGTTCCGTCTCGCGCCAACAGCACGAACCCGTCCACGAACTACTCCGCTCCCCAAAGCAAATCACCAGGAGCGGATTCTTACAATAACTACCTGACTGCCAAGCCTAAGCCATCGCTACCCCCCCGATTACCTCCTCGAGGGGATTCGACTACCTCGCCCTCGCCCCCACCTCCGCCCTACGAAGCGACACATGTCCAGACGGAATCGTACCTAAATCAAGCATCCATGGGGCGACTAGCGAGTGTAGGTGTCTCTGTGCCGGCATTAGGCATTCAGCGCCTCTCCAGCACAGCTCCAGGTTCCCATGCGCAGTCCCAGAGCCAAACTGGATCAAATGCTGCAAATGAGTTGCAGGCGCGGTTCTCGCAGCTTAACACATCCTCGCCGGTTTCTTCTTCTTTTCAGGGTGCTAAAACTTCCCCTAATCAAGGGTTTGGGTCTCAGCAACCAAATGCTAGCCCGGTCGCTTTACCCATCGCTTCCCAACCCGCCACCCAAAATACCGTAAACAATCAAGCCTCCGCCGAATCACGTCCGAACCTTCCAGCATCCATGAATAGCTTTCGAGAGCGTCACGGTGATCAAATTCAATCTGTGAAGGGTAAACTAAATGGGCTAAACCAAAAATACGGCATCACGAAACGAATCAATGAGTTTATAGAAGACCAAAAGTCACCTGCAAACCCGAATTCTGCTGCTGCGGCTCCCCCGCCTGGACAGGCTACCCCCAATCACCCATATTCTTCACCTAATGCTTCTCGACCCGACCTAGACGCCCTGAATAAGAGAAAGCCGCCCCCTCCGCCTCCACCGCCGAAAAAACCGTCTATGCAGTCCAACCCAATCAGTAACTCACCCTCACCGCCACCATTACCATTGAATACAAAACCGCGGTGAATCACGCTGCGATTTATCTTACAAGTTTTCCTTTGTTTGGTTACGGGGAGTATGATTTGGGTGGTTTTTGGTAATTTTTTGTTTGGTCTTTCCTGAATCACTGTCACTGTCTACCTTTTTCTTTACTGCACAATCCTACTTTGAAGGGCTTATGGTTGTTAATATATCCACTTACCCCTACATAGAACAACCAAGATGCCCTTTACGGCTAACTACCAAACGCAAACTATTATTTCCTGCATCTCGATACCTATTTGTACTCTTTGATTATCCTACCTAACCCAGCCCTTCAACTAATCGAAACAATAAATTTGATCAAAATGGTGACTCACCCTTTTGAAAACCTGCCGCTGGCTCTTTCTACCTACTGGTTCCTTACGGATCCACCCACATTTCCATATCCCGAGCTCCGGGCCCATGCACCCATCGTCGCTGCAACATACGCGTGGGAATACAGTGGACGCCTTGATCCCCATCCCACTCACCCCACATTATACCCACACACATTAAGTAAGGACTCGGTCTTGACCGGCATTGTACAATGGGAGCTTGATATGAGCATTTCCAAAATCCGCGTGCGCTGGAACTCTGCGAACGTCGAAGCCACCTTGAACGCTGAAGTCAAACACATACCAGCTTCCAATTCTGCGGCGACTAGCTCCCCCACCCCCTTAGAACTTCACGAAGCTTCACTGCTCTACAACCCACTCATACTCTCATTTGCCCGATCATGCCTCGGCACCACCGTTGCTGATGGTGAATGTTGGTCTCTTGCCTCTGCCGCTTTGCAGTCCGCGCGGACCGCCGCTCTGCGTGCTGGTCATAGCCCGCCGATGCCCAGTATCGGCCGCGTCCACGGTGAAATCATCCTAGACTGGGACGCTGCCTCTTTGGTGCCGGCACAGGGCGTCTTAGAAGCCGCAGACGTCCGACCAGGGGACATCATCGAGCTGAGCAATGCGCACTTTCGGCACCAGCGAGTACTTCTCGGTGGTCTGGTGAGTAGTGAAGAGAGCGTGAGGGTTATCGAGCATACGGCGATAGTCGACAATGTAAAGGGGGGATGTATGGAAGTGCTCGAGCAGAATGCCAGTATGGGAAAGGTGGTCTCGGAGGGCAGATATGAGTTGGGCAAGATGGTCCAGGGTAGGCTGAAGGTGTATCGACCGGTGAAGGAGGTGGCGCTGAGCGTGCTGAACTTGAGGGACACATTGGATGTGTGGTAACGCAGTGGCTATCAAGATGGACAGCTCTCACTCTTGTTCCTATACTCCGTACTTCGTACTACGTAGCTCGTGGCATGTTTGTATTCGTGTTCAAAACACTGCGGTGTCCCTGCAATCATCAAGGCTCGCCAAAATGCCTGGCTGAGGCACCGCTTTTTGGTCTGCGCGCGTCTATCTTAATCTCCCGGTAATTGCGTCTGAAACAAACGGCTACCCCAACTATCGAAACACCACTATCGAGGAGGTAGTTAGGTTTGCCAACGTTCGTTTGCCCGGCTCAACCCCTGCTGAAACACCCTCTCAGCAGGGATGCGTGAAATCGTACCGGATCGGCAGCTCAATAATACCCAGCACCGGGAAACCCTGCCCTGGCGAATTTCGGGCGTTTTTGGCGCTCATTTGCTTGTTTGCCCTGGACTGCAGATGAGCTTTCCAATAATGCCGGTGGGTGGAAATAGTTGAAGTTCTCAGGCTAAAGCGGGGTTGGGACAAGATGCAAAATGCATTTTCTTTTGTAAAATTGTATCTATCAACACTCTGACAACAAACTTGTTTGTAGAATAAAGGGCAACGCTAGAAAAAGGGAGATAGTATGTAATAGACATGGAAAGCAAGGAAAGAATTCGACGAGAAATCAGGCACATGATCAAAAGGAAAGGTTGTGAAAAGAAGAAAAGCCTGAGTGACAATGAACACAAACCACGCTGGAGAACACAGGAAATTCCAAGGCTGCTTGATGGGCTGGGCCGACGAGCAAGTAAAGTAAACCCATTAAAAAGCTAGTATACGAAGTTGAGATGATGGTGATCCGGTTGGTGTCTTCTTTTCGGATTTCAGGGCTATAATATGAGAGTCGTAAAAAGTAATATGATCTCGGTTTCGTAGTTCCACTAGGAACGGAAAGTTAAGCAAGCAAAGTTCCGGGGAAAAGGGGGGGGGTTTTGAACATGACAGGCAGACAGGCTCTCTAGTTTGTCATCAAAAATGAAGGAAGCAAGCTGTATGGTGGCACAAGATCGAGGGAGGTCTTCGCATACCAAGCGAATCTGGACCAGGAAAAAAGTAAATAGTACACATAGGAAAACGCTGGTAATTCGCGGGAGTAGAAGAGAAAACGCCGCCAGTGATGCAGAATCATTAAAAAAAGTGTGTATAGACCTTGGATGATTCATGCACTTCCATCTCCTGTTGGACACATCAGCAAAAGCAGTGACACTTGATTAAGGATAGACGACTAACCATTTTAAAGGTATTGAGTTCCTCCTTGATCTGCTGGGCCAAAAGAGGGGTCAAACGATTACAAGTGGCAATATCCCCGCGACGATCATACTCGCCGCTGGGCCATGTATCATGAAACTGAATTCTAGGACTGAAAGAAATGTTTTTGGCCGAGTTCTGAGGTGTGGCAGGGGCGCTATTTGCTCGCACCGCATTGAAGCGGCCACCGGGGAGAAAATATTCATCGCCTTCGATTGTCACAGAGTCGGTTCGACGATGACCAGAACGAGGAGGTCGTTCGTCCCGAGGGGTACTGGGGGCACTAGAGCGTGGTGACTCTGTAAAGTGGGCTTCCGATGGACGCATAACTGGGGAGGAGCCGCCAGGTAGAGTCTCTGTCGGAGTGTCAGTGGCTGCAAAATGCAGAGGGAGGGGGGTATTGCGCATACTCTTCAGAATACCCTTTTTAACAGCAGCGAGGACTTCGGCTCTCTCCTTATCTCCCCCCAAAATACTTTTACGTGAACGAAGAACATCATTCTGCTCAGTGGCATTCTTCGACAAGGCCGAATCTTCCGAAATTCGGTCAACTGCACGAACACCGGGTGTTTCCGTGATCACGGATGTAGAAGTCTCCCGTTGAGCTTCAACCGTAACTCGTGAGACCTGAGGCATTGTCGGTTCTACCCGACTTGACTCTAGCGACACATTATGCAGGGATTTTGGTCGAAATAACCCTACAAGCGAGCGAGTAGATCTCTTCACGCCTTTACCCATCTTGCGTAGCATGATGGAGGCGGAAGATGCAGTTGAAGAAACAGAAATATTATCTGTGGATCCCGTAAAAAAGTGACCCTGGCCAGAATATATGTTTTCACCAAGCCCACTGGCCTCCTGCTTCTGAGCGATCGCGGCCTGCTCAGCACCCAGCTCTTCGTCAAGTTGCTGCTTGCGAGTCATGCTTGGGCTATCTGGAGCGGACGCTCCACGAAGTTCAGCCACGCTGCTGAAAGATAAAGCGCGTCGAAGTCTTGATTTTCCACCTTTTCCGCCTTTCTTTGAGAGTTCGATTAGTCGTTTAGCAGCAGGACTCTGAAATTTGGGTTGTTCAGAAGAGGTCTCTGGCAACTTGCTTTCAACACGGTCAGATGTGGCATTGGAATCTATGACGGCGGATTGAGAGAGGGGCGAAGTGCCCGGGCGTTTTGATACTTCAACAGTGGGTCGCAAATTCGTTGGGTTTGCAGGTTTTGAATCTTGCTTCGAGTTGGAAAACTGAGAATCGGCCTAGAATCCGTTAGAATCTGACAAGGAACTAAACCCAAAGTAAACAAGATTGCAAAAACATACTGAAATTGGTGAGCGAGTAGTAGGCCCGACGTTATCTTGACTATTAGACGATGGGGCCTGGGATACGCCCAGCTTTGACTGAGTGCTTGTCTCTACAGCGTCAAGTAGTGACTTGGAGCTTGAAGACGATTCTGGGGTTGTCAGGCTAGCGAGACCGTTATCCAAACTCCCAAGGCTCCTACGACGGTAGCGTTTAGCAAGCTCGGGGGTAGCTTTTTCGGGGGCAGGAGCAGCGTCTGCACTAGCATTTCGACTGTGCTGTACAAAGCTTGTCGTCAACTCGGGGAGCTGTGGTGGAGAAAATGAAAGAGCCGGATACTTCTCTCCCAGCTCTGCGTCAGGCGAAGCAGATGGGCTCAATGGGGCGGTAGCGACAGTGCTGCTGGCATTAGTAGATGGCGCGCTCAAGTTGATTGGGTCGGGGCGTCGCTGGGTACGACGATAACGATCGGGTGACGGTTTGGGAAAAGCAGGCGATGAAGCTGGAGGAGACAATGTGAGAGGAGGAAGAGAGAGATCCAAGGTGGATAATGGGCGGGGGGCACGCTCAGTCTTCACGTGCCGCGGGGGTAGAGCTGAATCATCTTTCGAACGAGTAGAATGAATGGAAGAGGTAACGGAGGCGGACGAATTAGTAGATACCGAACCAGCAGCATGATGGAAGTGTGTACGCGAGGGAATAACGCCAGGATAAGGGGGGTTCGAGTCTGCCTGCGAGGGTATGGGGGTCGATGTGGTTAAGTTGTCTCCTTTCATCAGGGAGTTCGGGCGAGGCTGAGAAGGCGGATTGGCTGCGTTTGCTAAACTGGGAGTACTCGTGAAAGCATAGGGTGCGACGGGCGGGTTACCAGCGGAGGAGGGGGCGTTTCTATAGCCGGTGATAGGAGCGACGCCGCCATAGGACTGACGCGTATTCGAGGTGTTTCGAGCCATTTGATGTTGTTGTTGTGACTGCTGTTGCTGTAACTGGGAGGTCCCTGATGACGAGGCAGGGCGTGAATGGAGCAAGGTGATTGTAGTGGCTTGCTGTGGAATGGTTTGAACCAATGCGGCCATGGTTGACGCGCTCGTTGGGCGATCAAGAAAAAAAGGGGAGCGGGACGAAGCGAGGTCGAGGAGACAAAGCTGTTGCAAAAACGCTAGCGTGATCAGGGCAGAGGCATGGAGTGAGGATTGGTGGGAGAAGAAACAGCCTGTTCGATCGGCAATGTTAGTTCGGCCGTGATCATGCAACACCTCCACAGGCCACGCGTATTCTGGAGAAAATGGAGGGTGATTTCGCGGGCGATTTTAAGATTGTAGCGACGAAGGAAACGGTAGGGAGGGCATAAACGGGGAGGGTCTCACCAGCACTAGAGTTGTAACAAAACGGCGAATTTGAGACAATGGCTAATGAGGCACCAGCAGACGCAGAAACGAATTAACGACGGACGCTCATGACAACAACGATACGGAGGGGCAGAGCGAGGGAGGAGGTCGATTGGGTGAAAGTAGAGACGCAGTCGTTTATATGTAGTCGACCAGTAAAGAGATACAGCGCAAGACAAGCAGTGCCAAAAAAGGGGAGCCAAACGAGGGAGACAAGGGCGATTATGTTTGAAAAAAGAAAAAAGTAGTTGAAGAGAAAGAAGAAAAGAAGCGCCAGATCCGAGAGCCAGTAAGTAGTGAAGAGAAGGGCAGTAAGGATGGGGGAAGGGAGGCCACCAACACACAAACCCCCTGTCCAAGAAAAACACAGCAGAGGCAAGAAAACGAGAAGGGGGGAGGAGAAGGAGGAAAAGGACACACCACCACCACAGCAACACCACAGCAACAGCAGGATGGCGGGGAGGGTTGGCGAGGCGAAGAAAAGAAGAAGAGGAGGAGGAGGAGAGCGGAGGAAGAAGAGGGAGTGAAGGTGAGGAGTGAGGTTGAGTTGCCCAAAACAGGCACGGACGTGACAGAACGGCAGCGCGCGCTGGCCGCCCGCTCAAATACCGTACGGGCTCCGTATTAGGGGGTGCGTGGAGGGAAACGCCGCCGTGGCCAATCACCGCGCGCGCGGCGGGCCGGGCTATGCTGCTTCAGGCTTAGCGGAGAGCCTGCGCCGATCGCCTGCTGGACGACCGCTGATTGGCGGGAGCAGCTGACTCAGCCACGGTCGGTCGGGCGTGCGAGAGAGACACACGGGAAGGAGAGAGAGAGAGAGAGAGAGAGAGAGAGAAGCGAGCGAGCAAGAGAAGGTGGGCAAGACGGTGCGAGCAGCCGAAGAGCCCCTACGCGAGAAATGGATGTACTAGAAACAGAACAGACATGCTTTTGATAGCCTACAAGCCCACTCCCTGCCTACATACGCCGAACAGCGACTGAGAAACACGCAACCCGCCCATCCCTGCACCAGAACGCCCCCGCGCGCTGCGAAACCGCCCGCCTTGATTCGTGGCCCGCCTGTCCCCCGGCTCCCCCTCCAGAAAATCCGTCGCCCATCCAACGGCATCTGATTCACCAAGCCTGCAAATCATCTGCTGCTGCGTTTTCCGCCTGCCGCATCCTAGTCCGTGGCTCCGCCTCCCTAGTTAGCTAGCTAGTCCGTTCGCGATGTAGTTACGCTCTGCCGCCCTTCTTCTTGCCCGCCCGGCTGCTACGCACCGGCACCCACGGGGCCTCCGCCGAACTCTGCTCGGGTGGCATGATACCTACCGCTGATCCAGCGCCTTCGGCCACATGCAGGCCCTCTCCACGCTGCGTCGTTCGGTGCGCTTTCGCCTCTACAGCCTGCTGCTTGCGGGTCATAATATCCTCAATGTTCGCCTCATACGCGGCGGGATCCACCGGTGTGCGACTCCTGTCCGTGCCCGGAGCCACCTGTACCCCAACAGGATGCTTGGTGGTGGCACTGAAGCGTCGCTCGGCGCGCGCCTGCTTCTTCGTCAGGACTTGCTCGACGTTGGCTTCGTACGCCTCTGGGTGCGGAGTGCTGGTGGGAGACTCGTTGTCGGTCGGAACGGTGCCGTCGCCGTGCATCTCAATGACAGCGTTCTGGATCTCGCGTGTGACGCCCTTGAGCGCATCGAAACCCGCCTTCTCGGCCGCGTGGGTATGCGATACCGAGCGTTTCGCGCCAGGTACAGTACGTCGAAGGTAGGAGCGCACGAAGAAGCGTGCAAACAGCCAGGTCAGCGGCAAGAGATAGAACACGTTCAGCCAGATGGCAAACGCCTGTCCACTGGTGTCCATGCAGGTGAATGTTCTGGCTTCCAGTGCGTATCGCACCTCCTGCTTATTCAAGGTCGCGTGTGCAGCCTGCACGCCGTCAGTACCGAACAGCGTGCCGTTGCTGTTGACAACATTCTCGGCCACGCCTTCATGACCGGCCGCGCGCAGTGCTAGCTTCTTCAGCCATGAGCCAACTCCTCCTTGTGTATCGTTCGTGACTGCAACAATTGACGGCAGGATTGACGTGAGAGGCCGAAACGACACTGCATGAGGAACCGGAAATGGAATGGAATAAGAAATAAAGAGATGGCTAGCAGCCAGGGCGGTACCAAAGATGAACTGCAAAATCTGCATTGTGGTAAGAGATTTCTTGATGCGAACGGGTACGCGAATGTTGACCGCGGTCAGGGTATAGTAGGTGTACTGCTAGAGGTCAGCAACAGCACGAGATATCTGCAGCGGGACATGAGATACGTACCATGAGTGCGTGAATGGCGGAATTAACTAGTACGAAGATCCAGATCGGCGAGGCCATGTAGCGGATTCCAGCCCACATACACATCATGGCACCGGCGTGGTGGTAGGTCTGCAAGGTCGAACTCTTCTTACCCTTCGCAAGGATGATGGCGGTATCCAAGACCTCATAAAATTTGGACAGATAGAAGATCCAGCCGAAAAATGCCAATCCCTTGTTCCAGAGCCGCCCAACATCGGTAGGGTCGGGTACGTTCCCTGGTGCCAGCGTGAATTCCGGATTTAAAATGGCCCATGAATCGGAGGTGGTGTTGAAGACAGCGGCGTTTCCCAGACCACGTGGGCCATTGATTTTGCACAAAGCGTCAACGACATTCACAATACCCGAGCCCTGCATCTCCTCACGCTGGGGCCATGACCCGCGGAAGGCCTCAAGCATGCCCAAGAAAGTCCATGCAGAATACACGGCGAGGAACACATTGTGTAGAACCACAAAGAGCCGAAACGGCGTGGTCTTGCTGATGGGCCATGGAGTGTTTCCGCGGCTCTTATTGAGACGATTGATGAAGACGACGGCGATGGCATAAACGAGGGCGATAGTGACCGGCACGCGGACGTCCAAGGCAGCCTTGAACAGGTGCGGCGGAATCGTGAAGGGCTGCGCCCATGAGGCGTCAACGGGCGGAGCGGGAATGGTGTCGGGCTGGTGACCGGGGGGGAATTGGAGGAAGGAGCGCGGCGGAAAGCGCAGGTGAACCGTGGGCCAGCTGGGGGACGCGGTGAAGAGACCCATGGTTGCGGGAGGATATGAAGCGTGTTGCGGATAGAACAAGCGAGAGTTGGCGGGCGCACTTAGATCATAGCTCTGATGACTTCAGACTTGATAACAAGGTTTTGGCGAGTATTGTCGCAGAACACAGAGAGAAGACGTGCACGCAGCACCACCGCTGGCGTTTGCTCGAGGCTGTCGAACGAGGACCAGGTGCACAAGACAAGCAGCAGGCGGATGGGAAAACGGCGGCAGCAGAATGATGAGCAAACATGCAAAACAGGCCGTGGTTTGTTGGGAGCTCTAGGGCCAATGGGAGGCCGACGTTGTGGAATCGTGAGGCGTACGGTAATACAGCCCCGCTGACTAACTGCGCCGGGCCCGCTGAGTCAGCAGCCGTCGACGGAATGACGTCGCACGCCGTCGCCGCCCTAGCCTGAAGCGGCTAGTGCCCGCGTGTCGTTCCCCAACGCTTTCGCGGAAAAGAGATTCTCCGGCTTGGACGCGACATACATGGTGTGTTCTGCCCGCCGTACCCTACCGAGGTATACATAGCAGTACTGCGTACGGAGTATTCCGCCACCGTGGCTCGCAGGCCCGGTACCTCGCTAGCTAACTACTCCTGATTGAAGTCAACCACCACTCGCCCGGCCACCTGTCCCCGCCGCAACCGCTCAACGGCCTCCGCCATCCGTGCCAGCGGCCACTTCTCGTAGATCGGTAGCAGCAGCCCCTATTCTGCGTGAGTCGCCCGCCGATAGCTAGTTAGTTAGTTAACTAGGTGTTTTCACTCACCCGCTGTGCAAACTCCAGTGCCCGCGCCGTGTCCTGCATGGATCCCACCAGCGTGCCCACCACCGACAGGTTGCGGAACACAAACTGCGACGGATGCGCGCCAAACACATAATCGCTCGCCGACGCTGCCAGCCGTTAGACCTGTCCAACAGGCATCTTGGAATCAAAACACAACTTACGCAACCCGATACACATCACCTTGGCGCCCGCCCGCTGTCCGGTAAATGATATCGCCGCCGGATACGCCTGCGGTGCCGTCACAAACACCGCATGCGCGCCCACCCCTCCGCATAGCGCGATGATCTCCTGCGCCACGTCCTTGCTCGTGCCAAAATCGACAAAGTGCTCCGCGCCCATCTTCAGGCACAGCTCCCGCTTCACATCCCCCGTGTCAACTGCGATAGGCCGCAGACCCATTGCCTTCGCCAGCTGCACCCCCTGGATCCCAACTCCACCGCCGCCTCCCGGGAACACGGCCCAGTCTCCAGGTCGAAGTCTGGACTCCTCCAAGCTGCGAAGGATGGTCGACGCACTGCACATGATGGGCTACGCCAAGGTCCAGTTAACGCTGTCCGACCCCGTGTAAGGGCAGGAATACCTACTGCTGCCACCTCGTCCGGCACCTCGTCGGGAATTGCCGTTGTATATCGAGCCGGGCTGGTAATATACTGCTGGTACGTGCCCGCAACATGAAGACCCGTCAGGACAGTTTTCGAGCAGTACGTCTCCTTATCGCTCCGGCATAGCTCGCAGGAGCCGCATGTATCCCACACCGGCTTGACACCCGCTCGATCACCAACCTTCCAGTTCTTCACGTTCGACCCTAGCTTCACCACCACACCTGCTCCCTCGTGGCCGGGAGATCGTACGTTGCTGCTACTCATCCGCGCCACGCCCAAGTCCCCAAGCATATAATGAATGTCGGAGTAGCAGAGCCCCGTCACGTTTAGCTTGATCAGAACCTCATCCGGGCCTGAAAGCGCATATGAGTTCCGGTTATCTTGCTGTGTGAGTGATAGGGAGCGTAGCACTCACCGGGCTCCGGCACCACCACATCTTCGATTCTCAATTCAAAACTGGGGCCTTCATTGTATACCACTCCCGCCTTACATGTTTTGGGAATCTTGAAGTGGCAAGTAGACCCGGGTTCTGTAGTGTCGATTGCCATCTTATCTTGCCTCGGTGGAATACTCGCAAGCATGAATTGTTTCTAAAACTCCATACTATATGCGAGAACCCTTCCAACCTATATATCTCGCACTGACGAGAACTCACTATACCACTCCAGCTCTCTACCCCGCTTTATGCCTATAACACCGGATCAAGGGAGCCGGTACAATGGTGCACAAGTCCTACGTGGTTGGTCAAGTTGCCTCTCTGTCCCATGCAGTGATTATCTCGTATGAAGCGAGGTTTGACAAGTCAGAGACAGTTACGCTAGCCTCCCGGTATATTCCAATAACCCGATATTTCTTCTTGCATCATCACCTACCTGCACTGCTCTCGATGTCTGATGCGGTCGCTGCAGGCCAAACTGTCTGGAATGCCGCTTAACGAGGCTTGGCCCAGAGCTGGTTCGGAACGGAATTACCGCAACAGGGATAGAATCAGAAAAGTTTCCGGCTACTGTAGATGATATTTTCAGTCGCCGTGGGAATACGGGAAGGCGCCTATCAAATGACGTTTTGACCACCCTCCACGGATAAATTCTTGTTGACTGAGATTTATCACTCGAGATACCATAGTCATGATGTAGTACATACATATCGTACAAAGCGGCGCGTAAATATAACCAGTTAACGGCTACTGTTATTTAGTTAATAGTGTAGAAGTCACCTAGCTCCGGTGGTGGTAGTCATAGATAGCCCACCTCTTTCCGCCACCCCCCGGCCTGGCTACCATCGCAAAAGACAGGAATTTGGCCGTTGGCATCAGATGATTTCGGAATTTCGTGAGGCAGAACTTCCGCAACAATGTGGAGCTATCTTCGGTCATATTTTGAACCTACTGATCCACAACAGTTTGGCCTGGCTCTTCCACCCCAGCCGGTGACCATCCGAGGCATCAGATTCCCTGCTGATAGGTCCAAACCCCACCTACTCTCTCTCACTACAACGACATACGGCGTACATGATGGAGGTGATTGTTGTTGGGGTCACATCCCGGATTTAAGAGGCTTCTGGGAGACCACAAGGGCATGGCAGTGGCGAGACTTTGAAACATTTCATCTCGACCGACAACCACTCGGCAGCTGTAATGGACTATACGTTCTCTTCTACTCGTTCGACCTCGAGACATTGCCCGAGAACAATAACTTTCCGCCGGCGATCTTTGGGCGGCAGCGGGCTTTCGCTGGCGATGCGTTTGTTGTCAAACTTAAGAGCGATGACATCGAGTCGGATCTTGGAGATGATGGGTGGGCGGCCTGGGATGATGTGCCCTTGGATATCCTAACCCTACCGATTATGAAAATCTGAACAGGTCGATACCTTACTGTACGGTCCCTTTTTGACAGTTTTATATGGTAGGTTTTGGTCGATACTTTGGTGGAAGACTCACATCTTTGGACGCCGCTCTCCATGTTGCCGCCGCCCTCCGTGGGGGAGGGGGATCGGCAGCCCAAGCGCGTTCGGCCTATGAAGACTCGCATTTGAGGCCTGGCAGACAAACGTGAAACGCAACATAGTAATCGCAATCCTGTCTCTCACCCCCAAGGCCTTTCTATTATTGACTGGTCTAATTATGGAACATCCCACGCTTGATGGAAGATGCTTGAATGGTGAATAGACATTCTTGGCTCACCCCATTGCTGAGTAATGCCATCAAAGGTAGCCAATCTGATATTGAGCCCGGCATGTTGAATAGCGCCATTGAATCAGTGGCATGGCTGCTTTGTGTGTTCCTGTCAACTGTTGGCTATTTGATGAAAGGCAATCCTATGTAATTGCCAGGACCTCGAATTCTAATGTGTATCTACAAGATCATTCTTTTGCCCGCTGCTCTGCCTTTTCTTACTAGAGAAACTTCCTCTATAGTATCTGCTGCTGAGTTGTTGCCGCTGGTCTCGATGATTCGAAATGGCATTCTTGAAGCGGATACTGATATTTAATGCACTGCTTTTCACGCCTCTTCATGCCCACATGAGGCTCCATTACCCACCTTCCTTCGCAGCGGAGAATAACCCCCACCGCACCGACCCTCCAGATAATCAACTCGAGTACCCCTATAACTGCTGCGGCAAAACAACCATTTACCCGTGCCGTGGCTATCTCAATCTCCTTGGATCAGATCAAGGAAAGCCGGTGGCCCGATGGTCAGCGGGTTCGGCCCAGAATTTCACCTTGATTGGAACAGGGAATCACTATGGTGGCTCGTGCCAAGCGGGATTCAGTGTAGACAAGGGCAAAAGCTGGAAGGTGATCAGCAGTTATGAAGGAAATTGCCCGCATCGTCGAGGTCGGAGCGACACTCCGAGCGAACAGGCCTTTCAGTTCACTGTGCCATCGGATATGCCCCCCGGCGACCATGTGTTTGCCTGGACTTGGATTAACCGGGAGCAAGAGTTCTATATGCTCTGCTCTCCAGTCACCATTACTGCCAAAGCAGCAGCCGGCCTGCCCTCTAATTCTGCCTTTCCGTCGCCTCCTGTCCCCGCACCCTCTTCTCTACCCAAAGATTCCGCCTCCTTGGCCGGTATTTATCCACCAAGACAAATAAACCGCCCCACGCGGCAGCCGGAATTGGAGCCCACCATAGCCAGCAAGTCAGTGCGACGCCGAGGTCGGTTCAAGGTTAAGGAAGGGCGGCGCGGGCCAGAAAATGAAGACCCACCCGCTAATCACAGTGCTTTCGATGATCGGCCTGGCTTCCTGATAGCAAATATTGGAAATGGTTGCAAAACAGTCAACGGCAAGGCTGAGGTGAAGTATCCCAACCCTGGGCCGGATATCGTTCGTGGAGACGGAGAGTATCCCCTTGAGCTTCCGTGGCCAATCAACAAATGTAGTTAGTGGTTAACCCAAGGCCTGTTTGCTTTGTTTGCTTACTTTGGCGTGTTTGTCGCATTTGTTTCTGTTTGGGTCAAAAAAGCCTCATGTGTCTTACGAAACCCCCGCTATCTGTGGAGTATTCACCTTGATATCCCCCAAATAACGACTAGTTGAGAATGAATTGATGAACCTCCCTGCTGCCCGGAATGGGACTGGATGGCACTCGACGGCCCCATGCTAAATCACGGAATGGCTGTGGCCAATGCAAAAAGAGGAGAATAAAAGTCTGTATTTTCGCATTACCTCACCCACATAAACACGCACTACAGTAGGGTAGCAGCATGTATGTACGACGCAGTAAGATTAACCGAGCTGTCTTTAGTGCGATGAACGTCCTCCGTGCTGTAGGAACTGTCAGAAACGGCAGATTACCTGCGAGTACGAAGCCCAGTTTGGCACCGCCATCAATTCGGCGCCTGCCACGATGAACGTGGCCGAGCCAAATATTCAAATTCAGATCCACCCCTTGTCAGGTGCTGCTAGCTCAGTCGTGTCTGAGCGCAGACGCCCCGCACTTTGGCGAAAAGCGCCACCACCTCCCTGCACTGCGGTTGAAAGACCGCTACGTCCTATATCGCTGCCTCACCAGGACATAGAGCTCATGAGACACTACACCGCCTTTACCAGTCTTACTTTATCCGAGGACGGACGAAAAAGAATGATTTGGCAGTTCACCATCCCTCAACAAGCCCAATCTTTCCCTTTTCTTATGGATAATCTTTTATCACTTGCTGCTTTGCATTTAGCGTACCTGCGCCCCTCAGAGCAGAAGAAATATACATATTTAGCAGCCAAGTATCAAGCACAGTGCATAAAGGCAGCACAGCAGAGAAAACCTGGCATAACAGAAGAAAACTGCAGTGCTGTTATTGTCTGCACGGGGCTCCTTCTTCTCCATGAACTGGCTATCTTGCACCCATTATATTTCAGCCAAGTCCGTCTAAGTGACCCTCTCGATGAATTTCTAGGAAAAGTCCTTTTGATGCGTCGTATTCTTGTACTTTGGCAGTTTGGAATGAATCTGTTCAAAGCCGGCCCCGCCCGAGATTTGGTTCTCCGCCGCACGGCTGCGACCTCGTCCTCTCCGCTTGCCGAAGCAAGGGCCGCCCTTGATGAGCTTCATGCCCTCAACAGAACTATGACTAGGAGCGAGGCTGAAATGAATGCTTACACTAATGCTATTGAGTGTCTTTTTCCGTGCTATGAAGAAGCGCTAGGTACGCCCCCAGATTGGGTTACGACTATCGCATGGCCCTTGTATGTGCCAGAGCTATATATGCAATTGCTGAGCCAAAAGCAACCCCTTGCCCTAGTAATACTTGCGCATTTTGTGGCTCTCTTAAGCCTCCCTGTAGGCAGATGGTGGGCTAATAGTTGGCCGAGCTCGGTCCTAAGTGCATTGGCACAAAGCATTGAGAATCCATGGCATTTTTGTTTGATACTGCCAGCAAGAAATGTGGGAGTTGCCTTGATGCCTGATCGATAGGATCTATATTGCCCACACATATCACAATTTCTCTTTGAACACAAACATTTATTATCCACAGTTATCTCCCACCCATATACTCTGGTTGATATGCCTTTACTCCACTCTTCATTAGCTCTCTGAGCGCCATAGTAGCATATTGGCTGGCGCCAAGCTGAAATTTGATTACTACCGCCAACTTGTCTTCTTTCCTGGTATCTGTTTTGACGCTTTGCTCTTCTGTAATTTTAGTATTTGATGGTTCCTGAGTGTCAGCCCCGTTTTCACGAATCGCTTCAAGATCAGTTTTAATGAATTGTTCGTTATCATCTGTATACCTCTTCACTTCGAAGGAATAATCGGGCCCCGGTCTGCTCAGTATTTTTCGATAACTTCCGCTAAGGCTGGCGTCCTTCCATTTTCTTCGCATATCGAATGGGTCCAGATTCCCACCTCGTTCACTACCCATGAAGGTCTTATAGAAATCAGTCATCTTGTTCGGAGGATATATGATATCGTATCCTGGAAGTGGCAGCACGATGTCAAATACCGTATACTTGCCACTTGCAGCCTCTTCGGCAGTGAGTGCTCGCGCACGCTCAAAGACACTATCAGCAGAGACGGCGCTATCACCAGTATCGGGTAAAACAATCACTTCGCCATCCGCATCGACTGTTTCGGGGGCAGTATGACCTGGGCTATGATTATTGAACTCATTGACTAGAACTAGATCTCCTTGCACCACCCTGTCACCGTAGAGACGCCAACGTTCTCCAGCAGCAAAGTTCCAAACCAGCGACTGATAAGCATGCACATACATCAATCGTAGGTTCCGTGGAATTGTTTGAAGAGCGCTCAAGTAGTCGTTCTTCTTTCTGGCCAGGTATTTTATGATATTGGATTCAGCGAAAAACTTCTTGGGCATTTTCGCTAAGGCTGCATTTCCATCTCCGGTTGACTGGAAGATATGAATGGCCTCGGCTCGTGCAATATCGTCGGAGCTAAGCAACACGGTCTCCTCCCCCTTTCCCTGGGCTGCAGCTAAACTAGCTGGTGTGTAATACAGGATACAATCACATGCCCCCTTAAAATCCGACTGTAGGATCTTTACACCAACAGTATCGGTCCGAGTGGCGAAGGTGCCGAAGCGCTGGAGACCGTAATAGTTGAAATAGCCCCTTTTTCGAAGACCTTGCAACGTCGTAGATACGATATTCGAAGCAGTCGATACCGCCTCGGGTCCCAGGTCAGTTGGAAATTGGCACTCTCGCAGAGTAATGACGAACTCGTTCCCGTTTAATTCGCCAAGTTCCAATCCTTGTTTCTGGTATTCGAAATCTCCAATTGCAGCATTGCGAAGAGTCCGATTCATGTTTGCTAATCGGTTTGCATCAAACCGGAATAGACATGCTCGCTGAACTGTAACTCCGCGTCGGTCTTTTGTTCCTGCAAATTTGAAGCCTTTGGCGCCTAATTTCAGCTGACGAGCAAGGAAATTTATGACTTCCATTGTGTCTTTATTCTCTTTATAGATGGTGAAATGTAAGTATTCCCCGCCTACTTCGCTCCACCCAAGCTTTCCCCTTCGGTTGTCTGCAATGCCTCCCTTCATCTGGGCTCTCAATCTTCGAGCTGGAACACCAGACATAACTAGGGAGTTATCATTTTCGGTAGACGACTCTATCCGCCCACTAAATATCCGTCGAAGTGCTTGGTGGATGATTGTCCTCGTATCTTTCTCAGGCACGGGGTCCGATTTAACACGGCCGAGATCTCCAGCTTTCAGGTTGGGCTTGTTAAGTGTACGAGAGTAGAGTTTTACAATCTTTTGAGTGACCTCTTGACCGAGATGCTCCTCCAAAATCTTTTGATCTTCACCTGGAATCTAAACAGAGGGTTATATTAGCATAGATTACAGTACTTCTGCGCAGACTACAAACCTTGACATCTGAATCAACAGTATCTACACTAATGGTGTCTTGTGTGTTCTGTGGTGTATCTGGCACATGGGCCTGAGCAGTTTCTTTGGGTACTTCGTTGGATTCCTGTGCTGCGGATCTGATAATTGAGGGAGCCTTAAGGTCTTTTAGGTGTAGAACCTGCCCCGAGGGAAGAATTTCATTGACTAGAAAGTCGGTGTATCTGGTACGCAAAATCGAGCGTTAGTAGAAGCATGGATATTGGCGTACGAAAATAGTCCTATTTTACCTCTTTTTTAAGATCCCCGAGAAGCCGGATATATCTGGGCTCACGTATTCTATAATCCCAACTTCTATCTCTTTTAATGCCTGCGCATCGTCGGGGGCAGTCTGGCGCACTGGAATCGAATCGGATGGAAAGGAAGGCAGGCCTTCAGAAAGCTTCACACGCTTGCGACGAGATTCGTCGCCGGAAAAATGGCTCTCCATTATCGTAATACGCGGAGATATAAGGGGCGGAGAGTCGTTTGTCAATTTTTGAGGCTGCGCACTGCGGTCTGAGTGTGGCCAGGTTGAATTGGCTTTGGCTTGGGATCGATCAATTGCGGAAAAGAGCCCAATGATAGGGCGCACATGGGAATTAAGCTTGCAAGGAGCTTTGAGAGAATGGGCCACGAAAGCTGAAAGAAGCAACATCCAAACTCGATGGCCGGCGACCGTTGTTGAAAATCTCTATTGATGGAAAAGTACCATGGAGTGCCTGGTGTTTGTTTTGTTTGCACTTGCTTCTATGAACTAGTTATGTACGAAGTACGGTGTGGAGGATATGCATCTTAACATACTTCAAACCTCAAAGAGAGGAGCAGCTTGGATATAAATCAATACCTTAGCCTACAGTGCATTAATGGCGGTGACTTCAATTGTTTAACACCTACAATTGTTCTCCTCCACCCAGCGGCCATACATCCTATGGTCAATCCCAAAGCGATCGATATTTTGGTAAACAGCATCCACACTGAGCTTCCCGTCTAGGAACGATCAATCATGTCAGCGCTGCAATGAAGCGCAACGGTTTGAGCTTGAAGCGCAATTTTGTGGACAGCTACGCGGTTATTGCGCCTTCGGTATTGCACATCGCGGCACTGAAACCCAGGAAATATCGTTCCCTCCATTCCATGTTTTTTCAAGAAAGTGCGCAGCTTCGGCGGGTGTATGTGACTTTTATACAGTCTAGTAGGCATGGATTTGCGAGAGGTACCCAAGACCAGATTTGAACGGACAGCAGGTTCAGAAGTTCAGCGAAAAAATCTGGGTCGTATTTGCCTTAAGTTCTGTTCCAATAATTTCCATTCGTTTCTAGTAATTGGCGTGACATCTGAAGCGCTGTTAGGAGTCAAGGCATTCTGCCACGAGCTTGGTTGTTTCTTTAGACTGCCTCTATCAGTAATAAAATATCTCGTTCTCGTCCGACCCCTTGAAGTAGGTTTGAACATGATAATAGCTTTATAGGCGAATTTAATTTCGTGTTCCCTTGTCAAATGAAGCAAGACGTCATCGCGAACATGAATATGGTCGTACGTGCAATGAAAAAACTTGCGGGTCAAAGGCCGACCACGGGTTTCCTGCATTATCTGTTGCAAAAGATACAGGCAAGACTCCAGATAAACATGGTTTGGAATGGGGCTCGTGGCATCTGTGGATAGAACATTGAGCTGCTGTTTGAGAGAAAACATATGGTCGATGTTTAGAAGAGTTAGCGCTTCGTGGCTAAAAAATGGGTCATTCTGCGTGAGCGTGCGTTGAATGGTGTATTCCCAGTGTGATGTTCGGGAGTGTCCCAAGCTTAGAGGGACCATCCAGTGCGCAGAAAGCGAATACTTTTTCGCAGCCCGATTCAGATATCGTTTGAGCAGTGTCGACATGTTACTGTCCAGTGGTGTAATCGAAATGGCAGTAAGATTCGATCCCTGGCCAATGGGTAGGGGGAGACTTCGAGTCACGATAAAGGTGAGGTGTGAGGAGGCGGAGAGAAGCTTGCCAGCAACATATGTGAGGGCGGCGAGAACTGCCGGGGTAACTTGGTTTGGATTGAAAGCAGCTTGCGGAGATAGAGGGGGCGAGATCATGTCCGACGTGAGGCTACCAGAGAGCCACCTGGGGGAGTGCGGTGGCACAAGGACAGGATGCAACCGGTGTTTGGGCATGGCGACTGGAACTAAAAAGAGGATGAAAAGACTGTGGGCGAGCTAGCTGTAGGCGTTGTGCTTATAGCGACACGCAATAACGTACAAAATAGTGGTATTGGAGTCGATGCCGCTGGCTTTGGATGTATGGAATATGTAGCTGGGACCAAAATAGCAGCAGATGCTGACTCAGCTGTGCCCTTGGCGGCCCGTGCGAGCCAAAAATAGACGAAGTGGTCTGTGCGGGGCGCCGAAAACGTGGAGCGCCAGCCAATCAAAAAGGACGAGCCGGCGTGGCCGCTGGGGTGTGGCCTCTGCCTGCCGGAGGTATCAACAGGCCGGCGTCGGGGGAAAGGAGGATACTCGCGGAGAGCGTACTCCGTAGAATGGAACGTGGTGATCCGTGGGCCGGTGAGCTGCTATCCCGGCGCGTTATCCGGATTCTGCCTTGCGCTGCTAAGGCAAGGATGCCAAGGGACGCAGTCGCGTTGCCTGGCCGTTCCCCAACGGTCTTGGCTATGGACGGAGGGCCGGAAGCACCGTTTGATCACGGAGCACTCCGAATGCCGTGCAGCTCACCTGGACCCTAGCGCTGCTCCAGCAGGAGTCTCTCGCCTGGTCGCCGTCACAAGCTTAAGCGGCCGGATTAACTAACTGCCGTCTCGCTGACTCATCTGGGCTCGCTAAGTGATGCCGGATGCGGTCTAGTGTGCTCGCGCCAGCCGTGATCGCCCGCCGCGATGCGCTGCACCTCCGCGTCCATAAGCGACGGCCGTCGTCAACGCCATCCGCTCTCCAATCACACCCGCCCTGATCTCAAACATCGTTGTCTTGCACGCGGCCGAAACGCTCGTTGTTGCATCTGATACTTGCTGCTAGTGGGCCAGGAATGCCCGCTATCGCGCTCCCCAATGCTTTCCAGCCACTCTGGTTGCGCGCTTTGCGAACACCCAGAGCCATTGATCTGTCGCAATTAAACTCTTTTTCTTCTAGAATAAGTTTCGAATTGTCCCTAAAGGATGCCGTGGGGGATCCGCTGTGTTGTTCTTCCCACCCCCAACAACACCCAGTCTCTTTCTGAAGAAGCCATTTCCCATAAGGATGCTCCTTTTCTGCCTCTCTTGGCTCTCTTGCCTGAGCCCAGTAATTTCTCTTTGATCGATCCCTAAGGGTGTATGTCTACATGCACTTCTGACGATAACAGTTTATCGTCGCAGCCATGAGGCGTTTGGTTCTTCTGGCTAGCCACCTGCTGGCCAGCGACGACAAACCTCCTTCAAAATCCTACGATGACTGGCCAAATTCCCAAGGGGTGGGTACCCAGCGCCTCCTGTTCACACACTGCTAACGGCACAAGTTCAATACGACCTACGAAGAGAGGACTCCAGTAGAGCTTGAGGTTGACGGAATAATTCCCTCTTGGGCTGCAGGCACTCTTTACCGCTCAGGCACCGGACACGCCGAGATTAAAACTGAGAAAAACGGCACATTCAAGACGAGACATTGGTTTGACGGCCTAGCTATCGTGCATCGATTCCAAATTCTTCCTCCCGACCAAGACCACCCAGCCGTGCGGGTGGTCTATAACTCTCGCAGTACCTGTGATGGTCTGATCGACCAGATCCAAAAAACTGGCGATCCTCGACTGATGTCTTTTGGGAGAAGATATGACCCCTGCCGAAGTTTTTTTCAGAAAATCGCCTCTGTTTTCAGAGCGATGGAGAGTCCTGCTCCTAACGAAGTGTCAATGTCGATTACTCTGTCTGCTTCCTTTCCTGGGCTGGAGAAGCTTGAGAAAAAAACAAGCGACCAGGCGCCGGGTAGAGTGCGCAATCTCATCAATAAAACCGACAATTCAAACCTCCAGTCACTTGACCCGGAAACCCTTGAACCTATAGGTTTAGCTTCGCAGGCCATTCTTCACCCGGACTTAACGGGACCCTTTTCCGCTGCCCATGCTAAATCTGACCCCGTAACGGGTGATGTATATAACTATAATTTACAGCCTGGGCGCAAAGGGACCTATCGCGTATTTTGCGTTTCCGCTTCTACAGGCAAGACGTCCATCCTCGCTACCATATCCGCAGATGCGTCCTACCTTCACTCGTTCTGCCTGACAGAAAATTATGTTGTTCTTTGTGTATGGAACTCCTTCTACGCCGCGGGCGGTATTGGAGTCCTGTGGAACCGAAACATCATGGACGCTTTGTCATATGATCCATCACGTCCTGCGCGATGGTACGTGGTAGACCGCCGCCCCTCTGAGGCTGGGGGTAGAGGTCTTGTAGCTTCTTACACAAGTGACCCGTTCTTTTGCTTTCATACTGTCAACGCTTTTGAAGAAAAAGTGGACTCAACTGGCAAAACTGACATCCTTGCTGACATGATTATATACAACAACTTAAATTGCATTTCCGAGTTTTATCTTGAACACTTGATTGGTAACCACCAGTCTAGTTCCTCTGCAGCTAATTCGAAGTACACTACCCTTTTAACGCGCTTCCGCCTGCCCTCGTTACCGCCTTTGGATACGAGGTCATGCCAACCATCAAAACAAGCTGTGATTGAAGTTCAGAGCGATCTCGAAGAAATTTTTGAATTGCCTACTCTAAACCCTCGCTATGTTACACACCCACATCGCTATATTTACGGGGTGAGACATACGGGTAGCAGCACTTTCTTCGACGGGCTTGTCAAATATGATGCAAAGCGCCAAACGGCTACATATTGGAAGAACCCCTCACAATATGCCGGGGAGCCTATTTTCATTCCTAGAAAGCAAACCAACGGCGACCCATTGGATAATATTGATGAAGATGATGGGGTGCTACTGTCGGTAGTCTTGGATGGGACCGCAGGCAAGTCGTATCTTCTAGTTCTCGATGCCAGAACTATGAAGGAAGTTGCAAGAGCAAGTGTGAAAGGCGCTATTGGGTTCGGTTTTCATGGTACACACGTTCCTAGTTTTGAGGGCGAAAAGGCCTTGGACTTTTGAGAATGTTAATCCATATTTTTGATACTATTAATTAATTTGTGAATTGGAACTACCATTCAGATACAGCGACATACTACAATACTGCTTGTTGGTGGTTTATACTGGACGGTGACTAGTTGTATAGGATGATGGGTGCGCAGCGGCGGCCGCGACGAAGAAATACAAGACGCCACATCCAATCCCTCTATTCGATTAGGTGGGTTTGTTTTTTCTATGCCCTCTCCGTGTCGCCAAAGCATATCATGTTGCTCAAGCTAGGCATCTAAGCAAGACGCGAACCAGCAGTCGCTAGCAATCTGAACTACCCATGGTGCTCACTGTATTGCTTGCATCTCACAACCGTATCAAAGCCCCTTGAAATGTATGTATGCTCGAATTTTTGTAACAGAATCTGTTCCTGTGCCTGAAATGCCCGGGCGACAATCCGGGCGACTAGGGATGGACATGTTATGGGTATGTGGGATCACTCTGAATATGGTTTCCTTTACATGGAATACTCACTGAGGCATATATAGTGTGTACGCCTCATGTCCTTGATTTGATAGTGAACATACTCATACAAAAGATATGTGCATATGCAAAGACAATTCTTTGCTGGTGGTGAGAGATAAATAGAGTCAAGTATGGGTCTTATGCAAGTCCATCATTACGAGATTTGATTTATGTAGAGTGAGCTGCATGTTAGGTATATGCATGACTGAAATTACCCACTTCCCTGGTGACATTTCTTTGCAATGAGTGCACTGATTCTGTTTCAACGAAGCAATGGTAGGTGGATTTGGTGACGTTTGTGCTGGAGAAGAAGACAAAGAGGTCCGAAATTCCCACAACTGCAGTCGGCGTTAGCTGCAAGGTGTGTTGGATATAGTGTTTTGCCTCTCATGCAGCATGCATTTGATTTAATCATAATGAGTGTACGGAGTAACTATCCATACATAACATACATGCAAATACAAAGACAATCCTTTGTTGGTGGTGAGAGATAAAGAGCCAAGAATGAGTCTTAGGTGGTGGAATTGCCAAAACAGATGATCAGTCCACTGTTATGGAGCACTAGGTTTGATTTATCTAGGTTGAGATGCATGTTATGTGTGTATGTATGCATGGGTGTACGTTGATGGCTGAGATCGCTCACATCTTGTGACCTTTCTTTACCATGATTTCAAAAAAGCAATGGTAGATGGATTTGACGTTGCTGTGATGGAGAAGAAGAACACAAAGGGCTCTGAAGTTCCTGCTCACTGCAGCCAGTGTTAGCTGTAAGCCTGTAAGGTGCGTTGGTTATGGTGTGAGAAGGTTGTGCTGTCCAATTGGCAGTTCTTCGGCACACATAACCTAGTTAACTGGCTAACTACTGAACTCGGAGTACTCCGTACCTAACTACCTAACTAACTAACTAGCTAACTACCGCGCCCGACGAGCCTTGATAGAAACATCGAAGACAAAACAATAATTGTGCGTCTCTTCCATCGCTATTCTGCCGTGCGCAACCTAAGTTAATATCTACGGCCGTCTAGCTTGCCATTGGCTGGGGATGGCGATGACCCCGCCAGCGTCCAGACGCCCGATGAACGAACGGCACATCAACAAACAGACGCTGAGAAGTCCAGCAAACAGTCTCATTATTGGCCGTGTGGCAGCTGTTGAATTCCGTCCCAAACGTGCGGCTAGTCGCTGGCCCGCGCATCGTCCCTGAGAAATTTCGACCTGCAGCCTATGAAACGGCTGCATTGTCAAGATGCTGCCTGCGTCCCTCGGTGTCACCTTGCTACTGCTGCTACGTGTCAATAATACCCACAATCAGCGTTTTGGCTCTGCGACTGGCAGTCTGTGGGGCAGCTGAACGACGGAGAGTTAACTGAGAACTCTGTGCATGCTCCGTATGTACGAGCAGCACTACTAACTACGATACCGAGCACATAGCCTTTTAGGCAGCGGGGCCTTCCCTTGCCGCGTTCGAAGCCGGAGGCTCCCGTCGTGCAGGGCCTGCGGTTTGCTCCTTGGAAACGATCGCAAATGCAACCCTGACGGGTTTAGCTGAACCCGGCGGTGGTGACTGGTTCGTTCATAATTATTGACCCTCACCTGGGGTCGACTGGCAATATGCTACTGTATGGAAAGAAACTTTGGCTTTGGCGCAGTCGCCTTAGGCACCGTGCCCCATGCCCTCCATTTTTCCTTCCTTTTTTTTTCCCGGGATCCTGTCAATCGGATCGTCATCTTGATTGACTTTCGGCGATTAGACCGCAGGAATTGTATTGTGGTCTTTGCTCTCCGTTGTCTTTCCGCTCCGCCGCTGGCGCTGAGTCTCCTCGCGAGACTTTCTATTATTGCCTTCCAGCAAAATGCATCTTGTGAGGTATTTACACGTCTTCAATTGGCGGCCTGCAAGGGTAATGCTGGGCTTAACTTTATTGCGGCCAAGGTCACCACCGGTTTTGCTAGACCCGCGCTCGGTCGTTTGGCCTCTGCGATCAAATTCAAGAGTCCAGCGCTGCCTGTCGCCTTGCCCCCAGTGGTCCAAAGGAATTTGCCAATGCATGCCGATGCACTTGGTAGGTATATAATAAGGGTCACGCGTGTCAATGGACTGCGAAGAAGCCGTTGACGTGCATTTCTGGCCCCTCCATATAATGCTGATCCCAGTACAAGCTGTACAAGAATAATATGGGACGGCGGCTCCAAATTTCCCGAAGGACCGATTCCGAACACAAAAGAAAAAACTAATCTAGTTGCCACACGATATCTGTTGGGTGTGGTCCCAGACATTATTATTTTCCCCATTCTCCGACTCGCAGATGGCCGTGAAGCTTTCCACAGTGGAGCGAGCCATGAATTTAGTTAGCTGAAGGCAAAATTGGAGATGAAACTGTTATGACTTGCAAGAATAAAATCCCTTGACTTGAATGGCCCTAGCCTCTTTTCCCCGTTATGCCTACGATGCTTTACACGTGTTCCGTACCAATTGCTTCGGAAGGCTGCACTTGTTGGATAGCTTTTTCTCACAGAGAAACAAACATACCGGAAGATTTAAACCGGCATACCGATGCCTCGGAAGAACTCAAGCGCATTCGTATAGTACATAACTACCATCGACACCCCCGCCGAAATGCTTTTCCAACACCCTTAGTATACCCTATTATGGGGGCTGGAGGGAAAGGGTATTTTTTATGTTTTTTATTCAAGCAATTGCACAAGATAGATCTATTAATATTATAGAAGCCGGCGGTGTGCCGATTTGACCATGGATCCGGGGATCTTGAGTCGAGGTGACCATGCCATACCTCTGGCGGTCATTGGCATTTCAACTCGCTTTGCGCAAGAAGCCACTGACGGAGAGAAATTTTGGGACCTCTTGCTAAGAGCGCGCCAGGCTGCCACGCCTTTCCCGAAAGACAGATTCAATTCTAATGCCTTTTACCACCCTGACCCTGAGCATGGGGGGACGGTTCGATTACCGGAAGTATCCTTTTATGGAGAACCATGTTCTAATCTTTTGTACTATAGTTCCATGTCAAGGGTGCTCATTTTCTATCAGAGGACCCTTTGGGATTCGACGCCCCATTCTTCAATGTTAATAAGACCGAGGTCCTAACTCTGGACCCTCAACAACGCGTTGCGATGGAGAATGTATATCATGCATTGGAAAACGGTAAGCTCCTCATTTTAACGACATATTGCGTGCGAATGATATGTATTGATCACGTTTGGCTCCCTGTTAAAAGCTGGTATCCCGATGGAGAAGGTGATTGGATCGAAGACTTCTGTAATCGCTGCCGGCTTCAACCATGATCATATGGCTCTGATGGACGCGGACCCAGAGGTGACCTTGAAACACAAGCCCACCGGCTCCCAGCAATCAATTCTTTCAAATCGGATAAGTTGGTTTTACGATTTCAGCGGTCCCAGCATAACGATTGATACAGCATGTTCGAGTGGCATTGTTGCCGTCCATCTGGCGGCTCAAAGTTTAAAGTCTGGGGATTCCGAAATGGTAGATCTCCCTGGTGCCTCAAATTTGTGTTTTCTTTCTAATGAAGAGCAATAGGCCATCGTGACTGGAGGTAGTATCATCACATATGTCCCTGACATTATTGCTATGAGTCATTCTGGGTTTCTTGGGCCAGAAGGGAAGTGCTTTAGTTTTGACCATAGAGCCGAAGGGTACGGTCGTGGGGAAGGCGTCGGAAGTATTGTCATAAAGACATTAGAAAGTGCGATAAGAGACGGCGATACCATTAGAGCAGTTATTCGTGCTAGTGGGGTGAACCAGGACGGCCGCACGCCGGGAATTACTCTACCGAGTAGCAAAGCGCAATCTAATCTTATCCGCGAGGTGTACAGCAGAGCATCGTTGGATCCAAATATTACAATGTTTGTGGAAGCTCACGGAACTGGAACAGCTGCTGGTGACCCAATCGAAGCACAAGGTATTGCCGATGGCTTTGGCTCCACGCGACGCAACATGCCTCTGCACATTGGGGCGCTGAAGGCGAACATTGGCCATTTAGAAGGGGGTGCAGGCATCGCAGGAGTTATCAAATCGATAATGATCCTGGAATCTGGAATTATACCCCCAAATGTCAACCTTGAGAAGGTCAATCCAAAGATCCCAACAGACGAGTGGAATATTCACTTCCCCACTGAGTGCATACCATGGCCTAGATCTGGTCTCCGGCGCGTTTCTGTTAACTCCTTTGGATTCGGTGGCACTAATGCACACTGCGTTCTGGATGACGCATTCCATTTCCTGAAAGAAAACGGCATTTCAGGTATCCATAACACACGGGAATTGGTGCCAACTAAGATAGAGATCCAAGAACGTCTTTCGGCTCTGAAAAATGCATATGCTAATCGAAGCACATCAGTTGCAAATCTGATCGAAGAAGGCAACTTGGCTTGCCAAATGGTCAAGTCCCTTTCCACAAACGAGCTAGCTATCAGAGGTAATTCCAAAGTCCGCAAATTATTTCTGCTGTCGGCCTCGGATCAAAAGGGAATTCATAGAGTGGCCATGAATCTCTGTAAATATCTTACATCAAAGCAGGATCTAGAATCCGAGACTGCCGAAGCCCTGCTGAATGACCTTGCGTACACACTGTCAGAAAGAAGATCGAGGCTACGGTGGAAGAGCTATTTGCTGGCAGACTCAATGTCAACTCTCAAGGGAGCCCTGGCAGATGAAAAGGTAGTATCGAAACCCACAAGTGTTCGCCATCCACCCAAACTTGGATTTGTTTTCACAGGTCAGGGGGCACAGTACTGTCGCATGGGCCAGCAACTTTTAGTCTACCCTGCTTTTCGTGAGAGCTTACAGCAAGCATCTGAGTACATGAAAGCCTTAGGAAGTCCTTGGTCGCTGTTAGGTGAGCATGCATTGTTCTGCTACAAGGATGTAGGCTAATATTTATATCCAGATGAGGTCCTCAAAGACAAAGAAAATTCGCGCATTAGTATGCCAGAATTTTCACACCCTGCCTGCACAGCTCTCCAGATTGCGATTGTGGACCTCCTTTCCTCATGGGGGATTGTTCCAGTAGGCGTTCTTGGCCATTCTTCAGGTGAAATTCCTGCCGCATACTGTGCAGGTAGAATTTCGCGTGAAGCAGCTTGGAAAGCTTCTTATTACCGTGGATACGTTTCTGCCAAAGAGACGAACGTCAAAGGTTCTATGGTTGCTGTTGGCCTTGATCAGGAGAAGCTGCGCCCCTACCTGGAAAAAGTCCATGCACTCCATGGTGGCGAACTTATCATTGCTTGTTACAATGCTCCAAAAAATAACACTGTTGCAGGCGATGAGACAATGGTTGATACCCTGAAGATGCTTCTTGATGAGGACGGTGTTTTTTCTCGCAAGCTCAATGTGCCCAAAGCGTATCACACCGCTCACATGAAGAGTGTTTCTGAAGAGTACCTAGAGCTGATGGGTAACCTGCCTCCTGGTGCAATGCTTTCATGTGCGAAAAGCATCTCAATGTTTTCCTCTGTTACAGGAAAAGAAGTTGAAGACCTGGCTATAACACCTTCATATTGGGTCGATAACATGATTTCACCTGTTCGGTTCACAGAAGGTCTCCGTTCAATGCTTTTCCAGGAGATCGACGGCAAATCTGATATTAACACTCGCTTCGATGAAATTGTGGAGATTGGTCCTCATGGAGCGTTGCAATCGGCAATCAAGGAAATCATTTCTACTGCTAGCCTGGAAACTTCCATCTCCTATTCGTCTGTTCTTGACCGCAACGAGGCCACTACAGACAAAATACTAATATGTGCTGGAAAGTTGAGCTGTAAGGCGTTTCCTGTTGACCTACTAAAGGTCAACAGCTGCACTAATTCAGGAACACAGCAGCCTCGATTACTGGTTGACCTGCCGCCCTACTCTTTTAACCACGACGAAAAGGGGTATTATGAAAGCAGATTGACGAAGAACCTTCGTTTTCGAGAGTTTCCCAGGCACCAACTTCTAGGCGCCCCTGTTCAAGACTGGACTCGACTGAGCCGTAGATGGAGGCATTTTTTCAGATGCTCCGAAAACCCCTGGCTTCGAGACCATGTAGTATGTTTGTTTTTACCCCATATTTTGGACTATTTAAATTTTAATCATTCACTGGCAGATTACGGACTCATATGTTTTTCCTGGAGCCGGTTACCTAACAATGGCTCTAGAAGCAGTTAAACAAACAGCGGGAGAGGCTGTTCAAATAACTGGGATAAGATTCAAGGATGTGAATATTAAAAGTGCCCTTGTGATACCAGATACCAATGCTGGTGTTGAGGTCTGTCTCTCAGTCTCCCCAGTCAATGAATCCAATGAGTGGGCATCGACTGTGTGGAAATTCTTCCAAGTGTCCTCATACATACCTTCTTTTAATGATTGGGTGGATAACTGTACGGGTTATATTGCCCTTGAGTATGAGTCTTCGGGCCCAGATTTAGTTGGGAACGGTCGCGAGGGTCTAGAGGCCAAGCTGCAATGGCAGCGCGCATTGGACCAAGCCAGTGAGACATGTGGGACCGCACTCGATGCAGGAAAAATCTTCGAGAACTTCGAGACAATCGGTCTCAAGTATGGCCCCTCGTTTAGAAATTTATCCAATGTCGCCGTTAGCGGACAACGAAAAGGTACTTTCCTGGGCGAGATAACAGTTCCAGAACTGAATTCCATCATGCCCAAGGGGTATATTCATCCCCATCTCATTCATCCCGCAACTCTAGATAGCACACTTGTTGCTGGCCTGGTGGCGATTTGCGATAATGCGGGTCAAACCGTGTTGAAGCGACCGATGGTACCGACATTCATCAAGGAAGCCTGGATTTCGGCAGCCACGAGTTCCCAGCCTGGAAGTCAGCTTCACTGCTTTGGAGAAGCATCTGTGACTGCATATGAATCCTATGATTTCAACGCAAGGTGCTGGGATGCGGCGGGCAACGATCCTCGTATTCTCCTTTCTGGAGTGCGATTCAAGCCGTTGACAGCCGAAAATGTGGCCCACAGCACACAGATCACCTATGGGATGGACTGGAAGCCGTCTATCAACATGCTAGAGACTCCAGAGTTCCTTGGACTGGTTCCGGTTACAGCCAAAACACCTTTTGAGAAACAGCAGGATTCGGCTGTTAAGCTGCAGCTTGCCACGATTCTTTTGATTACAGATGGTTTGGAAGATCTAAAAACCAATCCTCCTCCTTCTCCTCTTGAAGGACATTTGAAAATATATTTCGACTGGATGGAGCGGGTAGTGTCTGAGTTGAACGAGGGATCACTCCTCCACGTTCCACTAGAGCTGTGGAAGACGTATTCAGCCGACCATAAATTAAAAGAAGAACTCTATCGATCTATCGGAGCGGATTTCAACACGGATGGGCAAATTTTGCTCCGCCTGGGCTCGCACATTGCCGCTGTTGTACGGCAGGAAATCGACCCACTTTATCTGATGTTTGGCCAGGATGACCTCATGCCACGTCACTATGAGGAGGTGATACTACTCAATGACTCTTTACAAACTGTGCAAGAGTATCTATCCATCGTTCGCGAGAATTTCAATGGGCTTGAAATACTGGAAGTCGGCTCCGGTACGGGTAGCTTTACTAAGCTGATGCTGAAATCGCTTTGCCCTAGATCCCAAATAGAGAAGAAAGATGAAATAAGCAATATTTCAAAATATACATTCACGGATATCTCTCCGAGTTTCTTTTCCAAGGCGAAGGATCGGCTCGAGCAATGGAAAGATATTTTGGCGTTTCAGAAGCTGGACATTGGAAGCGATCCCCTGAACCAAGGCTTCTCAGCCGGTAAATACGACCTTATTGTCGCTAATAACGTGCTGCACGCCACTCCTAATTTGCAACGGACTCTTGAACACTGCCGCCTACTGCTGAAACCGGGTGGCAAGCTTTTGGTACAAGAAGGTGTCAGGCCGGAGCTCCATTGGGTATCGCTTGTGTTTGGTCAGCTTCCTGGATGGTGGCTGTCCATTGAACCCGAACGCAAGTGGTGCCCCTACATCACCGAGCCTGAGTGGAATGGGTACCTTAATCGAGCGGGCTTTTCTGGTCTAGATGTTTCTATTCCTAGCTCGCACTACCCCGAGTTTTCACAGCTGAGCACTATGATCTCCACTGCTGTGGTGGACAGCTCTAAGGGCATCGAGGGGAATATTAAAGAAGTCATAATCCTTTGCTATATATCGGCGCACGATGTCGACGTTGTGGCAAGGCTGAAGGCTGAAGTGACGCCGTTCCTGGGTGGCATCAACTGCTTCGTGATGCAACCGTGTGACTTGGACGGAAGGGATGTTACTGATTCAATTTGCATATCTCTTCTAGAGCTCGAAGAGCCCCTGCTATTTGATATCATTGATGATGACTTTCAGCTTGTCCAACAGTTGCTTTCTACTTGTAGGAAGCTGCTCTGGGTGACGGGCGATTCAAATGAAGAGCCTGCGTTCAACATGATCAATGGCCTGATACGCTCAATCCGATGGGAGCGTGATGCGGACAATCTAAACTTCACGACAGTTGCCATGGCGGACGCACGCTCTTCACCCGCGAAGGACGTTGCACATTCGCTTGCCAAAGTTTTCCGATATCAATTTCTCAGTGGACAAACAGAACACGGAAACGCCGAGTATTTCTGGAGAGATAAAATGGTATACACTAACCGCATCACGAGTTCTCCTGCAGCCACGGACTTCTTAGTCAGACAGTTCTCAACGCCTGCTCCTGAATTAACACGCTGGAAGGACGTCAAGCGCGCAGTAAGACTTGAGAATGGCACGCCTGGCCTATTGGACAAACTACAATGGGTTACAGATACCACGCCCTTGCTGCCTCTCGGAGACTCCGAAGTGGAGATTGACGTACGCGCAGTCGGTCTTAATTTCGTGGACCTCTTAACGGTGATGGGAGAGTTGCCATGGGATGTTGTTGGACGAGAGGGCGCTGGAGTTGTCACCCGAGTCGGGCCCGCTGTTAGATGGATCCAACCTGGTGACCGCGTGGTATATCTCGTGGATACACCGAAGAAAGGGACCTTCCAGACATATAGTCGAGTGAACGAGACTGTTGTGGCGAGAATCCCGAATGACATGAGCTTCGAAGTGGCAGCTGCGTTGCCAGTCAACTATGCCACTGTCATATATAGTTTAACGAATGTTGGCCGGCTTGCTGCGGGGGAAAGCGTCCTTATTCACTCCGCTGCTGGCGGCGTGGGACAAGCCGCCGTCCAGTATGCTATGGCGATTGGCGCCGAGGTCTTTGCGACGGTGTCGACGCCTGAGAAAAAGGAATTCTTGATGCGCGAGTATGGTGTTCTGGAAGACCATATCTTCTCCAGCCGAAATTTCAGCTTCGTCAAGGGCATCAAGCGGCTGACCGGCAATGTCGGCGTGGATGTGGTTTTGAACTCTCTGTCGCGCGAGGCGCTTCGTCGATCGTGGGAGTGCCTCGCGCCCTTTGGCCGGTTCATCGAGATCGGCAAGAAAGATCTCATTGCAGGCGGAAAGCTCGACATGTCGCCCTTTTTGCGCAACATCACCTTCGCTGGCGTGGATCTGCTGTCGCTGGCGGAGCATAAACCACGGATCGTGCAGCAGCTTCTTCAAGAGACGCTCCGGCGGTGGGAAGAGAAGACCATCACCGGTGCTCGGCCGAACACGGAGCTGAGCTATGCTCAACTCGAAGAGGGCATGCGTAGGCTCCAGTCGGGTAAGCAGATGGGCAAGATTGTCTTTACGCCTCAGCCAGAAGACCTCATCCCAGTGGTCCCCGAGACGCCACCACCGTACACATTTGCGCCTGATGCGTCTTATATTCTTGCTGGCGGCCTTGGGGGCATTGGAAGGAGCTTAGCGAAATGGATGGTGTCGCGGGGCGCCCGGAGTTTGATCTTCCTTTCTCGCTCTGGAAACATCACGGAGCCGGTGGCGGAGATGATGGCGTCTGTGGAGAGCAGGGGCTGCAGCGTGAAGGTGTTCAAGTGCGATGTAGCTGATGTCGAGCGGTTGCGGGAGGTAGTCGAGGAGTGCGGGCAGACGCTGCCTCCAGTCAGGGGGTGCATTCAATGCTCGATGATCTTGAGGGTAAGTTGTGGCACGATTCATCTCTAAGTCTATCACAACAGAAAAGCTAATGCGTTGCAGGACGGCTTGTTCGAGAACATGAGTTTCGCCGACTGGGTGGCCGTGACGAAGCCCAAGGTGCACGGCTCGCTGAACCTGCACCACGCGCTGCCCGCCAGCCTGGACTTCTTCCTGATGCTGTCGTCGGTCGGCGGCATCATGGGCGCGCGAAGCCAGGCTAACTACTCGGCGGCCAACACGTACGAAGACGCGCTCGCGCGGTCGCTCGTGGCGCGCGGCGTGCGGGCGGCCAGCGTCAACCTGGGCAGCGTGCTGTCGGTGGGTTTCGTGGCTGAAAACAAAGACTACACGCGGCACGTTGCGAAGACCATCGGCGCGATGCGCGAGGACGAAGTGCACGCCATCGTCGAGTACCTCATCGATCCTCGCTGCCCACTGACGGCGTCGACGTGCCAGGTGATCTTTGGCCTCAACACCGTGCGGTCGTTCCGCGACCGCGGCATGCCAGCCCCCGAGTGCTTCAACTACCCGTTGTTCAACCTCCTGCGCGACTCGGCGGCGGCCTCGGGCGACCACGGTGCCCGCGACGCCCAAGTCTACCACGTCCAGGCGCTGCTCGCGGCCGCGCGAAACCGCGCCGAAGCCACGGACGTCGTCGCCGGCGGCATCCTCCGCAAACTCGCCGTGCTGCTCAACGTGCCCGCGGACCAGATCGAGGCGGCCAAGTCGATCCGCGCCAACGGCGTCGACTCGCTGATTGCCATGGAATTCCGCACGTGGCTGGCGAAGGAGCTGGGCGCGGAGATCCCGCTCATTGAGCTTATGGCCGAAGCGAGTATTCACGATCTGAGCACGAAGGTGTCTGGGTTAAGTAAGTTCGTGCAGCAAGGGTGACAGGGTGTCTGGGGGTTATATAGGAAGCATCTGTATATGTGACAAGATATTAGGCGATTTGAAAGATCAAGGTGTTTTATAAATAATAGATAGGATATATTAGGCTTGTGTAGTGTCGGTCAATATAGTATTCATTCTTGATTTGAAAGAGTAAGGGAGGGAGGGATGGTCGAAGAACGCAAGGAAAACGGCATATAAGCCCGATTAACTCGTAATCTTTGGAAGCAGAGTGCTCAGCAGAACGCGCAAGGAAACCGTGCCGAATGGGGACGATGTTGCGAAGAGGGCTAGCTAATATATACATGGAAGCCGAACAGGGACGGAGTAGGGCTGGAATTAGGTATCACGGGGAATGGCAAACAGGGTCACTGGTCTAAAATCGCTTGCTCGAATATAAAGTAGACAGGCAGACATACGAAAATGGGGAGGGTATTGAAACGGGAGCAGCCAATGAGAGTGACGGGGGCCATATCGAACTGGAAAGTGGGATTGCTCGAAAAAATCTGAACTGTTGGGATATCTGGTGCGTTTGACAAAAGGAAAACATAAAAGGAAAAGGACTGACTGGGTCAGCACGGCTAGAGTGGATTAGACGGTAGTGGATGGTAGAAAAGATCTATTTTATGATGGCCAAAGGCCCCCGGGAGTGTTATCTCCCTCGGTGGGATTTACGGGCCAAGGGCGACGAGTTCCCGGACAAGGGGAAGGGCTCGCGTACTCGGCCATTTCGGTTAGGGGTCTGGGTGCAATAGACGCAAATGTACACAGGCGGCAGTCGCTGGCGATCCAGGCCGACACATTTGGTATGAAGCCAGTGGGCACACGAGTCACTGAGAAATTTGAGTGTTAGAGGGAGGGTTGGATGGGTGCAACAGGGAGACTATACCACTGGATCATCAAATGGCCGCCGTTGTTCATGGATCGACAAACGCAGCGCGTGCCGGTGCTGGGGTTGTTCTGGCGATCGGCGACTGGAGTCGGGAGCTCGGTATCTATCAGGGTTGTGGGCGAAGCACTGCCGGTGGCGCGGGAGCGGGAGTGATATGAGGGCGGGGACGAGGGCAATGCCGACAGGGCGGACGACTGGGAGTAGTGGGACACGGTGCGGGCGGAGCCGGGGGCGAGCGGTCTGGACTGGCGTTTCCGGCACTTGAGCACCTCCATGAGGGCGTGCTGGGCGTCTCCGGGGCGGGAATCGTGGTGGGGCGTGTCGGAGTCGGATAGGGAGTGGCTGCGGGAGCGTCGTGGGGCGGACTTGGTCGGAGTGGTGTGGTCTCGCTGGAAGGAGGTGCGGGCGCGGCGTGAGTGTGAGGATGCGGTCCAGGGCGAGTGGGTGGAGGAGGAGTAGGCGGAGCCGTGGGAGGGCGGGCGCGAGGTGGACTGGGCACGGATGAAGTCGGGGCGGCGCGGCGTAGCGACAGGTACGGCGAAGGACGGGTTCTGGCTGTGGGTGAAGCGGTCCTCGTCGTCATCTTCGCCGTCGGACGAGTCGGAGTCGATCTCGGTGGAGGAGTCGCGGGCGAGAAGCTTCATCTCGGTGGTGGCCAGGCCATCCTTGGAGATCTTGAGCACGAGCGACTCCATAGGCGGAGCGCGGGAGACGACGGTGGGCTTGAGGGGCGAGGAGCGGCCCTTGGAGGGCGTCTTCTTCACGCCAGCACCGCCCAGCACGGGCGCCGCGGCGGCGAGGGAGAGGGAGGACTGGCGCTGATGGCGGACGGGCGTGCCGGAATGGGTGACACTTCGCTTGCCCGGCTTTGGGGCGGGTGCGGGCGGATGATAGGCAGCACTCTCGACGCGGGTGGTATGTGGGCGGCGGGCGGCATTCTTGGCGAGCGATAGCTTGCCAGCCAGACGGTCTCGTTTCTCGCGCTCGCAGGCCTCAGTTTGATAGTGGTAGGGCTGACGGGTCTCAACGGGGCGGGTGGGCGGCGGCGGCGGCGGCGGAGGGGGGGAGGAGAGCGCGGTGGCATCGGACAGGCCGAAGCGGCGGGCGGGCGAGCTGAGGAACAGCGCTGGGTCGTCGGGTGCGGGCTGGGGGGGCGGACGCGGCGAGGTAGCGATGGCGATAGCGCTGTAGGCGGCGGGCAGGTCATGCTGCGGCGGGAGCGAGGGCGGGCGCTGCAGTAACGGGCCGGGGCCAAAGCAGCTGCTGTCGTCGGCGACGGACGCAGCGAAGGGGTCACCGTAGACGGAGGCCAGGCCCAGGTCGGGAGCGGCTAGGCTGAACAGGTCGGGCGACGCAAACAGGCCGGGCGAGAAGCCAACGAGGCGGCTGGGAGTCTCGAGCGGTGGTGGGCGCGCGGGTTGTAGTGGTGTGATGGGCTGCTGGTTGTGGTGGTGGTTGTGAAGCTCGTCGGCAAGGCTGCGCGAGGGCGGTGGTGTGCACATGGCGGCGGGCTTCCATGGGCGGGCGGGCGTGGCGAGGATACTGGAGGAGCGAGGTAGTTAGTTAGAGAGATGCTGGAGAGCAGGGAGGGTGATGAGGAGCTCACTTGAGGTCCCAGTCCATGGCCGGCGGTGGTGACGGGAAGACGAAGCGAAGAGAAGAAAGAAAGAAAGAAAACGAACACGACGAACGATCGGCCAGGCAGCAGAGCAGGCAGAACAGCCAGCCAGGCCAGGCCAGCCAAGGCAGCGCCGCCCCGCGCCGGCGCTCCTTCGCGCGTCGATCAGCGAACGAGTGCCAGACAATGAGCGAGCAGATGAGCAGGAGTGGCGAGCCTGTGTATTGCGATGCGTGGTGTGAAGCTGTGTTGCTGTTGTTGTTGTTGTTGTCGTCGTCGTCGTCGTTGTCTGTCGTGCGTCGTTTGGCTGTTCGCTTGGGCGGGCCTGGCATGCCACCCCAGCTATGATACAGGGCTATCTCGGGCTCGCTGACTCAGCCGCCGCGCCGACGATGATCCGCCGCCCGCCGATGTCGCCAGAGCCGCAGCCCGTCGCTTCGCTCGCTCGCGCGGCCTTGACTCACTCACTCACTCACTCAACGGGGCGTTTTTGACGGGTTTAACGGGGTTGCTGCGATTTCGGTCTGTCTTTCTTTCTTTCGTTCTCCCTCTCTTTCTCTCTCTCAGCCTGCCCGACTCCGCTGCCTCTTCTGTGCATGTCCGCCTCCGGCCGTGAGCTGCCCGCCTCCCGGCATGACCTGGACACCTACTGGGGCCGCGTGAAGCAGGCCGCCGACATCTCCGACCCGCGGTGCGTCTCTCGCGGTGGCTTGTCTTCCTGCTCTCGCTGACTGCCCTTCTTGTTTTAGCACGCTGTTCGTGTCGTCCGCGCGGCTGGCGAATGCGCAGGCCATGCTGGCGGCGTACCGCGACGGCCGGCTGGCCGGCGCCATGACGCCCGAGCTGTGGCAGGCGAAGAAGATCGTGGACGCCACGCTGCACCCGGGTACAACCCTTTCCCTCTCCTCCTGCTCGGCTGCGTGCGAGGCTCCGCGCTGACTGCCAGACAGACACGGGCGAGCCGGTGTTCCTGCCCTTCCGCATGTCGTGCTTCGTACTGTCGAACCTGGTCGTGACAGCCGGCATGCTGACGCCGGGGCTGGGGGTGAGTTTTCTGCTGATATCTCTCGCTGGCGGTGGATGCTGATATAGTTATGTGGGATAGACCGCCGGCACGGTGCTGTGGCAGGTCGCGAACCAGTCGCTGAACGTGGCCATCAACCACGCCAACGCGAACAAGTCGGCGCCGCTGGGGACCGGCACGCTGGTGCAGTCGTACCTGCTGGCCGTGACGGCGTCGTGCTCGGTGGCCGTCGGGCTGCGGGCGGTGGTGCCGCGGCTGCGTGGGCTGACAGGCAGCACGCGGCTGGTGCTCGGGCGGCTGGTGCCGTTCGCCGCGGTGGCGACGGCAGGCGCGCTGAACGTGTGCCTGATGCGCGGCGAGGAGATGCGGCGTGGCATCGATGTGTTCCATCCGGAGACGGGCGCGTGCCTGGGCCGCAGCCGGCGCGCGGCGCGGCTGGCGGTGGGCGAGACGGCCGTCAGCCGCGTGCTCAACGCCACGCCCATCATGGTGCTGCCGCCGCTGCTGCTGGTGCGTCTGCAGCGGACCGCCTGGCTGCGCGCGCGGCCGGGCCTGACGCTGCCCGTCAATCTCGGTGCGTGTTGATCCGGGGCCGCTTCGCCCGCACTCCTGTCTTTCCATCCTCTCCCACTCTCGTCTCCTGGCTAACCATGACCCTCTGTAGGCCTCATCTTCGCGACGTCGGTGCTGGCGCTGCCGCTGGCGCTGGGGGCGTTCCCGCAGCGACAGGCGGTGCGCGCAGACAGCCTGGAGCGCGAGTTCTGGGGACGCGGCGGGCGTGACGGGCGGGTGGAGTTCAACCGGGGCATCTGAGCGTAGCCAGGTAGCGAATCAATTAGTTAATCAATTAATTACTCCGTGTAGATAGAGCATATGATATAGCGTCGCGAGCGCACGGCCGAGGGCGGTCGTGGGGATTGCCTAACTCGTCCGCCCGCGCGCTCGTTTCGCCTCAACTCAATCCCGCCCGGCTTCTTCACTCTCTCGCAACCTCAACTCAACCTCACTCCATCTCCATCCTCTTCCTCGCTTCTCTCCTCCACTCTCTCCCAGCCAGCTCTTCTTCATTCTTCTCTCTTCTCTCTCCTTCATTGCCTCCTCCTCCATTCTCCTCTTCCATCGCTCTTCGCCTCGCTCGCCATGGCCGCCTCACAGCCTCCCCACGTCTGACCACCTCCTGTCTCCCGTCTCTCGTCTGTTCTCCTGGGCTGGTCTTTTCTCTCTCTCTCTCCCTCTCTTCTCTCTCCCTCTCTGTCTCTTTATTCTCGTCTTCTGTTTTCCGTCTACCAGCCAGTGTCGCCCTCCCCGTCTCGCCTCCCTCCTCTTTTCTCTCTCCTCTACTCCCACCATGTCGACGCCCTCCACGGCCACCGCCACCCTGCCCGCCAACCACCCGCCCTACCGTTACGCTCACCACCCATCCTTCCACCCCAATCCCGCCGCCGCCTACTCGCCTTCCTCCTCCACCATGTCTGCCTCGCGCCCGCCTGCCTACGCCTACGCCGCGCCCGCCGCTGCCGCTGCCGCTGCCGCTCCTCCCGTCCACTCGATGCAGCCCCAGCACCCGCCTGCCCGCCGGAAAAAACAGCCCAACTGGGGCGAGTTCTATAAAAATGGTATCCCAAAGGAGATCATCGTCATTGACGACGACGACGATGACACCACCACCACCACCACCACCACCACCACCAACAACAAAAAAAATACCAATACCAATACCAACGATCATCTGCCCCCTCAGCCCGCTACCAGCAACCCAGCGTACACCGCGGCCGTCGCTGCCGCTGCGGCCGCTGCTGCTGCCCTCAAGCCCGCCTTCGCCGCCCAGCCCGCACAACCCGCCAGCAAGAAGCGACGCACCGGCGTCGATACCTACGACCGCTCCTACCACGAGCCCGCGGCCTACACGCCCACCGTCCACCCCTACGCCGACGCCTCGTCTGCCACCTCGCTCTCCACCGACCGCACCGCCTCGCTGCACACCACCGCCCCGACCTCGCTCGGCTCCCACGGCAGCGTGCCCTCCAGCAGCCTCTACTACGACGACGCCGCCGCCATTGGTCAAAAACGAAAACGCGTCGTCACCCGCAAGGCCGCCCGTGACGAGCAGAAGCGCCGCGAGCTAGAGATTGCTGGCGATGCCTTTGATAACTACATCCCGCCGCCGAACCCGCCTATTAAGGCCAAGGACGTATATGTCCCTGTCATTCGTGATGTGAGTCTCTTTCCCCCTCAAATCCCTCCCTCCCGATGATATACTGACAAATCCTTCCCCAGCCCACCTTCACAAAGCATTCGAAAGTCGACGATGACGACGGCCACTACATTGTTAACCCAGACACTAATTTGACTGATCGCTGTAAGTTTTTGCCACTGCTCGAGATTTTCACCTTTTTTTTTTCTTTTTTTTTCGTTGGTTTTCTGTTTGTTGTTCTCGCCTCCACACCCTAATGACTCATCCGATTCGCTGGCAGACACCATCATCAAGCTCCTTGGCCAAGGCACCTTTGGCAAGGTCGTAGAGGCCTACGACCGCCAAAAAAAGACCCGCTGTGCCGTCAAAATCATCCGCTCTGTCCAAAAATACCGGGATGCTTCTCGGATCGAACTGCGCGTCTTGTCAACACTAGCGTCAAACGACCAGACCAACCGTAACAAGTGCATTCACCTTCGCGATTGTTTTGACTTTCGCAATCATATCTGCATCGTCACCGATCTCCTGGGCCAGAGCGTCTTCGACTTTTTAAAATCCAATGGCTTCGTCCCATTCCCTAGTAGCCAGATTCAGAATTTTGCCCGCCAGTTATTCACCAGTGTTGCCTGTAAGTCTTTGCAGAGGGAATTTTTCAACCCTGGCACAATACTAACCCGTGAATTCCACCTTAGTTCTTCACGATGTCAACCTCATCCACACTGATCTCAAACCCGAGAACATTCTCCTGGTCAATGGCGCTTACCAGACCTTTACATACAACCGCACAATCCCGTCATCTTCGTACACCGTCAATAGAACTTCTCGACAAAGGCGCGTGCTATTAGACAGCGATATTCGCTTGATAGATTTTGGTTCTGCCACTTTCCAAGACGAATACCACTCTTCCGTTGTGTCAACTCGCCACTACCGCGCCCCAGAGATCATTCTCAATCTGGGATGGAGTTTTGCCTGTGATATTTGGAGCATCGGATGCATCCTGGTAGAATTCTTTACGGGCGATGCCCTTTTTCAGACCCATGACAACCTCGAGCATCTCGCAATGATGGAAAGCGTCTGTGGAACCCGCATAGACACGAGATTGGTGAGACAGGTCATGCAAGGACGTGGTGGAGCTAATCCCTCTGCTAAGTAAGCTGCCATTGTCTTTCGGGGAGAAGCGAGAAGTGATACTGACCTTGACCTAGATATTTTAACCGCACAAGGTTAGATTATCCTAACCAAGAAACAAGTCGAGCGTCGCGAAAATACGTAAAAGCCATGAAGCAATTGCAGGTTAGCCTATCTATTCGTTGTCGCTTTGTCTGAGAATGATCGTGGCGTTAACCAATTGTGTAGGATTTCATCCCTTCAAACACCCCCTTCAACAAGCACTTCTTAGATCTACTCCGCCGAATATTCGTATATGACCCACACTCTCGAATCACTGCTTTGGATGCACTCAAACACCCCTGGTTCAAAGAATCGACACTTGACGATGGCACTGAGGCCGTTCGTATTGGCCAACAGATGCAGAAAGATCGAGCAGCCCGAGCATGACCGCTCTTTTCCTTCCTCCTTTTTTTTCATTTGTTTACCTCTTAGACTTGTGTCCCACTCCTGCTAATAGGCGAGACCTCTATTCTATATTCGACTGAACATTTTACAATGTGATATATTATCGAGTGAGTCAAATGTCGGCCGCTCTGAAATTTTTTGTCTTTTTTTTAGTCTCTTCTCGCATTCCTTATTTCACGCAATACCCGGGACATACCAACTGTCGTTCTGCCCCACAGATTCCTTTCTTCTGCTCTTTTGAGTTTTGTGCTTTTATCTCGCTTCGGATTATATTGCGTTTCCAGCCAGCGATAGGGCTGAATCCAGGAATGAAATAGAGATGTGGAAAGGATGAGGACTGTTAGTCTATTTATTAGTATTTCTTTATGCTCTATTAGTTATCTCCCGTCTCCACACCTGCGCGCGCATGGAGTACAACAGGTGTGCTTTTTTTTTTTTTTCACTTTGTCTCATGTCGCTTTTCTTTGATGCATTGTCTTGTAAGGTCTGGATTTTGTCCCGCTCGGCTAGGATCAGGAATATCTTATGAGTCTGATGTTCTTTCTTACCCGAACAGAAAATAGTTCATAGTTTACACCGCCCTACGGCTGTTGACTCTTTTGGGGAGGGCCTCTGTTTGTTTGGTCCGTCAAGTGCTTGACGTGACTTTAGTTAGAAATGCACACTTCTAGACTTTTGGAATCAGCCTCTATTCTCATACCCACCAAGCGCACCGTGGGATCCAAAAATGGTGTTGCATAGCTAGCCTAAATTAGACGCATATCTAGATATCTCTAACAGCACAGGACAATGGTCTGCCGCAGACCCCCTTATTTGAGCACTGAAGTGAGAATGAAACAAGAAAACATCCGAAGCACAGCCGATCACCAACGCAGTTTCAAGTCTCAGGCCTGCATAGGTTGTGTTTCACATTCTCAGCCGCATTTTGTCGTGTCAGTCTTCCCGAATCCAGCCATGCAAGGGAATAAACAAGCAACCGTCAAGATCAATTCATGAAACGAGTGAATGGTGCTGGTCACATGAAAGTGGAGGAAGAAAAAGATAGCAAAAAAGAAGAAAAAAGGGGACATTCATGCACGGTATAAGGCTATCAACAGGTAATGTGCATTCTTTTCATTGATTGCCCATGTTTGAGTGAAGGTATGGAGTACTGCACTCTTTGACACATGCCTCATCCATTTAAGCAAAGTCCCTGCCAAGGAGCATTTAGTAATGTGCATAGTAAGGCGAAACATGCAGGCAGGCAAGCTAACTAACCAGGCAAGAGGGAAGACACCCCAAGCAGCATTGTTCGTAAGCTGATTCCAAGCTCCGACGGAGAAATCAACATCGTGGGCTCCACATCCTCCGCAAGTATCGGCCACAGTTGCGTAGATGGTCTTGCCGTTGGAAGTGTTTGTGGCCCGGATACGTCTACCGCAGTGTGGCGAGTTGTGCCTGTTTTGCATGAAGGTGTTGCTGAGGGCAACAATGATATCACCGTCGTTGTGCTTCTTGCCGCAGGAGCCAAAAGCTCCAAGTTGCTGATAAACAGTTCCACGACCGCGCCTAAGCTGGGGTATCAGTATCCTTACATTAGGAGGGACATAGGGGTGTCATATCACATTTCACGGGCTACCAATTGGACCTCCGGCTCGGGGAGGGGAGCTGGGGCTGCCACTGCCATGCCAGAGATGGCACAAAGAAAGAAGAAGAGGTAAGCCTGCACGAAGAGCATATTGATTGATGGTACTGACGTAGTACTGTAAATATCTGTGAAGAAGTAGAGAGGCGGTGATTGATTCGAATAACAGTTCGATGCTTGATGATTTCAAACTCCATCTCGGGCGGACTCCAGGGAGAATTTATAGCCTTTACCAGTCAGAGATATTTGGAGAGTGAAGTAAGATGAGCAGGGTCGTCGTTGCATTCCCCCAATTGTCGAAGAGGATGCCCTTTCAGATGTGAGACGGGGGTTTCTAACGGGCATCCGGCGCAGAAATTGCATGTAAATGTTAGCAGGAGCCCAATGCGCCGTTGAAAACTGTCTAGATTGATGCCGAGGGTGTTCAAGAAAACCCTGTAGTCGCTATTAGGCTAGGAGGAGTCGCGACTCGGAAGACAGGATACTGCGAGGTCTGTATATTCTGGCAGGGCTCACAGCAAACCACTCAATGGGCTTGAGGTAATTCGGCTTAAATCCATTTCCAATCAACAGCCGAAGCGCAGTTCATTCACTTCATCGGTTGCAATAACTATGAGGGTGTCACGAACGCCCTGGTGTTCACAGCATTAAGCTCAGTCGGGACAAACGTCCTAAACTAACATACTTGTGACATGTCTGTATCATCGTTTGTAAAAAGGGAGCTGGGAGACTGGAAAATTCGGTCTGATCGATGAATGGGCTTGAGTGACGGGTTCGTTCAGGCGGTGTATAATGGAATGCATGTACCTGTACGTACACACACATATTACGGTAAGTATTAGTTGTGCATAGGAACATGTACTGTGCATGAGGCAGCTTGCACTTTGTCCTTCGGGTCATGAAGCCACGGCTCACAGTTGGGGGTTGAAAGGCTGTCGGGCGGGCATAGGACAGTAACATAGATCCAACAAACCAACTGCTTTCTCTGAAGCTCCAGGGGCTCGCACGTTACGCTGGCCGAGGCTTTACTGCCCAGACTAGGCGTAACTACGCAAGAGTCTGGTTTCTCCTGTCGCCCTCTTAGATCCTGAAAAACAAATGGCGTGCGGTAACGCCAGGCCAAAAGGGAATGCATGCACTGCCTACATCGCGACCCAAATTTTTGCTGGATGTAACGACGCGCGCAGGGGGTCGTAAAGACGCCACATCCGAAAAGAAATTATCCAACGGGGCGGAGGTCCCTGCTGAGTCGACGTGGTACAGACAGAGTCCGAAGAGGAGCCACTCTTTGTCAAACAGAGAATAAGAGAAGTCTGGAAACCCTGTTGTTATAGCCCAGCCTAGGGTATGCTCTATACGCCTGACCTAGCCTGTACGGTTCGGGCGTATGGATGTGCATACTTGCCTTAACCAAAAGAAAGGGCAGGGCAGTATGCCGACGGGAGTCTTTATCGGCCAGAATAAATGGGTGACGGGTCGGTGAGCTGACCATGCACTCGCGCTGATCGCCGTGTACTCTCCATGAGATGCAGTATTTCAATTCCAACGAGTATTTGATACTTTCGGGCCCCAAAGGAAGACTCCCGTCGTTAAACCGAAGGCGATAGAAAGGACGGCACGATGGTTTTTCCAGCTTGCTATGCACCCTGACAGCTTGATGAGAATGTGGCTGACGGGGGAAATTTGGCTATACAGGCCAGTGAAAGTGAATTGTTAGAGATCAATGGCGACACCCGGGGAACGTAGTGCAAAAGCGGGCACGGACTGCCTTCTCCCTGTCTATGTACTCCGTATTGTTCAAATATTACGTGTTTGAATGTGCCCTCATACACGACGAACTGCGATCTCCAGGGGCGGTGCCGCGCTGGCAAGGGAGAGGGAAGGGCCAACTAGTAATATTAACGAGCAGCAGGGAGGCAGGCCGTTTTAGAAGAGAATTCGCAGATTAAAAGTCAGTAGTAAACAAGAAGCGCCTATCCCGACCCTGTATGAACTCCTTGCCAGCCAAGCCATCCAGACAAGCGCACAGTGACAGGTAAAGTACACGACAACATGAACGCGCCAAGCCGAGTCTTCAAGAGGAACAGAAAAAAAAAGGAGCGATGCATCTATGGTGCACTGGAACTCTTCGCGGACTGGTTGGTGCAGGACGTGCGAACCGGCCCCGGCTTGCTAGTTCCTTGATGTTGGGCCAGGGGCTGTAAGGTTGGGGTGCTAAGACCTCGCTCAGCCCCATGCTGCTATTTGCCGGGTCTATCGACATCTTCTTTCGACTCTTTAGAGTAGGCCTTTTGTAGGTGTTTGGCAGCCTTTCCATCCACTTCGAGCATGAAGAGAATATCCCTGATCTGCACGCCGGAACCACGCTCCTTATCTTCGCGCCATTCGCCTAGCCTTCGTCCGAAGGGCGCTCGAACGCCATTGCTCAAGGTACCGGGCGGACCAGCACCCGGCAGAGTCGACCCAGCGCCACCTTTTGTTCGGGAAGAATTGGAAAAACTAGTTCGTGAGGCAGAGGTTGCGTCTGAATTGGTCAGCCATGAGTATGTTTTTTTGCCACCAAATCGCGACGTAGTCAGGCCGCCAGTAGCCATGCGGGCAGTTTGGACCACGTCACGGTGCTGTATCGGCTCATTCGCCTTGGATACTGATTTTTTCGACTCCTTCTTCGTCTTCTTTTCGCTATCCGGAACCCTGTCGTCAGCCTGGTCCGTGGGGGTAGCTGCGGTGGAAAGTAAGCCTCCAACGGGCCCTGTTCTACCGTTTTCAACACCCAAAATTGCGTCGGAATTGCGTTTTACTCGTTTGGTCGCACGTCCCTCTTCGTACAACCCGTCTTTCTCAATCAATTTGCGACTTTTCATTGCGAGTGTATTGGGAAAGGTGACTTTCCGCGTATCGTTTGATCGGCCATCAGTCGTTGATGTTGGTCCTATAGAAATGATGCCCGTATTAGAAAGTCAGAGGTAATGTAGATTATTACTATACTCACGCTTCTGAGGTGAACTCTGGGGGGATGGGTTAGGAAATCCATTTAGATTTTCCATCGATTTTCGATTATTACTTTCAGCCAAATCATTCCATTCAGGCGGAACATTGCCATGCGAATAAGCTTTTCGATTTTTAGCTAGAACAGCGGAGTGTTCAACAACCGACCTCACGCGCTCTTCACAAGCTAAAGAAACTAGGGCAATTATATCCCCTAAAGGCGCATCAGTTGTCAAAACAGGTTTGCCGGTTCGAACGACGGAGTGGCCATCAGGGCCTACAATCTCGATCGGGGCTACAGGGCGATTCGGGAATGGCCGGAAAAAGCCAGCGGAAGGCATGCGAACACCAAGCTCTGCACCTCGTTTTTGTAGTTTTTCCCCAAGCGGCGCTGTTTGAAGAAAAGAGGCTTGAAGATGGTATTGATCACGGCGACTAGCGATCGTGTCTTCCCGCAGTTTTGTGTCCGCGTCTAGTTCCTCTGGAGATTTCTGTAATGTGGGCTGCAATGTGGCTGGGATGGTTGATGTTGGATAAGGAGAAGGCTTAACAGCAGGGTCACTAAAACTATTGCCAGGTGATACTGTTGAACCAGCAGACTGGATAGACGTGAAAGAGGTAGAGGGATTGATTAAAAGACGCGCCGGCTGGGAGGTGGTAATGGCGGCAGCGGCATATCCACTGGTGAGAAACGCCTCTTCTTCTCGCACGTCGATTCCAGATGACGCTAGAACGTCTGTCAACTCAGCAGCATCGGTTGGCTTCGTATCGACGGGTCGCGAAGGAGGACCCATGGAGCCTGGAGGCGCGGGGGTGTTAAGAGTGGCGGAGGCGGCCATTCCGTTAGCGGACACTCCGTTCACAGGGCTACCATTTTGCGACAGTTGTAGGGTGCCGAAGCCCGCTGCAGCAAACGGCGGTTGCGGCTGCGGAAGGGGAGAGAGGCGTTGGCGTTTGGGGGGAGGGCCGAGATTGGCGGTGGTATTGGAGGGCGGTGCTGCAGAGGAGGGAGAGGGGCTGGAGGCAGGCGGCGAGAAGGGTTGGGCAGGAAACTGCTGGGGCTGTGTTTGCGCCATGGCAAGTAGAGCTGTAGAAACTGTCGGGTTGATAGCAGGGATAGATCTCCTGGTGATGGACTGCTTATGGCGAAAGGGAGGGAGCTGCGGCCAAGGTGAAGAGAGCACGCTGCTCTGGGTCAGGCTGCCTCGCGGCGGCAGTCATGCTAGGGTAGGGAGCCACACATGAAGAAGCAGCGGCAGGCGAGAAGAAAGAGCGTCGAGCAGGGATTCTGGAGCGCAGAACGGCGTGTAGAGCATGGCTTCATGTTGTTGGCAACGGGTCGACGGCAGATTTTGGGATATGAGGAGAGGCACGTGAGTGCTGAGTCAGGCGCGCGAGTTTGACGGCAGAACGCTGAGCGGCGAGCAGGCGAAGCACACGCCAGCTGCTATACCTTACAGAGCCATCGACGGGAGCACCAGACGTGCCAGGCAGATATCTGAGCTCCCCGAACCTTCTATGCTGTCCCTCCTGCCCTCGCCAGTTGTTGGTCCTGGCTGCGCCGACCCTGTTCCCTGCTTCTAGGCCATTGTCGCTCTGCCTTCAGCTGTCCCATCATGGCCGCAAAGCGCAAGGCTTCGGCCCTATCTGCAGGCCCTGACCAGGAGCCTGTAGATCCTACTGATGAAGTCCTCTTCTATTGCCTTGGTGGCGGAAACGAGGTTGGAAGATCATGCCATATCATCCAGTACAAAGGGAAAACGGTCATGGTATGGTTTCCTCTGATACTCCTTCTTTGAAGATTGGGGAGCACTCGCTTACCGTTGATTGGGTCTATAGCTCGATGCTGGAATGCACCCTGCTAAAGAGGGCTTCGCAGCACTTCCCTTCTTTGATGACTTCGATCTCAGTACGGTAGACATACTTCTCGTCAGCCAGTACGTCCCAAGCTACTCCCCTGCCCCCGTGCCATATCGGTAGAATTGGATGCTGTGTGTCGGGCAGATTTGATATCCTATCATGTTCTTCAACCGGTTGGATGCCTCTGGTATTCTTCTGACCCTATGCTATGCTTAAGCTACGAGACATTCCCCTCAATCTTCTCGATGTCTTTTAAGCATGTATATCATAAGAGCAATAAATCAATCATTATTTGTTAAATTTGCTTTTTGTATTGTATACTCGATCGATTCGCCGCCCAATGTGCTCTCGCTTTCCCCCTTCATGCCCGGAATACAGCCGCAGCATCGCATATTTTCGTCGGCTAATACGTATATTTTGGTAGTTTTCACTTGGACCACTCGGCCGCCCTTCCATATGTGCTTAGCAAGACGAACTTCAAAGGCAGGGTATTCATGACTCACGCCACAAAGGCCATCTACAAGTGGCTAATTCAGGATAACGTCCGAGTGAGCAATACATCGTCTTCGTCCGATCAAAGGACAACACTCTACACAGAGCAGGATCATCTATCTACGCTACCTCTCATTGAGGCCATCGATTTTAACACCACTCATACGATCAACAGTATTCGCATCACGCCGTTTCCTGCCGGCCATGTTCTGGGTGCCGCCATGTTTCTTATCTCCATCGCTGGGTTGAATATTCTCTTTACAGGAGATTACTCGCGTGAAGAAGACCGCCACCTAATTTCGGCAGAAGTTCCCAAAGGGGTTAAGATAGATGTATTGATTACGGAATCAACTTTTGGCATCTCGTCCAACCCCCCTCGATTAGAACGAGAGACAGCTCTAATGAAATCAGTCACGAATATTCTAAATAGAGGCGGGCGGGTATTGATGCCAGTGTTCGCGTTGGGTCGCGCTCAGGAGCTGCTGCTAATATTGGACGATTATTGGAGCCGACATCCGGAACTACAGAAAATCCCAATCTACTATATCGGAAACATGGCCCGCAGGTGTATGGTCGTTTATCAGACTTACATAGGGGCCATGAACGAGAATATCAAGAGGCTGTTCCGACAACGAATGGCGGAGGCAGAGGCCAAAGGAGATAAAAGTACAAGCGCTGGCCCGTGGGATTTCAGGTTTGTGAGAAGTGTCAGAAATCTGGAGCGATTTGACGACATGGGTGGATGCGTTATGCTTGCATCCCCCGGTATGCTACAAACCGGAACTAGCCGGGAATTACTTGAACGATGGGCTCCCAGTGAACGAAATGGCGTCATAATGACCGGATACAGTGTTGAGGGTACGATGGGCAAGCAGATTCTCAATGAACCCGAACAAATTCCGGCTGTGATGAGTGCAAGAGCCGCCATTGGTGCGGGCCGTGGCAGGATGGCAGATGGAGACGAGGAGAAGAAGGTCATGGTCCCGCGTCGTTGCACCGTGGAAGAAATTAGCTTCGCCGCTCATGTTGATGGCGTCGAGAATCGGGAATTTATCGAGGCCATCGCGGCTCCAGTTGTGGTGAGTACGCCTATTCGTTTTTGACAGGTTTGTGAGACTGACATACTGGACGAAGGTACTTGTGCACGGCGAAAAACATCAGATGATGAGACTAAAGTCCAAACTTCTGAGTTTAAACGCAGAGAAGACAGTGAAAACCAAGATATACACCCCTATGAATTGCGAAGAAGTTCGAATTCCTTTTACGGTAGACAAAGTTGCCAAAGTTGTCGGCCGTCTTGCTGAAACTCTGCCACCAACCACTCTGGAGGAAGATTCCCGACTCATGAATGGTGTTCTTGTACAAAACGGGTTTCAGCTGTCAATGATGGCGCCAGAAGACCTGAAGGAGTATGCGGGGCTGACTACGACAACGATCACGTGTAAACAGCATATTACTCTAAGTACCGCTAGCATTGAGTTAATTCGATGGGCTTTGGAGGGAACGTTTGGGTCGATAGAGGAAATAGGTGCACACCATTCCGCCTTTGATCCCAGCAACGATACAGCCCAGGATTCTGAGGTGGGCAAGAAAGAAGAAGCCGACGAAGAGATTCCGTTCGACACAACGACATCATACCTTATTATGGGCTGCATTATCTTCAGATACAGTCGACGCACTAAGGTCGTGGAATTGGAATGGGAAGGCAATCTAATGAATGATGGTGTCGCCGATGCTGTGATGGCGGTTCTGCTAACAGTTGAAAGTAGCCCCGCAGCCGTTAAGCGTAGGTCTCAGTTCCTCCTGGTTTCTAATATAGAGCAGCTAACTCTGGAATAGGCTCGAGCGAAAACAAGCATTGCCACTCTCACCATGTGGCAGACCTACCTAACCCCCATTCCTATCTCACACCAGAAGAACGACTGGCGCGGCTGCTAATACTCCTTGAAGCCCAGTTTGGCCCCAACATCGCCCCAATAGAGCACCCAAGGGCAAACAAGGACCAGGGTTCTCCAAACACCCAGGACGCGCAGGATGATGATATTGAAGATATCGAGGAGGCAGAATTGCTTCGCCTTCAAACCCTGGGGATACCGGTTCCTGGCATTGAAATTACTGTGGATAAGCATGTCGCCCGTGTCTGGCTAGAGACCCTGGAAGTGGAGTGCTCGTATCCTGTGCTGCGTGACAGGGTACGGGTTGTTGTAGAGCGGGCAGCAGAAACGGTGGCCGATATGTGGAGTTCAAAGGCGGCGTCGCTCAAGAAGGGCTCAGCGAAGGCGCAGCATGTGTAGTTGTTATCCGGTTAGCCTTTACATTATGTATGATATAGGATTGGATAGAATAGGTAATATCACTGCCTAGTTAGCCAGTGAATTAAATATTCTCCGAAAGTCAATCTCCGCTGCTTGGTCATTAGAGCATTGTAACCTCTAGGCGCATCACTAGTGAGCTAATTAGTAGTACGTAGAATTTTGCCGCGGTTGTTGCCTGGCACAAGGTGTCTCCCTGATGGGTGCTCATAAGTGCGGTATGTTTCAAGAGGCTTTTTTAAGTTTAGGTTAAGGTGCCAGCGCTAGCCGGCCATTGGCCAGCTCAGAGGTGAGGCTCGAACTGTTAGCGCGGGGCCCCGCTTCAACGGCGCGCCAAGGGTACTAGCCGTGGTCGGACCGTAATTTTCCCGAGGCATGATTTTCCGGCCGGAACCTTCTCTCGCTAGGCCGGTTCCAGCTCAGTGGGCCAGCTGACTCAGCGGCATGCTACGACCGATCAAGGCCATGATGCGAGCTTCGTCCGAACTTACGACGCACTGTTCGCCACAGAAGGCGACAAATCTTCGGGTTTCAATTTAATAAATCCCTCGCCATGGCCCTTCACATGCGAGGGCCTTCTAGGCTGTGGCTATGGCTATGGCAGCGCACAATGGCAAGGTACGTGTGCACCTCACGACCTTGACGAGCACTTCTCTATTGATGAACTGACGAGGAACAGAGCATCGACACGCTGGCGGTCTACAGCGCTGCATTGGTCAAGGAGCCCCCCCGCCCGGGGTCGGGCAGCTCGCTGATTCTCTTTGCAGCGTCGTTGGTGGGGTTCCTGTGCTCGGCAATGAATGGCTACGATGGCTCGCTGTACAACGCCATGGCGGCAAACACTGCCTTCCTACGGTATTTTGATGGCTCGAATACTGGCATCTGGGCCGGCATCATGTCGTCCATGTACCAGATTGGAGGCATCGCGGCCTTGCCGTTTGTGGGACCCGTCAACGATAGTTTGGGCCGCCGCGCGGGCATGTTCGCTGGAGCCGCAGTCGTCATTGTCGGAACAGTTGTGTCAGCGACAGTAACGGCTGGAAATGTCAGGCAGTTTCTAGGAGGCCGTTTCCTCTTGGGCTTCGGCGTTTCAATCTCGTCATCGGCAGGTCCAATGTACACCGTTGAGGTATCGCATCCAGCTTATCGCGGAATTGTCACCGCACTGTTAAATACATTTTGGTACGTTCGTCGACTGCCCAACATAACATTTGTAAGGAGCTGACACTGGAGGTGCCTTAGGTTCATAGGTTCCATTCTCGCCAGTGGTACCGCCCGTGCCTGCGTACGCATGGGGGGAACGGCCAGCTGGCGCGCTCCGCTTTGGATGCAGCTGTTCTTTGCTGGCACGATCTGTGCACTGGCGTTCTTTCTTCCCGAATCTCCACGGTGGCTATACGTGCACAAGAGACGAATTCGGGCGCAGGAGATGCTTGTGAAATACCATGGGCAGGGGAACCCGGAGAGCGAATGGGTTAAGCTGCAGCTGATGGAATACGAGGCACACCTTGACAAGAACGGCGCGGACAAGCGCTGGTGGGATTACCGGGTCTTGTTTCGAAACCGTGTAGCAAGATATCGGACATTTTGCTGTTGCTGCGTTGCTGTTTTTGGGCAGTGGGCGGGAAATGGTAGGCCCCCATCATTTTGTCACACACTCGCCGAGACTCACAAGTAGTGGTTTAAAGCGGTCCTTTCGTATTTTATGTCAGCCGTCCTCGACGCCGCCGGCATCACTGGCACGATCCCTCATCTGAATATCATCCTCATCAATTCCTGTCAGCAGTTTGTGTGGGCACTCCTCGGGGCGTGTCTTGTGGACCGGGTTGGACGACGACCTTTGCTTCTCTTTTCAAATGCAGGATGCTGCGTTGTCTGGCTGTGTATATGCATTACCAGCTCCATATTTGCAGGTAACGGCGGAACTAAAGACTCGCCGGGCACCTCACCGGCTGCAGGGACGGCAACTCTGGTATTCATCTTCGCTTTCGGAGCGGCATTTTCCATTGGCTTTACACCCCTGCAGGCATTATATCCGGTGGAGATGTTGTCGTTTGAGATGCGGGCGAAGGGAATGGCATTTCAAAGCCTAGTTGTCAATGCCGGTAAGCATGGGTGTTCCAACTCGCCTACCGAAGTAACAATGAGCACTGACACGCTAAGCAATGCTACTGAACCAATTTGCCTGGCCGGTATCGCTCGACAAGATCGGATGGCGGACGTACATCATTTTCTGTGTATGGTGCGGTGTACAAGGGGTGATCGTCTACCTGTTCATTCCGGAGACGAAGAATTGTACCGTAAGTATTCATGGAAACTGGCCATGTGATCCCACGATGCCGGTATTGACTGCATACAGCTGGAAGAGATCGATCTCATCTTTGACTCGACCCACGCGGTCCAAACATCTACCCAACCCCGCGAGGTAGCGGTGAGCGGCAGGATGCTGCGGTCGGTGCCGATCACCGACGGGATGGAGGAGCGAAGGAGCAGCATTATTGGAAGCAAGCCATAACCACAGGATGGATATGTAGTAGTGACGGAGTCCGGAGTAGATGAACTCTGAACTCCGAGCGGGACTATGCTATGATTGCCGTTTCTCGGCGTAAGTGTCGCCGAGGCCGAGCTCGGCGGTTCACAACAACTGTCTTGAGACTACAAAGGCCCATGCAAGAGGATTTTGACAAAGTTTCCAAGACGCGGGGTTCTATTTACTGGCGGCAAGAGAGCTATTGACCTCTGTAAATACATCCTCAATGACGGCCGCCGTCAAGCGCGCAATCAGCTCCACCTCGTCCGGGGTGATGTTGTAGGGCGGAGCGAGGAGGACGTGATCACCGCGCTTCCCGTCCGCCGTGCCGCCGCCGGCGTAGATGGAGAAGCTGTACTTGGGCGTCAGGGCGGTATTTTGCACGCGATTGCCCACGGCGAGTTTGGGGTCAAAGGGTTCCTTGGTGGCCTTGTCCTGGACGAATTCGATCTGGTGCCGGTCAGCATGAGGAGGCCCTAATAATAGAAATGGAGGAGGATTGAGCAACGTACACCCCAGAAAAGGCCCTTGCCCCGGATGTTCCCGACGTTGGGGTGCCCCCCCACGTACTCTTGCAGCTTGGCCTCCAGCAAGTCCCCCATGGCGCGCACGTTCTCGAGCAGTTTCTCATCGCGGATGACCTTCTGCACGGCGAGTGCGGCAGCGCAGGCGAGCGGGTGGCCCTGGTAGGTCTGGCCGTGACGGAAAGCGCCGGTGCCGCGCTCGAGGGCGGTGGCGACCTTGGTGCCAACAAGGACGCCAGAGACGGGGGCGTAGCCGCCGCCCAAGCCCTTGCCGACGGTCTGCAGGTCGGGCACGACGCCCTCCTGCTCCCAGGCGTGGAGGGTGCCGCAGCGGCCCATGCCGGACATGATCTCGTCGAGGATGAGGAGGGCGCCGTACTTGTCGCAGACGGCCTTCATGGCGGGGAAGTAGCCGGGCACGGCGGGGACGCAGCCCAGGGCCTGCTGGCAGTCAGTGGGGGTTGTCCGGTCTCGGTGGGTTCTGCAGCTGGACGTACCGCGCCGACGACGGGCTCGGCGACAAAGGCGCAGACGGAGTCGGGGCCGACGCGCTGGAATTCGGCGTCCAGCTCCGCGGCCAGGCGAGCGACGTATTCCGCATCCGACTCGCCGGGGTTCTTATCCCGATAAGCATTGCAGGGGGAGACGTGGGAGATGTTGCCGAGCAGGAGGGGCTCGAACAGCTCGCGGCGGAAGACGTGGCCGCCCATGGAGAGGGCGCCGAGGGTGACGCCGTGGTAGGAGTGGCGGCGGGCGATGAAGCGAGTGCGGGCGGGCTGGGGGGTGGGCAGCTCGAGGAAGTACTGGCGAGCGAGCTTCATGGCGGCCTCCATGGCCTCGGAGCCTGCAGTGCCGGGAGAGCAGTTGTTAGCTAACTGGTGGTGGTGAGGGTCGAACAGCATGGTCTGGTACCCGACGAGACGACAAAGAGGCGGGCCATGGCGCCGGCGGTGGAGTCACGCAGCAGGTCGGCGAGCTCCTCGAAGACGTCGGTGCCGAAGAAGAGGGTGTGGCAGTAGGGCAGGACGTCGAGCTGGCGCTTGAGGGCATCGACGACCTGGGAATTGCCGTGGCCGAGACAGCTGACGGCGGCGCCGCCGGTGGAGTCGAGCAGGCGCTGGCCGTCGTGGAGCAGGACGTAGCAGCCCTGGCCGCCGACGGCTCGCTGGGGAACGGCGCGCAGGTCGCGGTGCATGACGGCGGAGGGAGGCATTGCGGCGGTGGGCGGGACGGGCATTGGGAGGGAGGTGTGAGGGGAGGTGAGGTGAGGTGAGGTTGAGAGAAGAGAGAGAGAGCGGCGGAGGGAGGGAGTTTAACTATGCCCAACTAGGCACTCCGTAGCAAGTCCGGAGTACGGAGTGCCGAGGCGCGAGGGCGGAACGGCAGCGCACTGGCATCAGCTCCAGTGACTGCTTAGTCAGCGCGCTAGTCGCCCCGTGACCCGCCGGCTCGACCGCCGAGACTGGCCTAGCCCCCCGGCACCGCGGCATGCCCCTCTGCGTCAGTAGCTTAGCCAGCTAGCCGTGCCCAAGGTCCGCCTGTACGGAGTACTATCACGACCGAATGCTGCACCTGGAGGCCCTGCGCGCCCTACGCCGCAACAACATCGGCAGCGTCGCCGACCTGCCTGTTTTCCCGCCCTCACGCGTGTACGGCCGCGATCGCCGCCCCTGGAATCGCATCACCGCCGCCGACGATGACTTTGTCATGTGCCACAACGACCTCTCCCCGCACAACATCCTGGTTGATCCCACCGACGACAGCTTCCCCATCACTGCCATCATCGACTGGGAGTACGCCGGCTTCTTTCCCGCCGAGTTCGAGCTGCCCCTCTGGCAGTGCCCTGAGCGCAACGAGCGCCACGACATGATGCGCGCCTACACAGCCCGCGACCTCGCCTTCTTCGGGCTCACCCCGGCCGACATGAAGGACTGCGTCGAGGACATGCCGTCGTGGCTGGACGCCGCAGTGTAAACAACTCCGGGTCACTTTCTTTTCGTTTTCTACATAACTACTCCGTATGTCTGTGCCAACATTTAAGCCGCGAGCTGTTAGTGGCTGGCGGCCCGGCGACTAAAGCAAACCTAGTTCATTAACTAACTAGTTAAGTACCAGCGAACAAGGTTCGACGGCGCGACCCTTGCGACCCGGCGTTCTAGACCGCAGCGGCTCGCTGCCCAACGTCGTGATCGTCTCTCGACTGCCATTCCCAACCATGTTGGGGTAGTTATTTGCCGATGTCTCTGAAAATGAACAAGCAAGTTATGTACGTAAATAACCTTCCGCCTCGTGTAACATGCCCAGCGGCTCTGCGATACCCCGTTCGCAAGCACCTAGCCATCATTGCACCCACTCCAGAGCCAATATTAACAGCGGCACAGCGACCGGATGACCAGCTCTGATACCAGAGCTGCAGTCGACTTGCCGGCCCAGTAAATGTGTCAACGCACCTAGCCTCCTTGTCGACCATTGGATCGCTATCACATCTGTCTTCTCCCCGACGAATGCAAGTTATCTATTGATTGAGAAGAGAGGCTGTCGTAGTGCTCAAGAATGACCCTCATTAGGGTCCTAAGCCCCAAGGCCTACTATGCGCCTCACAGAGACTACCGTGGTTGAAATTGGATCGGATTGTGCTAGGGAAGCTTGGATGGAATTGTGATATTGGAATTGTTTGTGGGTGAAGGGAAAGTGTCTTAGATCGTCAATGAAATCCACTGTGAAGCCAGAAACCATTCTATCATCTTATATGATAAAATGGTATGTTGATTGAGCACATTGGATCCAATGTTGCTGTAAAATTGAAAGTGAGAGGAGACATACATATACCCGGTCAAGCCTGCTTCTCGCCCAGCCCCTTCATCAGCCACGGGTCGTACACCAGCTCGCGACACGTCGGCCGTTCTTCTGGCAGCCACCGTAGCATCCGTCGCAGGAACTTTAGGAAATCCGCTAGGTCCTCCCCCTCAATCTCCGCTGTTTTTGCCAGTCCTTCCAGGCTTATATCCGGTATGGGCACAACCCCTTTCCAGCTACCTAAAACAAGTCAGCCAAGTACAGACACGAAAGTACAACGATACACACCATCTGCATTCCACACCGCTGGACACATCTCAGAACGTTTCAGAAACTCCGCTGGAGGCTGTCCTATCAGAGCACATATCTCCGCCAGATGCACCCTATCATCCTGGAACACCAGATCATCCATCTTATTCTTCCCCTTGAACAGCGCCTTTCCCGTGACCAGCTGCCAGACCTGGATTACCAGTCAGCATGCTCCATATGAAAAGACTTCCCTTACCTACCACCATCGCCATGTTCCAAATATCGACCTTCTCGTCCCACTTCATCTGTAGCATCACCTCTGGCGCCTTGTAAACATCCGGCATGATATCCTCACCTGCCGCCCCAAAGCCATCCTCGTCCGTGAATCTCGCCTCGCCAAAATCGCACAGAAACGGCAGCCCCTCACTGGGTAGCAGGCGTCGCGTGGTGTATATCACCCGATCTTCCAACACCTTGCGCGGAGTTGGCTGCTCATGCTCTGCTCGCTCGAACAGCGTGAAGACAATGGGGTTAACCACCCCAATCAGCATATTGGTGGTCTGCAGATCCGTATGTGCAATCATAGCCTGCTCGTGCAGGAAACTGACAGCCATCAATATCTGCCGCAGCGATGGCTTCAGAACTTCCAGAGGGAATTTGCCATGGGGGTAGAGATCCAGGACCTGGTCCAGACTGAGGCCCAAAGGCTCGTGGACCAGACACAGATGGCTGGTGTCATCACCAGCACCGTCCCTAGCATTATTTTTGCCTTTGACGTAAAAGGAGCCGAACAGCTTGCGCAGAAACGTTTTCCCCGGGTGGTCCGTTTCGATCATGTCGAAGCGATCGTACACCCTTAGTTCAGTGTCCCGTTGCAGGCCAGAGACATACAGCTTAAGCGTAACATAGCGGCTTTCCTCTCTGCACACTGTCAACGTTGGTCCCGTAGTAGAGCTCTATTCCCAGTCACGCACTGCAAGTCGCGTCCTAGCCACACTGTCGACGTCGTGCCGTATCCCAGCTTGCCCACCACATGATAGCGATTGCCCAGCACTTCGCCCAGTCGGACCGGATAGTACTTGTCTGGAGTGTAGCCTGGAAGCGTCTCTTCCTCGATTCTGCGCGATTCTTCAATGAGGTCGAAGCCTGATGTTGGGAACGCGCGTGGTTGTGACGCGGCCGCTGCTGATGACATGGCCCTCCAAGACGAGGCGAAGAGACTGTGCTTGCGGCTGCAGCCACGCAGTAATGGCTGCCAGACCTGGGATCTAGTTACTATCATTGCATTGAGAGTATTTCCCAACTGGTAAAAACTGAATGTTAACTAGTTAGTCAATCATTGACTTGCAGGGATAACTAACTAGTTACCCTGATCACCAAATGCTTTTTTGGACGGCCCGTCTAACCCAAGACCTCTACATACTGGTTACGGAATAGTGTTGTCTACGGAGTACAGCTCGCTGATCTCATTGTAATTTCACTTGCGCTCAATATTTAGTTACATGCTATATAGAGTATCTGAAAAATGATTATTTACTTGTACACTAGCGTCAACGATGCTCCATAAATGCTTAAAAGTAACCAATTGTTGGAGCGTTTCGAGGAACTCCGTATAAAGATCCAAATATCCTAGAACATTATATAACCTTAGCATTTTCGATTAGAGCTTCTTAACATGCAGCCGCTCTGAATCACCTTGCCGTATATCATCCTTGTCCGTTCAATATTGGGCATTGAGTATTCGTTCCAACTGACATGTCGGTTCCGGGGTCGCTCCAGAGATGCAAAGAAGATTGAAATACCCTGTATAACTCGATGGGAGAGTGTTTACTGGTAACAGAGTACGTCCCTGCATCTGCGCGGAAAGGTCAACTTTTGACAAGTTCAGCCAAAGTCAGCCCAATTCCTCATTTTGTCCCCAGAATTCACGGTCTCATCAAGCCCCAGTTCTGCGCCCATGAAGGGCATTCGAGACATTCGCACATCACGACCATGCCCCTGACCACCATGGCTTTCAGCGGGCGTATCTAGGTCCATGCCCTCCACGACGGGCAAATACTGTCCAAAAACAGCATCCCATTGGTCCCAGTCAAAATTGTGATTTGGATCCACCCGACTTTGTCCCGCAGGTCCGGACGAAAACGGCACAATTGTCTGGCCCGAGCTGAAGCTGTGCTCGCCCTGATATTCTGCAGAAGGAATACGCTGGGGTGCCTGGCTGATGTTGTTTGAATGGCAGAACTGATTGGAGCCGCCGAAGAATCCGCTCGCATCGCCACCCTGCGGCGCTTTATATTCTGGGTTGAAAGCCGCTATTTCTGAGAGAGACGGTGAACAGTTCCACATGGTCGAAGGGCCGGCCAGTTGAGAATTGGGGCTAGATAGCGATACAGCCCACGATTCAGCTTTCACATGTGGCATATCACCTACGGTTGAATTTTCGCTGCGTAAAGGCTCTTTTGCCACCTCCCTCTCCGTTGACCTGCGCTGCAGGGGCTTGTGATTTTCGTACGGCTTTTTGATCATTGCAAAATAACTGTCGGCAAAGTTCTCGGGTGAAGAGGTTTGCTCCTTTGAGTTTGAAGGCGGAATAGCTGCTTGGGCTTGTTCCGTCCAGAGAACCTTTGGATCAAGGCCGGCCTTTTGCCAGGCCTTTTCGCGAAGCCGCCGCATCATATCCCATGCCTCTCGGCCGCCGTCCTTGAGAGGGCGAGCAGTAGATATCCCATCTTCACCACCAACGACGCCGCCATCAGGCCCAGAGAGCGAAAATATTTTGTCAATGAACGCACGCGAAATAGGGGCTTCAGGGGTGCCTGGTCGCTCGTAGAGATCGATAAGCATGATCCTGTTTTTGATTAGCTTGATTAGGAAATGGAAGAGAGTGGTCGACAAACATGGTTGCATGCATTGGCTGATGGTTTCTGTCGAGTTATGAATTAGCTCAGGTGCGATAAATTAAGCGTGAGAACCTGCTTACCCAGGCCAACTCCACTGGAAGGGCTGGAAATCTGGATCAGTGGCGAGAGATATGAACTTTTCCATAAAGCCGTGGCAATGGTGGAGGGCACTATTAGGTTGCCTTAGTATTTTGACATAAGTGTTGGAGATGCTGGCTGGTATTACCATTGACGAGCTGCAGGCCAGATTTTGCTCTTTGCATTTTTCAAGAAAGGCTGGTAGGCAACACAAAATGCCTGCTTCGTGTTAGAGTTTTCTTCTACTCCAAGAAGCGGAATCATACCTTGTCTACGAATAAAGATAGAAGAATCCTGGCCCATTTATGAAATGCGGCTAGTACTGAGGTATGATACTGCTCGTGGCATCCAGGACCACCGTTAGGCAAATCTGCTTTGATAGATTTATTTCCAGCAGAAGCAGGAGGGTATTTAGGGTCAGGTTGGCCGGCATCGACTTTTGGAATTGGTATCCTATCAACAAGTCCGCGTAGATCGGCTTGAAGATCCATCAAAATGGACCGTAGGTCTTCCATATCCTTGCGGGTAACGGGTTTTGTACCAAGCTGGATCCTCAGGATTTTACGAATGGCACCTTTCTCGCCGTTAGTGGGGAAGATAGACAGCCTGGAGTGCATTTAATAGACTTACGCGCCATAACATATTTTCCCTTTGCACAGATGTAGTATACGTTCACCATGGAATTCCCGCACACATTAGGATCGTTGGGTCGATCGGGGTTTCTACGACTCTCCGCTATAGCACGTTCATACTCGAGCGCTTCTGGAGTACCGATTAAAGTGTCTTTGACGTCGCTGGCGATACGCACGTCCCAATAATTATCATCGCTCACCAAAGGGGGCAGGCCGCTGGACATGGCAACAACGCCATCCATATGGACAATATGCCACCATACCCGTCGACGCGTCTCGGCTTCACACGCGAGGATGCCAAACTGTGCGGGGTCTCGGTGGAGGCCCATGGTTTGGGCGACTCGGAGGGCGAGACTGATGAATAAACTACTTGTCAGAGGCTCCTCCTCCTTGGACAAAATAGTTTGAACAAGTAGAAAAGCAGCCAACCCGTGGAGGGTGGGATTTCGCGGGAATGTGATTTTCTTCAGCCATCGGGTAACTTCATCGTGGAAGGGCCCAGACAGATGCGCGCGACTTCCAACGTCAAACTCGGCATGGATGGTTCGCAAGGATATTGTGACGGAACCGCCGTACCATATTGCATAGAGAAGCGGGATAAAAGCGGGGTCGGGGTAGGGGTTTCTCGAAACTCCCCGCGAATCGTACCATTCCCAGAAATACTGGTAGAGGCGCAGGACGGTAGGGGGGTGTACTACTGGGCTGATAGCATGGATGCCAGACATGAAACCTTTGTATAAAATATTACTTTGCCGCCTCGAAGGAACGTTTTCGAGCATTTCTGCTTGAATGGGTCGGTCCGCAGAGAGCGGCGAGTCATCCCTCAAGAAAGGATCGGCATTCTGGGCGCTTTCGTCACGGAATAACATTCTCTGGCTGCCTTCTAAATTATATTGCCCAGACGGTGGGTGCGATATCTCGCTCGGTGCATCCCAAGATAGCTCGGGCGAAGTAGGAGCCTGCTGCTGTGACCGATTTTGATCGCGGAGTAGTTGGTTTAGTTCATTGATCTATTGAACGATATTAGAAAAGGTAAGAGAGGCACAGTAAGCCAGTGCGATAAGAAATACCTCATCGGAAATATAAGCCCAGTACGTAGTTCCAACATATCTGTGGTCTGTCAGCCATACTCTCTCGCCTCACGGCGCCAACGAGGGCCCTACCGAGATTTGCCTCCGTCCTCCAAACTCAAGTGGCCCAGATTCAGGGTTCCCACGGGGTCCACCAGATCTGTAGACAGACCGGTTGGCATTGGGAAATCTTCATGATTGCTGCCGCCGGTGGACTGTCTTCTCGGGCTGGACTGCCTGGATAGCGGCCTCGAAGGCGGGCCGGAGGCCGGTCTTGTGGCATGTCGGAGGGACAGTTCGGAGGCCTCATAGAGCGACCGCATCCCTTGGAAAATGGGTTCGCTGTCCTGGGGCGTCAACGAGCCGTTTGTCCGGCTTAGGCGCTCTATCATGGACGTCAGGCGGTCCAGTCTCGCGGCAATCTGCTCGGACCCGGACTTGTGCTCGCCGGCGTCATGGGGCAGTTGTAGACCGGTGTACGGGGACAAAAGGTCGGCGAGGGACGTCTCCGGCAAGCGTTCCCGTCGGCGTTTCAAGCGGTTCTGGTGTTGGTGGTGGTGGTCTTGAGAGACGCGGGTCCGGTGGGTTAGGGAGCGGGAGTCGTAGGCGCATTCGGAGCCGTTCTTCTGGCAGTTGCTGCAGACGGGATGGACCTGGTGGTGGGCGGGCGGGCGGCCATGGTTAGCGAGCGGGCACTCGGCCGCTGGACGGGGAGTCACGTACCTTGTCGCACTTGACCTTGCGGCGGCGGCAGGTATGGCACGAGTAGCTGACGCGGGTGCGAGTAATCTGCTTGCCGCCGCCAATTGCATAGTGCTTGCGGCGGGGAGGCAGTTTGGCGACAGACGCAGCACTGCCGGCGGACGCCAGCAGCGGCGAGGACAGCAGGTTGGGGTCGGCGCGGCCAGGCGACGGTGGGCTCACTGGCGTCCCGCGAGAGGGGGCGTCTGGCAGGGCATGCGGGGCGACATCGTCACCCATGGCGCGCGGGCACGGAGGGCTGCTCCGCGGGCAGAGAGGATAAGCGGGCGGGCAGTCAGACAGGGAGACAGGCACGCAGGCCGGGCGTTGTCAAGTCGTGGCGGCGGGCGTCGTGGTCGTCGTCCTCTTCATCGTCGCTCCGCTGACAGGCCCCAGACGACTTGGCGGGTTTGCCGCCGCCGCGCGCTGAGTAAGGCCAGTCGGGCGCGTCGTTATTTGCTGGTGGAACGAACTGCAGAGGAGTCGTCTTTGATAAAACTAACTAACTAGCTAACTACTACCCGAACAGCCAGCCACAGCGCATTCGTATCTAGTTAACGAGTTAACTAATTAACTACACATCGACAACTCCAGTCCCGCATGCTCCATGGACGCCAGGCAAATGCTCCCCCAGTGCTCGCGTTTCTCACGCCCGCCCCTTCTTCTTCTCCTTCTTGTTCTTCTTCGCCTCCCCGCCGCCACTCGCCGTCGGCAGGCCCTGCTGCGCCTGCATTTCCATCATCGCCTCTTTGAACGGGTTGTCCGTCACGCCGCCGCCCGAGTATGCCGGCGAGTGGAACGGCAGGATCGTGCCCATCTTCCACCCTCGCGGCGCCGCCGGAGCCGGCAGCGGCTTGTCGGGCACCGGCACGCCGCGGATGCGCAGCCGATACGGCGACTGCGCGGTCGTTGGGTGTGCCTGCAGGTACTGCGCAATGTAGATGTAGAGATGATGCTCTGCGAAAGCCCCGTCAGCGTGGCCCGCCCCTCCCGCACTGCCCGGCGGTGACTTACTGTTCTTCACGCTCTCGTTCACCAGGCCCCCGTCCTCGCGCTTGAGCAAAACACGCACCCGGCCAGGGTTGGCCCAGTCTTTGGGATGCAGCTTATCGGCCTCGAACCCGACCTCCAGCCCCAGCATCTGCACCGCGTCGAGGATGTCGCGCGCCAGCGGGTTGGCGACTGCGAGCTTTTTGGCAACCTTCCTTCCCTCGGCGCGCGACCGTGTTTGGTCGAAGTAAACGGGATACACGCATTGGAAATGGCGGGGAATGTCCGCCTGCGCCGGCGGCCGGGGCTGTGAGACGCTGGGCGCCGACACGGGGATGTTCGCCGGCGAGATGATTGAGGGTAGCGGGTCGAAGTCGGCCGGATCCATCTCGTCCGGATCGGAGTCGGAGGCATCTTCAACCCGCGCGGCAAGCGACATGGTGTCTGTGCAAGAGGCAGGGCACTGGCCGTTGTTGCGTGGAAGATCGAGCCCAGTTAGTTAGTTGGCGGCATCCACGCCAACACGCCGGAAGATCGTATGTCCGTGGGCGCCGCCACCCTCCATTCCGCTGAATCGCACAGATAATAATACTAGCTTACTCCGTACAGGATTCTTTTCCGTGCAGCCAATCCAAGGGTACGAAATAAAACTAGGCGATGAGCAGAACGTTTCATTGTCATTTAGATAACTAGTTACTATAAAGAGCACGCCAGGCCGCACCCGGACCATCTCATCTCGACAGCCGGCTTTCATTCTACACCTTCATTCCCTCCAAACCGTGCTTCCAGATCGTAGCATACGGGGTAATGCCGTCGTCACGGAAATCAATCAGAACATGCCTAGGGGCGCAAACCCATCAGCGACGGAAGAGGAGGGAGGGGGCACAGATGAGAAACAACATACATTCCATTGGGGTCCATCGAGGAGCCCATGAACACATCATAGTTGTCATAGTTAGCCAAGATCTTCTTGACAGCAGCCTGAGCGCCGCTCTGGAATTCCTTGAGCTCCTCAGGACTGGTGTTCTTCTCCTTCAACTTATCATTGACCTTGCGGACATAACCTAGAGGGGGATATGAGCCAATAGCACAGGCGAGACCAGGGGGCAGGCAGGACAAGGGTCCTCACTTTTGAGATGGGCCTTGAAAGCATCCTTGGATGGTCTCATGTCAGTTCCGTTCTCGTCCACCTTCAGCCATTGGAGCTGGAAGGCTTCTTCGATATCGTGGACCATCACACCCGGAGCACCGTCATCATCGCCGAAGTCGTCGCCGCCGTCTTCGGCGGAAGGATTGGCACCGGCGAGCTCTGTAGTCGGGGGGAGCGGTCAGTTGCATCGAATACGTGGGAGCAACGATGGGGTGTACCGAAATTCTCCTTCTTCTTTGGGTACTTCTTGCAGTCGACCTCCCAGAGCACACCGCCAGGCACGTCGACGAGCTTGTACGTGTCAGACATAATCTCATCACCGGTGATAATGTCCTGTAGAGATGCCGGGTTAGCCAATATGGCGAGGTCGGGGGCGGGAAACCTGGGAGAAACATTGGTCGCAATGCGGATGTGCGCCAATGGAGGCGGGGTAACGACGTGCCTTGTAGATAATCATGATGGCAGAACTGCAGGCGGGATGGTGCGCTACGGCAGGATGCGGATAGAGAGCGGGCAGGGAGTCCACAAACAGCCAGCAAAACCGAGACAGGCAGAACGACAGACAGACAGACAGACAGACAGACGGGGAGGGCGGGCGAGCAAGAGCGGGCGAGGCGGAGAAGCGAAAGAGTTTGTTTGGTTTTTGTGCTTTTCGCCGTGGTGGGGGTTGCTGACTCAGCGCCGCCCGCCGCGAGTCACGTTACTGGTCGCTAACTGCGTGACGGCGCTGCACGCGCGATACGGCGCCAACCCGTCGTGCTCGAACGGGCGTCTGTGCTGCCGCCGGCCCCTTTGCGAGCAGTTGCAGTGCCATCGCCCGTGTTCTTCCGTCGAGCTCCTGCGCTCCCAGCGCTGCCGGAACCCATGCCGACTATCAGCCCACTGGGTATTGCACGCTAGGGACGGCTGTGGCCCGCTTTAGCGCGGGCGGTTGCGCCATTACATCACGTGAAAGCGCTATTTCGCGTGCTGACTCATCATCCTGCTCTCCGGCTTTCTTCGTCGTCCATCACCACCACCACACTTTGTTCCCGATCCCCTTGATGCTGCTCCGCTGCTTCTCTCCTTTCTATCACACCCTTCAGTGCCGGAATTACTCTGTTTGCACACTTCGGGGGTTCCGTCTCCCTCCTATTGCCTGGTCGCTCTCTCTGTATATTCCGGACCCCCGTCTTATTTTTCCTGTTTCCTGCCTGACATCATTCCCTTTATTCCAAACTCCGCGGTCCTTGGTACACTTCTAAAACCCTATAATATTTATGGTCCGTCTGCAGCTCTTTGTTTCTTGCCTTCCACCCTCCTTCCATGGGCGCCGCCTTCCCAATAGCTATTCCCTAGGCACGATCGTCATTCAACTTCGCTCGATAGCTTCCGCGTATAGTGTTTTCCTTTATTGATCCACGATACTTACTAGGGCGCCGCCCACGAAACTTCCACTTCGCCATGCTCAACTCTACGCTTGATACGGGGCTTCCGCCCCTTCCTGCCTATTCCCTAACTCCCCGCGAGCCTCTCCTGCCTCCAATCCCTGACTATATTATCGTTCTCATTCTCCCAATACTCGCCTACTGGATTGTATCCATGGTCTTCCACTGGATAGACGTCAACGATTATTTTTCTCAGTATCGCCTGCATACTCCGGAAGAGCTCCTTCAGCGAAATCATGTGTCGAGGTGGGAAGTTGTTCGTGACGTTGTCATCCAGCAAATCATCCAAACCGTATTTGGTTTGCTCATGGCCTACGTGGAGGAAACTGAGTACGTTGGGAAAGAGGACTATGATATCGCCGTTTGGGCTCGTCGCATACGAATCGCGCAGAGAGTCATCCCGCGGTTACTCCTACTTCTCGGCATCGACGCCACGGGGCTTGCTGGAAAATTGTCCTCATATCCCGCTCTAGCTGTTGCTATAACAGGTGGACAGCATTCAACTTTGACCCAAGAAGTTGTTCTGGATACAGGGAGTATCGTCATTACGCCCGCGTTTGCGAAATGGGAGCTTTTGGCCGCTAGTGCCGTGTATTGGTACCTCATACCCGCCGTCCAGTTCCTTTTTGCCATATTCTTCGTGGATACCTGGCAATACTTCCTGCATCGCGCGATGCATATGAACAGATGGCTGTATAGTATGTCACAATCTATGAAACCTTTGACAATCCTGCTCTAACATCATGCCTAGCTACTTTTCATTCCAGACACCATCGTCTCTATGTCCCTTATGCTTTTGGTGCTCTATATAACCATCCCGTTGAAGGTTTTTTGCTGGACACCGCTGGAACAGGGATCGCTTTCCTGCTCTCAAGAATGACCGCTCGCCAGGCTATGTGGTTTTTTACTTGCTCAACAATCAAAACCATCGATGATCACTGCGGATATGCTTTCCCATTTGATCCTCTACAGCATATTACCTCAAACAATGCCGCATACCATGATATCCACCATCAAAGCTGGGGTATTAAGACAAACTTTTCACAGCCATTCTTTACCTTCTGGGATCGCCTTCTTGATACTAAGTGGAGGGGCGGGGATGTTACCCTTCGATACGAGCGGGCACGCTTACAGGCTAGTCGTGCCATGAAAGATCATGATCAAAGCCCAAAGGCTGGCAAAGAAGACCAACCCGCACGTAGCCTCCTTACAAAAAGTGTCTCCAAAACCGCCACTCCTTTCTCCCCCCAGACAGAACCTCTGAAAAATACATCCCATAGGTTGAACGGCAGTATACTTCATAAGTGACGTCTGCCAATTTGGATAGTTTCGTTTTCCTTCCCTCATAACTAACCCTAGTCCTTGGCCCTAATGACTTTACGCTATCTCTACACTATCGATGCGATGCAGCTTCCGTCTAAACCGCAAACCTCACTGCTTACTTAAATGCAATAATCTCCTGTCACCTTAAATATCCAACAAAACCGTCTCTGCCCTGTTTATCCTCTCACCCCTCCTTTTATGTGTCCATTCTTCTTCGTGCAATGCGGCAACTTCTCGGGGTAGAACAACGCCCCATAATACATTGGCTGGTCTATTAAACAACTCTTTAATCATGTTCAATCAATACCCTTTCCCCACGTCTTCTCCTTCGACTAGACTGTACCCCAATTTTTCTGTATATTTTTAATCGGTCGGAAACCTTTGCTTGTATTATTAACCATTAGCGTTGAGCGCAACATTGAATGCTTTCAGGCAGTAACTAGAGCTTTTTTTCTAGCATTGATGGCCAAGTCTGAGCTGAAATCAAATACAGCTGTCTTACTGCACACTTACCAAAACGATGGCAAGTAGGCTGAACCTGGTAGTTTTCATGACAAAAGCAAGCTCCCGTATCTACAGTGTGATAGCCCGGAGAGTACTAACTAGACTTGTCCCTCTGTGACTATGACACATTGTTTTTCATAACATTTAATATTCCTTGCTGATCTTGGGAGGTTTTGATCGTTAGCGTTTGGTCCAGAAGGGACTGGTGCTCGCTGGCCGGCTCAGGGTTTTTTTTTCAAGCGTGCCAGCATGCTGGCACTGTTCGCCTGGTTGTCTGCGTTGTGCTGCCGTTTTGGTTTCCATCGAGGATTGCTCAAAAAAATTATGAAAGGCATGGTGATGAGTTGCGAAAGTGGTGCCTCGGAATAACCGGACCGTTGATATCTTAAAAGATATTATGTTCGTTTAGCTTGAGATGCGCTGCTTCAGTTATGGGTATGACCTAGTTGCTGGACGCACTTGACGTGATCCTGAGTTGCACCCGTAGTGAACTTTTTAACATTTGTCTGCATCATGCCTGGTGCCGTGACAGCTTCCAGTGTAGCTTAACCACCGTCAATTCCGCTTCGATCAGCCCCTGCAGATCATACAGGCTTCGCCGACTCATTCTCGATGGGGGGTTCGTTTCTTGCTCTAATGCAGCTGATATAATGAACGAATCAATGCATGTTGTTTGATTGTCAAGTTGCTCTTAGGTGGAGAGGGCTCGTAGTGTCGGCCAGGTTTACAGATGTAGGAGATACATTGAACAAATTAAATGAATGTGTAGCTGATTGTGTGGCAAACAGGACATGCTGCTGTGGGATGCTTCACAGAAGATGTCACAAGAACTGGAGCGGCGAAGATGTCAAGAGCGTTTAGAAATTGTGTCTATTCTCAAGGTGAGAAGCTTCAGCAGTTGTGGTGTGCATTGGGAGATGAGATCTCTGATAAGTTCTCTAATATCCAGACGTGAGAGGTCTTTAATAGACTCAGTATGTCTATTATAGGGCTATTATATCCTCATTTTTACTCCACACCTTCGAAGGTAATTTTCAGGATTACTTGTAAAAGCGATATGCTTAATTTGGCTTTTTGAAAGCAAGTAAAGACGGCCCAATCTCGTTTATAACTGAGGACATGACGGCGGACGATGGTTGGTGATATTTTATATTGAATATTTTCAGCAGCCTACATCCTTTTGATGAGTTTATTCGTATAATTTATATGTGTTTAAGGGAATTTAGCCGGTATCCAAAAGTCCCTAGATGATAATGTTTGAGGGGTATAGAGATAGGAAGATGTGATCAACCTGTTGAACAAATAGAAAAAAATGGATTGTTTCGTTGCTTTGTTAATCAGAAATTTCATAAAGGGTCTGTAAATTGAGGAAAGCTGATCAACATATTGACCATTGAAATGTTATTTCATTGTCTCGTAGCATTTATAGGTTAGAGCATGAGCCAGGGACTCCGACCAGGCATGAGAGATGGGGATACAATAGAAAGGAGCATTAAGGAACGATTACAGGGAAAACTTCGACCTACACACACATATAGGTAATGAAGCATGATGGCAATATCGGAGAGGCTAGTGTTGGATAGTAGTGAGAAGTCCTAGCCTGATAGTATACCCAACAAGAGAGCGCAAAAGGTAGTATTATAAAGAGGGCTTAAAGGCGAGAAGATACAATTGAGTTCTCCTTTTGGATTGCTTCCGCAAGGCGACGGCTTGCCCAATCTGAAATCGCCATGGTGGTTACCATGGGGTTGACGCCACTTGCACTTGGGAATATGGAAGCATCCATAACATACAGACCATCAGTACCCCAGACCCTGGCTAGCGGATCAACAACGCCGTTCTTGGGTGACGTATCCATACGGCAGGTGCCCATTTGGTGCGCACTGGCAAAGGATGTGCCCCATAATGGAAGGGGATCATTTCGCTGGAACTGTTTGATCCAGGCTTGGAAGGCCGCATCATTGATTCCTTGTTCGGTGGATCCTCCGGTATCGTTTTTGGAACGAACAAACGGCGGGATTGCATGGCAGCTTGTGCGAATTTCCTTTGCGCCAGATATGTACGCTATCTTAGCACTGGCAATGACGCCTTCAACCATATTTTTCCTATCATGAGAAGAAGGTGTGTATGTGATTCTGCATCTACCGTCAACAGGATCGGGATAAACGGCACCCGGATATTTGTCCCGTGTAAGACTGATGAAGCCACTCATATAGCGGAGATTGGCCGCCATCAGCTTATAGTCAAGACTGTTTCTCCAGGCAAAAATTGGGAGAATAAAGGAGGGTAACATCGCTATAGACTCAATTTTGGTGCCATAGCCCGTGCCATGAAGGTTTTCAAAATCACTAACAAGTGATGTCAAAATGCTGCCTTCCCATGGCCGCGTTTCTTGCTCATAGACTGCCGTAGTTATGGTAACTAAAACATAGTTAGGGCTAATATTTAATATTTGATGCAAATAATAGGTTTCATACCTGGGTGGAGATATAAGTTGCGACCGATTTGAGGGTTTTTCAAGCCACTACGAAGTAAAAGCAAGGGCGACTGCAAAGAACCACAGGAAACTACGACTTTCCTGGCTTTGATTATCAGTTGCCTTTTAACAACAGGGTCCGCCGATGTCATGCCATTGGAATCTCTAGATCTCCAGATGCCTTGGACACCAGCAACGACCTTTTTACCCTTGGAAGTATGCCGGCCAAATAGCACCCGCTTAACTTCATAGCCTTCGATAAAAGTAGCGCCCGCTCGGGCGGCATCAGCAAGAAATGACACAGCTGGGCCCTGCTTGACCGAGGACTGACAACCCATGCCGCAGTACCCACAGTCATGCTCCTTATTTCCAGTATTTTGAGGAACAGATTTTGCGGTGTAGCCGAGTTTACGCGCACCGTCGACAATTACCTTGTTGCCGGGGTTATGATGAATATGATCAGTCGAAACACCCATGCAGGCGCAAACGCGGTCCAAAGAATTTTGAAACGCCGTAGATGTGAAGAAGTCAAGACCTGACTTGGCCCATTCCTGGCGAACAAAGGACTGGGTTTGAAGGGAGGCAGACCAATTGACTGTACCACCGCCGCCCCAAGTAGAGCCGGAGATGATCGTGGTTGAACCGTCGTCAGAAATCTCCGCACCACCGTTAGCATACATATGAACCAGTCCTTGCGAGCAAGACATAGGATAATGGTCTTCAGAGAAATGATAAGATTTTTCAACAACAATAACACGATAGCCAGCTTCGGCAAGATTTTTTGCCGCAACTCCGGCGCCACATCCGCTGCCCACAATGACAACATCAGTGTCAATAACCTCAGGGTTTTCACCAGGAGGAACCTGAATGAAAGTATATGGATATCCTCGTGTCATTTTACCGTGTATAGGAACCTGTGGCATTCCTAGGATTAAGGGCAACGTAGGGCTCGATGCGATCCATGATCTATGACATAATGCGACAAGCGAGCGGTGCGCACGGCGAAGTGCCGATAAATAGGAGGTTTCCCAGCTGCGAAGAATTGACTGGCGGATCTCAAGGGGTTGCAGGTGGAATGGAGTGGCTGAGCCAGTAGTAATGAAAGAAAAGGCAGAATTATTGAGCAATGAAAGTAGCTTCAGAAGTTCCTGCCGTGTATTTGGTGGCACATACAGCGCAATAGTTCGACAGAGGCCTTGCTTGAAGCCTGGGAGAGCGACGGCATTCTCTTCAAGGTAATTCTCAGCAAGTGCTGTTCGATCAGGGTCGTTCAAGGGACCGACAAGCTGGCTGATCCCAGCATCATATGATGGGTCTGCGACAACCTGATGGCGAGCAGGGACGGCAGACTTGGCTCGACGAATGGAGGGAATGATGGTATCAGCAATGCTTAGCAAGGTAGTCCATTGAGGCGGGTTGAAAACGGTGTGACATTCCGGGTCAGGAGGGAGAGGACTGTCACGAATGACACGTTCAGTGGTAGCAGGCAGCTGCGATTCCATGGTGAGAGACAACTGGCAATGGGGGCAGCGAAGGACTAGAACGAGAGCTGCATAGGATGGAGGTCACTTTGCCCGGATGGCTAACTCAAAGAATGAAGAGACAAGGGAGTTGAGGGATTGAACGCCACAGCGGGGAGGTGCTCGCGGTGTAGATGTGTGGATGTGTGGATACACGGGGTATGTGCATACAGAGGTACGGAGTATCATGTAGAGTGAGAAAGAGCTGTGGTGCTTAGATGCCGAAGTGGTTGAGGCACGTGCCACGGAACCCGCGTCCTGCGAGCAACATGCGACGGGCTGGGGCTCGGCTGTTCGGGAGACGGGTAGCGACATGTGATGGGTCGGCTAAGAGACGCTGCGCCATAGAAGCGAACAGCTCAACTGCGGGGTGGCACCGGGCATCGAGGCTCCGGCTAGGACCATTTATTATCATCATACGCTTCGCTTGTTGTTGCCTAATTACCGGCGCTGTTGGTTGCGGAGTCGCAACGGGACGAGTCACCGCGAATGCACGTGATATGCCGAGGATATCGGACTGGATCATCAATAATCCGAGTAGGCTCGAAGTCCGACTAATAGTTAATCCAGAACTATGTGATCAGGTGATTTGGCGGCTGGTTAACTATGTAATTCTCACCACAGCCAACTTCATGCTTAAAAGAGCGCTATGGAGCAAGGACGTATCTGTCAAGCTGTCTGTTTATTATTTACAAACAAGCTTTATCATCAGGAAGACACAATCAGCGATTGCGATGTGTTTTAGGACCAGATTGTGAAAGGGTGCCAATGCGACGCATCCCTTACCAAGTCTTAAATTCCGGCTCCCGCTCATGGTGTGATTCCGAGTCCGACGAGAAGTCTTCAGTTATACCGGAAACAAAGTGGTCTCGTTGCATGTTCTCTTCCTCATTGATAGGAGTACCATTATGGTCAAGGTTGCTGTTGATGATTGGATGTGGAGAAAACCCCATGCTAGATAGAGATGAGTTATGCCGCTTGTGTATCGGCCGTGTGGGTCGGATTTCAGGAGGAGGACTCGCCGGTGGAGATACTGCTCCGGGCTCCGGAGAAATAGGGCTGAGAAAACTGACGGCATCACTAGGAAATCTTGGGCGCGAAGAGACAGGAGACTCGTTGTATTCGGTGGGAAGTTCTAAAGGTGCGTGAACAGTAGCGCCTATTAGGTATTAGTATTATGAATGTATGTATGTGTCTATAGTAGTGAGTATACGAATGCGGCCACAAACCTAGCGCTGGATGTGAGCTATCCTGCAGCTCATGTACTGCTGAGCCTGCGGCTTCGTTGAGATCCGAATAGACAACAGTAGGTCGACCATGAGACGTGATTACGGAGTCGTTGCCAACTTCTGAAAATCTCGTAGACATGTGCTTTTCTGATCGTTGCTCGTGCTCTGCTGTTGTTGTAGTCGTTGCATCTATGTTTTTAGATGGAAGCCCAGTTCCATGAATCCAGCGCATTACTCGCTTTCGATTGTCGCTATTTGCGCCTACACTCGAAGCATAGCGTCGATCTTTTCGCCGGCGCCAAAGAAGCCAGGCCAACATCAAGCCCGTGACCAACATGAGTCCAAGAACTACGCCGATCACTGGGCCAACCCACTTGGGAAGACCGCTGCCTGTAGTCGGCGCTGGGGTAGAAACCGATGTTTCCACTGGCATGTACGGGTAATAAGTCTTGATCGGTTTGGAATATGATTTTGAAAAAATTTTCTCAAGCTCGTTGTCATCCCAAGATGGAGGCTTTTGGAGTGTGGCATTACCGTTGGCACTATTAACAAAGTTAGATGACCATGGCTTTATCATATGGCAGACACTTACTTTCCGCCAATGGCAGCTGTGACCACAGCAGGGACTTTATATTCTTTCCACTTTGCCGGGTCATAAACATCTTGAAACTCAACCGTGTTCAAGTTAAATACCTGAATAATGCCGCCATCCAGACAAGTAGAGGGATCTATGAACAATCCACCAAAAACAAGCATTTTATCCGGGTAAGCCTTGATACATCGATGGCCTCGCCTACCATGTTCATTTCTTCCCCGAAACGCTTTGATCCACCTAAATGAAGGTATAGATAAGATGTATACGTCATCGAACGACGTTTCTTCCCGATCATTGCCCCCATAGCCGCCATATATGTAGATGTTGAAAGAACTACCATCTTTTGCTTCTGCTACTACCGAGCAAAAGTCGCTACGAGCTGGAGGAACTTCCCCCGTAGTATTTTGTAAATGCCTTTTGTCATTAGCCAGTCGTAACTTGCGTGAATGTAATGCCTACCATTTCCCTGATGCAATGTTGTACACGGCGATGCGTTTCATGAAGTCTTCACCCATCACTTTCTAAGATATTGTCAACATTGTGTGTACACCATGACCACCAACTGCCCGAAATACTTACGTTTTCTTGTAACTGTGACATAGTTAGGCCTTCAGGACCAACAGTATCCTGGGGATGCGGAACACCACCAACGGCCACCAGTACGCCGGAGTCAGATACTGGTATCCAAGTAAGCTCTGACTTTCCCCTGGGCGGGATGTTTTCCGGCAACGTGGAATTAGACCATTGTTCTCCTCTCCACTCAGCCATATCAACGGAGATTAGAGTATTAGCTGTAGAGTTTGCTTTGGGCTCTGGAAATGATATTTCACCCCAATCTTTACCACGCATACCGCTAAAGTAATACCCTCGGTTTTCACTCGGTACGGACACTCCAGCTCCGTGCGTAATGTAGCGGGTGACGTTGTGATTAGTTCGAGATTGAAGAAACCCCTGTTTCCAATTGGTAACGCCCTTCGGACCCCAGAAATACCGCTCATAAGAAAGAAGTTGATTTGAATTTGGCGGCGACTGAGAGTCTGTGAGACGGAGTAGTCCCCTAACTTTGTTAGAAGTCATAACCATAGTTGCAGGTTTAACCATACCCAAAAAGCATGAATTCATTTTCAGTTGCAAACATAGCACCATCAACGTAAGTTGGAGCAATATTGTTGCCAGCGCCGTTCACCGGATTTATCCGACCAAACAAGCCTGTTAGGTTGGTGTGCACGGTGTTAAATGGAACAGAAAGGGGGAGTGTGAATATATTCCCGTCAGGATTCCCTATATGTCACTTAGAATAAAAGGAGATTTACTGTCCCGAATATATAATATACCATCGTTCTGCGGGCTGCCGAAGGTACCATCTGAAAATCCACTGCAGGTGGTATCTATATCAGGGAACTAAATTTCAAACATCTCTAAACACCGGGAAACGTACCGTCGCCACCAGAGGCTTCCACCGTCTAGATAAACAGTATCTCGGATAATGTCGACTGCATCTACGGCTTAGCATTTATGCGTTAGGTATAGGGGCGAAATCACCTCTTGGTCGAAACCAGTTGCACATGGTAATATTGATTTGGCTTTTGAACGTCTGGGCTACTACTGGCCCAACGAGAACCAGCATGATCCCACAAAGGGCAATGGGGTATATCATTATCATGGTCATCAAATTAGTTTAGAACTGTTGTAATGACGATGCAGAAACCAATTCTCGAGGGATTAAGATTCGGGCAACCTATTGTTAATGTTCAGTAGACACCATATCATCGTTGTCTAATGCTTTCGGAAGTCAATTGTGAGGATGGCCGTCAGACTAAAGAGATAGACTAGAAATGGACTATGCTCTTGTGGTAATGTAGACAGGTGCTGCAAGTTTAATTTTACCTCGGGAATATGGGGCCTTTGTATGATGCACTAATAATATTGAAATATGCAAACTAGGCCAAAGATGCTCCATAAATATTATGTATGACCGTAGTAAAGGGTGGCCTACCAGTCGCAAGCTTCTGTGAGCCCCCCAAGCTTGGCTCAGATGCAAGGGTCACGGAGTGAGCTGAATCAAGCCTCGGACGTTGGAGGTCGCAATATTGCCAGAAAGAAACTTGTTCAATACATCAACCAAGTCCTCAATACTTGGAGAGAGACTCCACATAGCCAGTCTAGTAAATATGTTGATAACAATAATGGCCGTCCACGCGAGAAAGAACTCAGGGCTTTTGCGAGGCATCCCGGGTACTACGATCAGCAATACACGAGAAATGGCATGGAGGAGCGGGGTTGCGTGCATGCGGCAAGGGTGCAGAAAAAAACTAAAAGAAAAGTTACTACGTACATCCATTCCAACCTGAAAACCGGAGCCATTCTTGCGGCTTGAAAGTTCACCTGGACTAGGTGCTACCGGTGGTCCTGCATTGTATCTGTCGAATGACAGATTGTAGTATTATCGCTGGAGGACATGACAAGCAATATTGAATGAAAGACAGGGATGACTGGATCGGAGTTTTATTCATTACAGTAGCTGAAAGACGGTACTTGCAAGGTATACAGGTTCGTCATGGAAGATAGGCCAGCCTGTGGGGAAAAGAGGGCAAAGGCCACGCCAATCAAATGGTGGCTCACGAGGTTCGTTTGAGGATGAGTGCTGGGGCGGGCATGCAGAGAGCATGAGCGACAGGCAAGCAGGCTATTCGCATCGTTGCATCTGGTGCGCAGCTGGTATGACTCGAATTGCAATTCGCGAGCAGAGTGACAGTGTGGAAGAGACACTGCTCGTATCCCCAGCGGGCATCCAGGGTAGAGTTCCCGGGCGGTGATCTTCCGGCAAGGGGACGAATTTCCTATGCGAGGGCGGGGCAAGGGAGGCTCTAGGAGGCGGTATGCGGTATGGCGGTAGAGTGCGGGAATAAGAATGACGCCGTACTGCGTGCCCTGGACGAACCAGGGAGGACAGCGACGGGAGGAGAGACGTTACGACGCGACGCGATGCGATGGGTGATTGGCGGGAAAGCTGGCGGGCGGGCGCCGCCGGCAGTTCGTTTACTAGTGCAGTCCCGTGCCGCAGATCAGGGAAGCAGCTGACTAACTAATCAGTTAATCATCCGCCCACCGCCCAAGCGGCCAGACAACATCCCTCCCTCATCCAGCGTCGACTTTGCAGGCGCACGCTCATTGCTACCCGGGGCAGCACGGTGCTAGCTGGCGTCTGGCGTCATATGCACGCCTTGTCTCTGTGAACATATTGCTGGCCTGTTGTCCCCACAATGAACCCACTAGCCACTGATCGATCCCACGTCCCGGCTCGTTACCAGTAACTTTGCTCCCTATATGGAACAAAGGAATGCTGCGACATATTGATTTCAATATGCAATATTTGCCGATTCTCCTGCCCTTTGGAACTTTTCAGCCGAACTCACTAGCAGGGGCCCCTGACTAGTACATTTTGATCCAATATGCTCTTATCAAACCTTCCATTGCTTCGTATTATCCGTTGCACATGTATGTACGGAGTATCCGAACCAATTCGTGTGTTGTTCAGACTCGAAAACTTCCTGCCAGGGCACCTCTTTTCATCTTGTATCCCAGGTTATACCCAGTACTGCTGGCCCATGTGGCCTAAAGGATCACGTCTTTGAACGTGCATGATTGATTATTCCCTGCCATTATTGATTGGCTAAGCCTCTAAACCCAGTAGCAACCCCATATTCTTCTTCAAACCCGCTTCGTGTGAATGGTGCGGCCTGCTTCCTTCTAGAAAGACATGCTTTCGCCCATTGGTAGCATACCCAAATCTGACCTTGAGGAATCTAACTTTTCTTTTTGAAATTCAACCTCATGCGAGAAAGATTCTTCCCCTGTTTGCTTGTATTTACGAATGCTATTAAGCGATATCCTAATTGGCTTTCAATCTGCTTTCAACCTTTCGTGCCTTGTTACGTTGATAACTAACTGCAGCCGTCCTTTGCTGGCTGCTCTGACTGCTCGCTGACATTTTCCTCTTTCGCCAGATCTTGGCAATTGAAAGGATTTGATTTGATTTACAGAATAGACAGCAATTGACCTAAGCAATGAGGCTATTTCATTCACTTTTTCTTCTGGGAGCATCTTCTGCCCTTCAAACGCCCACACAGACCTACATTCCTTCTAAGAATTCCAGGACTCTTGACCAGTTTCACTCAGGCTACTCTGTTGGAATTAGCCCTTCATTGTTGGCCGCTGCCCCGACCGATACAGCACCCTCGGCAAATGGTTTTCCCAAAAAAGAAGATATCCTGACAGCGAGCGATAGCAATGATGTGTGTGTAATCCCTAGCCTTCAAAGCTAGAATTAGAGGGAATTGGGCTCACCAGCTAATACATATAGGTCGGAATATACTGCAACCACTCGAAATGCTACACTTCGACAATATTGATAACAAGAACATACACTGTACCAGTCAGCCACACCACTATCTCAACCACGAGGCAAACGACGACTTTGGCTACCAAATCTACAACAAAATCATCCATACAGTGGCCTACCTGGTGGCCCAGCGATATCCCTACTAAGGAGCCTCCCTGCAGTGGCGATTGGTGCTGGTGGAAAACGACGGTTACAAAAACAGTAAGAGAGTCTGCAACGCCAATCACAGTCACAGTTGGAATCACAACGACAGTCACGGTGCCGTTGACTATAACATATACCGAAAAAGAGACCATTACGAAGAAGGATACGACAACAGTGGAGGAAACTGAATACAAGACCCTGACCCTTACGTTGTCTAAGACTGAATACAGTACAACTACGAATAGTTATACCATTACTGATCAAAAAACCGTGACAGACCGTCGCACGGTGACGGATAAACACACTGTTACTGATGTTGTCACAACTGAGCAGACGCTCACCTTACCGCCGAGTACCACCACGGATGTCATTACCCTCCCTGCTAAAACTATCACAAACGTGATCACGCTTCCACGAAGCACAAGCACCGTGGTAAAAACCCTTCCTGCTATTACAGTTACTCTTCCGGGAACGACAATTACACTACCGCCAACAACAAAAACGATTGTGGTCACCCTACCTCCAAGCATAATTACACAAACCTCCACACTTCCTGGAATGGTAACTACCGTGTACCGTCCTGCAACCGATCAAATCATAACGAAAACTTCAAATTATATTTCCCTCTGCCCATCCCGCACCCTCAACCCTACTTTCACTCCTACAGCACCTCTTCCAACTGATTACATATGGGGATGCCCCCCTGGCTCCCTCTGTAAACCGATGCGCAGCGCTATGGATGGCACTTGTAATTTCGACGTTGGTCCACCAAGCGCAAATTTTTTCTGTAGTCCTGAGGAGTGTCCTGCCAGCCCATCTTTACACCCCCCACAATATTGGGGAACACCAGTTGTTGGAAGTACAGTCAAGAAGTTCATTGTTTCTCTAGGGTACTATAATCTAGACCCAAGGAAATTCGGCCTTGGCTTTGATATTTTCCTTTTCGAAAATGCCACCCAGTCTTCGGAAGTCGGCAAACGACAAGTCATAAAGGCCCTTCCAGCAGTGTGCTACGACGAATGCAACAATAGTGTGCTAGAGGCGCAAAGCAAAGGCGACCCAGAGAAGCTATGTCGTAAGGGCTCGGCTTTTCTCACCCATCTGGACGAGTGCAACAGATGCATTAGGGCTCATCGCCAGCCTAACCATGGAACGTTTGATGATATTCTCAGGCCAGACTTTGAAAGCTTTCTTAATCTGTGCAAGACGCTCCCTGGAAATTCCACCGTTGTACCTGAGCCGCAACTATCTCATAGCACAAACCAGATATCCCAACCAACATCGGAAATTGAATCTTCCTCTCTCTTGGTATCGAGTCCATCTTCAGCCCCATTTGCATCGAATTCTTTGAATTCGTCGTTTCCGATACCAAATTCCAATATCCAAACTTATCAGTCTTTGCTGTTTACAAGAACTCCCCCTTCCCCCCCTATACGGTCTACAAATTCACAGCCAGAAACCAGTGATACTGCCAACTCCATCAGAACAGAGCCGCCTCGAACATCCTCAACCACCGCAGCAGAATTTACTGGAGTGGCACCGATTTTCAAGCCACTGAAATACTTACATATTTTCACCAATACTCTCGTGGTAGCGTTCATGCTAAAGTTTCTGTGATTTAATGATTCCTTGTATTTCAGGTATTTTCATTACAATTTTGCCATCCACCATGTACCCCTTCCCATATTCAGGCTTTGGATAGCTAGCGGGCAATGGAGCTGGTGTCACACTATAATATAACAATATACTCTTTGATCCACGTCTCCTTGCCTCCCATGGTAGATTCTGCAATAATCATTGCCAAATTATAATACAAGAAGTCCTGTAAATAGGATCTGACAAATCTGACACATTTCCTTTTTGAACACTCCTTCCATCTTTAGCTCTGCTAGGCTGAAGGCGTAGTGTTTTTGGCAGTGTCAAACATGGTCCCAGTTGTTTCACATGCAGCTACTAACTAGTGTTAAACAGACTGATTTGTTTCCCAAAAAAGTGAATATCGTTTGAACGAGTTTATGTGGCACAGAAAGGTAACTGCTACAATGTGTACAATGTGAGCGGGAACAAGGCAACATTATTTGTTCGCCATAGCAGCCGTTGTGTGGGTAGATATTTGCAGGCCTGTTCCTAGATTACTTTTCGAGCTCATATAAGACAGCCGAGGGAAAGTTAGCCGTGCAAACTAACTCAATGGCTTGGCTGGATGCACTCGGTTCATGGGTTTATGCTCAGAGATGACCTCCTCCCCAAGTTCTTTCAGCGCAGCTTCATAACGGTGGCTCACATCACCAACACGAGTGCGGTCAATCTTTACTTTCCTCACCACACGGGTCCCTCTCTCTATAGCACCATTGACAATCTCACTGGAAAACCATCGCCCTTCGCTATGGCTAACAAGTGTCCATACTGACCCGTATTGCCCTGCGCGAGCTGTCCGCCCAGCGCGATGAATGTAGCTAGTTAAACTAGCAGGTACGTCGTAGTTGATGACATGTTCTAGCGAAGGGAGATCAAGTCCTCGTGAGGCACGATCAGTAGCAAGCATAATGCGCACAGTTCCATTTTTATACGCGGCAAGTGTCTTACGAGCAGTGGCAGACTTATTTGATTTGACGAGCACCCCAAGACAGGTGGCTAGTGCAGGGCACAAAATTTTTAGCAGTCGGGTTAGCCGTAGAGCCGTCTCCGATGATTTGACAAATATTAGTATGGAGTTAGATAGGGAATGTGTAGAGAAGACATCGAGTAGCTGGGTCATTGAAGCACATGTGCTTGACGCCGATGTCTCATTAAAAATATGAGAGTATATAAGCTGTAGAAGGTAAATCGGCTTGGATAACCCATCACCAACTGGTATCAGTGCCTCGCTGAGAGTTGGAGGGACTGCGTATACCTCGCTCTTGTTGGAAAAAGCTGATTGTGTTAACTGGGGTATTCTTTGTGGATGGTTGCTATCTAAGTCAACTTTAACCAGTCTAGGGTTATGTAACTGCAGAGAGTTTAATTTAGTAGTATCCATTGTCATCGTGGCGCTAAGAATTATTTTTCGAAGAGGCTTTTGCTCTGTTGAATGCCCGAGACGTCTTAGGGCCGAATGCGTCGTTTCGATGATATTATTTCGGGAAATTGCTGGTATAACGACCTGTGTCCATTCCTGAAAGCTCTCATTTAATAGCCGATCAGCTTCATCAATCACAAGCCACTCTAAGTTGTCCAAATTAAAACCACCTGTTGATCGAAGATGATCTACCAAGCGTCCAGGGGTGCAGATTAAAATATCAATATCGAGAAACAGGTTTAAGTTGTGTTTTGGAAGAACTTTTAAAGATTCTTCGGTGTCGGTTATATACTCTTGAAGATTGAACTTTGTCCAATCCTTGGTTGACATATTTGAGTTGGTAGTTATTGCCGAGCTCCAGGTACGGTATACCTGATCAGATTCCCTTAGGATGTCCTGCTCATCGTTCAAAGCCGTAGAGCCTACAGCAGTCCCGATGCGCAAACCAGTGCCAGCGGCACAGAGCTCGCACATCTCGCGGGCTTGCCTAACAAGTTCGCGGGTAGGAACAACTATCAGGGCTCGTAGGCAATTCATAGACGAAGACTTGATAGAGGATATTAGCGGAAGTACATAGGCTAAAGTTTTCCCCGAACCTGTAGCAGCGGAAACGCAGATGTCACCCCAATTTCGACACTGGGAGTCCAAAGCCAAGGGAATTACGGCGGACTGAATAGGCATCGCATGGGAGTAGCCTTTACTTTCGAGTATCGACGTTTGTCTTGTACCAAGGCCAAGGCTTTTAAAAGTCTGGCGCGTCTCCGATGGAGCAATGATGGGGTGCAGGAGCCACTCGGGTAGAGTGGCGTATGTGGGTATTTGACTGGATTCAGGTGAAGAAATAGGCTGTGGAAAAGGTTCAAGACCATGGTTGATTTGCTCCTTCTTTTTCGTAACTTCCTCACTAGACTCTTGTGCGACAGCAGGATTTGGAATCTTCGTTGTGTATTTGTCAAATTTGGAGAGTATTCTGGCATGTTTTGAAGGTGGATCAACTATGGACAGAGCCGAGCCATACTCGGTCTCCCGTTTTCTTTTCATTTGATCCCGTTTTAAGGTGTCACATTGTGTGGCCTGTATATTTACAGCAGGTAGATTTTTCTCATGTCCTTGATGAGGTGTAGATGGTTTCTTTTCAGCCTGGGTGGTCGGTTCGGATACGGGTGCAATCACAATTCCAGCGGGAACAGTACGTTCGTAGGTTCTTTTATCTAACGGTTTCAGGTCTTGTATGCCTGTCTCTTCACGGCGTTTCTTCGTTTTCAGCTGGGTAGCGGAAATCGTAGCGGGGAATTCTGCTGGAGATGGAGTAATAACATGGGTTTGGTATTCTGTGTCGGAAACTTCGTTTAAATTTTCCAATTGGCCGACAGGCTTAAGCTCCCCGGGCACATAACGGGCATAGAACAAGGCAGCCATGGCCAGGTCAAGAGGGGTTATGCAGCCGAAGGAGTCTCAATAATTTTTGTCTTCTGCATTGCTGGCAGAATCACTCGCCGCCCTAGTTAACTAACTAGTTAGTTAGTTAACTAGTTAAGTTAATCTAGCTCGTTAACTAGTTAGTTAAATGTTAACTGAAGGTACTAAGTTAATCCTGAGAACGACATCAATTCACAGGCATACGCTCTTCCTACTCATACTCTGTTTTGCGGGTGGATAGCACTGAAACCAGTCCTAGCAATTTGTGCGTAGTTTTTATACTGTGCCGATTTCGGGGTGAGTCATGAGTGCCGCGTCTCTACGTCAGAGCATTTTACAGGATGCCTTACAATATTGCGTGAGTGACGACGCCCTACGTCGGATTGTTGAGAGGGAGAGAGAGGGAAAGACGACGATAGATTCTAATCATTGATACAGAATGATAAGTGACTTCTTTTTCCCACAGCCTGGTGCGGAAAACTTCGAGAGGGTGGCATAAGCCCGTGCTGATCTTATCGCGACAGGGGGAGTCGAAAGTCACATATATCAACTGTCCACGGTACAGATACCTTCTGTCGTCCTTCAAATGCAGAACTAAGCTTACATAGCTGATAGAAACTGATTGACAGGGGCCACAAAGTTATTATTGTAACGCATGCATATCAAGGCCGAACCGGCGTGCGTTACCTGACCAATGGCCTCAAGGTTTATCATGTCCCCTTTTTTGTCATCTATCGCGAGTCCGCCATGCCTACCGTCTTTTCTTTTTTCCCGATATTCCGTAACATTGTCATTCGGGAACGGATCGAGATAGTACATGGACATGCCAGTTTGAGCTGCTTCTGTCACGAGGCGATTTTACACGCAAGGACCATGGGGCTGCGAACCGTCTTCACGGATCATTCCCTGTTTGGATTTGCGGAAGCTAGCTCTATTCTTACGAATAAATTACTTAAATTCACCTTAAGTGATGTCGACCATGTGATATGTGTCAGTCATACATGGTAGGTATAAGTAGTCTTTCGGATCACAGCTGCTAATTTCTTGTAGCAAGGAGAACACGGTACTCAGGGCATCATTGGATCCATTGATGGTCTCCGTTATTCCAAATGCTTTGGTGCCAGAGAACTTTCGGCCATTGAATTACGCTGAGCCTCACCATCAGAAAGAAGAGCTCGTATCCAAATCTCCATCACAAAGTCTGGGACACGATGATACGATCACGATTGTCGTTATATCACGTCTCTTCTACAATAAAGGGACAGATCTTCTTATTGCGGCAATCCCGAGAATTCTCGAAGTCCACCCCAATGTTAGGTTTATTATTGCGGGGAGCGGGCCTAAAGCTATTGACCTTGAGCAGATGCTGGAAAGAAATGTGCTACAGGACAAGGTGCAACTCTTGGGCCCAATCAGGCATGAGGAGGTGCGCGATGTAATGGTTAGAGGGCATATTTACCTCCATCCCAGCTTAACCGAGGCATTTGGTACGGTTATAGTTGAGGCCGCCAGCTGTGGTCTATATGTGGTGTGTACGCGAGTGGGAGGAATTCCGGAAGTGTTACCACAGCATATGACCACATTTGCTAAACCGGAAGAGGACGATCTTGTCCAGGCGACGGGCAGAGCCATCGCCGCATTGAGGTCAAACAAAATCCGCACAGACAGGTTTCATGATCAAGTTCGGATGATGTACTCCTGGACAGACGTGGCTCGGCGGACAGAACGCGTGTATCATGGTATATGCGGTGCTATTAGTGAAGAGGAGTTTTATGGATACCTTCCGGGAGAAAGCTGGACAGGCGCAAGAGCTAGGGAGCATAGCTTTGCGCTTATCGATCGGCTCAAGCGATACTATGGCTGCGGAATCTGGGCAGGAAAGCTATTCTGTCTTTGTGCCCTGATAGACTTCCTGCTTTATGTTTTCCTTGAGCTTTGGATGCCGCGTAGGAATATTGATATTGCTCGAGATTGGCCGAAGAAGTTGGTGTATCGAAGTAGCCATCGCGATGAAGCTAGGGGCCACCTCTCAAATGTAACTAATCGTCCCTGGGACAGCACCGACAGGAAATTGTCGCGTTTTGGGTATTCGGGGAACAATCGAGTCACCGAAACCCCAGGTGATGAAAATGAAGTTGCCAGCTGCGTTGGCAGATGACGGAATTATCGGGGTTGATAGATATAAAAACAACCAGAATTATTGCCACAAGCAAGCGTCAGAAAAATTGTATGTAGATATGCATGTATGTACACATGCTGGAGCTGATGTCGAAGGCTGTCGATACGCGACTGGATGGATACTATGGTGTAACCAGAAGTAAGCCGGGTATAATATCGCATAGACAGCTTGAATTATCTTAATATCGGAGGCCTCGTCTCTTTATTCCATGTCACGCGGCTACGGACCCATTCCACAGCTTCTCGAACGCCAGTGCCCATGAGAGCACTAACGGGTAATACTCGACTGTCCCGAACACCACCACCTTCCTCACCTTCTATTACTTTGCGCACAAACCCTTCTTTGATGCGGACTACTTCAACACAATCTTCACGGTCCTGCTTATTCGCTAACACTAGAACAGGGACACCAACAGCGTCGGAATGGCGAAGAACTGACTCAAGCACCTGCCGACACTCGTCCAGCCTGCCGAAATTGCTTGACGGGTCTATGGGCTTTAGCGAGAGATGAGCCGAATCCTCAGGCTGGGGAATTAGCCGTGATGTAGTAGGTGGTTCCGAGTCCATAACGCTAGAGGAACTCAAGCGCGATACGTCTGCGTCGTCGCCGACGTCGGTGCTATCAACGACAAATATGACGGCATGACAGCTAGCGTAATAGCTCTGCCACAGGCCACGCATGGAAATTTGGCCGCCAACGTCCCATATTTTCAGGTACATGTCTTGTAAGGGAATGGTTGCCACATTTTGCCCGACGGTAGGCACAGTGCGGCCGACGTCCGACTTGCGCGCGTCGTCGTGGTGTAGGGGGCTCGAAGGCAGGTAGAGGGCCTTGATCTGGTTGAGAAGCGTTGTTTTGCCGGCATTATCTAGGCCGAGAAGAAGCACGGAGAACTCTCGTTGCGGTCAGCGGAGGCGCTGGGCGGAAAGGGATGCTGATGATGGGCTCACCCTCTTTGCTGGTGGCGTAGAAATACAGTGATTTGGCGAGATGATACATGGTTCATGCGCCCAGCACGGTCGTCAGTCCGCTCGGGGAGGCTGGCTGGCCGATAGCGCGCGATGGTCCCTGCGACTGTGCGCGTCGCAGGAGCGGAGGACGCTGGAGGTGGAGGAGCTGGTGGTGGGTGTCAGCCAGTCGAGCCGAATTTGTCAGCCCGCGGCATTAGAAATCATCGCCAGCTTCCCGCCCAAGCGAAACGACCAACCCCGCCGTGTCCCAACCCTCCCGGCGTTTCGCGCAGACCCAACCGGCGATGCGGATTCTCTCCCTCTACGACTCCCAGACGCTCTCTGCTGGTCGTCTGCGTCGTTGATTGCAGCGGCGCCGAGCACCAAACTGCACAGGCGCGGGAATAAACAGAGACCGGCCTGCCCGAAACTTCCCTTCTCTTCTCTCTCTCTTTTTTTTCTTGGCGGGCACAATGGGCCATCTGAGCTGCTACGGGCGCTTGTAGTCCATAGCTGCAGCAATGCCTGACCCGTCGTCTATCGACGTCGTGGTTGTTGGTTTGTGATCTCGCGGCCCTGCTGCTAGCGCCTCCAGCTAACAATCCCTCCTGTGCAGGGAATGGCCCCTCTGCGCTGATTCTCTCCTATATACTCCACGGGAACATTCCCTTCTACGACCCGCAGACCCCTCATCCAGACCCCATTCTCCATGAGAAGCTGGTGAATGCTCCGGATCTCTTGGACTTGGACATCCCTGCCTTGACGAATCATTTTGAGGCTTCTCGATTCTCATATTCGACACAAGCTCTGCCCGTAAATGCCCTTCTGGACGCCATTGTGCGTCCAAACGCAGATATAGATGATACGGGCCAGTATTCTTGCATTCAGTGGCGCCGTCTCCCAGAAAAAGCAGTGCCTCACCTTGTGCTTGGTAATGCATTAGAACCCGGGGGGCAATGGACAGAATGCCCTAAAGGCACAACCTGGGATATCCAGTCACTCAGCTATGCCGGCATGTTGTCTCTCCCTGGCTATAGTTTCCAGACCCATCATAGAAAGCTCTATGGGTCAACCCCCCTTGCGTTCACGCGGCCATCCAGGTGCGAGATAGCTGGGTATTTTGCAGCGTATCCGCCAGCTGTCGGAATATCGGAGGCTATTAAGTCTTCAGAAACTGTTGCAAATATATCTCGCACTGATGAAGGCTTTTACATTGCATCGCACAACCTAATATGCAAATCTCTCGTTTTGGCCTCTGGTATATTTGCTGAAGTGAAGCCAGCCCGGCCACTTTTGCAACCACTATTGAACAAGATCATCGCCCCCTTGGAGATGAAAGATGACGATAGGCCTCTGCTAATTGTCGGCTCCGGGTTTTCTGCCGCGGATATCATTATATCAGCCCCCGCGCATCGGAGAATGATTCATATTTTCAAATGGGCACCGGACGAAAGGCCTTCACCTCTAAAAAGCTGTCATCAACAGGCATATCCAGAATATGCGGGCATATACCGATTAATGAAGCGGTGTGCTTCTCTTCCTCCAGGCGGCTCAACAGACCCCAAACTACCCTTTCGCCCCTCGACTCTAAGCCCTTTCTTGAAGAGTAGGGACTGGGGGGATGTCTACGAAGGTTTACCCAATACATTAATCACCGATGTAGTAATAGATGACCATGGTGCACTTGTTACGCTAAAACGCGATGATGGTACCATCCTTCGGCGCCATGTTTCTGACCTTGCATACGCCGTCGGCCGACAAGGCTCACTGGACTATATGGACCAACCTTTAAGGGCAGAAATTCTTCCCAGCAATACCAACGCGGCTGATACTGGTTTGATATCTGCTTCAACCCTACGCGAAGCAGCTCTTTGTGACTTAGAACTTGCTCCGCGGGTTTATATAATCGGCAGCTTGACCGGAGATTCGCTTATACGTTTTTCGTACGGAGGATGCGTTTATGTAGCGGGAAAAATTATTCGGGATACTTTTAATGAGAAGGAGACTGTTGAATATCAAGCCGGTTGGCACCATCGCAAGCGCGCCGTCACAACGAATGGGTTTCAAAGGGAGTGCAGAATAAGCGAGCCAGGACAGAATCACAACCGGGCCCAAGAGGCGAAGGGGAATGCTTCGCAATCGGGATTCATATGGGCGAAGGGAAGGCTTTTGTGGGATATGCTTTTCTGGTGGTCGAGGTAGCCCTCATTGGAGGGCACACATACTTCGCTGTTCTGTAAATAGCCACTATATATGTACCGAGTATTCCGAAGCAGTCAAGTAGTTCGTTGCGACACAGCTTATTACTAGAAAACATCTTGACTAGATAGTAAGTGAATCAGCCCTGTTGTGTATAGAAGAGCGCCTCCTGGGACATTTATGTAGTACGGAGTGTATTCAGCAAATAACTGGTTAGTGGATGTCCTGGTTTTGCGATCGCCGAGCCCACACTTGTCGGGAGCCATTTCGCACCCAACGCGCATAAGTAACTAACTAACTCGCTAGCAAATGAGGCGTCGTTCCGCCAACAAGCAGTGAACTCACCCTCTTCACCAGCTCTTCAACTCTTCTAGATACCTAGACTTTCACTTTGCCTCTGACTCTCTGCAATCCCAGGCTCCGCCGCGGCCGCCGACCGATGGCCGCAAATATCGAAGGCGGCGCGTCGAAGCTTGACCGTGAGACTACTACGCCATTCCACCTGAAGCTATTTTACCGCCAGAGTTCTTTTAATCATCTTTCCGACTTCCATATATCTTCGCCCGGCACCCCAGCATCATCTACATCTTCTCCTCCGTTGCCACCGCATCTACAGATCTATACATGGTACTCGTGCACCTTGCGTGAGCTTGCTCACCTCCTCACCTCATGTCTTCCGTCACTACTTCCGGACCCAGCTGTTGGAACACGTCTTAGTTTTCGCCTAATATATCCCGATACAAAGAACCAGCCTGGCGGCCCCAACGCGTCAAACGATGCAGTGCGAGGGAGGTATCTTAGCAAGGACATGGGGAGTATTGTTATCAGCCCTCGAGCAGATAGCGAAAGCAGAGAACACAGCTTATCCGCTACCTTGGCCGGCCCAAATATTGATTTAAGTGGCGAAGACGCCGATCGAACACTACAAGATGCCCGTTTTATCATCGGCGACTATATTGAATGTGCGATTTTACCGCCACTTCAAGATGGATCCGTGGCTCCCAATGTCACGCCCAGGGGAGCCTCTGGTGCCTTTGCTATTGGTAGCGGCATGCGCGCTTTTCCACCCGTGCGAGAGAATGGATTTGGGCGGCCGAGACACGGGGGAGGAGGTTCCGGGAGAGGTGCCATCACCGCCCCAGCAGTTCCAAGTGGTGAATGGAGAAGGGGAGAGCGCATACCTGATGAGGGAGGGAGAATCTATGGCCGAGGAAATCATCGACCGCGGGGGAGGCCGTACTGACACTACATGGCCATCGTTCGAACACCCCGCTGCTTCTCAGAGGGTTCCTTGAAAGAAGAATTAAATTTCTTTGGGTTATAACTACAATTGGGGCGCGTAGGGATAGTGCGCCAATCTGATATGATTCCTTTGAAGAAATGATATGAAAGTATGCCAATGGCCTCATTCCCACGGAGGGTTGTAGTAACGTAAAACAAAGACTCAGGGGAAGACCCGATATCAAAATAACCAGCGTATTTAGAAGAGTGTTTCGTAAATTTGCAAATATGGGCCCCGTGTAATCGCTACTATTGCTGGGAGACTGGTTGCGGTTGTGATATTGGTCATTTGGAGTGTTTTGGCGTAGGGGCTAGTAGTCTACCATTCCGCAATCGTGTCACCCCTTCGTTTGCCTCTTAGTTCATATTTACCCTAACAGCACAAACAGTATTGATTAGTACTCTTCCTGCCTCTTTTTGCTTGGAAATGGCTGATGATGGAGAAGGAGACAACTGACCTCCGTCTTGTAGCCAATCCAACCAATAGCTCCTGGAATCAAGGCCATGAAACAAAATGATATCCAAGCTGTGCGAGGAGTCCACCTGAAGTGCTTGTATCTATTCTTGTTTGCATCTGTACGAACTGGGCCTTAGTAACCATGATATGGTGAAAGAGGGCATAGCGGGAAAATCGCACCGTAGTATTTTTGGAGTGCAGGATCCAGGTGAAGATCTATGGCAACGTTAGCGATCAGACACGCTAATTGATTAGGCAACATACTTGACGGGCCAGCCATTTTTGCTGTCAGGGTGTTCTTGATCGTAGCCAGTCTTCGGGTCGATGTTTGACCGTGATGTCGACGAGTTGGGCGCTTGGCGCTGAGTCAACATAGAGTTTAACTTCATAAGAACGCGAGGATCATGACTGAGCGCAGCCAAGTATTATTTAGAGCTTTGAGACGGGACGTGGCGGATAAAGTCCAGTAATTGGCCGCCTACTAAACTAACGGCCGTAACACCTAAGTTCGCCCGACCCCGGTCCGGCCGCCAGCTGAGCCTGTGTGAATAATCAGCCGCAGGATTAACATGATGTTGCTATTTATGAAGGATTGACCTCGGCCCTACAGAGTACAATGATTTCCCTTATGCCTTCTCTGTTCAAGGATATCTTAGATTAACATATTTGAAATCCCATATTGTTGCTACTATGTCGCCCTCACAAGAAGCAAAAGTAGCTGTTTACTGGTGAATGAGTGTTCCCCACCCTGTGCCAATTCGCCGGTTCTAACCATCTTATTTTCTATGATAGGCTTGAGCACTCCCGTGCCCAGCGAATTGTGTGGCTTTTGGAGGAACTGAAGCTTTCCTACGAACTGCATATCTTCAAGCGTCAAAAGAATATGCAGGCAGATCCGAAACTAAAAGAAATCCATGCCTTAGGAAAGTCGCCAGTAGTTATAGTTGAAAAGGAGGGCGCTCCGCAGCCACTGGTATTGGCCGAATCGGGGTTCATCGTGGAATATCTCATTGAAAATTTTGGGGACAGTGCCACGATCCAAAGCTACGAGCCGTCCAAATCAGATCAACAAGAGTCAGAGTCTTGGAGGAAACAGCGATATTTTATGCATTATGTCGAAGGCAGCTTTATGCCGTTTCTTCATATCGAGGCAGTTGTTAGCAGTGCGTGCTCTTGACACTATGCCCCTGGCTGCGAGTAGCGTTTGTTGCTAATCAACTTGCAGACATCCGCAACGCCCCAGTACCTTTCTTTATCAAACCTGTGACAAAAATGATCTCTGACAGGGTCCACCAGGGCTACCTTGATCATAACTTGCAAACTCACTTACGTTTCTTGGAAACTGAAATCGGAGAGAACCAATACCTCTGCGGCGACAAGCTCTCTGGGCCCGATTTTCTAATCCTCTATCCACTGCAGGTTCTGGACGTAACCGGTCTTCTAAACAAGAAGGATTATCCGAATTTGATGGACTATCTTCTGCGCTTGCAAAACCGTGACGCATATCAAAGAGCTGTCGCCAAAATTGAAACGGCGGGAGCCAGCGTTGGGCCATTGCCAAGAATGTGACAGCGCCACGTTCCCCGATATATCCCTACCTGTACATAATATTTTGTTTCTTGGAGAATATCAAATACCTCTGTAGCTACTATCTGACACATTTGCATCCCGCGTGTATTCCAATCTGTCCGTTGTTACCTAGTTAAATCGCTGACTAAGCAACACAACTTTTGACAATCTATCGAGTTGATATATATCTTAACCTAGTCAACCACAAATACCAGGTGTATGCAATAGTAGGGCTTGGATGCCTCGCGAATTTTCCTCGCAACTTTCAATATTCTAAAGGACTACGTAGCTCACCCAGGGCTCCTACAATAACATTCGGTGTCGGGAGAGCACTCTCCGACACTTTCATCTTCTGTTTGTTAACTATTCTGATACCAACTGGGATATCGAAGCCTTAAACTGCTTCGTCTAGTTAAGACTAGAAGTATCAAAGAATAACAAACAAAGATGTCTATATCTGCGTCATCAAGTTACCCAGCCCATACCCAGGGCTCCCCTACCCCTCTCCCGCCCGAGAAGGTTTTTCCGATTCAAATTGGATCCGAGCTGTTCAGGCTCTCAGGCGCTTCTATAGCATCGGATGGTTGGTCACTCCTGTAGTAGCTGATTCATATCATGCTGACAGTTGAAGAGCACCCTCCTACTTCTCTCAGTTTTTTGAAGAACAATTGAGGCAAAATGGAGAAAATTCCACAGTCAGAACGCTCTATATAGACCGGGATCCAGACACATTTCGCGACATTTTGAAGCATCTGCAAGGTACCAACCCATCGATTTCCGAATGCAGAAACGAAAAGTCTTGCTAATCCAACTTCTTAGGATATTATATTCGACCGCGAGACAATTCGCACTTCGTTAAGCTTTTTGCGGATGCTCAATTTTATAGTTGTAGGTTCTTCTGGGAAATGGGCCCTCATGTCTTCAAATAACCTGACCGCAGTATCAGTGCCGCGCCTTATTTCGCAGCTCTTTGAGTGTGAAATCTTTATTCAAATTGGGGATCGACATTTTCAGATTCCTCGCGATATATTTTCAAATCCCGGTGATTCTCCAAATTTCTTCTCTTTAGGATTTGCCGTATTTTTTGCCACTCCGGGTGAGGTATTTCCAGGATTGGAACGCCAGGGCCTGCTTCGCCCACCCGCAATCACGCCCCCTATTGTAAGCAACCGTTCAGGCGAAGTATTCGCAGAGCTTCTTCATATGCTTCGCGGATACCCGATTCAAATACGAAACGAACAGCATCGAGTCGAACTTTTGCGCGATTGTCGATATTTCCACCTTCGCGGACTCGAACAGAAGCTGATTCCGCACGAAATAAGCTACAACCTTAAACACGACCGCTCAGAGATTTTGATTAGATTGGAGGATATTCGCCCATCTGGTATTCAGTTAGCTTTCGATGGTTCTTCCCCGAGTTTGTCCGGCGATTCTGGCGGTTGGGTACAGTATGCCCGACCGTTTGTGGATGATGATCACTACGAACTCATTGTCGAAATTGGCGGGGAAAACACTCGGGTAGACTTGGAATCGAAGCGGGCGGAGTTCTATGGGACTACGAAGACCAGGGTATCAAGCCTTTTGCAACTAATTTCCAGTAAAACTACTATTCCCCGAAAGACCTCTGAACAGTTGCAAAACGGAGGCAGTATTAACAGTCCATCGACTACCCCACGGGGCTCCCCGATGTTTTCAGGGGGCGTTACGATACTAATCGATCCGGATGCAGATATTATAGTGGATGGTGAAAGATGTGACTCACACGATAGGCCCATTACAGGCGGGACTGGTGCATGCGGGCCATATGATGAATCACTTTGGGCCACAGATTTTGATGAGACCAATTGCGGAACATTTCCCAACCTTGGGGTACTTCCAAGCGACCCAGATTTGACGCCGCAATCATTCCAACGAGAAATCAAGACCGGGCAACCTATATTTCGTCCGGGATCGGAGCGGGAACGTCCTCAGTCACCAATTGGACATCCACAACTAAGGCACGCCCAATTTGGGCGTCCCTCCCGAAAGCGAAAACGAGGCGAAAGTGAGGGCGGCCGTCATACCTGGATTGTGCGTAAGGGACAGTGGAGGCTGTCACTCCAAGGGAGCAGTGAGGCCGGAGCGGGTGGGGTGGAGGTGGTGTTTGTCGCCGTGAAGCTGGATGTGTACGCGCAGCAAAAGTCGCGCAACAGGCGGCGGGGATTCCTGGACTCGACGGGCTCTTGATGGCAGGACCCATTTCGTCATTGAGGGGATGGATGGTGTACGTACCCTACAGTACATATCTATGGATACACCCATTCCAGACGCTGTATGCATGTACCGCCGTGCGGGATTACCGCTGGGCGGTACTTCCCGTTTTGCCTGACCGCTCTCCGGCCGGGCGGCCCAACCGGGCCAATCACCGCGCGACAGCCGTGCGCGTTAAGTAAGCCGGGGCCCCGGCGGGTTCCGCCCGAGCCAATCAAGCGCTGCACATTCCACACCGTTACATCCCCAGCGCCAAGGCCGCGCCCCCCGTTTCTGCTGCGAACTTTCTTTTCCGCCTCGCCGCCTCGCTGCCCTCGCCCACAACCTCTCGCACTTCCCGCCATCCACTGTCCATCGCCAGCGTCGCCCGTGCTGCTTGCCGGTCCAGCTCAATTGGCTCTGCTACTCTCTCTCTTGTGCTGTCGTTGACGGCCCTATCATTCTTCTCGTGTACGCGCCCCGACAAGCAGTCGACCCCGATCTCTAGACTCTGGGCAGCCCGCATTTCCCGCCCCGGCCCCAAGATGTACTTTTCAAATCCCCACGCTTCGCTGCCTGGACCTATACCCCCCCATGGCAACCCGTCCCCAGCGCACTCGGCCTCTGCTACCCCCGCAAACAACTCTCCCACCTCTCCTCGCCTTCAAAACTCCCAGCTTCACCATGTTCAGTCGCAGTCGAGGCAGCTTCGCCCTTTGAAAAGCCCACTGTACGTGCCTGCGGTTCTACGCCCTACTGGACGGCCTGCCAAATTCTCTCCGTTAACACCTCCCCGGAGCGTTCATGATGTGTCAGATGACATTAATAATACTGGTGTTCCTCCCCTGCTCTCCCGCACATCGACCATCGATAGTGTTCGCAGTCAGTTTAGCAAGATAGCCGAAGATGAATGGTTGAAATTTCAAAATCTTGGGATGGTCACAGGCTCGCCCACGAGAGAACACTGGAAGGTAACTTCTTGGCCTACTTTCCTTCTTTCGTCTCCTTATATCACTATATGTCTAATTCGGGGTATTTATTTAGGCCGATTCTGCGTCTCCATCGTGTGACTCTCCCGTTTGCAGGTCTTTTTTTGGGTTATTCAATCGCCGTCATCACTGTCGGCATTGCGGCCATGTCTTTTGTTCTTCGCATACCCCTTACCTCGTTCTCCTTGATCAGAATGCGCAGTTCCATCCTGGCGGCATTCCGTCTCGCGCGTGCGACCTCTGCTGGAGTGAATACTGCCGTTGGGACCAGTCACGCATTGATCAGCTGAACCAAATACAACACGATCTAGCCTCTCAACTCGAGCAGAAACGGAATGACGGAGCTATATCAACTACAGTCAAGGACACAGACTCCGACAGGGCCAGCGTAAGCGATGCAAGCTTCATCTCGCCAGCCGTGGGCCACCAAGATACCGTTATGGCAACCAGTGTGCCCAAAGATTGGAGCTGGAGCACATTTTAATGAAAGATCTTGTTTTACTCGAGTTCATTTCCTTCTACGATGATACCCTTTTTTTTTTTTTTTTTTTTTTTTTTTTTGCTGTTTTGTATTTGTCCCACTACCCTACGTTACTCTTCAGCTCATGTGGCATGATCATGAAATAGCGCCTCATTAACCATCATACCGATTTTGACCATCATAGACTTTGTTCCATTAAATGCAAACTTCTTTTTATCGGGTGTTTTTTTTAACTTCTCTTTCGTTCATTTTTACATTTTCCCCCTGTGTCAGTAAAACATTAGCATAGCCATGAACGCAAAATACAGGGCCAACTTAGTAGGATGAGGTTAGCCACTGAGTGATACCGTGATGATTACAATTTAACATAGGAATGATAATACTGCTATTGTCTAGATCCTCATCAGCTATTTACCAACGGAACTTTGGGAAGGGTGTATGGTGTAGTTGGCAACGTCTGAGAAAATATTGTGCATCTTGTTCTGATTTTCTACAGATTCTTGTCATGTTGAGATATATCAGGAATAGAGTGATGGGATGCCAGATATCAAGGATAACACATGCTGTAACTAAGCCAAATGAGGGAGAGTGGCCCTTCATAGTCTAAGACTGCATAAGAACATATAAAAAATAATAAGTTCACACACACACCAATGGGACTTTTGATGTACATCTAGTCTTTATCCAACATGGATAATCTATGAGATATAGGGTGGTATGCTCCATAGATGTAATTGTATAGAAATACGGCTGTGGCGCGTCCCCATTACATCCTCGATAGAGTATTAATCACAATACTCGTTAGAGAGTGGCACGCTACGGCCGGTGAAAGAAGAGGCTAGGTCAGTAAAGTCGCGTTTAGCAGGCCGAGTCCAGTTTCTGCCTTCCCAGTTGGCTTCGTTGGGCTTTTCGCCAGATGTCTGCAGGCGCTTTGCTACCTGTTCAACTTCAGCCCAGACTCGAAGGATATTATCTCCGATAAGCCCTCGGACTTGCTCCGTCGTCGCACCCTTTTGGAGAACACGGGTGATGAGGGCAGGGTACGTTGAAACATCCTGTTTGGGAGGAGTTAGTTTGGAAAGCAAGCATTAAACTTGGTTTGATTTAGTCGCACCTCAAGGCCCTTTGGCAGGCTCGGAATTCCATCGTAGTCGCCACCAATGCCAACATGGTTCCACCCAGCTACCTTCGCAATATAGAAGATGTGATTTACAACATCGTCGATGCTGGTGGAGTTGGGAGCATCCACATTGAGGAAAGAAGGCACAAAGGTTACCATGACCACGCCATTGTTTTTGGCGACGGACACCAATACATCATCGGGGACGTTTCGCAGGTGTTTGGAAAGACCATAGGCGGATGAGTGAGAAAAGATGACAGGTGCTTTTGTGACGCTCAAGGTGTCTCTCATAGTGTTGTGAGAAACATGGGAGAGGTCGACCAGCATACCCAGTCGATTCATCTCCTTAATGAATTCAAAGCCAAACGGTTTCATCAAACCGACGTCAGGTAGGCCAGCGCCGACCGTTGACTGAGCCGTAGCAAACGCATTGTCGCAGTTGTGGGTGACGGTGATATAGCGGACACCCAGCTCAAACACGCGGCGGAGATCGGCCAGAGAATTCCCGACTTGGTGGCCGCCCTTAAAGGTTGATGAGCGTCTCGCGCGAAGGTGAGAGAGGAAAGAAAGGTACAAACCTCAATGCCGAGGAAGCTGGCAATTTTCCCCTTGGAGAAGGCGTGGGTAGCGCATCTTGCATTATCGCAAAACTGCAGATCGCCCGAGTACTTCTCAATGAGTCGCTTGGTCACGTCGATTTGCTCGAGAGTGTCTCTGACGGACCACTGTGATATAGGTCAGCGTTCTGTTTTGAGACACGCCGCGGGAATGGATATATACCGTAGGCTCATCAATGGGAACCAAGGGGTTCGGGCATGGCGTATACACGCTCCAAAACTGGCCGCCCAACATGCCCTGACGGAGGCGCTTCAGGTCAGTGTGACCCGACAGGCCAGTCTCGAAGGGTAGTTTGCCATCGTAGATCTGGTTCTTGGTAGACTTGCGGATGAAGTACGGGAGGTCGTTGTGGCCGTCGATGAGCGGCGTGGTCCTCAAAATCCACTCCGCCCGCTTGCGATAGTCGTCATGGGACGTGGCCGGGCTGGCGGCAGCGGGCGAGGCCAGCGCCGGGGCCAGCAACAGGGTAGCCAGGGCAGCCCCGGCACGCCAGCGCCAGGCGCAATGCTGTTCAGCGCGGTGGGACATGGCGAAAAGGTTGGCAGGCGAGGCACGAGGAGAGGAGTCGGCGGCCACTCAGTGGGTTGTCGAGTAGCGGAGCAGCACACGACGCGCCAGCCGCTGGACCGCCAGCGAGAGCCAGTGTATATATACACCAGGCAGGCAGGTGGGCATCAGGGATGGTGCTCGTTGGGCATCCTGTCCCCCGCATCCAGCAACCATGACTGCGCCCTTGGCGGGCAGGGAAGGCTGCGCGCGAGCGGCACGAGGATGGTGAACGGCTGGTGCGCATCGGGCGTGCGATGATTAGGACGGACTAGCGGAGAGGGAGAGATACGATGTACCACGAAGCGGACAGAGAGACGGACAGGCCGGGAGGGGGAGAGTGGGCGAAGACAGACCGGCGGACGGACGCAGCAAAGAGATGGAGGCATCACAACAAACACCAAGCTAGGAGATAGTTAGTTAGTTACCTAGTTAGTTGGTGAACTAAGGTTAGTTAAACTAACCAGCCATCCACGCCGATAATAAGCATTCAACGCCCGTGGATCACCGCCCTGGGCATGTTACATCCATGCCGTCGCAGCGCAATGACAGCGTGAGGAGCATAGGCTCGATCGAGGACGCGTCTATTCTCCCGCCCGCCCGCCCTAATTAAACTCGAGAGAAACAAACACGCACAACCACGACTACACTCCGCGCCCGCTCCCACTCTGGCACGCGCCACAGCGACAACAGCAGCTACGAAGGCACGGCTTGGGGATACGGGTCTGCTCAAAGGCAGCGGATCCCCGCCATGCGACCCGAGACTTAATCTCGGGGTGCATCTTTGACATGCTCGATCCTTGCGCGCGCGCCTCCAAGAAATGCCACGGCTCGGAGGAGCAGCCAACAGGGTGACCGGAACAATGATACTGTTTACTCCGTAAGGACTATTGTCATTATTATTATTATTATCCTTACCCGCCGTTCACTGCGTCAGCCGTCGACAACAATCGGCCGTGGCTGGTCACCACCCTGACTTCCCTGCCCGCACGCCCGAACAGAGTCGCATCTCCCATCTAATCGAGGGCTGGGCTGGGGGCGGAATAGATGGCTTTACTCTTGGACAGCCTGGGCGACCGGAAGTTTGGGTACTCTGCAATATCGAATAACCAGACCTGAGGTCGAGAATTGCCCTTATTTTATTACCCTGGGGCAGTTAGTTGTTTAGGGTCAAGGGGTTAGGGAGGAGAGAGAGAAGGAGAAGCAGGCAACTACGTGGACGGAAGTAGGGATCGTAAGAGCAAGGCGGAAGGGCGCTGCGTGTCATGGCCAACCAGCTCATTGCTGCCATGGTTGGGAAATGCTACCTTTGCATCGGCCATGGCGTCCAACTGACAACAGCCAGCTCGGGCTCATCTTTCATTATCATTGGTGCCGTTATCACACAGAATTTCAGCTTCAATGCTCAACATTCAAATGCCAATGCATGATTGGTACGACACATAGCAACAAACAGAAAACATGTCAGTCTTGCTAGAATGTGAAATACTTATTTCGATCAATCTGAACCTTAAATATATGCCAAGGATATATGCCCTTTGAGACTGAATAATGCTGTGGGTAAAAGCTGCCAGGCAAAAAGCGTATATGGATAAGCATGGCATAACATTTCAAAACTGATTAATTATTGGTAGCTGGTGGCTGTATCAATGGACCTCCATTTCTATCTGGTTTACTGCTGGACTTCCACCTTCTGAGAAGGAGATCATTCCCAAGACACAACACTTCTATTGGCTTTCAATGCTTCTGTTCTCTTTTGAATACCCAATTTGCTGTACAGGGGCGCTCCATTACAGTATTGGCCTACAAGAAGTGGTGTGGCAGGCGGCATATCCGGTAGTGCAAAGAAGACATTTCCTTTTTCTATTAATGCACAGTTTTGCATTTTGGTCCGGATCTGAACCCAGTTATCCAGGTGATTACGATATAGGCTAAGATCGTTGTCGAGCTGCGCCTTTGCCGGCCACTCTTTCAACGCCAACACTCTTCCTGCGTCCTGTTCTTCGAATGGCACGCGGCGAAAGCTGTTGTCTTGCGTGATGATTTCGTAGAGAGTAAAAATCACTCCTGAGATATCGTTACGTTTGGGATCTTCCATCCGACATATTGGGGCCGACCGATCAAAGTCGAAAAGAATGACTTTATTTGTTTCTGGGTCAACGGCGATATTGCGGGGGGCAACATCTTGATGCAGGATGCCTAAGTCGAGGTTCAAGTAGTCAACAACGTCAGTGAGTTGCTTCAGCCATTCCAAACGGAAGACTCGACTTGTATTTGTTTCAAGGGTTCCACCAGCAATGTATGGTATTGTAAAACCAAGGATTCGAGCTTCGGCATCGTCCAAAACAACGCGATCGAAAGAAATTAGGTGAGGATGTTTAGGTAAATTCTTAATAGATTGAAGATCGCTCCAAACATTGGTAGATGATGTGATATTTGAATACCACCTCCTTGCTGATACCAGACTCGTCGATGTAGCTGACCAAATCCACTTCGGGCCCAAGACGATCTAATTCGATAAGTTTCGACCGATTGATAACCAAAGAATCATGCAGCGAAGTAGGCTGGGAATAGGGAGGGTAATATATTGCCATGGTATCATCATCTTCAGGATCTGATGACACCGAGACAAGCTTCCCTTGATTGTCGACAGTAATGGAGCAAACATCCAGGCTAAGCTTATCAATATACTTTGTCAAAATATCAATTTCAATGCCTTCCTCAGGTGGCATAAGTGAAAGGGGGTCTTCAACTCGGTAACATCGACGCTGGTCCCAATCGATGATACAGCTGATGCTTTTCTTTCTCTAGAAGTCAGTCTCATTAAATTCTTTTCTGTTTACTGTATCTGCTTCTGCTTCTGCTTCTGCTCCCCCAGCCCCTGCTCTGACTGTTAACTTGTCAGCCAGAACATCAGTTACTATGAGTCATCTTTCATTTTTAATTTCAGATCAGAATTCATCTGATTGTGAGAGATGACTTCTTGCTTTTTCTCTTCTTTAATCTGCAACTCTTACTGATCCAACAGACTCTGTTTGACTGAGAGATAGAGCCCAGCTTCAGAAAGAAGTTCTGATCATCATGACAGATAATTATTCTCAGCAGTCATGTACAGCATGCTGAAGTAACTTAAATTTTTCATTGAAACAGTGTGTCACAAGTCTTCTTGATAGAGACAGATGTAATAACTGTGTCTATCAGACACACAAAACTTATTCTTTCAATTCTTAGAATTGTTCTCTTGTTTTCTTTCTTTTGTTACTGCAGGCTTTGGCCACTAATAGTCTAGTTCTTTCTTTTATTTTAGAGTAAATTTACTACTTCTGCTTCATGAACCACTTCTTGACAGTTGTAAATGCTTTTACAGACTGAATTTTCTTCTAAATTAATTCATTACTTAAATCACTGTTCTTCTGCTTCATAAATCATTTTCTAACTGCTTCATAAATGACTTTACAAATCTAACAAGATCTCTCTAAGTGCACATTCTCAGAATATGACATAGATCAGACTTGTCTGAATATTTTCTATGAAACTTAAACAGCTTTTTATCTAGATGCCTCACATTCTTTGAAGACTCTTAAGTTCTTTCCTCATATCTCTGTCACCACACAAGATATTCAATTACTTGACCATTCTTACAGAAGTCAACAATCTTCTGTATCTGATACTCTTGCTTCACAGAGAATGTCTCATGAATTGAGTGATGTGATTGACTATTCACTCTCTTCTGTTTCTTGTGTTTGATTAGAAAAGACACATGAAACACATTGTGTACTTTCAGCTCTGATGATAGTTTCAATTGATAGATTTGGAACCCCAATTTTTCCACAATTTAACATGATTCATGCTGAAGAACATCTAACTTCTTGCTAGAATGTGCTGTTCTAATGTTATGGAAATCTAATCACATCTGATCATCTTCATAAAATGATTTGTTAATTATTTTAATATTACATTCTTCCAAGTTGCTGGTTCAGCCTTTAGGCCATTGACCAATATCCCTCACTGCTGTACTTTATGCTTTGGGGTTTTTTCAGACCCAATGTGATCAATAGACCTTTCAGTCTTGATTACGATCTTTTAGCTAGTTAAGTTATTACCTTAT